TATCCAAATATTGAAGAAGATATTAAATATATTTTACAAGATGAATATAATAAGTATATATTTTTATTATTCCCTTTTTATATTAAATATTATTAAAGTTAATAATATTATTAGATTAAAAATATTAATGAATGAAGAATTAAATATTTATGAAGATATATATGGTGTATTTTTTGATTTAGATAACGATTCTAATTTAGAAGATAATTTATATCCAAATAAAAATAGAAATTTAATTGATGAAATTTCTATGTATTTAAATAAACTATATAGCCTAAAGAAGGTATAGTTTAATTTTTTATATTGTTAAAATTATATTTTTAAACTAATAAATCTTAGACTTTAGCTTTATAATATTGGTTAACAAATAATAAAAAATATAAAGTTTTAAGTACTTTAAGTCGTTAATATTTAGCTATTCCAGCAACTTCAGTTACAGTTGAACGAGTTTTTTTAATTAGTAGTAATATAATTATTAAAAGTCGAAATAGATTATTATCAAAAATAGTTAAATATTTAACTTTATTAAAAAGTTGGAAATTTTTAGAATTAAAGGAATTAAAAAGAGCTATTAAAATATAGGAAGATGGTAATATTATTGAAAATATATTAGAAGAATAATTCTATTCTTACGGATTTATTTAACTATAATAAACTTAATAAATTTAACCTTTATTATAATAAAGAAATATAATAAAAACAATTTAATAATTTTAAAATTCCTAATGATAAAAGTAAATAATAAAAAGAAAAGATTAATTTAATTAATCTTTAATAATTTTTCTACATCCTTTCCCTTTTTTTGCACATATTAAATGCATTTTAAACCCTTTATACGTTTTAATATACTTATTACAATAATAATAAGTTCCACCCTATAAAGATATTAATATATAATTATATAAAATTAAAGATTTATTTAATTTACCGTTATATAACTATTAGAATTTTCTAATAAATTAATAGTTATATTAGGTTTAGAACTATTAATTAAAGGTGATTTAGGGTAAAATTTAGGTGAATCAATAGTTAAAATCTGGGGGTTAAGGGTTGGATTATAATCCTAAATATAAAATATAAAAATTAATAAATAATAAAGAAAAGAAGTTAAATAAATAAATATAAATAAACTTACCGATAATGGAGGTGATATTCGAGTAAGGAATTGTTTAAATGTAGTATCAGAAGTGATTGGATCTTCCGGATTATACGATGAAGTTTAAAAGAATTAATTAATAAATAAATATATATATATATATATATATTTAATAAAGAAAAAGACTTATTAATGGTAAATTACTAATGTATTTAACTGGTAAATTAGATAATAATGCACTAGGTTTAGCATTGCTTTTAAAAAGCTTAGCTAATCCAGTTTTATTTCGATATTTATTAATAATTTATAATATAATTAATGAATAATAAAGAAAAAAATTAAAAAAAATATTAAAAAAAAGGAAATGGAAAAGGATTTACCGGTACTATCTAGAAGTTAAGTTGAGTGATTTGTTGAGCTATATAATGTTGTTTTTCTTGTAGAATTGAAAGAGCAGCGTTGGTTTTACTAAAATTAAGAATAAACTTTTCCTAAGCTTGAACAAGCTTAAAGGAAGAATTGGATGAAGAAGCTGAAGACATTGTTAAATAGAGCGGAAAAAGGGCTATTTAATGATATAGATCTTATATGTGTAGGATTGATGGTTGTTGAGAAAAGAATTGTTGAACATATGGGATATTCTTTAGCTTTTATATTCCTTAAAATTCAACTTTGAACTTTGAACTTCGGTATTCGGCTTTATCGAAAACCTTGATTTTAAAGCAATAATATAACCTTAAAGCCATTCCTATCGGACCTCTTTCCGTTTTTTGATAATTGTTTGAAGATCCGGCGTTTATTTAAACGCCGGAATAAAATCCACCAATAAATTAAATGCTGATATCTTTCCTATTTTAAAACGTTAAAGCGTATAGTTAAAGCGTATAGTTAAAGTATATAGTCCAAGCGTATAGTTAAAGCGTATAGTTGGAGTAATTATAACGTTATATATTGGTAAGAGTTTCTAAATGTGGAAAGCTGAATTATTTCTATTTATTATAATAAAGATATATATAGATTTGGGTATATCATTTACTATATATATATTAATAATTAGTATAATATACTATTCGAAAGAGCAGAATTTTCTTTTTCGAATAGTATATATATTGTTATATATATATATATATACTTTTATAAATAAAGCCTTTTCTTTATATTTAAATAAAAAAATAAAATATTAATTCTATATATATAAATAAATTAATAATTAATTAATTAAAAGAGGTATAAAAAAACGGCCACTAGTTCTAAATCGGGCTTAATTCTAGCTATACACCTATATAATTTATTCTTATATTTACTTTTAATGATTTTTTTAAATTTCTTAACCTGGAAATTTACCTTTAATTTTAAATATATAAATAAATTAATAATTAATTAACTAAAAGAGGTATAAAAAAACGGCTACTAGTTTTAAATCGGGCTTAATTCTAACTATACACTTATATAATTTATTCCTATATTTACTTTTAATGATTTTTTTAAATTTCTTAACCTGGAAATTTACCTTTAATTTTAAATATATAAATAAATTAATAATTAATTAACTAAAAGAGGTATAAAAAACGGCCACTAGTTCTAAATCGGGCTTAATTCTAGCTATACACCTATATAATTTATTCCTATATTTACCTTTAATGATTTTTTTAAATTTCTGAACTTGGAAATTTACCTTTAATTTTAAATATATAAATAAATTAATAATTAATTAACTAAAATAGGTATAAAAAAACGGCTACTAGTTTTAAATCGGGCTTAATTCTAGCTATACACCTATATAATTTATTCCTATATTTACTTTTAATGATTTTTTTAAATTTCTTAACTTAGAAATTTACCTTTAATTCTAAACATATAAATAAATTAATAATTAATTAACTAAAATAGGTATAAAAAAACGGCTATTAGTTTTAAATCGGGCTTAATTCTAGCTATACACCCATATAATTTATTCCTATCTTTACTTTTAATAATTCTTTTAATTTCTTAATTTTAAAATTTACCTTTAATTTTATATATATAAATAAATTAATAATTAATAAACCAAAATAAGTATAATAAAATAAATATTACTTTTAAATTAAGTTTAATTTTAGCTATTTATTTATATAATTTTTTTACCTTATATTTATTTAATTCTTTTTAAAAAAAAATTTTAATTCTTTTAAAAAAATTTTTTTTTTTTTCTCTATGTTAAAAAAACTAGTAATACTAGTACTTACTAGTAGTAAGTACTAGTATTGACTTTTTAGTACTAGTAGTAAGTAAGTACTAGTATGGATTTTTAACTAGTAAGTACTAGTATTGGAAAATACTAGTACTTACTTACTAGTTGTAATTGCCTGGCTATCGCAGGCTCGCCGGAATAGGTATTGTGTCGTGGACGCTCCAACCCGGCCAACCCACCCCCGTGCCAGACCCGTGCCATATCCTTACCTTATACTAGACTGGGGGTCCTGGAGGCTTTCCAGCTGCCTGGGAAATATCGAGACTAGGATGCCGGCCACACGTGCGATGTATCTACACATCAGGAAAGGCGTCCATGTAGTGCGGTGTGGACTAACCTGACTTTTACTAACTTGCGCTAGGGCTATCAACTTCAAGCCGAGCGTCCTTTAGCGCGAGGGCGGTGACAGAACTGCCATTGTCAGACTCGCGTTGAGCCACCCGAGCCTGTGAGTCAATCACTGTAGCTCAAGCCAGAGCCAGAGACAGAGCCGGGGACAGAGCCAGAGCCAGAGCGACGAGACATTGCCATCAATCAATGGTCTCTTCGATAATGGCACGCATCCAGCATCGCCTTCACCGACTGGGCTGTGATGGCGTCCTACAGCAGGTCCCAGGCGTGTTGCATTGATCACTCAGCTTACCGCGCAGCGGCATAATCGAGGAACCGTAGAATACCACATGAAAGACCGTATCTTCCACCCCCGCAGCCAATACCCTTCCTCTGTCACCATGCTCCGGTCCTGGTACGCTGTTCCAGAAGTCGCGCCAAGATGCTAGTTGCTGTAACCTCTACATGTGGTTGGTATCGCGCGAGGCTCGAGTGGCTCGAGATATGAGATATGAAATGCCCTATCTAGCCAACAGTAACCTACCTACTTCGTATCTAGCTGCTTGGGGCGTACACACAACTGGGTGATCCTGGGGATCCTGGTCGCTCTTATGGCCCAGCTGCACCGTGCTCGTCCTGAACAGGCATCTGGATTACGATCCTAGCTAAGTCCATGTACATCGAGAGCGTTTCCCTCCGATCTGGCGGCTGTCGGAACTCGTCGTCAACGGCCAATCGAAGCTGGGTGCCCATGCTGAACTACCAAACGGCCATGTAGCGTAGGTACAGCTACTGTTCTTTGCGTCTTCTCTTGTACGACTTTGATCGTTGCAACGTCGAGTCGATATCAAGACCCCTTTCAATCACTCATCCACACGCATTCTTTCTCTCCCATCATGCTACCATCTTCTTGCCCAACGCCCCGCGCTCTCCCACCGTGTGACACTGAGGTACTCGACCAAGTAATGGCCCTTTCTCTCCTGCATCGTGGCGTTTCTTGTACATCCAACTGTGTTTTGTATCCTACCTACATTTTGGTAGCTACGCGGAGCTGAGACTGCTTACCCCATCCGAAGAGAAGACGGCCCGCAGTTCGACACGGGATCCCTCTTGATGTTCTCTTTTCTGAGAGCCCCAAAAGATCATCGAGCCCCAGGTAGTCGGTTGAATGATACCTCATGGCTTTTCTATCTCACTGGGTTCGGGACGCCTCTCACATAACATTCCAATGAGGAAAAAGCAAATGCGAACCACTACTCCCCATGTGGCTAAACCACACTCGATAAAAGTTGGCGCATCTCTTCTGAAACCTTGATAAAACTATCGAACACTCTCCCTTTCATACAAAACAAAACGAAACCTTCTCGGTCAAATTCTTGATATTGCCGATCAGGTCCCAGACTAGCTAGTCCCCATCATCGACGACTTAGATTCATTTATTTCGTGTTGCTGTGCCGTATATACAGCAAAGGGCACTTAGGTAGCTGTTGATGTGGTAACAACAAGCTCGGCAAGGAACAATCAGTATTGCCATCTCAATCGTCGTCGCAACGTCTACCTTATAAGACATCACTGGCCGACAAGCAAAAGTACGTTGAATTATCTACGATCGCTTAAACTCTACTTTGGCGACTCACTTTTACGAAACAAATCAACTCGTCTTAGGTGTATTTGAGATTTGGGTCTGAACACGGCTGTATGAGTTCGACTCACGTTCCACCGTAGCGGTCAATTAGTAGGACACTCAATCCCACAAGTGTGGGAAGGGCTCGGTGGCTACAGACGACGGCTACAGACGACCACGTACGCTAAGGTTCTCAAGTCTGCTGTCGTATACGGCCCATTTGCTTGAATATTTCGCCCAACATGTCGGGACGCAGTGCGTATGTCAGGAAGAAGATCACAGAGCCCAAGACGGGTGAGAAAGGTGCCGCAGGGGGGCGAGGGCGATCTAAATCAAGTGGTGCTCGGATGTCAGCTGACGATGCTTCTATCTATGATCATCCCATGCCACCCAGCACTGGACTAAGCACGGCCAACGCTCGGCTTCTCAAGTTCTCAGATGCGGCTTTTGATGGTGATGCGGTACACTATCGTTCCGAGCTGGCGAATATCAACATCAACAACAGCAGTGGTAGTCAAAGCGGAAGCAGTGAGAATGGGAAACGAGATGGTGGCGTACAGCGTCAGGGGCCAATGGCAGATTATGCGTACGCCAGAGCACGAAAGCCTGTGCTGAAGACGGAAGATGTGTTGGGTATCGAGCGATCAGGGTTTCGCAGTGTAGTGGACAAGAAGAGCGACGACATTCGAAAGGGACTGACTAAGGCGTTCACGCTTGGGCTGAAGAAAAAGAAGGAACCTGATGTTGCTGACAGAGCGCCGTCATCGGCCACAATACGGCCTCCTCCCTATTATGACGCCGACGACTACGATTCTAACGATATTCCTCCTCTGCCGGCTCTACGGCCGCCTGGCGGCATGTGGGATGCAGATCATCAATCACTCATGACACCGCCGCCTTCAAGCAAACTCCCTCCCCTCCCTCCTCATTCCCCGCCGCCGCCCATCAAACGCTGGATTGGTGCTGGAAAGCCAGCACAGAGGTGGAATAAGCTGCGGAAAGATCCCGAGCTCTGGGATCACAATGGCGACGTCCTAGTGTACTTCGGGCGGAAAGACCACCACCTGCGGCCCAATCCCTCTTTTCGGCTCTCATCTCATATCATCGAATCTACAGAATCGCGACTCCTCGTCACTCTTCTTCGCGAAGGATCTACGGAAGATGACTTTTCCCAGATCGACCTGCCTCCGTCTCCCGTCGGAGCACCACCCATGCTGCGGCATAACAGCTATGGGCAGATTGGCCAGGCCACACCACCCGTATCGGAAGACAATACGAACGCAGATGTGGACGGCCAGATCTCGTACGAGATGTACTTCCCTACGCCGGCTAACCTATCCAAAGCGGAGACTCATCGTCACATGATCACTACGCGCAACGTCTTTGCTGTCTTGTACCACGCTTCTCTTGTCGGCCTATCACTATTTCAAGCCTTGCATGATCTCCTCGAGCGGCTTGACGGCTACATGGAACCTGACGCAGATAACGTTGGTACAATCATCAACTACCTGTCAGCGCGCGGCATTGATGACGCGCGGAACGATCCGGAGACCGCCGTATCGCTGCTCGCGTGGTCTGAAACGCCCGAGGTTCGGTGGGAAGAGGGTTGGCGGGAAGCTTTCCTTCACTGTGCCGGCATGTATTCGCGACTCGAGGACTGCGCCGACTTCCGACATCTGACGCCAATCACGCGCGCCCTTCTGGAACGTGCCTGTCTTGAAACCCAACTTCGCGTGCAAGGGGCTGCGGAGCGTCTTGCAGACTTTGAATTCCCGGAGGCTTGGGGACCAGCGGTACGCAATGGTAGCATAGGGAAAGCGGCAGCTGGGCGACTCCGGCAATTTTTCGTCAACTACTACGCGAGGGTATATGGTACGTGGCCGCCCGCAGAGACCGGGGCGCGCACAACGGATGGTGAGGAAACATGGCTTACAAGGCCAGTGGCGCAGATGCTACAGAAAGACTTCGGCGCGCTGTACGACTACCTCGTAAATCGTGATATCGTGTGGGATGAGTCGGAGACCCGCAGCAGCCGGAAATGGATGATGGTGTCAGAGAGCGGAAATAAGTCCTTCGACGCCGATAGTGAAGACCTCCCGCTCACGGACCTGCTGATCGAGTTTGACAACCGCATGCGCTTCCCACACATTCCGCATCCATATCCGCTGGTACCGGACTCCATCCCGCCGTCCACCTCCGCCACGCCGGGCAACTCCAGAGATAGGTCGAGGAAGGAAAAGCACGGGAAACAAGCGCCTGATGACCGGAATCTTGAGCGCAGAATCCAACTCGCGTACACCGAGGCTACGAATATCTACAGTCTCGGCTCCGAGTTTACGCGCTCAGACCTAATTGAGGGCTTCGTGAAGTTTGAGAAGACTGACCAGATTGGTGCTGTAGATCCCTATTGCGCGCGTCGCGGCCGCTGGGTTGTCGTGTACGCCACCCTCCAAGTTCTGGCCAGCGTCTCAGTCGACTCGCCCAACGCGCGTTACAAAGACGGCGTCTCGTATCATCTATCTCCACAACTGGGAGGCACACGCACGCCGCCATGGAAGGGCGTCTCAACGCCTTCCCTCGAGGCTAGTCACGAACTCTCTCACTGCTGGGTCGTCCCGCGTACCTGGCATCAGCAAGCGATCGACAGCGCCGGGTCCGATACCTCTGCGACCTCCAACGGGACCGACCCTGTAGCCCACATGATCCGCAGCCGCGCCCGACAACAGCAAAAGTTTCCGCTACCGCCACCGAGCCGCTCCGGATTCCGCACGCCATCTGCACAGAGTGTACGCTCGAGCACGACAGCTACACCGACAATGTGGGGCGGTTCGTCTGCCATGAGTGTCTACTCAGATGACACGGCGAGTATCAACGGGAGGATTCTGGCAGCGCAGCAATATCACGGCCAAGCGGCAGGGTACGCAAACAAGGGCCTTCCACGCCCGCCGCCGCGCAGTCGCGGGAATGAGAGCGTACGCAGCGATAGGAGTGCGAACACCGTGTTTGGCCCCGGCGGGATCATAAAGCCGAGTCCGTTAAACATGAACAGCAACGTTCCCAGGACGAATCTCACAGCACTTCTCAACGCAGCCACCATCCAGGCTGAGGGAGCTCCGCCTCCTCCACTTCCTCCCCCACAATGGCCCGCGCGGACGCAATCCATGTATCGCACACAGCCACCCGCGCCGCTAGACCTGACGTCGATAACAGCGGACAGCAACGCCAGACCGGAAGGAGGCGGACATATATTTGCCCAGCTGCGGCCGCAAACGCCGACAAGCAGTCGAGGCTGCGAGGCACCAGCAGCAAGCAAGACCCTTCCTCTCCAGTTATCGCCGCTCGCGCCCGACGTTCTGGCCCCCGTAATTCGCGACTTCGACGAGCTAGAGTCGGTGGCTGAAGAGAAGGTGTACGAGAAGATGATTTGAACACGAAAGACAGGCACGGAAAGCAAACTACATCAAAATACTTATACTATATACATCATCATCTATCGGGGATTTGACCATGACATCCAAGAATACAAAACAAAAGCAACGAGTGAACGAACACTCTTGTACTGTGCTACTATATACCTGGTAGCATACTTCATCACACAACTTTGACTACATAATGCATGCCACTGAGAATGGCGAGGTGCAGGAAACGGTTCCCAGAGTCCCATGGCTACGCAAAACACTTCATCTCCTTTTCTAACCATCTTCCCTTCTGCTGATCTTCATTCTTTTGTCTTCTGGATGACTGCGAACGGAAACCTTGATACCAAACATACAGTTTTTACATCTATGTAATCAAAATACCGTTGTTATCGACCGGGCGGATGGGTTGGGGATAAGGCTGGGCTAGGCTAGTAGCATTTGCCTCTGCGGCTGTTTGTGTCTTGGTTAATGTTGTACTAGTACAGATAAATAAATATACTCAGACCAATGCATTTTTTGTCCCCTTCTCTTGCGTGATTTCCTTTCTCCTCCCAAGTCATCAATTGTGATAGCCATGGGGCTGGGTTAAGTACTCGAAAGTGCTGCTGTTCAGCCCTTGCTGAGATGAGATGCAATAGCAGACCTCGGTAGTTAAGAATACAGATGTCACACAGCTAGACCAGGTATTCCCCCACTTACGCCCGAATATACCGTTCCCCTACGGCCACTGCGCACGCCCTGCAAGATTCCCCTAATTAGACATGAAATCGACCTTGAAAGTGTCACAGGTGGGTGTCCCCAGAGTGAAGCTGGTGAGTAAATAGGTAGCACCTGGGTAGTAGATAGGTCAAAGGTATGGATTAGGACTCAATATTATTGATTCTTGCCCTTCCTCGTATTGAATGGGGGCCTTTCGCCTTCTTGTATACCTGGCTATTTGAACTATTTCTATCCCTTCGGGTAGCTTCTGCCCTAGTGTTTCTTTGCCCCTGACAGAAAGTAAGGTTATATGCGATATATTGACTGGCTTTGGAGATTTAAAAATGCCGAACTAGCTGTATATAGGGTCAAGTCAGCCACCAAGGCCAAGAAGGTATAACAAGGGCAGAGATACTGGGCTTGGAATTTGAGCAATTCAGACTATAATGAACAACTAGGGCTACATGAGTCCTTGACCAACCAACTCCTTCTTGGCTGTTGGTGGCTTGACTCGACTCTATATATAACTAGTCTGCTAGCCCAGACCGCCTAGGTCTCTGGGGTCTGTTTCAAGAAGTGAAGTCTGTATAACCTTACTTTCCGATATTACCCATTATTGCCTGCATGTCTCTGAGAGATTATGAACAGCCTGCAATGGCCTTTCGTACGGCCGAAGTGCAAGGCGAACTGCATATTCAGCTGGCACAGCGCTTGTGCGTGTGACGGAAGGAGCCTGAGGGCCATGGGTTTTTGCAGCACGAGCAGATCACTGTGTTGTGAATAACTTCAATTCAAGCCCGGTCATCAGCTACTGTTATGGAATATACGCGGAGGTAACAGGGGTAATTTAAGTTGCGTAATGCTATTATTATTAATGTCGCTATTCTGACAACCAAAAGCTGCGATACTCCAAATTGATTGATGGCTTCCGCATATAGTTAATGATGAGCCCTTTTTCTATTTGACCTCGTCCCACAAGGTATTAAACACTTATTATGACTCCTGAAATGAGCCTGACTCACTAATAACCGTATTGACGCTTCAAACCCTCAAAATTATACTCTTTTTTAGCAGTATTGCTGCGTACAAGGAGCTTTGTAAAGACTGTACCGTCTTACTAATGTTCGGTATCAACGAATGTTGAAACGCACCAAAGATAGAAGAGGGGTAAAAGGGCGTAGTGTGGACTGAGTATAAAAATAGAAATACCAGGTAGTACAGGTCATAAGGATGGTAATTGTTAGCGCAACGCTAAATTTTGTACAGGCCGGGATTTTTGGCAGGATATTTGTATGAATATACTTCGTACGCAGGGGTTTTGGAGTGGCAAAACAGCCTCGAGATTGATCAACAGCAAGATTTCTACCAAAAAACGTATAATAGCCTTATAAACAACAGTACTCTTACTTTCTTAGTAAATAGCGTCACGCTAACAATTACCATCCTTATGACCTGTAAGTAGCAGTCCCAACCTTTAGTTGTGTACCTATATAACTAAGCAACGGCTTAACATGGGGAATGGGAGGCTCGCACATGCGTAGTCAGTCCTTGAAGAAACTAGCTAAAGGCTGATTAAACTAAGCGGCTATTAGGCTGTGTTGCTATCAACTTCAGGGTCCGACGAATTGTTGATTGGGGATAGCTTCAACCCTGAAGATCCGAAGCCGGCCTTCTACATATGTATACAGGTCATAAGGATGGTAATTGTTAGCGCGACGCTATTTTCTAAGAGAGTAAGAGTACTGTTGTTCATAAGGCTGTTATACATTTTTGGTAGAAATCTTGCTGTTGATCAGTCTCGAGGCCGTTTTGCCACTCCAAAACCCCTGCGTACGAAGTAGATTCATACAAGTATCCTGCCAAAAATCCCTGCCTGTACAAAATTTAGCGTTGCGCTAACAATTACCATCCTTATGACCTGTAGAAGTGGAGGCCCTGGGTCTGAATGTGCAGTTGGTAACAGCACAGGGGCGGCTGATGCCTGATGCTACCCTACCCACGCCACCCCCTCCTGGTTTTCGTGGTGTTGTTGGCTTCCGTTCTCTCACTGCATGGAAAGGAGAGGCACTACAGATCTAAGACCGTGCTTTAACCAACCTTAAATATGTAAATAACGATCAACTTATATCTGAACTATTGACATCTACAGTAACCCACGTAGTTGCAGAATAGTTAATGCAATGGTTGTGATTGAAATACAACTTGATCCTATTGTTGTCCTCACTTGCGGGATAATAGCATCGTTACTATACTTTTTGGTCCAGAGGCGCGCAGCTTCACGCTCAACCACACCCCTTTTAGACAGTTCACCACGATCTTCGTCGCACACGAAGAATGTCAGGATTCGTCAAATATACCCATCCTCTGAAATTGAGACTTCAACAGACATTGACATCATTGCTATACATGGCCTAGATACTGATTCGCAACGCACATGGACCTGGAAGCAAGATGGACGACCGGGTGTCAACTGGCTCGCGGACTCAGATATGCTGCCTAAGCGGGCTCCAAAGGCACGGATATTTACTTGTGACTGGCCGGCTGATTTGTTCGAATCATCTGATATGGTTCAGAAGACGATTGACGAATTCGCCCGGCTATTGCTTGTTAGCATCAAGAACCGCCCCCTGACTACGACGGATAATCGACCAATCGTGTTTATTGTCTCCTGTCTTGGTGGAATTATCCTAATGAAGGCCCTTGTCATGGCTGAAGGAGAATATATCACCGTAGGACAGGCAACACGAGGCATCATCTTCCTAGCTACTCCATTTCGTGGGACTTCATTTCAGAACGTAGCTAAGTGGGCAGAGCCAGGTCTGAGGGCCTGGGCGTTTAGTCAGAACAAAAACGTCTCCAGTCTATTAAAGCACGTGAAACCAAGTTTCGATTTGGGAGAACTGGTACGACGCTTTGCGAGCTTCTGTCGAGATAACGAACTTAACGACAACATATTGACTTTCTACGAAACTGGCTTGACGAGTCTCCCGCGCAAGATACTCCCCTGGCTGCGGGACGAAGGGAAGCCGGTATGAGATGCTTATCACTCTGTATTCCAAAAAAACAAATGGACTAACGTATCGTAGTTGGTTGACCAAGTCTCCGCAACGCTGGATTTTGTGCCCCATCCCATTCCCCTCGACCGACCACATATACAAATGAACAAATTTGATAGCCCTGATAACAAGGACTATGTTTTGGTTGCTGGGGAGATTTCAAGTCTGCTTAAACGTATCCATGAAGGAACCCCTATAGAGATAGCAAACAGATATATGCGCACCGTTTGCTATTCACAGGAATATCTGAGGATTGAACGATTCTCAGGTGACCCACTTCCGATGGATCGTTGTTATATCAATTTGGAAATTGTACAACGGCAAGAGTCTTCGTTTTCACTTATTTCTCAAATGGAAGTTGAAAAGTTTCATGAAGAGAGCAGCATCACATTGCCAACTCTCTTTGAACCTGGCAAACGACGCATCATGATCCATGGGCGCGCTGGAGTGGGCAAGACTACATTGTGCAAAAAGATTGTCTATGATTTTATCTATGGCAACTTATGGTCAGATTTGTTCGATTGGGTACTTTGGATACCATTACGGAACCTGAAGCTAGAAGAAAGGCGCAGAAGTGCCGAGTACAACTTCCAAGACCTATTTCGCCACGAGTATTTCGCTCAACATCCAAAGCGCGATAAACTCGTCAACGCATTATGGACCGCCTTAGATAAGACAAAAGGAGCCCGCATTCTCTTTATTCTCGACGGCCTAGATGAAGTGTCGCAAGATTTGGAAGGAAGTATGCTCCGTTTTCTCCAGGAGCTTCTCAACCAGCCAAATATCATTGTTACCGCCCGCCCTCATGCAAGACTTCCTCCGAATATCATACCTATTGACTGCGAATTAGATACTATTGGATTTTACCCGGACCAGATAAAGTTGTACATGGAAAATGTCTTCACGGATAGAAAGACAGGCGAGCTCGATTCAGTAAAGATGAAAGGGGTTCAATCATTTTTGAGTGAACGTCGGCTTATTCATGGCCTTTTACGGATTCCAATCCAGCTTGACGTGTTCTGCTGCACCTGGGATGATGATCGTGGAATAAAATTCAAAGGTCCAGATGAAGAGGAGACTATGACTACTATCTACCAGAGAATCGAACAAGCATTATGGAGAAAGGATGCGGAAAAGCTAGGGAGATTGACACTATCCCAAATAGAGGACGCTCACGACGATGAAATTATGGCGGTGTTATATAACGAGCAGAAAGATCTGGAACTCTTGGCTTTCTATGGCATGTACCACGACGTTGTAGACTTTGAGCCTGAGCACCGCAGCGCGATATCGAGGCATTCCGTTCGCCGTGATAAGAAGCTCATGCTGGACGGATTGCTCAAGCAGGTCTCTTTCCTTCGCTCATCAGATCCTTCATCCAAGGCCAAGAAGTTAAATTACCACTTTTTGCATCTCACTTTTCAGGAATACTTTGCGGCGCGATACTTCGTGCGACAATGGAAAGCGAAGCAGAAGCTGAAATGCCCACCCGTTAGGAATGGAAATGATGTGGAGGCCTCGCCAGATACGTTTCTTCTCGAAAATAAATACAATAAGCGTTACGATGTATTTTGGCGATTTGTGGCCGGTTTGCTGACCTCAGAAACGGATCCAAAGTCATTTTTCGAAATAATTGAGCAAGAGCCGCGCGATCTGCTAGGCTATACCCATATCAGATTAATTATGCATCTCGTTAACGAGACTTTGCCTGCAGCCTCCTACTACCAAAGCTTAGAACAACAATTGGTGCAATGGGTAGCGTTTGAGCTAGTGTGTACAATGGAACTCAAACAGAAACAATACCTTAATGGGAAACTTCACTCCAGTCTCGCTGTCGACAATGAGTTACCAGTGGCTATAACAAAGACAGTTATAGAGCAATATCCTCATACGAAATCCCATATAACAAAGTTATTGAACGGGCAGGAAGACGTTTCGGAGCGGCGCGCTCGGTTTTTGAAACTTTGCTTCGAGGATGAAAGCCCAGAAATTAAAGTTCAAGCTGTGGAAGCTCTAGCAAACAAGCCATCAGTCGAACAAGACCTCCAGACTCTTATAGAATATCTCAAAAGTAAGCATGAAACAGTGAGGCAGAGCGCATTCCGCAAACTCAAGGACCGGAGATTAGCAAAGGAACAACTCCAAGTTGTTGTGGAACGCTTTCAATCTATTTATGACAACACCAGGCACAGCGAGAAGGAAGACGTGGTCGATATTCTTGACGGCCTGATGGGCAGAGAAGAATCTGTCCAGGATAGCGCACTATATCTTCAACATGACAATAAAATTGTCAGAGAGATAGCAAAACACGCTCTCCGGCGACCACTTTCCGCAGAAGACTTCCAAGCTACAATGGCATGTCTCGAGGACCAAGACGTAGAGCTTCAACAATGCGCGCTTTGGACGCTATGCAGGCAACTACGAATGGAAGAGCATTTTCAGAAAGTTACAGCCTATCTTCAACACGATAAATGGCAAGTCAGATACGCAGCGGTTCAAGCACTTAGCAGTCAACCGCTATCCTCAGAACTCCTCCAGGCTGTTATATTATGTTTAAAAGACGAGCATGATGCCGTTCAGCATCAAGCAGTAGAGATACTTCGAGGCCAGCCGACAAACGAGGAACTTTATCACAATATCGAACCGTATTTCCAACATGAAAACTCATCAGCCAGAATGTCTACCCTATCTGTGTTTGACGGCCGACAGCTACCAAACAAGTACCTTCGGGCTATCTTAACATGTATCGGAAATGAAACCTACCTTGGTATTAGTTCAGCAGCAATAAATATACTCAAAAGTCAGCAGACAACAACAGAATTTCTTCAAAGTGTCGAAGAGTATCTTCACCACAGCAAGTGGCAATTTAGAGAGGCAGCACTACGTGCACTTTATGGGAAACCGCTACCCAGAGAGTATCTTCAACCTGTCATAGCATGCCTCGAAGATGAGCACTCCAGAGTTAGAACGGCAGCGCTAGAAGCACTTGAAGGTCAGCAGGTACCTAAAGAGTGTATTGGAGCTATTGTGAAACGCTTCGACGATGATGAACAGAAGGTTTATTGCCAGGTCTCAAGGACACTTAAAAGTCTGCCGGTGAAGGAATATTTCTCACATCTTGTCCCGTATCTCCAGAGTCAAGAAAGTTACATTTCGTGCCGCAAATTATTCGTAATACGGGCACTTGAGGGCCAGACTGCTCTACCACAAGACGTTGTTCAGGCGGTTGCGTCAGTTGTCCGAGAAAGGAGGTATGATACGATATTCGAGGCATTGAGGCTGATGGCAAACCAGCCAAGTCTGCCAGAGGGACTTCTAGATTGTCTAGGAGAGATTGCGGCAAAGGAGAATATATGGACTAGAACAGTAGCGCTTTACATGATCGAGAAATTTCAGCCATCTGTGCCAAGATCAACTCTTCAATCCATTATACCTATCCTCGATGGCACCTTTTGGGACATCATTGAAACTACGGCAGAGATTCTGTGTCGACAACAGGATTTATCACTCATCCCGACGAAAAGTGTTGCGAATTTCTATCGGGCCATGTTAGTCATAGCCCAACAAAGAGATGTATCTTGGCAAGATTTGGAGGGCATGTCTCATATCACAATAGGTGAGGATCACTACGTCAGCGCCTGGCCTGACGGATTCAAAGATGCGCTTCGGAAAGCGCGGGAAGAGCTATTTAGTAGATGTTTCTCCTGCAGGCTTTTGAGTTCACCTAGGAAGGTGTAGAAAGGCAGGCTCTACACTATACTATTACGAGAGGCTAAGCGCATTTAAGTTGTTTGCTTGGCCGCCTGCGCTTGCTAGACCTCAAAGTTCTCTCTGCATGGGTACTGGGAAATGGTGGGCGTTGAAGGTATTGAATTATTTCACGGCCGTTTGATGTAGCGCACTTGCGTTAGAGTGAAAGTTACGAGTTGTTATCTCCACTGAACGCGCTGAATACCTTGTACGCACCTCAAAACTCATTTCGGTTTTATTACAGATGAGGCTCGTCGGCCGTGCCTTGAAAAAAAATATTGGTGAGCCTCAGCAGTTAAGAAAACCAGCCCAGGTGGATGTAGCCTAAGGTCAACCACAGGGGATGGGATTTGAATCGGCCACACGCAGACTTTGGAAGACATGACAGCATTTTGTATTTCATATAGCTTTTAGTTTCAAGCCTTATACTTAGAATTTGTTGTACGAATCCTGATATATTACTCACTTCGAAGCATAGCCACGATCGGACTTCCTCAGCTCAGCGTCATCTTCACGGGCCACTTCACGGAAAACGATCAGATCTACGTGTATGTTTTTCGTTGAAGTAAATTCACATATTCGAAATATTTTTTTATGACAGGATCACCGTGCATAACATCTCGACCTCAGACATCAAGACACTGATGATTCAATAAGTGCACACCCAAGAATGAAGTCGCTCAGGCCCCTCCCGACAATGCCTGTATGTAGCGCAACCGTCTATTCCTCTCGATTACTGCCACGATCCAGTTGTATAAGAAAATGTAGAAGAATACCAGAATGATAAGCCCGGCCACAATAAGAGGGCCTAGAATTGAAAAGATAGTGAATCCATATGACGCAGACTGGAAAGCATCGCTGTCACCAAGCGACTTCGTTGCGAGGCCGACCTGCAACGCAGTCAGCACAACCGCGACATACACCGTCGCAGACGCTAGCCACGCGAAATTATCCTGAAAGAACGTCCGATATTGATCCCAGCGCGGCATATAGCCGCGCAAGAACGCACTCTGCGAAAAACGGTATATCTTATTCAAACGGTTGAGACGCAGCTCTCCGTAGATGAATCGCGCGTCGATCTTGTGGTAGATGTGCTCTGTATCCAGTTGTTCCACAAACGTCCTCCACGCCAGCCACTGCACTTCCATCGGAAGCAAACGCTTCTCTTTCGCAATGAAAAAGTCGCTTTCGTGTGTGATGAGCGCCGCATACGAGAACAGGAATCCGAGGGCACATCTCCGTAGCCTTCGACGATCGCATTCCCGGGCGCTTCTCCCATATTCAACTTGCTCGTTAGAGCAGTGGCATCCTCGTGTACAGCAGAGATATTCGCTCCAGAAACGCGGCTCGAGCAGGAAGCGCGGGACCGGCTTAAGGAATATTCGACCCGTCGTCCAAACGAGGTGCATGTCCATTTGTTCTGTGACGAAGATACTCCGTGAGAGGAGGACCTGGTAGTGCAGTGGACGAGGAGGAACGGGCCGACCCGCGACCCACAGCCAGCTCAAAACCCTGTTCAACCTCTGGAGGTCGAGTTCTTTCTCCACGCACTTCATGACATTACCCCTCGGAGCGGCCAGATCGTCTGCCTCGGTGCGGTAGGCCGCGGGTAATAACGACGGAAGGTCGGCGCTGGTGTCGGCGCCGTACTCGGTCGCAAGGACCTGGATGGAGAATGGAGGCACCTGTGCACACATCTTTGAGCAAGAACTGTTAGTTTAGTCGGCGTGGCGTGACGGGGGGCGCGGTGGGCGGTACTTCAGTCTTCTCCATTTGGACTTCATTGCGAGGATCATTCGGCATTCCCTTCTTTCGACGCGATCGGGTGTATTGTAATACCTAATCCCTTGTGTAGCAATCAGGCAGCCCTGCTGTCATCACCGTTAAACCATTCTGAACCTGTCGATTACTTGTCGACACGCTTATTCAGTATAATTCTCCTCCCTGGTGAGAACAAACAACATACCAACATAGTTCGAGGATTCTGCTATATCGAGAAAAGTATTGACATCTTAAACCGAAGAAGAGTTATATAGCAGTTTCTTAGAGAATAATAAATTGAATTTTCACCTGGATCTACGAAGTCCTCAATATTGCAATACAGACTTGTGAGGGGTCCGCGCAGGCCAACGGCGACGTGCAGCTGCAGGAATACCAACAGCAGTAATTCGCAGAACACTCAAATTAGCCTGCCGTTTTCCATAGGCTTGAGAGCAGGCTCCCACACATCTACGCTCCCTCAAGAAGCATCCTCTCAACGTACTTCCGCTGCTTCTCCATCTCCTCCTCAGTCGCAGGCTCCGGATCCCTCTCGCCCGCGTAAGTCTCATTATACGGCGAAGGGTAAAGTGGCGCAAGTTTCCCCGCCGCGGCACTGATATACTCTTCCCAGAAAGCCTCGAATCCCTCTCTCGTAATGACTCGCTCTAGCTCATCTCTACTTGACAACACACGTGCCTGATCTCCTTCTCTCTCGTACGTCAGAAGAGGAACGACTTGCTTGAACGCCTGGTTGATGTATTCATTGAAGCCCAGAATATGCAACTTATCGATCTCGCAACCGCGCGCGTGAAGAACCACCAGGGACCCGCAGTGCGTCGAATCCAGATGTTCCGGCAGCGTCCAGCCGTCGGCGTGATCGATGTTCCAGTGCCGGAAAGTCGTCGCTTTGTTCTGGGCGTAGATGCGGCCGGTCCAGTTGTGCAGGAAGTCATACTTGTCTTTGTCGAGGAGAGGGTCGACGGCGCTGCGGCACGGCTGTACGAGCCACGGCAGTCCTGCCATGCGCGCGATCTCGCTTGGGGTGCGGATCCCGAAGACATCTTTAGATAGCACTTGGACGTTCTGCACATTGTCCAACCCTTTCGGACATAGCACGCCGAAACGGAAGAAATCGCCGTCGCAGAGTATCTGCACGGCCGGCCAGAGCGGGGCTTCCTTCCAGGGAGCACTATACGACTTGATCGGGAGCCGGTGCGTGTGAGAGATGCATGGGTTGTCGGGGCGCGTGTAGTACCACTCGATGATCATGCGTAGATCGCGGGGCGTGGCGTCCTCCCACCAGGATGCCTTGTGGTCGCCCTCGCCCTCAAACTTAACTGTGCCGAAGGCGAGAAAGACGGCCGAGCCAAAGTATGCTCGGAGACTCCCCGGGTCGGCAAGCGAGAAGATGGATTCGTTCAAGTTGACACCCTCAACGGTGCGCGTCTTGGGCAATGTGAATTGTTGGATGCCGTGGCCAACCTTGCGGTGCGTGAGACTTTTGTTTATGTCATTTGTCACGAGTTGATTAGCGGCCTTCTTGAGTGGTTTCTTCCCCGTGATGCCCAGAGCTCTCGCGATTGAGACATTGAGAGAATCGAGACTGATATGAGCCCACACTGGCTTCTTGGAGTCTACTGGGAAGAGGATAGCCCGCACGGTGCCGGTTTTGTCGACGCTTTGCTCATCCTTTGCGGTCTTGCAGAGTGCTTTGTGGTGAGGCCAGTCTTTCCTAAAGCAATGTGGGTTGCAGTATACCTATCGACGAGCTTGAGCCGGGCGAGGAGAGAGTATAGAATGGGGATTCACTTACGGTTCCACAAAGAGAGCACTTCAACGTAGCATCGGAGTCACAGACTGTACACCTGCTGAGGGAATCTTCGTCGATCACACCATCATCAACATCAAAAGTATGGGGAGCAAAGCCATTGTAGGACACGCCAGTTTCCATCGTGCGTAAGGTTACGTGGCTGCTAGCCGTTGATGTAGAGGCCGCGCTGAACTCGAGAAGAGAAGGAGCGTGGAAAATTGAGAGTAGGTAAGCAAAATCAGGACTTAATGTCGAAAAGTCTCCCAGAAACGATGCGAAATGTCCTATGCACTAAGGTCGCCGGCGTTGCTTGGGTGATTGTAGTAGTGACTTTGTTGCTTTGTTGCTTTGTAACTTGTATACAAGGGGCTATGTTTGCTTGATATTAACACGTCATACAGTGAACCGTTGCCTAGGATTGGAAGTCCAAGTACTACTGCTGGTATTGTGGAAGAGGTCTGGTCGCTGAGACGCTATGTTTGCTACTACTAGGTAACTGAAACTCTGACCTCTTCGCGCAAGAGGAGTTCAAAGTAACCCATAGATGTCTACAGGTGACACACGAAGAACACAAAGTATACACGGCACGTGTTATGGTATTACAGTCGCTAATTTAAATCATATTCTATCTCAAGAGGAGATAATGTGAACTGAGTCAGTATAAGTTTTAGCTACTCATTCTTCTACCACCTAATAACAAGAAACAAATCAGTTCAAGCCACTTTCTCCCGTTCGCAAAAACCGCTTTCCACTACGTGTACGCGAAACATCTTCAAGCGACCCAGACAAATCGCTACCGACACTATTAAACGGCGCCCACAGGATCTCGCGCTTTTCCCGCTGACAGCACTGCACAGTTCGATCGAAAGCATCCCAGTACAGCATATATAACCCCTCGATATTTCCCGTCCATTGAAGGGCCTCCAAGATCAGAGCCTCGGCTTCCTCCAACGCAATGCTGGCATTCAGTCTTACAGCCCAGGCGTAGGGCGTATACACACCTTTTCCCCGGCACTGTCTGATCCAGAACTCTCTTTCAGAATCGATAGCGATCTGGAGGGTGGACAAGACCTGTTTGGTCATGGCTTCGTAAGTACCGGGAAGGGGTTTACGGTTGCCCTGTCTATCCCTGCACATCCCCTCGGGATAGCTCATGCCGATGACTCTGCAGATGAGCTCATCCACTGTTGGCACTCTCGGAACCTCTTGAATAAAGACTTCCCAGAATTCGGAACCCTTCAGTTCAGTATCGGCGCGTGGGTCGGTTGTAGGCTCTGGAGTTGTAGGCCTTGGACTAGGGCATGGAGGGTTGCATCTTGGTGGTGTTGTACGCCTTGAAGCAGACATTATGGAGTGGGATATTTGAGAAGTTCTTGAATATTGTTGCTGTCAGTTTCTTGTTAAAGCTATGAGTAATAACCTTGTAGTTAGGTGATGTAGATTCAACAGACCGAGACGAAGCCCATAGGGGTTCTGGAAGAATATATAGACTTTTCTTTCACTAGTATTGTTTCTATTGTTATTTTGCAATCTCCTTATATTTAAACAATTTCCTGCGAATTTGTCTATCCCACCTTCTTTGTGCAGGATGATAAAAGACACACCATCGGTCTCCTCACACCCGGCGAGCTGGCTGTAGAGCTAATGGAATCATTTTCAACATATTGATATATGTATGTGTAACAGCTGCCTCGATGTCATTCTAGAGCTCAAGTCATTGTCGGATGAGTATACGATGTCGATCATGTACCTATGAATATGAAACCGTGTACTGGGAATCAGATCACACTTTGCAATGTCACAATTCATTGTTCATTATGAATTATATTGTATTATGAACTCAGATGCTTGAATGGCCAAGCATGTACAATCACGCCTTTTGTTGTCTCCTTGTCTTCCAAGCCTTGAGCTCCGTTATCAGGCCCATTAGCAAAGGAACGCCCACGGGGCCAAGCAGAGGTAGATAGACAGCGATTTTATGTTCGTCGGGGAAATACAGCTGACCGACCATACTCTTCTCGAAGAATGCTCGTTCAGCTTCTGTTTCGGCAATGCGCGCGTGTTTGAGGCTCTCTGTACTTCCCAGAGTAGAGCATGCTAGTTCGAGATGGTGTATAGACTTGGCAACACCCTCTGCTACACTCGATGGAATCGAGATACTAGGCAGAGCCAACGACAGGCGAGCGAGAGATCCCAGTGATGACGATGCACGAAGGAGCATGTCTACTGATCTAACACGCGTAAGCGTCGATAGTCGCATCGGTAATGAACCTGACTGCGGAGTACCCAGGAGTGATAGGAGATGTGACGCAAATGTCAGAACAGGTTGTTTAAGGAACTCTGCAGGTACGTGAGTTGCAGCGGGCGGAGAGAGCAGGTAAACGGAGCCCCATTGAGGGACCAGCCATGACTGAGATGTCGTCTCCTCCGCTAAGTTTAGACTAATAGTCTGATTACCTATATATATAGCGAAGTTGATTGTCGGCGCTCCTCCTATCGATGGGGATAGCGGCCATTCGGCGGCATTGATAAAAGACGATAGATCCTCTTTTGTCAGAACCTGTGACTGAACGCCTGGTACAGCATATAACTGTACCTGGGTATCGATGGTAAAATTGTGAATGGGTTTCAGCATATCTAACACTGGTTTCATATACTGATTGATGGCGGAATCAATATCCCAGCTACTGGGACTTGAGCCACTAGTGAACAGAGAGAAGGTGAGATGGTATGTGCCTGAATATTTCATTGAGCGCGTCATTCGTTTCGAGAATGACTCGTCGAGCCCGTACTGAGAGCCATGTTGTTGCCGGTCCGCAGATATAGTTGATGTCGCAAGAAAATAAGACAAGATAGATTGCTCTTCGGCAAAGGTATCGTGAATTTGGGCGGCGATGTACTTCGCGAGTCTTGACGACGTGGTCTCCGAAGTAGGCCTCAAGCTAGGTGGGTATGTAATTTCGAGGATAGGAAAAAGCGTATCAAGAGACGACGTCGGTACAGACACGGTATCATTGCCCTGAAGTAAACGTAAAACAAGCGGGATATTATGGGCACCATGCGATTCTGGAGTGTCTTCTAACGAGGTTTGAGCGGCTGACTCGAGTCGTAGCTGGAGACTAGGAAGACCAGATATCTCATCAAGATTGCGTTGTGTAACGGAGATCAAATCCTCAGCTTCTTGTTCCTTCAAATCGGGAGATGCGATAGCGACTTGAATAGGAAGTATCGGGCTACAGGACTATATATCGTCTTAGTAATGTGGGAAGCGTCGAGGGGTTCGTAAGCCTACCTTTCCATCAGCCCAGCTCATCATCTGGTCCAAGGGCAGGTTAGCCCGGTAGATGGTAGTCGTTTTCCACCATATCGGTACCCCCAGACATAGAACAACGAGCCAGAACGATGCTATTATGAGCGAGCGTCGGAAAATGTGTGATGGTTGTTCGGGAGGTGGAGGCTTGCGTTTCGCCGTTTCCGTTGACGTCGAGTCAGGGCTGGGCGCGATGGGCTCTGTCTCGGCGGTGGCCGTAGCTGTACTTGTTATATCAATGTCGCTTCCTCGGCCGAGAGACGTGGACGATGTCGTTGCGTCGGCTTCGGATATGGCAGACCCATCTTTGCGGTTCCTGATCGTGGATGAAGACATGGCACCTATCCGTAAGTAACGACTACTTTAGCTTCCTCGGGACCATGGCCCATCTGATGAGGAGGTCGGTTGCGTGGTCTAAAAGAAAGTGAGGGTCATATGGGTTTCTTCATGGGTGCAGCGGGCACGTCGATACCAAGCAGTAGCTCCGAAATCTAAGTTCACTTGGACTCTTGTTTCCAGCTGTCCTGGCCAGAGACGTGATGATGCCAGTAATCCCTGTAAGGCTTCAGGGTTCATGTACCGGGTAAATGCATATAATCATTCCATTTGTCCTTTGTATTTGCATATCATATTATCCAGTGTAATGCCCCCACAATAGAATAAGCACTTATGGTCCAAACAGATGAATACACCAATTCCTCGATGTTGATGTCACTGAAACCTGTCAGATTGCAATTGCAATGCACAAGCAAGTCATGGTGGTATCTTTCACAGTTGAACGGTGGATTTTTCTTGGGACTACTTACCCACGATGCATGATTACCGCCGGGGGGTGCTCTTGATGAAGGCGTCAACAAAACCAGTGCCACGACTCTTGCGATCTCAGTCGGACGACTTAGCGACTCGTTCGTCACGGCATTTTCGTGTTGAGATGAAAAGAACGCATGTGTCATAGTTACACGAAGAGGCAAGCAGGCAGTAATCAAACCTCAATGGCTGAATAAAGGGGCAACTCATCATACCTCTTGCGCGTTAAGCTATGGGCATCGTGCACTGCTCTGGCATCAAACTGAGGGCTTATTCATCAAACACAATCTGCATGATCATCGCCATCCATCATCACTGATACTAGCCCTCATCTAGGCCATCGATTTGGGGGTACATCCAGGTAGGATTCTTCACGAAATATCAGATCATTGCTAATATAGGTACTGTCTGCTCCTTTTTCAATGGAATATACTAGTCACACACACATATATATACAGGCGTGTAGGACATGGGCACCAACGTCATCACATCTCTATATTCACCCTTCTCTTGCTTTTATGCGCCTCACAATGACAGATTACAACCAGCCTCAGCGCATAGACCTTCACCCCGCTATGACCGACCGAATACTTGCCGATGTGTGGCGTCGTCTCAAGAAGATGGGACACAAGGATGCGATTGCCGCGCTCTTAGTCCAACATTGCAAGCATGCGGACACTCATTGATGGGAGAGATATGCAAATTGCTTCATTGAGGATGACGTGGCTCAGTTTGAAAACGGTACTGATGTGGTCTAACGTGCTAGCGTCGGCGCTCAAACAAAAGCGTGGGATACTGAGGCCAGGGCCTTCTACACTCGCTCATGAATATTGACCTGGTCATCGATGGAAACAGGACAACATGCTCATGCTACCTCTGGTTTGCGGCAATCGTGGATATGATCCCGCCGCATGAGCATACCGGCTTTGGCGGGCCTATGACCTAGGAGGAAAATACGTTTTGGGCGGATAGAATATTCGGCCGAGCCATTCGTGTTCTCTTGATCGTCTCATATCAATGTATTTCGTAGTCAAGGCCACAACAAGTGGCCTGAGTGACCTGGAAGCCAATGCCACGCTTCCCAAACTGTGATGTGATTATCCGGCAAGAGAGCTTATCTCCCTTAGAAATACTAGTGATACCATTCTGTGAGCCACAACGACATCGTACCTTTACCAAGGTCATGGAGGCCCGCAACCTTATAAGGGTTATCATACGCTAGTACACACGGAGGAGTCAATCGCAAGCAACCCCATTCTCTTTCTTTACAGTCAATGAAACATCAACTATACGAGCTCGTGGCATATGTGGCTAGGATGGATTGGCCGTTTCAACGTCGCAAGCACGAAGACGAACCGCAACAAAGACTACTCTTGGAAGCACTCGGCACACTAGTTTTAAGTAGATGCCAATGTTCGCGTAATAATTCCTTCCATGTTACATACTACGATACTACGGCCATCCTTGTCAGACAAGCGCATTGTGGATTTTCCGGATCCCCAACTATTGGCCCCACGACGCGACGGTCGCTCCAATCCCGCAATCCCAAGAGCCAGTGCAACTCGCACAGAACTCACTTTCACCTCACCAAAACCCATCACGAGTAGTATGGAGCGGTGATCGATATGCGACATGCGGGTGATGTGGCTACCTGATGGAACTGGGCTACCGGGTCAGCCGGTAGACGGTTCGCCGCGGACGGATCATGTCTTTCGAGTCTAGACCCTTGCTCGGCGCTATCTCCTCTCTGATGCTAGTGTACACTAAGGAATGGTATGTGGACACCAAAGAGAACCGGATTGCGATGCGATGCCGAGGCATTAAGTCTTGCCAGAGTGGCGCTGTTCTCTCACGCTTCCATCTCCAGATTTACTAACCTCAACGTCTATTTCCCAAACACGCAGAGCTGAACTAGGCTAATGGATCATTGGCTATTTTTGTCTCAAGGGATGCTTCTTGGATAGATCAATTGTTTTTTTTCCTGGTTTGTTGTCCTACTTTGCATTTTTATCATCTTTTATTAGCTTAGGAGCAGGCGCTTCACGAACGATTTGGCGATAAACATCGTGTTTTTGCATCTTCGCGATCAAAGCATAGAGTTATCTTTGCGATTGATGTAGGACTGTGAGATTGTCCATAAAGGTGGCTAAACTTATATAATTGGGCCAAATTTCGAATTCACAACATGCCTGGTAAGTTACGCTCATCTACCATATCTGACTTTCTAAATCTCCGTAGCGTTTTTACTCAATAGTACCTCGCTAACATAACATTACCAAAACAAAGTACCCCTAGCTTTGGCAGTACCAGCTGCCGCCGCCGGTCTGGCCTATCTCAATGCCAAAACAGCATTCTGGTATGACAAGGCAGTCATAAGGGGCATGGTGCCCGCGATGTACAAGACCAGCAGACGCGAATCAGCGGACCGGTGCAACCACTTCTATCGTCTAGAAGAGATCGCTAAAAGCAAGTCGGGCTCTCGCGTGGGCATATTATTCGAGGACCGATCATGGACGTACGCTCAGATGTACGAGGCCGCGCTCAAGTACGGAAACTATTTCAAGACCAAGTTCGACCTGAAGCCTAAAGATATCGTCGCAGTGGATCTCATGAACTCCGATCATTTCCTGTTGATCGTCTTTGGTTTGTGGTCCATTGGTGTAAGGCCGGCACTCATCAATTACAATCTGACTGGCGACGCGCTGTGCCATTGCGTGACGATAGCCAAATCGGTGCTTTTGTTGGTTGATGCCAATGTCGAATCAAATGTGGATGACACTGTCCGCCAGAACCTAGGAGATTTGAGGATTGAGATTTTCTCGCAGGATTTCATCTCGGCGGCGTTAGCTGGAGAACCGGTACGGCCTCCAAACGAGGTTCGCTGTGGGGAGAAAGCTCGCGACATGGCCGCGCTCATCTATACTTCGGGCACGACAGGATTGCCAAAGGCGGCGATTATATCTTGGGCAAAGGTCTCGACAAGCGGATCGTTCGTAAGGGGGTGGATCAACTCCCAACCATCCGACATATTATACACGGTATCTAGAGCCTCCCGCGATGTCATGTTTATCTGCGACACCTCGCTGACTATTTCTAGCCGATGCCATTGTATCATTCGTCTGCCCTACTGATAGGGTTCTTCCATTGTGTAGACGCCGAGGCCACCTTCGCTATTGGTCAGAAGTTCTCAACAAAGACGTTCTGGAAGGACGTACGGAAACACAACGCCACTATAATCCAATACGTTGGCGAAACCTGCCGGTATTTACTGGCAGCAAAACCCGACATCGATCCCACGACAGGTGAAAATCTGGACAAGAAACACAACGTCCGCATTGCTCTGGGTAATGGCTTGCGCCCAGATGTGTGGGCCAGGTTCCAGGAACGCTTCGAGATCGAAGGCATCGCCGAATTCTACTCTGCCACTGAAGCTTTCGGAGGGACATGGAATTACTCCCGTAACGATTTCGCGCGGGGGGCGATAGGAAGGAACGGATGGCTCTACGACGTCTTCCTGAATAGGAGGCTAGCGATTGTAGAACGTGATCACGAAACGGACGAGCCGTACAGAGATCCCAAGACGGGGTTCTGCGTCGCCGTCCCCCGTGGCGGAGTTGGGGAACTACTCTATGTATTGCCGGAGGACACGGAACAATCTTTCCAGGGATACTATAACAACGCCAAGGCGACGAATAGCAAGATCATCCGAGACATTTTCAAGAAGGGCGACAAGTATTTCCGAACAGGCGACCTTGTCAGCTGGGACTCGGAAGGGCGGACGTATTTCCACGACCGCATCGGCGACACATTCCGGTGGAAGAGCGAGAACGTGGCGACGACCGAAGTCAGTGCCACGATAGGTTTACATCCGGCAGTTGAGGAGGCCAATGTTTACGGCGTCCAGTTGCCGCATCACGACGGCCGGGCGGGCTGCGCAGCGATCGCGCTTAAGAGTGCGCCTGATGAGATGCTCCTTCAATCGCTGGCTGAGTATGCGAGAGCCAAACTCCCCAAATACGCTGTGCCGATCTTCCTGCGTCTCGGGAAGGGACTGTCTGCCGCCATCACGGGCACCAACAAGCAGCAGAAGCACACTCTTAGGGTAGAAGGCGTCGACCCTACAAAAGTCGGCGACGATGAGCTGTACTGGCTCAAGGGCGACACGTATGTCAGATTTGGCAAAGAGGACTGGGATCGACTGAATGCCGGTCAAGTCAAGTTGTAGATGCACCACGTAATTTTATACTGCTTTTGCAGACTGCATAACGCGAAGCTTTTTCGCCAGAAATGTATATATGCATATTATATAAACCAGGGCGAACAGCTTGAAGCTATATACGAAATATTGATGTACTACACGAAACGTCTTGGCCTGGTCACACTGATAACCCATGGGCGTGACATTACCGTTGATGTTACCTAATGTCGCTAGAGATTAGCGCTCTAGTGCTGCAAATACGCTGACGGTAACAGGTGGATAACTGCAGGTGGGCAGGCAGTCAGTCAGTCCACTTACCCCGCCCCCACCACGAACTTCGAACTGCACCATCACATCTGCCTCGCTGCCCCTCCAAAATTTTCCAACATGGACATTCTCGAGTTCAAGTTCACATTATTTTCAGCCAAACGCTGCCGACAACCTTGGGACTTCCGCCATGTCTTCGGATCTACATGCGCCACCTGTTCTTTCGACGCCGGCTGAATACACCTTCGAAGACCCGACACCCTCCGCCGCTCTTAGCAAAGAAAATCGACCAGTCAGGTCCGACGATGAACTATGCGCCGTCTACGAGATTGCCCGCACCGCGGCAGAAATTGTGAAGGAAAATTGGTCGCGAGTCGCCCTACAGTTCCCAGATGCTATGCTAGCCGACGCGCCTTGGGTGGTGGAAGCGTTACAGAGAGAACTCCGAAAACTTGAAGATTCCGTCCTTGACTCGATCACTGGGAAAATAGAACAGAGCGCAAGCACTCCCGAAGATGCGCAACAAAATCAAAAGAAAAAGAGGCGGCTATACATACTTGCAGATACCTCGTATAGCGCATGCTGTGTCGACGAGATTGCCGCAGAGCATGCCGACGCCGACGCCGTTGTCCACTACGGTAGAGCTTGTTTAAGCCCGACGGCAAGGTTACCAGTGTTGCATATCTTCACCAGGCAAGAATTAGACCACAATGCTGTCGCCGATAGCTTCGCGCAGGAGTTCACAGATAAGGAAACCAAGGCCATCATCATGGCCGATGTCATGTTTCAAGAACATGTAGCGCCAGTATGCGCCCTGCTCAATGCCAGAGGTTATAAGCACATCTTCGCAACAGAAATCATACGCGACCCCTCGAGCACAATACCGAATCGCAGTGTACAGTCTCTTGACCCTATAACCGCAGATAAGCACGACTATGATCTTAACGAATACCATCTTTTCCACATCTCGACGCCTCCGACTTCGTTGCTCCTTACGCTATCTTCCCGCCTCGCCTCTCTCCGCATATATCCCACACCATCTTCTCCTTACACGACGACTACGTCAGTGCAAGACCCAAGCGCCACATCATCAATGCTCCGCCGGCGGTACGCGCTCGTACTGCGACTTGCGACAGCTTCTATTATTGGGATATTAGTGAACACACTGTCAGTGAAAAACTACATGTCCACAATTAGCACATTACGGGAGCAGATCGCTGCGGCAGGCAAAAAGAGCTATACCATCGTTGTCGGCAAGTTGAACGCCGCCAAACTAGCAAACTTTTCCGAGATAGACGGCTGGGTGGTTGTAGGATGCTGGGAGAGCGGACTCGTAGATCAGGACGGACTATTCAAGCCCGTCATCACACCTTTCGAATTAGGCTTGGCTATGCAAAGCGACGAGACTAGGATTTGGACCGGAGAATGGTGGGGAGGTATCGAGGGTGTGAAAAGTGAGCCCGATGCAGGAACGGATTCAACAAAAACTCAACAAACAACCGAGGCAGAGGTTTCAGAAGATATTGAGGGAGGGATTGATGACGAAGAGTCGGAGCCCCCTGTTTTTGACCTGCGGACCGGCAAGCTCGTCAGCAACTCACGTCCCATGCGCGTCGCTATTCGGAGTGCGCCTTCGACGACAAACGGCTCGCATTCAAATGGCGGTGTTATCACCACGCCTCAAACAACAGGTTCTGCCATGGTGAAGAGGGGCACTGGGGAGATAGCCCTCGTCAATGGCGTTGCGAGCCCTGGCGCAGAATATCTACGATCGAAGCGAACATGGCAGGGCCTAGGTAGTGATTTCAACCCCGGCGAGGACGAAGACAGCACCGTTATCGAGGAAGGACGCAGCGGCGTTGCAAGGGGGTATACAGTAGGGGAAGAACAGGGCAGAAGCTGAGACACGATTACAGATCGGTCAAACATTGCTTAAAAAAAACAAGTGATTCCCTATATCAGGGGATGCGGCTTCGAACTCCCTATACAAATCAGGACATGTGTAGCTTTACATGGCCGATTAGTGAGAGCGATGAGCGAGCCAACTGGCGAGGAGTCAAGTCCAACTCTAGCCACAGCCTGAGGAGTATCAAGGCCAAGACTCATTTCGGGCTACCTAGGTCTAATATCAATCTGAATTCAGCGCGACTGATGAGTGCTATATAAGACCTAGCTATCGGCGACGTTGGACATGTGGCATGAGATACCGATCAAAGCAAACCCATAGATCCCACACGGGCAGAGTCCACTTTACTTGTTCATACTCGCGTGGAATAGGCCGGGGTTATGTTTCAAGGAAGTGAACTCGGCTGGATTGAACGGCGTATATGCTAAGACATGTGTTGCATGGCATAGGTGTCTAATCTAGGTAGTTGAGATAATGTATGTGTGTATGTAGTATATTGAGATCTAGATAGACGCAACGTGATCTCGTACAGGATCTTATTCTTCGCGCATCCAAATTGGATCACATATTTATTATGATAACTGAGTGACATGATTTCCTCCATCTCTAAGTAGATATGTAAGTAGGTTGACAGAGCGTGGAGTGTCTTATATGATTCTAGCCTCGTATACGCAACCATATCCCCTACTAAGTTCTCATGAATGCATTAACAAGCAGACAGGCGGAATATAATAACTAGTCGTAACATGAACAGTTAAAAAAGCACTGAATTGGTATATACACTAAAGTAGTAGAAGTAGTCATAGTAAGGCATTACATCGTCATAATCGTGCCAAAGAGCAAAGGGATTCCTGGTTCTCCCTCGCTTGCTTGCTTTCCTCCGCCCGTCCCAGCTCATTCAATTCCAGAAGATGTATCTCCCACACGCCTGCCTATTCCATCCGATCCGATCCGGTCCAAAAATAAAAACAACCCAGATATTCTTCCCAGATCTTTGTCTGCGCGTATGTATAAGTCCATACAAGTAACCCTGGGTAATATATGTACCTAATTCTTAGTTTTTTGTTTATTTGTTCGTTCGTTGATTTGCTTTGCGCTTTCTTTCCCGTCTGATATTTCCCGATTCTATACACCGATCCATTCACCCCATCTGGTCCGAAATACACCGCATATACACATTTCGAAAAAGACAATAAGTAAAAGTGAAAAAAGGAGAAGATTCATGTTGTTTGGGCGGATAAAGCGGCTATTTCGCCGATTTCAGTTCCACTCCAAATAACCCGTGAGCATGTCTTGTTTGTCTGTTCCTAGACATACACGCGCCGATGCGAGTGATGCGACGAATGTCTTGAGTGCGGGGCGCTAGACCGATGACTATGGCGATGCGAGTGGTTCTCACGCACATACGTCTTCCTCTCCCCCGCGCTCAGGCGATCGCCGTGCAAACACGCCAATGCCGCTGTGAAGAAGAAGAAAATAGCATTCAAGATGCCGAAGGCGAAAGCAGCTTTCAGCATGGCGCACGATTTGTCGACGTTCACGCGGACGCCGTTCAGAGAGGCGCTGCCGAAGATGCCGAGAGACACGTCGACGGAGGAGCCGCGCGTGACATTGGTGCAGTCTGCGTCGGCGATGAAGCGCAGGGCGTAGACGGCGCCGATGAATGCGCCGACGAAGAGGATGTCGATGAGCGCGACGAAGGAGGCGTTTGTGGAGGACCGGTGGTACGAGAAGATGGTGAATATGGCCCAGGCGCCCGCGAGCACGGACACGATGAAGAGCACGAGGATGTAGGTTGGTGTCAGGGCGTTGAGCTTGTTGTAGCCGTCGACGAAGTATGCTAGGAGTCCTATTGTCGGGATCTGCGGCGAGGTGAGCGGTGAGCATTTATTTTCCAATGAGACAGACGGGTGAGTGGGGAACGTACCAGAGTGATGATTTGCAGGAAGCGCCAGAAGGAGAAGAAAATGGCGAATAGCATCTTGTCGACGCGATTGTTGTTATGCGATTGCGATGCGAACTGAGTTTGTGTTGCGAATTGCTTGGATTGGGAGTTGAGGGTTGGTTCACTTGTCGGGGGAAAAAGGCGGGGTTGGTTTTGCGCGCGCGGTGAGAGGTGAGATAAGATGTCCTACGAAAGCTGCAGCTAGCCAGTGAGAGCTTTGTCGTTGGCTGACGGCGATGATGTGTGTGTGTGTGAGGGTGCGGCGCAATGGCTTGCCAAGGATCCCGTCACAGCCGTAAGACTGTCCCCGTCTTCGTGTTCTTCCTATGTCGACTGCGATAGGATCGGTGTCCAAAGTTTGATGCTTTGCTGGCGGTATTCCCGCTTGGTCTATTCGAAGGGGTTGGATATAAACAATGTTACTGCTAAGAATGATTAATATGTGGAGAGAAGAGACAAGTTTTCGAAATCGGTCGAGATGTTGGTGGTGGTGGTGGTGAGGACCAGATATACCATGCAAATATTACTTGCAGATATAACACGGATAATAAAGAATGGCTGGGAAGGCACGATGACGCCGGTTGACAGGGCTGCAGCAGCGTTAGTGGACGCGAGCTAGGGACAGCCAGCGAACAGGGGCCTCTACCCGGTTTCCGTTACCTACACGTACCTCTTGCCTCTCAGTCTGAGGCGAGAGGATTGCGACAGACAAGGTACAGATGCTGGTACATGAAAGAAGATATTGTATGATCTGATGTGTATTTTACACTACCTGTGTCTGTTGCGTGACCGGATAATTGAGATATGACGTCGCCTATTCGCCAGGCTAGGGTACGAACATGTTTTGAGATGCGATCATCTTGGAGAGAGACAAAGGTCTAGGCCCCCTTGTCTACAGTAAGTAAGTAGGGCGAAGCTGAATTGACACGAAACCCATCTCAATTGGCCCTTTTGATGTCTACAATATTTACGACCGGTGCACAATCTGAGATGTCAGTTGCCGCTATTCCGAGCGTTCCCAACCGCCAGCGGTAGCGTTCCTCTTAGCAGACAGGGCCCAGGCAAGACATCTCCGAAAATCAGCGGGGCTGGGGAGTCTTCAAAGTACGCTTACCGGGATAGGAAGACCTGAGCTGAATCCATGTAATGTGAGTGGCTGGGCCCCCGGGGACCGGCCCGCGTCCACTTCAAACTCAACCGCCTGCCCGGGACAACGCTTCGCTCACTCTTACATCAAGCTCCATGAACGAGTGTCAAGATTGTACCCAGGGTACTATACCGCTACTATCCATGGGTATGAGACTGCGTTCCTTATCTACCGCTAATCATATAACTAGACTAGCCTCTCTGTCCAAGGGTTCATCTGCCTTGACTCCTCTAAACCAACCGGGGAAGTATGGAGTTGGTGATGCTACCCATGAAGCCCATGTAACTCTCTCATTAGCCTTGGTAAATGGCAGACTACATGAACAACTGCGAAGGGCACTCACTGCACGAGGGTTCAAACCCCGTTGATATCGCTCGTAAAGGCAGAGTGGTTATTAGTCTCCAGTACCAGTGACTAAGTATCTACCCGCGGGCTTCATACTTGCTTCATTGCTAGAGCCGTAACCAGCACGAACCGCTATGCCAAAGACCAGGTTCGATACATGTACGTAAGCTCACAGATCGACATAGGGGCCTTCCGCTTCTAGACGCTTTAATTGCCGGTAGTGCTAGCGCGCGACTCTTCATTGGACTGACACGACTGCCATCCTTCCACTCAGCTTCATACTGGTGAATGAACAGGCTTATGCTGCTCAGATATCTGACTCAGCAGTCGATGTTTCTTGACATCACATGTGTCTACACATCAGTTATGTTATATAAATGACAGGCCAATCCGGTAATCCCAGCGTCTGTTGTCTGGATCGTCATTGTTGCCTTACGAAGCGTAGAAGAGAACACGCCTATAGGTGGACGAGGCTGGATTGTACCTTTTCCCTCGCCATGTCTCTTGAAGTTATCTCCAAAGTGCTCTCGCAGGGTCATCTCCTCGCCACGCATAGCTGGGAGTTTGGCACATTCTCCGAAGCCTTGTTAGAATGGCACGATCCGCACCTGTCTGTGTTCGCCGCATCTCCCTTTCCCGATGGTAAAATCCCGGTGGTGCAAGTCGACCAAGTCGAGTCGCTTTCGTATGCTCAGCCACACATCTGGACCAATTCGACAACACTCGTCGACGGTGATGGTGAGTCAGAGTACACTATCCCAACAATCTTCATCCAGTGTGATTCACGGTCTGAACTGAACTGACAACTCCCCTCGGCGATGACCAGGTGCCGCAGGAGACCCGGCATCTCTAGCTATATCTGCTATCTTGATCGGTCAAACTCAATCACCTTTTCTATCGGCAGCACAGCGCCAGATTGACCATCTTCTCACCACCGTGCCACGGTGGTCTAACGGTGCCATCAGCCACCGCGAGGACTACGCCGAGCTCTGGGCAGATTTCATATACATGGTCCCTCCCGCGCTAGCGTATTGGGCCATCCAAACTGCAAACGAGACGCTGCTGCGCGTCGCTATCGAACAGTGTCTCCTATACCGTGATGTGCTCATAGTCCCTCAACCTGCCGACGCGGCAGGGCTCTGGCATCACATCATTGGACCTCAAAACAAGGACCTGGGAATCTGGAGCACGGGAAACGCGTGGGCTGCGGCGGGAATTGCACATGTTCTCGCAACGTTGATAAAATCACCGTGGGCTAGTGCGCTGGCGTCCAAACGTGAGAGCTTGACGGCTGCTATACGGAGTATACTGGACACGGCCATCACGCTCGACAACGCGGAGCCTAAGGAACCGCTACTACGGAACTATCTCAACGACACCACTTGGTTCGGCGAGCTGAGCGGCACAACATTGCTCGCGGCGACGACGTACCGCATGGCGGCTCTAGTTCCGGAGGCTTTTGGGGAGAGTTACGTGGCATGGGCAGATGAAAAGAGGGGTGAGGCGGTGAGAAGGATCAACGAGGATGGGTTGCTAAGTCCAGTGATCAACCCCCTGGATTGGAACGACAGGACGCCCGGGACGGCGAGTCCCGAAGCGCAGAGCTTCGCCGTGTTGATGTTTGCTGCATACCGGGATTCCCGGAACGCGTCATCAGATTAGAGAGGGCAGGTGTGAAACGTAAAAGATAAACACATTCTTTACATAGTAAATGATTGTCTGGTATCCTAGTGCTACTAGGTATTATTGGTAAAGCGGCCGCGGGACTACTACGCCGCTATGTGAGGGGAACTCTGAGCCAACTGCATATATGATATATGCAAATGCTGGCTTCTCTGACCCAACTGCACATACACCGCGACAGAAACCCGATCTTCTCGAAAGACATACGTATTTAAGAATGATTGGAGACATTGAATGTAAGACCTAGCCATGGGCTAATATCTTGGCGACCTATACCCTAACTCGGGTCATCCAGAGATCGTGTCTGTCTCTCTCTCTTCCATTGTTCGTCTGCACCTTCGCGCTGCAAGAGTCATCCGTTCTATCCCACCAAACCCTACTCTGTTCCCATCATTCACCGAAATGGCTGCCCCAGTCAAACCAGCGATTCTCGTAGTTTCTGGGGGTTGGCACATTCCCCAGAGCTATGCCAAGCTGAGGGAAGCTCTTGAAGAGGCCGGTTTCGAGGTTCACATCCCACCTCTCACTTCAGTCAAGCAGGATGAGCCGCTCATGGGCGATCAAGGCAATCGCGATCTGGACAGCGATACGGCTGCGATCCGCGCCAAGGCCGAAGAACTCATCAATAAAGATGAGCGAACTGTCGTCGCTCTTATGCATTCTTACGGCGGGCACGTCGGTTCGAATGCGTTGCACGGACTAGGTCTCAAAACCCTACCTGACGGGCGTCAGGTGGGGGTTTCGCACCTTGTGTATTTGACCGCATACGCAATGCCTCCAGGGGGGATTATGATGGACATGGTCAAGGATCAAGGAAACTTGGGTCTCGCTGCCGAACGATTCCCAATAGAAGCAGACGGTACCTGCATGTGTGCAGACCCGAAGGAGCTGCTCGTCACTCCCGGGCCGGAGGATGACATGAAGGAGATCGAGGAGTACATCCAGACTTTAAGACCATGGAACGCCGTGGTCATGACCCAAGAGACCAAGCACGCTGCATGGCAAGAGATCCCCGCAGCCTTCATTTACACCACGAAGGATATGATACTGCCCTCGACGTACCAGCAGACTTTCATGGCCACTTTGAAGACACGATGGCCGGAGATGAAGACATTCGAACTGGTCGCGGGTCACAGTCCTAATCTAACTGCTAGTAAGGGCGTCGCTGATGCGGTTAGAAAGATCATTTCGGGTTGAAATAAGGTTTAGATTATTGACATTTCTGACACTACATTTTGTAGTGATCAATAAAATCAAGACGCAGTAGTATAACGATAAAGAAATACTCATCCTCCTGCGATGTGAATTAATACAGCATGGTTAATCACCTTTTCGTAACGCAATCCAGAACAATACAACACTCAATGCCATGATTACCACCAGAATTGCGAATAGGACGGTCAAGTATGGGTTCCTCGACACTGACCCGAGTCCAGTCCCTAAAGCAGAAGCCACTGCTGCAGTTATCTCCTGCAAAGCCCTGACCATGGCTTTCGTGGGTGGCCGACCTGCCGCTTGATCGACCAATGACTACTACCATGTAACGTTAGACTTTATGGCGTAGGTGTGAAATGGTCAATGGCCATCTGGTACCTATTAAACTCGAGGACGGGGGCTTCGGAGATTTCTGTTAGCTGCATGGAACAAAACACCCTGCATCTGGAGTGCGTCTCCCAGGAGCGGCATAGCAGAGAATCCCGACTTTCTCCAAAGACCCCCTCCACTTCCTGACAGATCAGCTTCTTCCCACGTATTTCTCCAATTTTACCAGTTATTCTATAGCAAAATGGTGGCATACCCTACTACTGAAGGTGAAATCGCCGTCGATATCTCGGAAGCTGGAAAACCATGCAAGACGTGGTACAAGATTGTCGGGGATCTCAACGCGGCCAAGGAGTCGCCTGTCGTCGCACTACACGGCGGCCCGGGGTCGGGGCATGATTCCATGCTCGCGCTGACAGAGCTGTATGAGAAATGGGGTCTTCCCATCATTTTCTACGATCAAATAGGCTGCGGTCGCTCGACCCACCTTCGTGAGAAGACGGGCGACGAGGAGTTTTGGACATTTGACCTCTTCATCCGTGAGCTCGACAACCTCGTAGATCATCTCAACTTACGTGCCAAAGGCTTCCACATCATCGGCCAGAGCTTCGGCGGGATGTTGGCCGGTGCATACGCCTCCAGGCAACCTGTCGGGCTCAAGAAGATAGTCTTGTCCAGCGCGCCCGCTAGCATGCCTCTTTACAAAGAATCCTGCAAGAAGCGCCTAGCTGAACTTTCACCCAGCGTCCGTGAGATCCTCGAAAATACCGAGGCCGACCACGCTAGCCCGGGGTTCAAAAATGCCGCGGAGGTCTTCATGAAGACCTTTGTGATCCGTCTAGACCCAGTTCCCGACCCCGTTCAACGCGCATGGAAGAATATAAAAGAGAATCCTGCTGCCTATTCGACTATGTAAGTCCTCGAATCCCCCCCCCCTTTGAACGCGAGTATAGCAGGGCCTTACTCCTGCTTCTGTATAGGCAAGGTGACTCCGAGTTTGACACAGTCGGTACCATGAAGACCTGGGAAGGTTGGAAAGACGCAGATAAGATTCAGGCGGAGACGCTACTGTTAAACGGGGGGTATGATGAAGTCATGGACTTTGTTGTCGAACCATGGTTCAGAATGATTAAGAAAGCCAAGTGGGTGACGCTGCAGAAAGCAAGTCACACGCTGATGTGGGAGGACACGCCGCGATACATACAACTTTGCGGTGACTTCTTGTCTGAGAACCGGAGAGTCTAGAAGGCTGTCGGGACATGTTGAGGTTAATGGGGTGCGAGATTGTGGACAAATTCCAACATCGTCTGCTGTGAAAATCTGCTATGGGGTTCATTTTCAAGGTGATATTCGTGCTCATGCATTTGTAGGACTTTTAGTCATAGAGAGTTCCTCGCACGAAAAATTCCGGTTTTACGGTAATACTAATCTATTACGGCAGCCGTGTTTGTCCATGCCTCGAATTACCCTTTGACCGCTGGAGAAGTTCCCAGTCTCCTGCCAGAGGCGGGTGTCCCCCGAGTGAAGTTGGGTCGTAAGTAGGTAGCACCTGGGTAGTAGACAGGTCGAATATAGGGGTGAGGGCTCAATATTATTGATTCCTACCTTATCTCAGACAGTAGGGGGCCTCTCGCTTCCTTATATATTACCTGACTATTTGAACTATTTTCGCTCCTTCAGTCGCGCCTGAAGTCGCTGGAATTTGTTCCTCGGCTCTACTGCTCTTCTCAATCTTACCTTCACTTCTTCTTTTTATCATCGATCCCGTATTCTGTGTCTATATTAATTCGTAGCGTGATATTCCTTTCCGGAAACACGACCAAGAATGAATCACCGGCGATAGCAGTGGCAATGATCTGGAGGGATACATAGATAACAAGGCTACTGTTTGGGTTGAATACAATGAAAGTACCCGCTCCCAATGCCATTAAAGCAACACTAGCGAAATGTACAATTTTGTATCTGCCGAACTTAGATAAGACCGCACCACCCACCATGCTCCCAGGTATGATGATGATAGCAGTGGGAAGTAGAAGGACCCCCGACCTTTTCGGGTTTACAAGCTGAATGGCTTGCAAATACACAGGCAAGAAATAAAGTACTAGAGATACAGTAAAGAATGTATGAAGGTCAGATAGAAGGATACGGCTGAGGTTCGGGTTTGAAAAAGGCGTAGGGATGTCACGGGCTCAACACACTACGGTGAGGCTTCATATAACACGAAAGCGCCGACTCCAACGAATCCCAGGATGAGAGGCCGCAATACCCGCCAGTCAGACCAAACATAGCGAGTTCCGCCATATGATAGGGCCATGAAAATAGCGGCGAGAAATGCAATTAGAATAATGTTGCCGAAATAATCGATGCGACGAAGACGTTCGACGGCCGATGGGACGCGGTCATAGTTGAGATGGAGGAAACAAAGAAGTGGTCCCGAAAGAAGTAATCCCTAGCGCTACGAGAACGACCCAGAAGTGCCATCCCCGGCCACGGGGTTTCACCGGAACATCGCCAGAAGAGCCATGGATAATAGAAGGAGGAGAAGATATCTTGTCAGTGTCTGCTATGGCGTTACGTGATGCTTGCCTGTGTTCAGCTTAGCTGAACTACGCAACGGGCTATGCGGAATCCTAGTGAGACAACTCGAAAAGTGAATCGGCAGGAAAAGATTCCGTGGCGACTGGGACAATGCCAAAGCAAGAAGGTATGTTGGTAGACTGGCGGAGACAGTATGGGAGGGGGAAAGGGGCGTGAGGGGCCACGCATTGAATTGTTGGCTGCGAGAAATATAGGATGCGTCTAGCTGGGATTGGACCAAGGCCCGAAGGTTCCGTCGTTTCTATCATATAAAAGCAGTGTATGAGCGACATCTCCTACTCCTTCCCCTCAGGAAGTTCCTTCACAAACGCAACGAATCTTGCAACTCTGCTGAGAATATTGCCCATCGTCCATTCATCGATCTATCCTCTCCGGTTCTTACGCCTCGCCTATCATGGCTAAGCTTGAGCGTGTGCTGCGCATGTCAGGGATCTCTTACCGTAAAGAGGGTGTTTCTGAAGAGGAATTCCATCGCTTCTCTAGATCCCATGCCGTTGCATGCGCGAAGATCCATGAGAAACATGGCATTTTGAAATACCAGATGGTACGTGATCTTTTCTTCTCCTGCTCATGTAGTATTTTCTCACCTATGATGCACATAGGCCTACAGCTCTTCCAGTCTCCAAGCTTTGGGTCACAGCATGAGAACACCTTACCAGGTGAATAAGCACGACCTTGAGATAGAGTACTATTTCAAGGACGTCGCGACACTCCTTGCTATATCCAATGACGAAGAATTCAAAAACCTTCACGTCGAGGCCGAACCCTACTTTGACCAAGATAGATCCAAGGTCACCCTGACATGGATTGAAACCTATGTAGAAAATGGGAAAATCGTGAACATTAATTCAGAAGGGGAAAGCCTTTACGCCTCTGTCGCTAGTCTTGCCAAAGTTGAGGAATCAGAGAAGCCGGTTGGCAAGTATTATGGGAAATGATCTATGTAATTAGTCTCTCACATTATGCATGAATGCATGATCAAACTATTCTCAAGAAGCAACTCTTGACCTAGTGACTTGCGGGCACAAATGCGGGGGATAAAAATCGGGGAAATTCACCTATACCACCTCTGTAAATGGGGTCATAGCGCCGAGCTAACCTACGCAATAACGCAAGAAGCAAGAACCAAAAAAAAAAAAAAGGTCCTCGTCAACGATAATTATCTTCGTCCTGCTCTCCTTCCTTCCACTCCCCTGATTGTTGAAAGAAACACCGATTCATCAGCTTTTTTTTTTTTTTTTCTCAAAACCCTCATTCGTATCCACGATGCAACATCCACCCCCGCCCGAGCCAGCACAAACTACAGTGCTCTTCGAAGTGCCAGTAGAAGAGCTTCCAGAGCATCTACCAACGGCAGATGAGATTGAGAGCTCTCCAAAATTAGCTAACCGGCCCGCAACGTCTGTCACGCTTGTAAAGAAGCACTTCTTTGTGAAATATGGCTGTTATGTCCACCCAAGTGAAGCGCAAAACATGAAATTTGCACGGCAACACCTTGGCAATCTCGTGCCACGAGTCTTCGCTGTTTACCAAAGACACAGGTTGAATGAGCCTACTATTACATATATTATTATGGAATACTTTCATGGCCGTCGACTCGATCAGGCTTGGAATACTCTAGACGAGGCGAGAAGGCTAGAAGTCGTAAACGTTCTGCGCAACGCGCTTCAAATCATTCGCGCCATACCCCCACCTGATTATTTCGGCGGTCTAGGTATGACAAAACTCGAATCTGAGCTCTTTTGGACTAGAGAGCCAGATCCTCCAAGGCATGGGCCATTCAAGACGGAAGAGGAGCTGATTCGTGGCATTGTTCTTTGCTTCAGAGGACACGCCACCGACGTTGCGGAGCTTAAGGAGTTTTATGCTCAAAGAGCAGACTATTACTCCCGCGTTCTACCCCAAGTTCTCAGGGGAAGTGGCAAGCCGGTGTTCACACATAGCGACCTTCAGCGCAGAAACATCATGATCGGGTCTAAAGGCGAAGTGGCCATTGTTGATTGGGCTGCGTCAGGCTGGTACCCTACGTGGTGGGAGTATGCGGTGACAACAGAAGGTTGTGGTAACTGGAGAGATGACTGGCAACGTTATATTCCTAAATTCTTAGACGAATATCCCAATCAATACTCTTGGTTCCACACAATTCGGACTGATTTGTGGACTTAGAGGGGTATCATATTAGCTTAGCACCTAATTAAATGCCTGATCTTGATAAAAGCCTTGAATAATACTGTATTTTTATCAAATGGAAGACGACTAACTTCATGACCTTTGTATGTACCTAGTAGATCTTAATGAAATATTGCGATCATTTTAACTGATATAGATTCAGGTGTAATGTTGCTGCTGCGAGAGACGCTCAGCCTGCCTGCAAGACTGCTTCAATCTAGCAAGTGACCGCTTGCGTATTGAGTTGCCTAGGGATATTAATGTGTTGCCTTCTTGCTCCGTAATGCGCATGTCTGCCAGGAGTTGGTCCTGTAATCGAAGAGGAATAATAGTGCCCCTGGGGTGCATACATTTCACATATAATCCGTACCCACCTCGTGGACGCTTCGAAGGAGATTCTTCCCTCTTTCAGGCTTTAGTCTTGTTCGATACCTACTATGAGACTGAAGAGACTTTATGATATTGTACCCGACCGTTGAGATTCAACCTACCCGTGACACTTAGGGCACTATTAGGTTGACTAAGGGGGGTTACCATCAGTTTGTCGCATTACTCTACCATCACGGTCACCATTGTCTGGTGTTTTGACTCTCTCTTGTTATCTTGGAAAGACTGTATCAATCGCTCTGATATTATACTTTTCGTTTCGTCGCCTCAAGCCCAGTCGCTTTCTTTTTATCACTCGCAAATAAGTCACACGCACTCTTCGTTGCCGTGGTGACCACAGGGGGCGAATGCGAGGCGAACCCTTCTGCTTTAGATAGACTTGAACTTTCACATTGAATTTTAATGCTTTAGAAACCGTCTTTGTAAGTGACATGGCAGCATTGAAATCGTAACAGCAATACGATCATATACATAGCTATAACACTAGAATAGAAATCACAATCGTCCACTCAACTGGGAATAAGGGAGGCGAGAAAAAGTGATAGAGATGAAGGCAATAGAACTTACTTGGGATTAGCTTAGTCTTGTTGGTAGCGCAGCTGATTGATCTTCATTGACAGCATTGTAAACCATGACAAGTCTTGGCTGTCGGCGCCCTTAAGTAGATGGTCGCCAAGATGTGAGCATATGTACCTGTTGTTAATCATTCACGGAGCGTTCATCGTTGCCACAGCAAGTGCCCTTAAGATAGACCAAATTCTTCTACACTCAATTATACAGCTGTTGAGAAGACAAAGCATAGGGTATAGACCACCTTGCATTCGCCAAGCCTTGTATTCTGCATTCTAGTGGTTGCAATATTTTTAGCAGATCGTGTCGCAGCCATAATCTTCGGTGTATGAAACGCGAAACCATAGTTGACACAATGGGGTATTGCCAAGGTAGGATCAAAACTATTGAGAGCCGGCGGTGGCTTGGTGTTTCATGTTGCTGACAGATGGCCGATGAGGCGGAAACCGCTTCTATACCTCGATTTTACGCTGCTGGTGCTGCAATTCCCCAATCTCTACCTTATAATCCTATAGTATGGAACCCTGCGAAGTTTTGAAGGATCATTATACAATAGTAGGCTTTCAGACATGGCAGCAGCGACAACAGACAATGGAGGCACATCTATGTTCCCGTCGCTGACGACAACCTTCACGCCGCCACCGCAATGCACAAACTGGTTTATAGACGAGTGTTCCAGTACGAATTGCTATGTCAAGGCGTTTCCAACGGGGACAGGAATCTGCGGCACTGATGAGTCAGATTCCAAGACCTCATATGCTTGCTACCCGGAAGTGACCAAGTCGACGCGGCAATTTGCCAATGGCGAAGGGACCTACACATTAGAGGCAGACACATACTCGCCAGGCTTCTATTGCCCTCTTGGTATGACAACTGCATCAAGTGTGGCATTGCTTGATGGAGTTTTCTGTTGCCCTATGTAAGGCTTCCAGCCCACTCTTGGAAACACACTCTGCTAACGATGGGCTTTAAGTGGTATGGATTTCAGCGGAGGGCTTGATGGAGGTACTTGTGTCAGGAAACAGACAGAGGGAACGTTCATACTGTCTACCGACTGTACTCCGACGACCATCCCGACGCCAACAGGCAGTCTCACTACAACGATATTTATGTATGCGATGCCCGTATTTCTTGGAGGCCAAAAGCTTGTCAGCCCATCATTTCCTTCCACCAGTAATCCTTCATCAACAACGCCTATCCCCTCGAGTTCCAGTCCCGGTGATAACAGTGGCGGTTCAACAACTGCGCTCAAAATAGGATTAGGCGTTGCAATCCCCCTCGTGGTTATTTTGACGGGCGCTTTATCTGCTTTTTGGTTTATCAGGAGACATAGGAAGAAGGCTACATGGAAAGAGCAACAGTATCAGACCCTTACACCGGGGAGCAGTATATCCCATGATGCCACTGGAGTAGGAAAACCAGAACTTGCGGGTAGCACAGTTCAGGGGGCCCATGTGAGAGCGGAGTTAGATTCATCATATATGGCGGCGGAACTTGAAGCACGGTCAAGGTGAAATGATGCGAAATTATATGAGCCGATGACTCTTGGGCATGGTGTACTTGGGCGTTTGGTGTGCAGAAACAAAGATAGATAACACGATCGAAGATGCAAGGTGTCTGTTGTTAGCATGGGTGTTATTCGGCTCGGTTAAAATTTGAAGTGAGTGTCAGCTGTAAATCCAAGCTACCTAAGATGTATCTCATAATAGAATTGCAAGTAGAAGATTTTAATACATTGCCCCCCTAATCACCGTCCATTCCTTCGGGCGAAATATTTCAATTTGAGAGTAGAGCTAAGGAGCGCTCAAAATGGTCAGAGTCTTGTTTGACGCATAAATGTATTCTTTCTGTCTAATAAATTCGCCTTCAAGGTAACTCAATACCAATATTTGGGAGCGCGCGGCTTGCAAATAAACCACGCATCGTCCAAAGCCTTCACAGCTTCTTCAGTAAGAGGGCCCTTTTCAAGGTCGGTCAAGTTATTTTCTAGATTTTTAAGGCTCCCGGCACCCAGAATAATAGCATCAGACAGCTCATTCTTCAGTGCCGAATGATGAACGAGCCAGCGCAGTGCCATCTCAGCGACAGTCATCCCATACTTCTGCGCCACGGGCTTGATGACATCCATGGCATCGTAGTATCCTTCGTTCCAGAGATACTTGAGATGCATGTTGCTAATGGGCTGACCTCGCTCGTACCGTCCCGTGAGAAAACCGCTGGCAAGGGGCGAATACACATAGAACGAGATTCCGTAATGACGCAGACAAGGGAACAATTCATCCTCGACGCGGCGTTGTAGTGCGTGATAATGGCCTTCGTAGGCAGTAGGTTTGATCCAGCCATGATTGTCACAGATCTCGCACATCTGCGCCACCTCCCACGCCATATAGTTGCTGATTCCGAATCTGTTGAAGTAACCTTCTTGATGGAGCTCATTGACAGCGCGGAGTGTATCCTCGTATGGGTGCTTACGGTCCGGTCCGTGCAGGTAGAACATCTCAATCTTGTCTGCCTTGAGGGCTTTCAAGCTGTCAAGTAGCCCCTGACGCACATCCTCTGGCGAATGCGTGTAACCACGCTCCTTTCCCTGCAGCGCGTGTCCTGCTGATGGATATAACTTCGTGTCCACTATTGTTGGATTTACATTAGCAAGATGTTGTCATTTTCGTTTCGCAATATTTATACTCACTCTTAAGTCCGCGGTCTTGCCAGTTGAGATCGCCCAGAAGCGCCTCCGTTGTTCCCTCACCGTATGAACGGGCCGAGTCCAGTTCATTATGACCATGACGTTGGAATACTTCCAGTACTTGGCTGGCTTGTTCCACACTATTAATATGTGGTGACCCCCGAGTATCTGCATATCGAGTTAGCATGATGCATTATAAACACTGAACAAGCCCCCAATTTATATCCTACCGGCGGCCCCGAAAGACATAGTCCCGCAAACAACTTTGATCTTATTCTGTGACGACATGGTTACTTTATAACAATGTCAGAATAGTGTGGCGGTTTCAAGTAGTACTGAAGCTAAAATTCGATAGTTTAGAAAATAGTAGAAGTCTGAGTTTGGTTTGCTTCTCGACTAATCAGAAAATTCAAGTTTCAAACTTCCAGCTATATATCTACTCATTTTCTTCGTCATAACGGCCTTCTGTTAGTTTCCGAGAGTCCATACAATGGCAAACCTCCGTGGGGTCCAATGTGGTCTTGATGGAGGTTCAAAACGTCAAAACGACCAATCAGAGACGATCTTTTCCGAGTCGCCCAATCAAAGATCTTGGCACCCGCCCCCTGTACCAACGAGCAAGAGAATTCTCCGTAAGAGACAACCTCATATCTCATTGAGATTCTTCGGGTTCTATCTCTGCTTAAAGCCATCTTAGCATGCAGTTCACGGCGGGTATAAGCTTAAGCCCGAATAAACGATCACAAGATGGTAATGTCGAAACACAGAGCACATGCTTTCAGGGCCATTTAGGGCATCAGCATTGGCAGAACTTCGAGTGGTAGGCGTTACATAAAATCGGAATTCACAGAGATAAGGAACTACATAAGTCCGTTCAGGCAAGTAGGTTAGTCAAATATGACCCGAAAACATTGTATATTATATGAGAATGTAATAAGTCTAATCAGCTATGTAGGCTTCTCAAGTGCCTGCGAAAAGTCAGTAAGTGTAGATGCATTGATGAAATGTCAATAGGTGTGCTTACTATAGCATATTTACTCCTCCGGCGGATCCTCTCTCCAAACAAGACTAACGCCCAAGGGACCACGGTCAGCAGAGTGGCTATAGCACCCAAGAGTCCGCCCGCAGCGTCTTCTCCCAAGTTAGTGAATAGTGGTGTGGTCACCAGCGGGAACACACCGCCCAAGATATTACGACAAAACGACTGCGCCGCGATAGCCGACGACGCGTAAGTTTGGTAGATGTCGGCAAGGTAGTTGAAGGTGGCCAGGTAGATGTAGTAGATACCCGCTGAAGCAAGTCCAACGCCAATAGTGGGAACGATCCAGTGAGTTGAAGGCTCGGCGGAGAATCCGAACAAGAACAACCCGATGGGGAGTAATACGGCAGTGAAGCAAGTGAGATAGAGTCGGGACTCGGGAGATTCGGCGGGAAACCGGCGCCGAATGAACACCCAAGCGCCATGAGTGCTTGGCTCGATGCTCTCAACGTCGCTATCACTACCGCTACTGGAGCCGCGGTTCGATAATGGGTTTCGCCAATTGGGATGTTGTAGGAATTTGTCTTGGAAGATACCCAGGACGGCTCCTATGGTAGAACCGACGATTAGAGCAGCGAAAACATAGCCCGACTGCTGAGTATTGAAGTTATACTGGCGACGAAATACTAGTGGGATCGATCCAAATGTCAAGTACAGCACTGCCCACGCAAAAGAGACCCACAAAGAAAAGAAGAAAACGATCGGTTCAGTGAAAAGAAATTCAAAGGGCCGCGTTAGGGAGGTAGACACCATAGTCATGAGTGACCCCCGTGCTTCATCTCCCACTGTCGTCCATCGAATACGTCGCAGTTTCACTCCTTCAGGATGTACAGATCCCGATTGTTTCTCGCAGTCATTGGGATGTCGGATGGGAAGCTGGCCCGGCCGAAACACTGGAGACACACTGTCTGCAACCCAGACACCAACGATACCTAGTTCCTCCAATCTTTCATACCATTTATTCAACGCGTTTGCCTTCCTTGACAGAACAACCGAACCACGACTCTCCTTGAAAAGTAAAACAACAGCAAGACCCACGACGAAATCAAGAATGACCTGGTGCCAGAAAACCCACTTCCACACCTTGGTGTCAGGTCCACTCTGCTCAACGATTATAGAAGAGACCAAGGGCCCCAGGCCCGTGCCAATAAGCACAGACATGCTGAAGATAGCCATGGGGGCGTTCCGGTCCTTGTTCTCGTAAAGATCGGAAATAACTCCACCAACCATGGTTGAGAACACACTTCCACCGACGCCGGTGAAGAATCGCGCAATGAGCATGCCTGGAACATTCGTGACGAGACCGCATGCGGCTTGAAACACAGTGAACACCACACCGGCGATAGCGAAGATGGGATACCGTCCGTTAATCTCGGAGAAGGGGGCAAGAATCATAGGGGCGTAAGCAAAGCCTAGACAGAATGTTGTTACTCCCAGCAACCCCACCTCGCGAGTAGTATGCAGCTCAGCGATGATCAGGTTGATGGGCGGGGAATATGCGCCAGCGGCATATGCTGTGGCCAAGGTGCCTATACAAGCTACCGTTACCATCACGGTCTTGCGGGATCTGGGCCATCGCATGGGATCAATATAGCGGGAAAGATCTGGCGACTCTGGGATCACCGTGTCGGCTTTTGCGATTGGAAAGTTCGGGACTGGGAGATCGGTATCGAAGGTGAGATACATGTAATCGATCTGACTATTTTGATCTAGAGATGTGGTAGCTGGAGTGCTCGGCTCTACCGCCGCAGGGGACCGCGGCCAATAGAGAATCTCATCGTCCTCTTCCTCATCATATTCATTCAAATATGCTGCTTTAACTTCGTCCTCATACAGATTAGGATCGCCCTGGCGATTATGAGAAAATGTGTTGCCCATCTTTGGCTCGGCTACAGATATTTGATCTGAGGAACCTGGCTCCTGCGGAGCCTGTGCCTGCGGGTTGCCAAGACCTTTTGAGTCCATGGCGAAGTCAAAGGCTTTGAAACGTGGCGAAATATGATAAAGGTCCAATGCCACCACCACGTGCGAACAATGAACTCCAATTAAACTGAATAGAAAGAGAATAGAAACAGACGAAGCAATACAGCTCCATCAGTGAGCGAAGAAGTCAGAGGTTGTAGGTAGACATTCTCACCAACGAAGCTGATCAGCGGTCGGAGTTACCAGTTTATTTTTTCGACAGAGCGAATGAGACCCGCTCAGACCCGGAAATACAAATAGCATAGATAAGTAAAGTAGGGCAACTCAGATGGGTTTTGGGGACAAAGTCCAGTTTAGCTAGCTAGACAAAGGCCTCGTGGTGGGCACGGCGGCGCAGACCCGAGTCTTGGCTTCTCCGATTTCATCATCGACGTGAGTTATCTCGCGGTTAGCTACCTCCGAGCAGCCACAGGCCATCACCATCAGCTTAAGTAGCTGAGACGGACACCACGCAGGCACTTTGCATTCGTTCAACTTGCACCACTAAGATCGCACAACACAAATGGCTGGCGGGAGGAGCCCACGTCGGTCATGTGTGCGTCTGAACTGACAGAACATGTGGGTTCGTGCCGTAGTGCCGTGCGCATTTGCCGATTATCGCAAGCCCCGTCGAGTCAATGGACTCGAAGCTCCGAGCGCGCCTCTCTTTTCAGGTGCAATCTAGTATGGCGAATCATCATGGCCGCCGTAGCTACTAGCGAGAGTTCATCAACAAAAGTCCAACTGAACGTGTAACACTCCCAACTGCTCGGTAGGTTATTGATCAAACAGGTCGCTATCACACGGAATGCCACACACCAAGGTTATGTTATCCAGATCGTTGGGCCTCGGGGATCTGGCATTTGATTCGCCACTGGTGCCTCACACCCATCGCTTTCTTCACCATCGTTGCGTCGTGTGCATACTGCGTAAGCGTGAATAGCTAACCACGACGAGCCGGGATTTGATGAACGGAGGGCTACAGAATTTGAGGAGAGAATCCCTGCGTAGCTAGGTTCGTCAACTCAGGGGCAGGGATCTGACTGCAGCTAGAGTACCTCGCGTCACTCCGCTGCTTATTCCCGGGCTAGCGGCTTGCTTAGCTTTGGCGGCCCGCGTGTCTATCTAGGTAGTTCTGTCTACATAGTAAGGTAGAGAGCTCCATATACACATACCGGTATAAGGATTTTTTTTTTCTGTTCGAGCGAACATCGGTGATAAAGAGCGGGTGTTTCAACTCCGTCTAGTGGTGATAATGCTCCCGTTCCATTATTCGGACGTAGCATCGTTTGTCTGTTGTGGTTTTAGTATGGTTGTTTGCCTTGTGCTCATGTACTTCGTAGGTAAGTAAAGCCAAGTCAAAGGGGTTTGAAGACATATATGCACAAGGCAGGTACTAATCCACCTACGACACCTTGTCGATCTCGGTTATCTGCACTTGATCGCACATACCGCAGGCCGCAGGAGGGCTTGCAGTCAGATCAGGTGGTTTCAACTAGTTTTGGAGAGGAACGCTTGGAGATGCAAGTGTTGTCGCCATTTATTACTCGTAGTCACGGGCCCTCGCATCATGTATGTACGCACCCAGCAATGGAAACCAATAGGATAGACCAGAGGCAATTTTTGCTCAAAGGCGAAGCCATGTCACGACTATTTTGGTTGAGTAAGTATGCTACAGGCTGGGAGGGGAGATGGTGAGAACGTAGGAAGTAAGGAAATATACAGTATGCTAGCGCGCCAATCCATAGTCCCGTCTTGTATAATGGTTTCGGGGGATATGAAAGAGAGCAAGAATCACTGAGAATGTGGCAAGCCGGCGACCCATGCAGGCCCCTATTATACTACCCCAATTCTAGGTTGATTCCTCACACCTGTTGATGCAGGGATTTGCTACTGACCAAACAGCTTCATCATGGTCCCAGCCAGGGTGAAAAAGAGGCGATACATCCAGTAGCCCAGTCCTGTCGCATGTCCTACTTTAATGCGCCAGTGAGAGCTTTTGAGTGTTGAAATCGCTCGAGGGAGGCTTCGCTTGTCGTACGCCATTACAGCTTGGGTCAGGTTATCGGACTGGCAGAGTTGCTCAGCCAAGTCCCATCCATCTTTCAGTGCCAAGTTGGCACCATTCCCGGCAAATGGGCTCACGGCGTGATTTGAATCACCAATGAAAACCACTGAGCCTGCTTTCAAGTTGTGAGGAAATGGCTGTTTGTCCCTTGCATTTAATACCAGTGTCGTCGACGGGTCGGTTGCATCAACGATGGTCTTGAATGGCTCCCTTATGTCCTTTCCCAGCTCTCTCGCCTGGCGAAAGAACTCTTGAACCTGTTCCGCATCACTATTATCGTACCTCGGTCTCGGTGCCGATTCGAGAATGCTCAGCGCCCACACAAGTGTGTACTGATCTACACGTGAGAAGAAGCAAGCGGCGCCTGTGCCCGTGAGAACGCCACCCCAGTTCGTATCGAGCGGAGAGGGCAGTGAGCCTTCAAATTTGGCGCTCCCTGCGAATTGCACTGCTCCAGCGAATTCCAGGTTGTCGTCTGGTCGTAGGCAGGCTCTAACCTTGCTAGAAGCCCCATCCGCAGCCACAAGAATATCGCACTCCTCAGCCGTCTCGGTCGACCCTTCTTTTACTAGCTGGATTCGCAGTCGTCCGTCATCAGAATTTTGAACGGAAGTGCATGTGGTACCCCATTGAATCTTGGTCCTCGCAGACGCTGCTTCGACAAGTACACGGCGCAGATCTTTCCGAGCTATGCGCATACCAGATGTCGGCAGACCCTCAATCACCTTGGGTCGCACGGTGATCATCGGCTGAAAGTCGTGCGTCCACATTGTGAAGTGCCCTTTCCCTTCACCCTGGTCTTCTACACGGAAGACTGCTAGCTGGATGATCTCATCGAGCAGACCAAGCTGTTTCAAAGCATACAGCCCACTATCGCGGTCAAGCCCATTTAAGGAGAGTGAGTAGCCTCCTCGGCCCGCAGTTGGCTGTTCAGCATCACGGTCATAGACAATAACGACTGGGGGCTCGACAGATGGTGGCCACAGTTTCTGAAGGGCGATGACGAATGCAAGACCGGAAACTCCAGCACCAGCCACAATGATCTTTTTTCCTGAAAGAAAATGTGCTTGGCTTTCGTGTCCGTGCATCACGCCCTGATAGATATTATATGATAACTAGCTTTAGCTGGAATTATAGATGGTAACGATTGAAGCAGAGAAACACAATGGGATAGTGAAGATGGCGGTCAAGTTGGCCACCGATATTAGGAGTATATATAGAGCAATCTGATTAGCCCGAAAAATGTACGCTGGCGATTTCATCTGAGATCTGGGCCATCGAATTTGTGGTTATCAAGCACATTTGTCTTGACTGTCTCTAGAAAAATTGCAGCTTCAATCTCCGCATATCTTAATTCAACCAAACACCGGTGATGCATCGCTGCTGCCTATTAGTTAATCGAGCAGCGTAAGCATGGTGAATGAAGCAGATAATGTTCCAAGGTTGTTCAGCCTCACTGTACCCTGCACTATTAGGCAGGTCATATAGAGCAGCTCAGTGTTTTAATTGGTTGGATTGGCCTCATCTGCAAGCATTACGTGATGACCTCGGCAAAGAAATCTGTCCGAGCCCCGGAAACGAAATACGAGAAGCACAGATGCTGTGTTGTAAATGTTCGACCAAAACAATCTCAATTCCTAATCAAGAAATCCTGCAGAAATCATTTACCTCCCATTCGCAATTCAATACTAATTGAGGATTATATAAATCATGAGTCTTTTGGAACAGTAATTGGAGAGGCAGGTAATGACGCTCATGTGCATGAAATCCTCACCCAACCCGCTCTAATTACATCCATAGATCCCGTGCACTGATAATACCTAGCATTGATAGTTATCTAGATAAGATAACTGTGAGTTTTGAGGAAGTCGCCTCGATCAAGAGCTCGGTCACCGGAGTCAATCCAATCATAACACAATGTCCAGACATTATACAAGTAGTTTCCCATGTCCGACAACTGAGTGTAGTAAAGACTTGATATCTGCCTTGATCAATCTACCATAATTTGCTTTTTCTTCCAAAGCAATGAGATGCTAATAAGCGAGGCAACAGCAAATCCGAGGACAATGCGGAACTGAACATCGAAGCTGCTAACGAAATCCTTTCTCACCATGATCTCGAGCTGCGGCGATAACTTGTCGATGCTTGCTGACGACCTAAAGACTTCTTGAATCTCCTGAGGGGTCAAAATGCCAAGAAGTTTCGCTTTCGCTAGGCTATTGCCGACTGCGGTGGTGATGGAAACTACGACTGCGCTGCCTAGGAACCTGAACTGAGTGCCGGCGGCGGTAGCGACAGCTAAGTATTGTTAGTTAATGTGCTTTTAACTGTATTTATTACAGGAGATAATTACCCAGGTCTTTGTGTTCGACGACATAAGGAGTCATTAGGGTGACGACACCGATGTTGAAGCCAGCGCCTAGCCCGATTATCACCTGAAGTCCATAAACCCCAGTATTACTTGTTTCAATAGAGGGCAGAGCAGCGAGCCCAGCGATCTGGAGAATGATGCCACATAGCGCAACATACACGGGAGCGAGCCGACGGCCCTTGACTAGTGCTCCTGTCAAAGCAGCGCCGGTGGACGTAAGTAACACGAACGGGAGCAGTTTAACTCCAGCCTCAAGAGGTCCTACCCCTAAAGTAGTTTGGTAGCGAAGTGGCAGCAAAATAATTAATGTAATGCTGATTGTTCCCGTGAAGAAGGAGTTTCTGATCGGATTAGTTGTAGTTCAAAGGCAGTAGAAAAGAGATCCAGAATGGTCCAACTAACAGGATAATGCCCATAACCAGCCGGCTTTTGCAGAACCTCCAAGGGAACACCGACTGAATAGAGCTTCCGGAGTGCGAATACCACCACTGGCAGATAAAGAATGCGCCCCAGGCGAAAGCGGACACGATTATAGGTGCAAGAACAGTACCGGAGATCCATGTTAGAGTAGATGCAGCCTCGTTGAGTCCGGTGATCAGAAGTGCCAGGGCCAACAACATAAGGAAACCGCCGGCGAAGTCGATGCTGGATAGCTTCGGCTTGGATCTTGATTTCTCTGTATATAATCCCTGATAGGGGTAGTCATTAGGCACGGCAAAAAGCACGCAGAGTATAGCGGCAGCGCCGACGGGGACATTAAGAAGGAAAACCCATCTCCAGGTCGAGCGCTGAGTGATCAGTCCGCCGAATATAGGGCCAAGCGCGTTACCTAGAACCGCCAAAGCCACCGAAGTCACTAATAGAAGAGGGTACTTGCTCTTTGGGACAAGCTCAAAGAGCATGACGAAGGCGACGGCGTAGAGACCCCCTCCACCGACGCCTTGAAACGCCCGGAAGACGATACTAGAAGTAATTCAGCATTAGCTATACTGAAATGATCCTAAAGACGAGTTGACGTACAGCTGAACAATCGTCTGGGAACCACCACAGCCCCCCGAGAATGCAGTGAATATCAATAGTGCCACGAGGTAGGTTCGCTTGCGTCCGAAGATGTCGCTGAGCTTAGCTACGATGACGAGACCGGCTGCTTACAAGTCAGCTCTAACATCACAGATACAATGGTGATATTGATACGGCGGTGATGTACCTGTATAGGTGATCAAGTATGCTGTGACGACCCAGCTCGTCTTGCTAAAATCATTGAGGTCATTCGAGATAGACACAAGTGCGGTGCTCACAATAGTGATCTCAAAGTTCACGAGGAACAGAGCAAGCTGCAGCCTGGTCATCGAGTCAGCAAATGTGATATGATATAAGCCGATGGGGATAGCAGTAGACTTACACTGCTGCGACTACGTAAAAACGCCAACCTGTGAGAAAGTTGAAGTGATCTGTCTGTGTGTTCTCCTCATCAACTACCTCCTCACTGGGGAGGGGTATGTCGTCTTTCCGTGCGCCGAGATCATACTCCTGGGTCGAGTTGTCGGTCGGATGCATAGTCACACTTTTCGTGAGCTTGGCGCCCTGTTCACTGTTAGACGTCGCATATTTGACTGATGGGAACTGGAAAGCGAACTAAGATTCTTTTGAGTAATGAAGTCTTCGAAGGGTTCAGGCTTATGGTGATCAGTTATGAAAATCCGACCCTACTGAGGCTCTAGCAACGCGTACTCCTGAACAGTCGCCAAGAGTCAAAATTTGATACACTGGAACTCGTTGAATGCAGTACTTTTTCAGTCATGTGAATTGAGCGGCCAGCGTGCGGGAAAGCTGGAACGAGGGGCCACCAATCCTATGACATGAGTGACAGCACAGGATGTCCGTCGCGTGGCAATGCACTAGGTATCACCGTCTAACACTCTTCGTTTAGGGTGTCTTTAGGGGGCGAAGCAGCATATGTTCTTAGGGGAGTATACTTACGTGGGTCAGGAGAGGTTCTAAAAGGTGTAAGTCGATATACAAGTAGAGAACCGCTCTCCCTCTTCATTTCAGGACCAAGAGTGTCTCGGATCTCTGCTCTGCCACCTACTTTGTAACCGGTGGGTAGCCTCCGAGGAGTACAGTACGGCCGAGGCCACAAATCAGGAGCGAGAGGGGAGATGATGTGTAACATTGCACATAGTACTTGTCCCGCAGCCATTGGCTCACAAGCTTTCGTTGGTTCTTTATGCCAGGTTTCTGCGTCAACGCTAATTACTGCTTGTAGTTGGCTATTATATGCAGCTGGCTGGAAGTCGGAGCGACAAACACGCCTCTGTAGCAAACAAATCCGCTGTGGGGTCTGATGTCAAAGAGTACACCTCCTCCGAGTTCCTCACAGCTAGGCGATACGAGAAATTGATGGTAAAGATCTAAAGCTAAACTAGTTGATAAATGATCCACGTGGATGTCTTGATATGTTTAATTATGATTTCGTACATCATATTCATGATCTACAGCAGCGGCTCCTGAGGCCTTAGCAGCCCATGAATACTGAAATTGCTCGTCCGAATCTCCCGCTCCTGCAGCCGGCTTATTCTGCACCGTGTCCACAACGATGTCGGTGGTGACGAAGATGCCGTATTGTCGGTCAGTTGGCCGCGGGGACCCATACACACGCATGCGGATACTCCCGGTCTCGTCAGTCTCCCGATCATCGCGCGACACAGACCGAGAGCGCCGCTCTTCGCGATTTTGTGACATGGTGCTGCTCCAGCTGGTTCTACCCGCAAAGGACAAGCTCGATGCCAGCAGTTCCGAGAACCATGCATCCAGCTTCAGGTCTTGGCAGAACCTGGGCACAACTGGCGCACAGAAAATAAGGATTCCACACGTCATCTCAGCTATCGCCCACAGGACTACACCGGAGTAATAATACGTCATGTCTGATGACATTTTCCAGGCCAAAATGGCGAAAATCAGAAAGAGTGAGGCTATCGTTGCGCTGTAAGACGTGATATTAGCAGGATATAATAAGATTCTTAAGAGTGTGGGCTCAATCACAGTATGCCAATTGTGAAAACGGTAGAAATGCCAATTTTCTTTACATAAGACAGCTTCAGTTTCCATATGATGCGTTGCGGGAGCAGTAGGATGGCGATGTTGAGTATCAGGTTAATAAATGCCGCAACGAGGTGGATTGTTCTAAGATCGATACACGACCCTGAAATTGTCTTATTCCAGATTCGTTCATAAGGATGGCAGTTTAGGTTGAGGGCTATAAGAATTCCAGCGTAAGAGAGTACGTTGACCGCCAGCAAGATTAAACAGCTTATCGTGAACACTGTCCGCGCTCGAGTTGGGGCAAAGAGGCGATGCCACTCAATCAAAATTGATGCCTTTACCAGGCAAATCCCAACTACCCAGAACTCATCTCCAACCAAGATAATCTAAGGATGAATGAGTCGGTGAGCAGCCCAAACTTTAGTTGGAGTCAAGATGCGGAGAGCGAAGACGAACTTTTAGATATGGCTCAATATCTCTACCTAGAACATTCCATTGATGAATGAAAAGGCCAGGTGTGAGTCTATAAAATGAACCGGAGCACAACACAACGAGACAGACCTATTTAGTCAAGGATGTGATTTACAGTTCCGTCAGGACTTCTAGTTGGTATATTTACATATCCTAAAGGCATAAGATCTAGAAGCAGTTAACATCAAAGAATTTTCTGCATTTGACTCTAAGCAGGAGAGGAACACATACAATCTCCCAGATGTGGCTGCTTTAACTTGATAAATACCACATATATTCGCAGTGTAAAAAACATCGTAGCCAGAGTCAACGTTGTGATTAGCCCTGCAAGTGCTGCGGCATTATCATTTTCTGGGTTGGTAAAGTTCGGAACCACACCAGGGGGAGGAGGTATGGATGATGTTGCTAGAGCCGTTTCTAGCTGTTCAGTAGATAGGTGGGAGAAGTCGAGATCTGACATTGCACAATATAGGCAACTGCTGACACTGCTGGTCACGATAGGTGAAAGATGGAGGTGAATTTGGTTCAAGTTGGTTCATGAAAAGTGTCGAGCTTGCGGCCTCATGGGAATCATTAGCATAACAAAAGCAAAAGCATCCAGAACGATCAAATAGTATATAATCCAAGGGTTGACGTAAGTACGCTCTATTCTACGGTCAGTCGGCGCTTAGATATTGCCTTGAAACCCCATACTCTTCAGTATCGTTGGTAGGCAATAACATGGTCGTCAACCAGTGATAGTAACAGCGAGACCAGTCTGCGGCACATGCAGGCTCTCCCTTGAGAGTATATCGATAGGTTGATACCTAGGTCCCTGGCGGTGATAGCGAATGACATAATAAGAATACATTAGTCTGCGACTCATTCTACATTACCATCCTGACGAATTCAAGCCTGGCTTGGAACAAATGACAGCTTCCTGTCCTAGAGACCAAAATGTACACCAGCGAGGACTCCCTCTGTACGAACAGCATCCATAGGGGTAACTGTAGTTATGGCAAGTTTTGTTTCACGAAGGTCTCGAGGAAGCTTCGTATCAAGGCTAGGGTTGTACACAAAAGGTTCTTTATTGTAGCCCCAAGACTGTGGTACCAAAGCATGGGATGACCATTTCGGTAAGGGATGATTAACCTTACTTAGACATGTACAAAGACTGGTCAGGTGTAAGCGTCGGGCCACAACAGCGCCGATCATATTTTTGGAGCCAACGCCCATATCAAACGGACTTGAGTTGAGGCTTAACAAGCTGTGAGGGTTGTTGTAGACGCATGCGCATTGAGCGATACAGGACCTCATATAGTTTCGACTCACGACGCCCCAAGTCTATTCCTATAAGTTGATGTGGTGGGCAGTTCTTGGTAACTTGAGATATCCCCCAGACCCAGTCTCTTGGATATGAGTTTATTTCTGCACGATCGTGAGCACACATCGGGCCTACAATAGGGTTTCAAGACCGCAGCACCACTCCGGTTATGGACATTGGTGGATGTTGGGCGTGTTGTAGACGGTACAGTTACGTTGACATGTTTTTCTGTTTCAGGTGCATAATTAGCGTATTTCACCTTCACGTGGCTGAGTCTCGCATGCATGGTCGCGCAAAAAACACGAGGACTCCTCCAATAGACAGTTCGATCAGGAAGAAAAGACACATTGTATTGGTGGTGAGTGTATCCCTGGCCCCTCAGCATGTTTGCCTCGATCTTCAGTCCACGGTACATTAATTCGTCCGCTTTGTACCTCTCCCGATGCAAGGCATCTTACCCCCCTTATAATCAGATATCGTCTAGCCAGGGTATGAGGCTCCCTTCATAGTTACACAGTAAGCTGATTGTACTCCTTAGGAGTCTATCCCTATAGACTTTCTAGTCTCCTCCCCCAGACCATACAATCTATGCCCGACCACCACTACACCTCAGTCTTCTATCATTCTCAAAGCGACTGGCCGACGATCCTCTTCAAGGTTTATCACATTTTCTCTGTGCCACCTAGTCAAAAATGACTTTATTTGGCACCGACGCCAAGAAACCCCCTGCAAACTTGGGTACAACCGGTGTAGGCGGTAATATGCCTCAATCTACCAATGGTTCTCAATTCGACGGCACAGGAGGCGAGTGTGAGAAAGAGAGCTCCCCCTTGATTAGCGGTTCTGTTCCAATAGCAATTTGCGGCATGTCCTGTCGTTTGCCGGGAGGACTGACGACGCCTCAACAGCTCTGGGATTTCATTGTAGACAGAGGTGATGCTCGCACCAGGGTTCCCGAAAGCAGATACAATGCCGACGCCTTCTACTCGCCTACGGCCAAGCCGGGCGCAGTAGTCACTAAATATGGGTATTTTTTGGATGAGAGTGTCGACTTAGGGGCCCTCGATACGTCATTCTTCTCAATGCAGCGAGCTGATCTCGAGGCCACAGACCCCCAGGAACGCCTCAGTGAGTTGACCGCAGCCTGTTTCAGCAGTTTCGCATCCATTACAATTGTCTCATATTGAATGAGGGCCTCATTGTCCGGTCTCATCTGCCCATTTATGACTAATCACCACATCCATAGTGTTGGAGCTCACCAGAGAATGTATCGAAGATGCCGGCGTGACCAACTGGCACGGGAGGAACATAGGATGTTACATTGGGAATTTTGGCGAAGACTGGCTAGAAATCTCAAATCAGGAGCCGCAACGACGTGGCGGATACAAGACGGCTGACTTTATGATTTCGAATCGTATATCCTATGAAATGGGTTGGCGGGGACCAAGGTATTATTATCCCCTAATTCATGAGTACCGCTTAGTTAACATTGTGCTGAATTCCGCAGTATGACTGTGCGCACAGCATGCTCAGCAGCCTTAGTGGGACTTAATGAAGCATGTCTGGCTCTCGCGCGCGGCGACTGTGAGGCAGCGCTCGTTGGGGGTTCTAATCTTATTATGACCCCGAGCTTGGCCAGTCTTCTCTCGAACCAGGGGGTTTTATCGAAAGATGGCTCCTGCAAGACCTTCTCGGCCGAGGCTGATGGCTATGGGCGGGGCGAGGCGCTGGTTGCAGTGTATATCAAGCCATTGCGAAGTGCGCTACGAGACGGTAATCCAATCCGCGCAGTCATTAGGGCAACAGGAACGAATCACGATGGCAAAACTCAAGGAATTTTTCAACCTAGCGCAGACGCACAGGAGGCTCTTATTAGGCAAACATACCAATCTGCTGCCATCTCGGATTTTGGAGAAACGGCAATGATCGAGTGTCACGGAACTGGTACGCCTACAGGTGACCCAATCGAGACAAAGGCTATCGCTCGCGTTTTCGGCCAGGCAGGCGTATACATCGGCTCTGTCAAGCCCAACGTCGGACATTCAGAGGGTGCCTCGGGCCTCACGTCTTTAATCAAGATGGTCCTTGCTCTGGAGCATCGGATAATTCCTCCAAATATAAAGTTCAAGACACCGAATCCGGCCATCCCCTTCGACGAGGGGAATTTAGTCGTCCCAACAGATCCCATCGCCTGGCCGCAAGACCGGCTCGAGCGTGTTAGCATCAACTGTTTCGGAGCAGGGGGTACAAATGCTCATGTAAGCCAACCTCCTATACCGTACTGCTCATGAATGAGATGGATTGACAATGCGTTAGGTAATCCTCGAGTCCGCTCGCGGTTTCCTGGGCCAAGAAGTGCCGTCGCCAGTCACATCACCACAGTTGCTCTTATACTCTGCTACCACTTCTAAGTCTCTCGCCAGGCTGAGTAGCCAGTACCAGGAATGGCTCAGTGTCAACTACCCCAAAGTCGGAGAGTTGGCTTCCACATTAGCTCACAGAAGGACACATCTCCCGCTGCGAACCTTCGCTGTCGCATACGACGGCATTGTGGAACAGTCCCAGCAGAACAGCCTTAAGTCATCTCCGAACCATAAAGTCGTGATGGTCTTCACTGGCCAAGGCGCACAATGGCCAGGGATGGGAAGAGAACTACTCCAGTCCGAAGGGGTCTTCCGGAATACGATCCGTTCACTAGATCAACACCTGAAGCAGGTCACGGGAAGTTCAGTCTCGTACTCACTTGAAGGAGAGCTACTCAAAGGACCAGATGAAAGCCGCTTGCGCTTGGCATCCATATCGCAGCCCGTTTGTACTGCGGTACAAATCGCTCTAATCGATACATTCAGATCTCTCGATGTCAACCCTTGCGCTGTTATTGGTCATTCTAGCGGCGAAATAGCGGCAGCATATGCAGCTGGGGCCCTTGATGCCTCTGAGGCTATCGCCATTGCACACTACCGTGGGGTTGTCGCTGAGTCTCAAAAGAAGAAAGGCTCTATGGCGGCAATCGGACTAGATCCCGAACTAGCTAATGCATACCTCCGCTCAGGAGTGTGTATCGCATGCCATAATTCCCCTGATAATGTCACAATCTCTGGCGATGCATCGGCAATCAATGATATTGTAACCGATATCCAATCTACAGCTAAAGACGTCTTGATAAAGATGCTACCCGTTGATAAGGCATACCACTCTCCGCACATGGCGGAAGTTGGTAAGGAGTACCACTCAATGATTGAGAAGATTCGCCCGCGCAAACCTCGTGTGCCGTTCTTCTCAAGTGTGACAGGGGACATCATAGGAGATGACCAACAATTGAATGCTCGGTATTGGCAAGACAACCTAGAAAACCCGGTGTTGTTTCGGGAAGCAATCGGCTCGATACTGCAAAAACATGACGGGCAAGATATCATCTTTCTTGAAATTGGCTCGCATTCCGCGTTGAGGGGTCCCCTTGTCCAAATCTGCAAAGCTCGCTCTGCAATATCATATCAGTACATTGCCTCCATGAGAAAAAATTGGAATACGGCCATCACATTCCTTAATGCAATAGGAACTCTGTTTAGCCTAGGAGTCCAAATGAAGTTGGATTCGATGATACCTCGCCGTCGCTGTTTGCCCGACCTGCCGCGATACCCATGGAACCACGAGGAGAGTTACTGGACAGAGCCGCGCGTCAGCAGGGACTGGCGGCTTAGAAAGCACAATTACCATAATCTCTTAGGTGTCAGAATACCCCAGAATACAGATCTTGAGCCAGCCTGGCGCAATCTTCTTCACATCGAAAATGTGCCTTGGATGCGAGACCACAAAGTCGGTGACAACATTGTTCTCCCTTTTACCGGGTTTCTCTCAATTGCTGGCGAGGCGATTCGACAGATTAGTGGTGAAGAGCGAGGCTACAGCATACGCGATATCAGCGTCGACATAGCATTGGTCGTGATTGAGGGATCAGCGACAGAAGTGGTCACAACTCTTCGCCCACACTATCTCTCAAAGTCACAAGAGAGTGGCTGGTGGGATTTCACAATCGCGTCGTTCAATAACCACGTCTGGACTAGGCATTGTAAGGGTCAAGTAACGCCATTGGCAACGGCTTTGCCTCGGAACCAATCTCCAAACGATACGCTCCCCAAAAAGGTTGATGCCCACAGCTTGTATAGAGGTATGCAAAGGGTTGGTGTTAACCTCGGACCAAGCTTCCAAACTCTGCAAAACATGGAGGTATCTACTGAATCAGATTCTGTAGCAAGGGGGAATGCTGCTTGTCAAGGAGTAGAAGACGAAGCAGATTACCATGTCCATCCTACGAAACTCGATGTTATCTTCCAGTTGCCGATTGTTGCTGCAGTTAACGGGCGCATTAGGCTCCTGAAGAATTGGATTCCAGTCAGCGTCGAGCGGCTGAGTGTTCTTCGGTGCAAGTCGGCCATTGTAGGCAATCTATCTTCCAGGATGACTAGTAACGGGTCGCTCTGTGCAGAAGGCTACTGCGTCTCATCTGATGGAACTACTGTCGTCGAGGTATCAGGGGTTAGGCTCTCCCGCGCAGACGGTAGCACGTCTAGTGACATCCAAGACACGCACGGCGCAGCCCGTCTAGAATGGGCGCCCAGTTTGGATTACTTGTCAAAGCAGGATTTGATGCGCTCAATTGAGGGACAAGAGAGGCTATGTCCTTTGATCCTTCTGCAGCATCTGAGTCATGTCAATCCCAACCTCCAAATCCTAGAGTTGGGGGTGGGAAACAGATCCCTATTAGACGATATTGAAGATTACCTCACTAGTTCCAAAAATCGCATCTCGTTCTCCAAATTTACCTCAACGTTATCACACACAAGAAGCAGAAATACTTCGAACTCCGAAACACATGAAATTGAACACACGACATTCGATATAAAGGGAGACTTGAACTCCCAAGGTTTTGAGGCGCGCGAGTTCGACTTTATCATGATTCGAAATGGATCGATCTCATTTGATCATACAAGGGCTGTACTTCAAAACCTCAAGAAGATTATCAGTCCAGGTGGGCGAATTTTCATCGAAGAAGCCCCAGAAGAGTGGAAAGTTTCTCTCGAGCGTTCCGCTTCACGTCAGAACGGGTACTATACTGACGAAAATGTGCCCTCGGAATGCCTGAGGGCGAGGTTCTCCTGTGGATCTGATATCATAATCGGCCCAACTGACATCCAGCACTTGACTGGCACGGCGGATATGCACCAAGATACGCCCTCATACGCTAAACAGGTCACATTCCTTCGTGCTAACTCAAGTGCTGCACCGACGACATTGATGAAGCAATTCCAAAGCGAAGGTTATGCAGTTAGCAGCTGCACTTTATCAGATCGACCCCTACTAGGACAAGACGTTATCTCGCTTCTCGATGAAGAAAAGCCATTCTTCGAGGGGATAGAAAAGGAACAGTATGATTCTTTGAACACGTTTCTCCAGATCCTGCAAGATAACGGCCTTTTCTGGATAACGCAACACTCGCAGATGGGTTGTTCTGATCCCAGATATAGCCCAGTAATCGGCCTAGCACGCACCCTGCGCTCAGAGATGCAACTAGACTTCGCAACCTGTGAGGTTGACAGTTTTGAGTCTGAACCGGGGCTGCTCGTTCGGATCTATGAGCAGTATCGAGAACGTTGTCGATCCGATTCCATGAAACCGGATTTTGAGTATGCAATCAAAGACGGGGTAGTTCACATTGGTAGGTATCATCCATTCAGGCTTAAAGATCAAATGGTGATCTCCAACCTCAATGATCGCGTTGCCCTCAATTTCGACATCCCAGGACGTCTGAACACCCTAAGGTGGGCGAAGGTACCTCGCGAGAGACTTGGTCCCGCCGACGTAGAAATAGAGGTTCATGCTACTGGACTAAATTTCAAGGTCGGTCTCGACCACTGTAATGAGCGTTCTGATGCTAATGTGAGATAGGATGTTGCCGTTGCGATGGGATTATTTGAATTGCCAACTCGCCAACTTGGTCTAGAGGCAGCTGGCATAGTCACGCGGGTCGGCGAAGACGTCGAGACGGTGAAAGTTGGCGATCGAATTTGCTGTGCGCATCCACATTCATTTTCCTCGGTGATCGTCTCTCCAGAGGATCTATGCGTACGAATACCCGATGCCATTAGTTTCGATGAGGCCGCGACTATGCTTATTCCGTTGGCTACGGCCTTGCATTCTCTAATCAGCGTTGGACGACTTGAGAAGGGTCAGGTGAGTTTCGCTTCGCGTTTTCAAATACCCGGTAATACACATGCTGACATCTGATAACGCTAGTCTGTCCTAATTCACAGCGCGTGCGGCGGCGTTGGCCTAGCAGCTATTCAGGTAGCGAAGATGGTAGGCGCCGAGATCTATGCGACTGTTGGTAGCGACGCAAAGGCTGCATATCTTCTAGAGAACTACGAGATCTCCAAAAACAGGATCTTCGATTCCCGGAGCAGCTTGTTTTTGTCAGGCGTTATGCGCGAAACAGAAAACAAGGGGGTCGACGTGGTACTCAACTCTCTTTCGGGAGAACTTCTACACGCTTCATGGGAATGCGTCGCAGAATTTGGTACCTTGATAGAGCTTGGAAAACGAGACTTACTGCAAAGCGCGAAACTTGACATGAGGCCATTTATAGCTAATCGCAATTACTGCTGCGTTGGGCTTGACCATCTCCTAACGAAGAAGGGTATCAGGAAACGGTAAGGCCACAATCATATCGCCGAAAGAATGAGAAACCTAGTAACTGATCGATTTTGCAGATTGCTGCATTCAGTCTTCGAAAATTACGACAAAGGTCATATCAAGCCTATCCATCCCATCACGATGTTTGATGCATCGCAGATTCAAAGCGCCTTTCAGACGATGCAGAAAGGCACACATATCGGACGCTTCGGTGTCTCGATGGCTACGGACCTAACCTGTGACGTAAAGCCTAGGCTAGAGATTCCAAAGTTCGACGAAAATGCATCCTTTCTCTTGGTCGGCGGCACCGGAGGCATCGGACGTGCCCTTTCGGCTTTCATGGCAGAGAATGGTGCCAAGGAGCTGATCTTTCTGTCGCGCAGCGCTGGTCTTAAACCCGCAGATACAGACCTTTTTCTTGAGCTCCAGAGCATGGGGTGCAATGTGATATTTGCAAGGGGAGACGTTTGTGACGAAGCTGCAGTTTCGTCAGCTCTCCTGAAAGCCACCAGACCAATTAAAGGAATCGTTCAGCTTTCGATGGTACTCCGAGACCAGAATTTCTCGGACATGACGTTTGAGCAGTGGGCTGAGGCGACAGCTCCTAAAATCAAAGGAACATGGAATCTTCACCACGTTACGACTTCCAAAGGAATTGCTCTCGACTTCATGGTGCTGTGCGGCTCGATCTCCGGTCACATTGGACAGCCCGGCCAGGCAAACTACGCCAGCGCGAACACCTTCCTCGACGCCTTTGCGCAGTACAGAAATAATATTGGTCTAGCGGCATCGGTAATTGATATCGGAGCAGTGGAAGATGTCGGCGTGCTAGCCCAGAACCCGAGCTTGTTAGCACGCATGAAAGCCGATGGACTGCACGCCCTAAACGAACAAGAGCTCCTGGATGCCTTAGTATATGCCATACTCCGACCTAAGCCGTCAACAATATCCCATGAGAAGTCAAGTAGCCCCTACCGTCATCCCAACAGTTTCGTGGTCGGCCTTGGGCCGGTTGTGCCGCCCACAGTAAGGAAGAGGGACAGACGAATGGCTGCATTTAGCAAGGATACCAGCGACGAAAAGGAAGAGCTAGTCTCAAATGAGCCGCTCAAAGACCTCATAAGGAAAGCAGATGAGCACCCAGCAGTTTTGAAGACGGATGAAGCGGCGCAGATCCTGAGCGTCGAGATCGGGAAGAAAATAGCGGATATGCTCATACTACAGCCGGAAGTCGACGTGACGGCGACGAATGTGCTGCTGAGAGATCTCGGAATGGACTCGCTCGTTGCAGTCGAGCTGCGCGCTTGGTGGAGGCAGGTCTTCCGGACTGATATCAGCGTACGCGAGATCCTGGGCATGGGAACGCTCGGCGCTTTGGGAAAGTTTGCGGCTGACGGGTTGCTGAAGGCAAGGACTTGAGCATAGTCACGTCAAAATCGCAATCTATCGTGGATCAGAAGGCAGCCAACGATTGGGATGTATCGAGTCAAGAAGTATGAAATCACAAAAGTCGGCTACCTACACAACCTTATGGTAGATTGTTTGATATGTAGATAAATAGTCACAGTGCAAATGTTGGCGATGTTGCCATCGTATGAGAGATCTCCATATAGCCTGTAAGCCATTTCCGGTAAATAGCCACTGCGAAAACTCACTATGAACCTACATTCTTACACGTTTCCATACCGACTTTTAATATTTTTCTCCTTTTCTATTATCTACTTTGCCCTGTCAAATAGGGGGTGGTGCAGCTACACAGTAGGTGTGGCTAGGTGTGGCTAGACCTACCTATCATACATGCTTATTTAAGCACCTAGGAACTAGGTATTGGAGGAGGTCCACTATAAGTTTATAGATAAGATAAGGAAGGAGGTCACTGTAATAAGCTCTTATCTTATCAGCACCTACCCCGCCATCCTGATGCTGGCCAGCTATGACGATCCTGCAAAAAACAACGTGGGGCAACGGGCATTCAAGTAATCTCGTCGCATTGTCTACCGCTAGACAGAGCGCTAGAGTCATCACTATCACAAGCCTCATTTCCGCCCATCAGCTCTGATCCATTCTGTCAGCTTCAACAACTTCCACAAAATCAAGTAACCCAGAAAAAGGACATTTAGACATCATGGATGACGCCCTTTTCAAGATGTCGGGGCTTGTGCCCGTCGACTTTGACGCTGAGAACGCCGACAACCTCGAAGATGTGAGACCCTCATTCCCCCCTTCTCAAGTTATCGCCTATGTAAGCTAATCATCTTGATTCCGTGGCCTTAGATTGAGAAACAGTTCGCTGTCAAAGGTTAGAATGCGCTTTCCCCCTATCCATCGATCTTGTGTCGCTAATGGGTGCAACTGTTACAGCTGTGCAACATCTCGAGACATACTGGGCCATCCTACAGAAGGTGAAGGGATCCGCGCTACGACTTACGAAGATGGACGATGACATACTCGAACACCTTAAGACCGACTTCCCCGAATTCGACCCTGCCGCGACGATAAACGAAGATGAGATGAAGAGCAAGGCCGGCAAGGAGAAGTGGCGCAAGTTCATGATGGCTTACGAGAAAAAGATTGACGATTACAACTTTGGCACAATGCTGCGCACGAGCCCTAAGGTCGAGTACGAACAAGACACGACAATATTTGGTATGGATGGGCCCTCTAGTATGTTCAAGAGTGAAAGAGTACAATTGCTGACGCTTTATCGTGAAATTACACCAGTCCCCAGGATGCAGTTCTATGCCGTTGAAATAGCCAGAAATCGCGCGGGGTTGAATGACTGGATCTACGAAAAAGCAAAGGCCGAGAAGAAATAAATTTGACGCGACATGGGGATGAAAAGTCCGTAACATTTTAAAGATAGCAGGGACAGGATATTGCGACTTTCGCGATGGGTTGTCACGTAATTTTGGGGTTCTAACACTAGACCCAACACCGGAGAGTATCGATTCGTCGCAGCGGCTACGCAATGAACTTTATCAAGTTAACATTCACATACATCACCTTCGCCTCTTGCGATATTAATCGTAAGCGAGTAACCAGTGGCCGCTATTTTGCGTCCATCATAGATCCCAGTGCTAGAGAGCAGATGGCCTCGGCTGTTGAGGATCGACTCTCTGCATCCAACGATCTGGAAGCCATCGTCGGAGCGAATTTTCGACACTACATCGAATATGTGGCGCGCTACCAACGCAGTTCTAGGTTTTTGCAGCTCGATTGTGAACTTCCATCAGTGACATAGCTTATCCATTACTACAATATGAAATAATGCGGTGCTCTTTATCCTTTCCATGTCTTTGAGTTACCGCGCTACTCCGATTCTTTGGTCGAACGCAGCGTCATCCGAACAAAGGTAACTTGATACACTCTGTTTGGTTGACAATCCACACACCATTATGTGGCTTCCACCCTCAGCAACTCGGTGACCTAGCACACTAAACCATATTGTAGGTTGTCGGGCAACGCAGATGGAGGTTTGCGCCATGCGCCATTGAAAGTAAACAATGCTCCCATCGCGTCGTGCTCACTGTCACAGCCATGTCAATCAATCAATCGGGGCAGTGCCGGGTCCTAGTTTGCATCACATTTATACACTCATACCATCAGTTACATCCGACATTGCATACCCTCTGATTGTATCACAGCCTGATCTTGCGATCTGCTGCTGCGTAATTGATGAATAATGGAGGCGGCGACTTCGACTTCAACCAGTCAATCGATCTCTCAGCAAGACCAGCAGCAGCCCTCTTTTCGAGATTTGTTTCTATTTACAGCATGGCCTGACTACTGGCTGTTAGGCGCCGGCTTAGTTGGGGCTCTTCTAGCAGGTGCTTTTATGACCTCGATGTCTATCCTCCTGGGTCGCATCTTTGCAGTCATCACTCAGTTCGGCTCTGGCCACCTCACCGGCGCTGAAACTGCAGCCCAAGTCTCATCATGGTGTGTTTTACTAGCAGTCGTTGGTGGTGCAGGTTTCCTCGTCAATTTCGCCTTCATGTTCTCCTGGGTTGCTTTCAGTGAGCTACAAGCTAGAAACATTCGAAAGAGAATGTTTCGCGGCCTTTTGGAGAAGGATATGCAATGGTTCGACACGCAGCAAGACGGCGTCGCTAGTCTATTAATTAGGATCCAAACGTAAAGTTACATCTCCGAGACTAGAATGAGGGCAACACCGCTGACAGCAAACTAGACAGACGCGAGAAGTGCAGATCGCATCATCCGTAGCACTCGGTTCGCTATCAGCCAGACTTGCCACCTCGATCGCAAACCTCATAATCGCTCTAGTTACCGCTTGGAAGTTGACGCTGGTGTTGCTAGCTTCTATTCCCGTCTCAGTTGTCATTCTCCATCTCCTCGCCCGACCAATCCAACCAGCAATTCAATCGCAAAAGAAGGAACTCTCGCGCGCTTCTAAATATGCGTTCTCAGCTATCTCTGCTATCGACCTTGTCAAGGTTTTCAACGGAATTGATCATGAAACATGGCAATACATGGCTGCAATCAGAATGTCCATGCAGAAATATCTCATTCAAGCCCGTGCCAATGCATACCAGATCGGCTACGTCAAATTTTGGTTAGAGAGTCTTTTTGTTGTCGGGTTTTATTATGGTGCGGTTCTTGTCGACCAAGGTTTGAGTCCTGGTAGTGTCCTAACCACTTTTTATGCTGCTCTCGCAGCACTCCAAGCCATTGAGGCCTTCGTTCCCACGTACCTGGTTCTAGCCAAGGGAATATCCGCAGCCCAAGCTCTTCGTTCTGTTTCCCATAACGTGGAAGGCGGACGAACAGTCTATCCTATGGTGGGCGGTTACGTCCCCAGTAAGTGTGTAGGCGACATTGAGATGCGAAATGTAGGAGCACTCCTTGTCCAAAATTGTTCGCTGCAACTAATTTTCTCCCAGATAACATTTACGTACCCATCAAACCCCTCCAAGATGGTCCTTGAAAAGTCCTCGTTCCATTTTCAAGCAGGTGAACTTTGCTTCATCATTGGGAGAAGTGGCTCGGGCAAGAGCACGGTAGGTAACCTCCTGTTAAAATTCTACGAACCGCTCTCCGGCGAAATCTTGATTGATGGTCACGCAATCAGGACCTTGGACATAGATTGGCTTCGACACAACATCACATTGATACAACAGACCAGTGTTCTCTTCAACGATACCTTCTTCATGAACATCGCATTCGGTCACAATAGCCCCACACGAGTCTCTACAGAAGAAGTCAAGGCTGCTTGTGAGACAGCGCTGCTCCAGTCTACAATAACAAGCCTGCCTTGCGGTATGAACACCAACGTTGGTGCCGGTGGCCACAATCTCAGTGGTGGACAGAAGCAGCGAGTTGCTCTGGCCAGAGCTAAACTTAGAGACCCTCCAGTTCTCATTCTTGATGAGGTTACTAGCGGACTAGATCCTGTGAATCGAGAATTGATAATGGAGGCAATTAGAACATGGCGTCGTGGAAAGACCACAGTCATTATAACTCATGAGGTTGCTCAGATCAAAGAACGTGATTTTGTTTACGTCATGGATAATGGACGCGTGGTACAAGAAGGCTTGTACTCGGACCTCCAGCAACAGCATGATGGTTTGCTTGCCCAGCTTGTTACGGCTGCAACGGCATCAGGGTCACGCTCCGAGCGCAGCACAGAAGGCTTTGTCGCTAGGCAGAGCAAGAGCAGTGTTGTAAATTTCTCTCGGCCGTTGAGCGACGCATCCCAGAATGACCCATTGGTTCCCGGATCCCCTTCCCCGGGTGAAGCACTTCGTGGTGTGCCTTCCTCGTCGCATGATGTTTTCATGATGGCCCGACGCGATTCTCAGCTGCGTTTGCTTGGAGACCAACGCAGTCGCCATATAGATGCTTCTGGGGCACTGAATGCTTTAGCTGCAGCGGCCGAAGACTCCCCGCGGAGAGGCCTCAGCAGGATGGTAACTTCACTCAGCCGCCACTTCACATCTACTCGTGCCCCGGCTCCCTCGCAGTCCCCAACATGGAGTTCTAGTGACCAGCCACTTACTCCAATATCACCGATAAAAGCTGGAAGTATCTTTCGTCTTCAAACCCTTGGCTACACAGTGCAAACCCATCGGCAAGGTTCTAGATCTTCCAGGTTCAAACACCAACCAAGATCGAGTCTGTCCGGGACTGGACCGAGGCGAAAAGACGAACGCAGCGCTAGACAAGATGAAAAACGGCCAAGTGATAGCGAAGAGACAGAAACCTTGTCCTTGGTCTCTATCTATAAAACAGTCTGGCCATGTCTTGGATTTAAAGAAAGGATGTTCATCCTAGTGGGATCTTTCTCGTCTCTCGTTGTCGCAGGCTCTGTTCCCGCATTCTCCATTGTTTTTGCTAACCTCTTAGCTGCACTCTACAAAAAGGAGAATCGACTAGAATCTGGTCAGAAATGGGCTTTGATACTCTTGGGGATTGCAGGATCCGGTGCCATCGCTACCTTTCTCAGCCATTACCTCCTTGAATGGGCTGGACAGGCTTGGGTTAATGAGCTTCGCAAGCAAGCATTCAACCGAGTGCTTCGCCAACCCAAAACCTGGTTTGAGAACCCGAAACACTCACCCAGTCGCATCAATGAATGTCTAGATCGTAATGCAGAAGAGATGCGGAATCTAGTCGGTCGGTTTGCACCACTTCTTCTTGTTGTCGTCGTCATGATTGTCGCATCTGTTAGCTGGGCATTAGCGATTTCTTGGAAGCTCACGCTTGTGAGTCTAGCGAGTGGCCCCTTTCTCATTGCTGCCACACAGGGATACTCAGCTGTCTCGAACAAATGGGAACTGCGTTGCAATAAAGCAGCAGAGGAGACGAATGCTATCGTTGTCGAAACTTTCACCAACATACGAGTTATCCGAGCGTTGACGCTCGAAGGATTTTTCGGTCGCAAACATCAGAAATCGGCGCAGAATACATTCGAGCTGGGAATCAAGAAAGCCGCTTTCACAGCTGCCTTGTATGCATGTTGGCAGTCTGTATTTTGGTTCATGATGGCTCTCATATTTTGGTATGCTACGGTGCTGTTGGCTGTTAACCAGGAAATCACCGTTCAGTCCATTCTCCAAGTCGTCAATCTCCTCGTCCTAGGGTTGAGTACAGCTTCGAACATCCTCAATTCTGTGCCAGCAATCTCTGCTGCGCAAACAACAGCTAGTCTGCTTTTATACTATGCTCGTCTGCCTCTAAATTCATCTCATGAGACCAAAGGCACAAAAACATTAGCACGCCCGTTACCAATCCGTTTTAATAACCTGTCTTTCGCCTATCCTTCAAAGAGAAACCAGCTCGTTTTGAGAAATATTACGCTAACGTTCGAAGCGGGCGTGTCGACTGCAATCGTCGGATCATCTGGGTGTGGGAAAAGCACCATTGCATCTATCATCCTAGGTCTACACACCCCTAACACTTCTTCAAACTCATTCAGTAGAAATAGCTCTATTCACCCTCTATTGTTCTCCTCCGTTCCCTTCCAACAAGTAGATATATCCAAACTGAGAACGCAAATTGGCTATGTCCCCCAAGCTCCCTTCCTCTTCCCGACCTCGATAGCAGGAAACATAGCATACGGCCTCCTAGAAGACTCACCTCTTCGATCTCCAGCGAACATCGAGCAAGCTGCTCGCGAAGCCGGCATCCACGACTTCATACATAGCTTACCAGATGGCTATGAGACTATCGTCGGCGACGGCGGCCAGGCCCTAAGTGGAGGTCAGGCCCAGCGCGTATGCATTGCCCGTGCCCTCGCAAGACGTCCCAAGATCCTCGTCCTAGACGAGCCCACGAGTGCCCTAGATGCAGAGAGCGCTGAAGGAGTTAGAAGGACGATCCAGAATCTCTTGAACCCTGAACACCATCGCCTCCGAAAGTCTGTCGATAACATGCAGAGTCGCGAGCGTCTGTGTGTCATCATGGTCACGCACAGCCAAGAGATGATGAAGATGGCAGACCGCATCGTCATGATCGATCACGGACGCGTCGTGGAGACGGGGACATATAGAGAGTTGTGGGAGAAGAAGGGACCGTTCGCTGAGCTTGTCAGTGGCGGGGTGTGGATGGGGGGTGGTAAAAATGGCGATATTGCTACTACTACGCCTCAGAAGCCACCGGGTTATTATAAATATGGCGCGTCACATTCCAGGGATCTCCCTTTGAGAAGCGGTAAAGGGGGCGAGGAGGTTAGACCAAGGTGGATTGGTGTGCGCGATGTCGACTGGAATGGGGAGTCTGGGCCGTCTACGGGGGTGCTGAGTCCCGTCGCCAGTCCGTTTAGTCGGCCTGCGAGGAGGAGGGAACGTAAGGCCGATGGCGACGTTTGATATTCCGTGTTGCTGATGTTTTTATATGTATCTACATACTTGTGCTACTACATATGCATTCTAGGAACGGTGTTTCATGCGCTTAATTGGAATCATTTAATGCTTATTAGATATCCTCTGTCTACCTACCTCGTGAAAATGCGAAACTGGAGACTTAGCACTCAAGGCAATATTTATTTACAAATCTGAGGAATTGTCAGCACATGAAGTGATGTTCGCGACCGTGAAATCAACTTACCCATTCCAAACTGGGGGTCCAGCTATGGTATAGTTCTGCAAGGGTGAATCAGTTGTGAAGATTAGGTCTTCTACTATTGAGAATCCAACATACCGTAGCATCCTTGTTCTCATCGGAATATATATCGATGAATATCGACGGATCTAACAACAAGTCAGCTTTGCCACGACGACCGCCGTGTGGTAAGCATGTGAGAGAGGATCCAGATACACATACCATCCTCAGCATAGGCGCCCGGGAACCGAGCCATATACCGCTCCGAAGGGAACGCATTACCCGTGCCGCTAATGTTCAGGTGCGCGCATTCGGGGTAGAACTGCGGCGCACTGGCAACGTGCAAACTCAGTATCTCGTGCCGCACGATGTATAGACCTGGCTTGAGGGTCGATGGGATCGTCACAGGCCAGAGATCCGGGCTTCCGTCCCAGTGCTGGAATTTCGTCTGGTACCATTGGCCGCCTACTAATCCTCCCTCAAGAACTTCGCGCTCTCGTTAGCAACTTGTTCGTATAATGAGGATTCAAAGCCTTTTATGTTTAAAGAGAAGCTTACTGCCAGCCTCCCATATCTTAAAGAAATCCAGCTTGTTCACGTCGACGTCCTGGCAGGACTCGCCGCACTCCGCGAGCCATACCGTCATCGGCCCGACGGGGTGCAGCCAATACCAGTATACGGCAGTGAGGGTCTCGCCCGCCGCGATAGGTATGTACGACGGCGGCGCGGTGCCCGGGGTATTACACGCGAGGCCGGTGTCGTTGATGAAGAAGATCGGGTCGATCGAGGCCCATAGCCTCTGCGTCATCCATGGCTGTCCCTCCTGCGACTCCCTCGGGTCGTCCGGATTATAACTTTTGAACTTCTTAGCATTACTGCGTTCAAGGTAGCAGCCGTATGGTTATGCTGACCCCCTGTACCAGGTATCTCCGACGGTGTAGTTCGTCAGCCCACCATGGGCGACGACGTGGTTCACGAACAGCAGGAATGATACAAGCGACAACATTAAAGACATGATGAAGTGATCTTGGCGACGCTCAACTGTGGCTATAAGGATGCCGGGGAGTTAGACAATACGGCTATGTAGCGAACGTCGGGCATAGATTCATCGTTATGGGAAACAGCCGGGAGGCATCGTGCCCTTGGCGGTTGGAGATACTACCACATGTATTTACGTAAGGGGATGCAGTGATGGAAGACGTGAGTCGTTGCTATTGTGGTTCTCGTCCTCATATGGTAACTGGGACTATGTAGGGCACGGGTCCAGACGTTGTGTTATTGGTACCGGCTATTTACTGTAGTTTATGGGATCTTGTCACGTTGTTGGTTTTTTCGTGGCGATAATACAACCAATCCTTAAAATTTCAAACACAGATCTTGTCGAATTATAGCATATTTTATGATTGATTGATGCCATCAATAATAAATTCGAGACAACAGTGTTGTAACTAGGCACCACCTCCTTTGCCTCTCATGAAGTTCTATTGGACGTGGATTGACACAACACGTAATTCGACTTAGCCGAACACACTCACTTCTTAGGTCGAGGCAGGCACTGCCGCTAGATGTATAGAGTTGCCCATCATAAAGTGTCGTTCTACCATGAGCTTATCAGACAACTTTCGGCACTAAACTTCCAGGCTGATTTAGGGGGCGCTCAGAATGGTGCTCCGGTGAAGTTACAGACTACCATTGTCTCTCAGGTCATTGTCGTACCTCACTATCATGTGACTGTTTATTATCGTGTGTTTCCATGAGTATATGGGTGGGAACTCAAGCAATGAGTCTATATGGAGGTATTCAAAGCAGGTTATTAATATTGAGGCGGATATGAACTTTGCCAAGGTTCAGCTACTATATCCCCGCCTTTAAGTCAGGGGTAGCTAGAGAATAGCCACCAGAGAGCTAAGTTGACAAGCACATCGAGGGCGCATGTTCCGTGACCCAACAACCGGCAAAATAAGGCAGGTCAACCATATTAACCCCATCTCCGGCATTTGGAGGCGTCGATCTCCTCAATTGAATATTACCACGAATCATAAGGCCAGCTGCCAAGTCACCATATTGCCAAGGCACCTCGGCGATTCGTTTCACTTCCAGCTATCCACCTTGGGTGCGGTGACGAAACAACAGGGTAGGGTGTTATGGGATAATGCTTTGCGCATGGATTACCACGCATTCTTGGATCGTACCATGCAGTGCCATTCGCCTCCAGGACGAGGATCCGAAGACCATTTAATCTGGGGGAGCGTGCATAGTTCTATGGCCGCAACATGCCAGAACAACAGGCAAAAGCCCACCGGGAGAAGGGGAGGTGGCGCTGTGCACAGATACACAGATATAAGTATTCATCTAGGCAGTTTCCTATCCCCGATCTGCCTCGCTTGGTCTCCTTGAATCGTCCTTCTCGGTTAAACAAGCTTGAAATTCCACAGCTAGTATAGGTTTCCAAGATGGTTCGCACCTTAACCACTGCCCTCCTGCTGGGCTCCTCCTGCTGGGCTCTCCCCTATAGCGGAGAGATCTACGAGCGACAGAATACAACTTGTGTCGTTAAGGACAGCTATCCTACGGTCAACGTTGCTAAACTACCTGATCCTTTCACCTTCGCCGATGGCAGCAAGGTCTCTACCCAGGACGAGTGGAAATGCCGCCAGGCGGAGATAAGCAAGCAGCTACAACAATACGAGCTGGGCGACTACCCGCCGCCACCGGATAAGGTCGAGGCCACGATGTCCGGCAGCTCCATCTCGGTCAAGATCACCGTCGGTAGCAAGAGCGCCACTATCACCTCGAGCATAACGAAGGGCAGCAGCGCCGCACCGGGCCCGGCCGTCATATCCATCGGCGGCTCTTCACTGCCCATCCCGGGTACGGTTGGCAGAATCAACTTCGGTAACGACCAATGGGCTGGTCAGAGCAATGCCCGTGGCCAGGGTGCTTTCTACACCCTGTTCGGCAACACACACTCCGCTGGTGCCCTGACTGCTTGGGCCTGGGGCGTAGACCGTCTTATCGACGGCCTTGAGCAGCTAGGCTCTGCCAAGACTGGCATCGACACGACGCGCTTGGCAACGACAGGCTGCTCGCGCAATGGCAAGGGCGCCTTCGTAGTCGGTGCTTTAGTTCAGCGTATCGCTCTCACGCTACCTCAGGAGTCCGGCTCGGGTGGTGCCGCTTGCTGGCGTATCTCCGACTCGGAGGAACAGCGCGGCCAAACTATCCAGACGGCACACCAAATTGTGGGTGAGAATGTGTGGTTCAGCAAGCGCCTTGACACATACGTTCGCTCGGTCCCGACGATGCCCGTCGACCACCACTTCCTGGCAGCTCTCGTGGCGCCTCGTGGTCTGTTCGTCATTGAGAACGACATCAACTGGCTCGGCCCCGTTTCCACAACTGGCTGCATGAAGGCAGGTCGTCTGGCCTACAAGGGCGCCGGTGTTCCCAACAACATGGGCTTCTCGCTCGTCGGCGGCCACCAACACTGCCAGTTCCCGTCCTCGCAGCAGGCCGACCTCACCTCTTTCATCAACTACTTCCTTCTCAAGGGCACCACCGCCCCTAGCGCCGTCGAGAAGAGCTCCTCCAACGTTAACGTGGCTGATTGGGCTGCGTGGAACATCCCTTCGCTCACGGCGTAAGATGGAACGGTTAGCACCTCTTCTTCATCGTCTTGTTAGCGCTTTATAGTACGCCTGCCGAGAAATACTGAGCATAATTGGTCTCGATCACATATTTCCATTTGTAAATATCAATGAGAGATATAAAATCAATAGGCAAGCGAATAAAAAGGCACATTCGTCCACAACTCCTGTATCCCCTGACCTGTCTGAAATTGGGCATAGATTTGTGTCCGATTTTGTGAGCTAATCATGTAGGATAATCATGCTGATATCACTGGGCTTTAAGTCCTAGTCTATTGTGATGGCTTGATGTCAGAGATCGTTCTTGACCGTGGACTTCCATACAAGGGACTTTTGTAGAAATCTACCCAAGTAGGAATATCGAACTGACAACCTGGCGCTCTGACTTTTTTTCACTGGCTGAATCAAACATTCGTAACACCTCTCTCTCTTCATGACACAATCACTGTTGTAGAATTGATAAGTAAACCATCAAGATGGAGCATATTTGTAAGCGCCGCTATCATTACAAAGTTGCAGTTTCCAAATTCAGGGCGAGTGATCTCGGCGAGACTCAAATTATCCCTCGAGCCATGCCCGGATGGTTCCTCCAAGATCTTCCTCCTGAAGCCCCAATAACTCAATTGCATTATCTGGTCCCTGGACAGCGAGTCCGGCGCCGTCCTGATGAATGCGCTTTCGCAGAAAGTGTGAAAACGCGCTGTAGTCGCCCTTGCCAAGTTTTTCGAGACCGATCTTCTGTTGCTCAGCCGTCGAGACTTTGTTGACAGTCCACTTCTCCCCTGTGATCTTCTCGACGAGCGCCAAGATTTCGTTTTGCGTCGGGTTGAACGAAGCAATGGAGATGTACCGGTTTGTCGTCGGCTCGGGATGCTTGAACACGGCGGCGACGGCCTTGCCGATGAGAGGCAGGTTGGTAGCTTGATACGGCTCGTTTCCGGAGTCATGAATGGTAGCTGTCTTTGTAGCCTTGTCTAGCCCAATTGACCCGTAAGGAAGTCCCTAGGACAAAGGGGAGATGAGTTAGTAGAGCACATTGTCCTATCATTATTGATATAGAATGGAAATAGTCAATATTCACCCAGTCAAAGAAAAGTCCCGTCGAAATTCCGGTCCAGGTGAATGACGGGTTCTGCTTCCATTTTTCATGAATGTAATTCAACGTGTTGACCTTGCCTTGTAGAATCTTCCCGATCGGCTCTTGGCCTAGGAATCTCGTATTGATCCCGAATTCTGAGGGGATGATGCGCTTCACGCCCGCGGCCACGGCCGCGTCGACGAGGGGCTGCTGCCCCGCTACCGCTACCGTGGCAATGGTAGAAACAAGGGCCTCCTGGCCTTCAAGAGCCGCTGTCAAGGACTCGACAGACGAATAATCGACCGGCTTTGAGGACACTCCCGCAGGGAATGTCGCTGATGACCCCTCACGAGTCAATGCCGTCACATTGAACCCAGCAGCCACGAGCTCGCTAACAACCGCTCGGCCAAGGTTGCCTGATCCCTGAATCGTCGATACTGGTAAGCGTTGCACACCCGCGAATCCTTGTATGGATATCACCTACTCCAACGACCGCGACGTTCTTGATTGGACTGGCCATTATGGATGAATGTTTATTCGAGTTTTAAGCATTACAGGATGCTCATTCACCGTGCGATATTATCGGTCGGATCTGAAGCCTTTTATACCTATCTCCACCAGTTAACGTGCCCAAGCTATGGCCCATTTCTCCGCACCAATGGCTAAGACGGAATCGGGAATAACAGGCAGTGAAGAACGGCATTGAGTGCTTTATGTGAATGCCGGATTCCATAACATGGTGTTATTATTGCGTGATGGAAGCAACTGCGGATGTTGAAGTCGACTATGAGTAGATAGCTAATAACGGAGCCTTAATGATGAATGCTTGGCGACAAGACGTGAATGTTAGATAGCTGGTAATCTACCTAGCTAATGCGATTGATTGGTCGCATCTTTGCGAAAGCTATCCAGGTAATTAGGTATTCTCAGCTGAGTGTAGAGGATAAGTTTCAACTTTCAGGTAGATGTTTCACCAAAAACCTCGATGCAGATTAAAAGAAAGACATGTCTCTCGAGCCAGAGTTAGGAGCTGAAGACGCTCTGGATAAAGCCCACGATTAAGTGCTGTAACTGCTCATAGCCAATGCCATAGCTACCGAGGTGCGATATGCACTCCTGTCGGGCTTGAAAGAAGGTTCAGTTGTGCAAATGATATGTATAGCGCTGAAAGTTGTCGTCAAGTCACTGAGCTAAAAATACTAAACGTTGGAATAAATGGTATCATTATAATTAAATATAACCAATAAATCGCGGCAGTTGCCGGTGTTGGGCGCGAGCTCTCTAATGGCCCTCTGCTATATACGTGCTCGCCAATATTTTCTAAGAAATTATATAACCACGCTATTGGTGGCTATCCCAGCCCAAGCATCTAGTAGCTATACATGTAGCAGAACAGACCCTGCTTGGTGCGCAGGACGTCGCGGACGGGGGTGTCCCGGCACTTGGAGCCACAAATACCTCCCATGTAGATCATGGTGTCGAGGGTCAGGGGCTGGCAGCCGTCGTTGGTAGCGCAACCGCTAATGGTGTTGCGGCGCGAGAGGGCACCGAGCTGCCACTTGCGGAAAGTGTAATCGATGTACAAGTGATGCATGAAGAAGGCCGGGTCGCCAGGAGAGGCGATAGCATCGGCCATGGTGGCGCCGACGCCGTTGTGGCCCTGAGCGTGGTAACTAATTCTTCGTTTAGCAAATTGTCTCAAGAACGGGATTTCGGGACATGACTTACGTGAACTCCACGCAACTGTGGAAGTCAGGGTAGGATGAACGGGCCAAGCAAGTGTTGTACGAGTTGACGCCAGTCTGGGATGTGACTCCTTCGTTCACGGCACGCTGGACACAGTGAGGGTTGTTGACAGTTTGACCGGGGCCCAAGTTGGACTGGAGGTTGCGGAAAGGTCCATCCGGAATGCATGTACCACGGCCGTTGGTTGGGCCGGGTAGACTGCCGAAGTATTCGGGTCGGAAAATGGTCGCCTCGTGGAACCGGCCAGCCCACTTCTTCTCATCCCACCACTAGAAACAGTCAAGTCAGAATATTAAATCTAAACATGTAATGTGTATAGGCTCAAGTTTTGCTCTAGAGCTATGCTTATGATAGCGTATAATAGGCTATAACAAATAACGAGAGGGTAGCATAATACGAGCGGGATATACTTACAGGCATGGCCCTGTTGAAGCCACACTCATCGCGGAGCATCTGCTCAAAGGCCCACACGAAATAGCGGTGCCATAAGAGGAACTTGTGTGTCTGCTGGCTGGTGCTTCGGCTGTGAATGTTGGGCGCATAGCTTTGGTGAATGCGAACCAAATCTTCGTAACGGTTCCTGGAGAACGACACCCTGCCGGAGGCAGGTCGGGTAGTCAAGCACTTGATGGCATTAACGAAGGCTAGCCTGTCTGAATTCGAGTAGTCATCCCACTCGATACGGACTGCCGGGTTTGGGCAGTCACCAGTGTCTCGTGGCTCGAGTTCGCTGGCGTCTCTGATGTCAAGGAAATGGTCAAGGACATCCTCAACCTTCGTAATGGCCTCTCCAGCCTTGTGCCTCAGTCTGTCCTCGATCTCTTCAAGTCCGTGGTGGTGTCCATGTCCGTGATCCATCTTGTCCAACCACGAATCCAAGTTAGACTCGTGTCCAGGTCCAAAGATGGGCAGGACACTGAAGTTGTTGCCGCCTAGATCCTTGTGTTCTTTAGCCTCTTGGGGTTCGACATGGTGAACTTCACCGAATGTCGACAGAGGGTAACCTTCTTGGGCGCCGCGCTGGCTGAGGGTAAAGCCGATATCGACACCGGCTGCGGCCTCCTCGGGAGACACTGAGTTCACCTGGCCAAACTCGGCAAGCGGAATTCCGTCCTCACGCGACTCAATGGCCGGAACGGAGGCGGCGGTCACGACGGACGCGCACAGAGCAATGGAAAGCCTCATGATGATCGTCGTCGTCGGGTGTAACTAGACGGCCTTGGAGAATTGCGAAGTACAGGCGATCATGCCGAGCAACAGACGATCCAAATTCCCGGGGAGGCGTGCTTGTTATTTATCACCTCGCGCTTTATCCTCGTTAGTCTTACAATTAGGGGGCTTCTTTGACCCAAAAAGGATCCTACCCTGCACTACACAATCCCGCACATTTCCACATTTTTGTTTCCCGCAGCCTTCTTTTTCAGGTTGGTTGCGCGAAGTGGAACTCGCCTCACCCGGCGCAGAACACGACCGGGGCCCATCCACGATGGGATACGAGGGCCTAGTGCGCAACACACGCTGTCCTTCTCTGTGGCCAAGGAGTGGGCAGTCGGCTAGCTGCTCAATCGAGAAACTCCAGCGGTCAGTAAAATTAGCATTCTGCCAGCGGTCCAGCGGTAGACATCTACGTGGGTCGACTCTTGCTCCTTAGGCCAGGGGTGAGAATCGTTAATCCACCAAGATCCGCCCTAGTGACAAGCCCAGGTTCGGTCTGTCAAGCAACCCCTGCATGGGCTGTGCTGTTGTGCTCATTTCCCATAATGGAGCAAGATCTGACCTTTCTGAGCTGGTATTGGTCAATCCCAGTGTAGTAAGACTAATTCACATGTGTACAGCTGTATACTCGTAAGTATAGGCTATGTAACCGCTGAGAGAAGTGTCTAACTTAGGCACAAAACTACCTGATTCTTTGTTCCCGTCAGACTACCTTCAGTCTTTTTGTTCCAGGTCAGATGGATGGCTAACCAGCACCGTAAGAAGGCTTTATTATCGTCACTGAAGTCTGCCCCGGCAATTTAGAGCACAATATGGGCTATCACTGCCCTATTAGTATAAGGTAGACTTACTTAAGAGGGATAGTCTTCTGTATACTACGTAGTATCGACCAAAAGCCAATCAAGTCGCTTACCTAGAGCGTTGAGCGTCTCGCCGCTGTTTAAAAATACATTGGTCCGAGTGATCCCGGCTATTACATTCATGTACTAAGTTATGTACAAACCACACGCACTACTGGTTCAGGTTAGTGGAGAGAGTGAGAACGAGTTTATCATTTTTGCGATGGCTTTGGCCAAAAACTTTCTCCCGTCGAATGTTAGAGTTAGCAGTCCTGAGCCATATAGGAAATTGTACGCGTAAACGTAATTTGCAGTTGTTCAATAGTCATGTAGTAACACATGTTATTTAGTATTCCATGGTTAGCTCCTGAACTGTAGATTAGGGGATGAATGTAGCGTGCCATACAAAAGTCTCGCTTCGTGACCTCATGAAATGAAAGCCAGCTTTTGAAGAACCCAAACCGGGTTAGCCCGGCTGAGGGCTAATCGACTCGGTTCAATCCTTGGCAGACCAGCGCCCTGAACCGTTCTCAAATAGTCGGCTTTTCTAAGGGCTGCTTACATACTTAGTAGTTTCACAGGCTGGTCGAATGAGGCGGGCTGTCGTGGCTGCCGTCAGCTCAATTGGGTTTCCACTGAAATCAACTTGATTCGTGCCTCTGTGCCTCCAATCTCTTTGATACGAGTTCGAGTCAGGAGCACAGTTGTGGCTCGCGTTCTATGTACATAAGTATACTGAAGACGGTATCATATCGCGACACTATACCGCCAAGCATCAAGCATTCATGTTGTGTGAATAAAAGCTCTTCAGTCCCTAGGTAATGTCGCTGTTGGATCATACGAAATATGCCGGGAATGCAGCTGAGCGTCATCTTACTCAGACAGGATATCCTTCATGCACTAGCACGTTACCGTAGGGCTATAAGCCCGAAGCAGTCTCACGTCTCAACTCAGAGCCTCTCGTCAAAACTTCCATGTGAGTCACTATTCTCATCGATCGCATGATGTCTGCCACATGCCACTTTAGTGGTGTGCATATTGTGCCAGTTCCTTGGGCTCGGTTCTTCCTTACGCCAAGATACCAGTACGATTACCCGCATATGGTCTAAGTAGTGCGAGACGGCGGCATACACTAAACTGTAGTTTAGGTCCCGTGGCTCGGATTTTGTTCGAGGCATGTTCAAAACTTGTTGGTAATGTTTTTTTTTTTATCTACCCACTCGCCAGTCTTCAGCTATAAGCTCGTGTTCTCGAACCAGTTCTGAGGTCGGTTGTAAAGGTAGTCCAATAATGCACGATCTATATTGTTGTGCTAGCCGATGGTGGGGAAGACAGTATGAAAAGTAACCAACATCGCCGCGGCAATATTGGCCTTGACTGAGGGGAAATCTCTTCAATCCAGTTGCTAGCCCAACGTGGACGATGCTCAGGCGAGGGGCAAGCCCACGATTGTTTTGTCTTAGTGGGCTACCACACAAAATCGACTCCCCAGTGATACTTCACCAACCGACAAAAAAGCCGCGCGGTACGGACGGCACTACCAATGCACCACGTTTTCGATTGCTCCATCGGACCGCCGTCCTACTTACACTAACTCAGGTTCATCCACGACCTCGGACGAGCCGGAAACCGTGAGCATCCGGCCCACTCCAGGATTGTTAGTGCCAAGCGTGGAGAGAAATGCGCGTCATGTTAAACCACTCCGCCGGGCAATTGTCCGAAAACTCGGGTTTCGCGCAAACCCACTGTCAGCCGAAAGAACCAAGTGAACGTATCATGGGACTGATGAAGTCATAGCTGGCAACTAGTTTATAATGGTGTTGATGGTGTTGTTGTTTGCGCAGCATAAGTAGTAGTTCGCATCTAGGCGGGATGAGATCATAAGCAGTAATACGAGCTTGGAAAAACTTGAGGTGGGTGGTCCACCAGACCAGAGCTACGGAGTATAGCTCTCGAGCAGAGACAGATGCAGCACTTACAGTACACCGAAGCCCAATAACATCCGGGTCGGACTATTATGGGTAAGTTGGGCCTCTCGCCTTATCGGATCATCACATAAGTAGAGAAGTAGTGTATGCTACATCTATTGCAGATCATGCCTGTTCTTTCTTGGTAAGTCGAGTAGCTTGTCGTTACCGGACAGATGTGATTGGGCAAGTCAGCGATAGTAACAACTTGCTGGGTTAGTGTAACCGAAGGAACGTGGTTCGATTAACATTTCCTCGGTTGAAGCATGACGTTACATTCATTCTAAGCAATTGAACTGCTCGGCCCAGAGCGCATACTACAAATTAATGACTCGTAAGCGAAGGGAAGGCTGATTTACTTAGTAGTTGCCATATCCCATCATAGCCCACAAATGGAGCATAACAGCGTGAAAGTAAACGACATTCGAAAATTACAACCGAAAGCGATGAAGATTGTTGACATCTGACACCTTCGCCGTGAATAGACAAATGAAAGGACCACCAAATAGGCTATAGGCGTGTTCAGTGAAATCTCTTATACTACCGATATATGTTTTGAAACATACTTATCAACTACCAATGCATTCTACCAGACGCATACCAACAGCATTAAGCTGTGCCGTAGAGTGAAATGACCTGTAAGCTTCGCTGTCAAGCACCCAGCATGCAGATACGAACTCATCTATGTAACCGACTTGGCATGACACCACAGCAGCTAGGTATTGCTGACCGAGAGCAGAACACTTGGCATACCTTGAGAAGTCAGACGTGGTAAGCTCACTCACCGTACGTTTGCTATCTCATGGCATGTGACTGGATAGCAGCCTTGTCTAGATCTTGTCATGAGTGTCATTTGACACCCTGTCACACACCATCAGAGGCACACTCACCATCGTGGCTACGGACTTCCAGGTTAAGACTGAGACTCAACGCCGATGCGGTGAGGTCGTATGTCACAATACGGAATAGCCCGATTATTGTTATCTCATTTCAGATTGAAGGTCATTCATGATAGATCGTAACTGACTTTAATCGTAAGGTTCTCGTCAAGTTCATATTATCCTACTGACATATCGCTTCGCTCAAAGAACCCATCGCAGTGCGCTTCCAACTTTCCTCACATACGAGTACCACGTTAGGTTTCCTTTGCTCATTCACCAAATTCTAACAATTGGGTGACTTCATGAGAAATCATGACGGATAGTGTGATATACCCTCTCTCAAGTTAATCAAAATACCGGCAAAGGTAACTGCAAAAAACCAGCTACGATCCGGCTGTTGTTAGACATGTGTCGGCAGATATTACCTTCAATCTGTAAGCCCACTCGCATGACTATCGCCACCATCATCGCCAGGAGAGTCATGAGAATGGTCTAGGTATACAATTCGTCAGCCGCATATGCATCAATATGCAGGTAGACATGACAGGACGCTTTGATAACGCGGTCGCGGTTGACTCATTCTCATATACAATATGCAGTGGCACGTCGATCTTCACCCACGAGTGCGGACATACTGGCGCCTTCTCAAGCCACACATGTACCTCTCGGTGCACGGCAATGCCGGAGAGTAGATCTCATGACGTCTCACGGGCGGCGCTCGTAGCGGAATATATTGAAAGTCGGTGTTCCCGTCTCTGATCAGGAAATTTCGATGTCTTAGGTGCGCGTGGGTGTAACATGGCATGGGGAGTCGAGACAAAGCCTCCTGCGCATCTTTCCGCGGCACGAGGTGGGCGAAACCCCGAATTGTCCGGATAGGTATCTCCTCTTCAGTGGTATGTACGCGAGATGACTTCTTCGTCGTGTGCACATATTCGCGCTGCTGTGCTCCGTCATACTACTTGAAACACCTCAATGAGCTCAGCTCTTAATGTGTTAATTCATCTCAAGCATCACTACTGGGTTACATTTCAAGCCTACATATAGCAGCTATCCTGTGACCAGGTGCGCCATGGCGGCCTATTGGGCGTCTTATTAGCTCTTCTACCGAGCTGAGGATGATCAATCTTATTTCATGGTCGATTTGTCTAAGACTTCGCGCGATTGATATTGAACGTGGCAATCAAGCACTTGAGTGCACAAGTCTGAGACATCGACTGGGAATATGAAAAGAGTAGAATATTGCTTATTTCAGCCTCCATGGGTCAATGACCAACGACTAATGGGAGATATTGACTGGTTCTCTCGAACCAGCGTCAACCATGTATGAGACAGACCGTAGTTGGCGGAGGTTTCAATTAATAGTTACCTATCTATTCCGCTGATTATTTCTTCCCGTGATTGTCAGAGTGTCTGATGGAATGAATACAAGGGCTTGTGCAGTTCATACTAGCTCGCTATTCGGGATGCGCCAAAGAAGCCCGAATGATTTTCATAGGACACTATTGAGTAAAAAATGACAGTATCACAACTGGCCAATATAGTCAATGCGGGCAAGAGTTCAGGACTATCACGATATAGAATATGTAATTACAAAGTAGCTAAGCAGCAAATCTTATCACAATCCCACGCGGTAATTTTTTGGTTCTTAACATAGCTCGACCATTCTCTTATCCATGTATTTGGCGATTGTTTACAAGGGTTTGACTTGATATACATCCTTCGGTGGAAGGAAGAAATCATCTGCAGAGAGCTGTGGTTCGTCGAACGGTCCAGCAAGATCGTAAGGTTCCACCCACTTCTTAACGCCGTCGGCGGCAACTTCAGTTATTGTGTTAGGCAAGATAGCCTCGACTGATATACGAGCATTGTAGTCCAAGGAGGCCATAAGCATCCAAGCGTTGATACCGGTCATTTCCACCCTTTGTTGGAACGGGTTGACCCATTTCTGTAAAGCTTTGATCGTGTCGGCCTTGCAGAATTTCCCTCCTTGAATATACCATTGGATGACTGTAAGCTTCGAGTTAGCCTTGTTTTCTCAAAAAAGGGAAATTCAATTTAGGATACGAGAGTTCGGCTATGTAGAAGCGCTTTGTCTTGGAAAGGGGGAGGGCAGTAAACAGACAACTCAAATATCACTTACTCTGATTTGTTATGTCCTTGACCGTAGCAAAACAGCGTTCTCCAGATGTCGACTCATTCAATGGCATGGGACTGCAGAGAATCTCCTTGTACTCAAGTTCTGTTGTGTCAAAGCCTCCTTTCTTCCAAAACTTGAGAAGTTGGCCTTGGATTCGCTGTATGCGTGCAGCAATGGGCTGATGTCGACCGGCGGCATCTTTGTCTTTCGACCGGCGCGGGTCGATGATAGAGTAAGATATCAGCTTCGGGAAAAGAGGAGCCGTCTCAGGAGTACTCTCAGAGTACGATACCACCGTAACATAATCCTTGCCGTATTTGTCCTCTACCCACAAGGGCCAGATGAGCCACGGTCGCTTTTTCATATCGCCAAAGAGCTTGTACTCATACTCTTTGGGTTTTCCATATACAGGAGTGTGATAGTTTATGTCATCCAGCCTCTTAAACATGAACGCTTCAGCTGCTTTGTTGTCGCTCCAAAGCGCCGGACCGTTCGGCGCGACAACATAGACGTATCGGCGGACTAGTCCCGGCATGCACTTCCATACGTGCGAGTTCGCAATGTCCAAGGCACACATAGAGACAGGGGCGTCGCGGGAGAGCTGCAGGTTGGAAAGACCTGACCTTGAGCGGAAAGCATGCTGGACGTAACTTGGGTATGGAACATCCCGTTTCCTCCTTTTATCCTGAGGCATAGGGTCAAATGTCCCGTCGTATACAGTCCATGAGTGAGCCATGCGGAGACCGTATTCAGCTTGTCTCTTCTGTGTATTGATCGATGATTGCTCCAGAGTTGTCAGTTCTCGTGGTTCTGCAAAATAATCCTGCATATTTTCATCTTCATCGGGCTCAACCAGGGGAGTAGTCTTCTTCGGAGTGGTTGGGTTGTAATTTAGGGGGATGGGAGCCACCGGCGTGGTTGGAGCAGCGGCCTTAGGTCGACGTTGACTTGGAGGAGGAGTAAGAGGGCCTGATTGGGAGACCGGCCCTTTCACCTCACCCTTGTTTGAGGACCGCGACAACTTCGAAAAGACTAGCTCAGGGTCATGGTTCGAATTGTAGCCTTCGGAGGCATCTTTACCGGCAAAGTCGAAAATCAGTTCAACGCCGCCGGGGTGTTCATTAAGCCATTCTAGCCCGGGTCGGCTTTCCGTCTTATAAGAAGAGTGGTGGAGAGCGATACTCACTTGTGACATCCCAAATATTGTCGTTTACTACAACCCAACAGTCCTCTTTTTTATCGTGTTTCGCAACTTCCGTAGCGGTGAAGCTACCCCCACTTGCCCTCGACATGATTGAAAATTCCGGTGAAAGTTCGAGGAACGAACAAGCCGTACAGATGAGAGGTCGAGATCAATGAACAAATTCGACAATACCCAAATGAGCGGGTATGTAGCACTTGCTTGCTACAGTAACCTTCAAAGAAATCGGTTCGACTGAACTCTCTCGTATGAGGGTAGAGTCAATATTAACAACTTAAAAGGCATAGAGCAATTGGAATGGACTTATGCGAGACATCCATCTCTGAAGATTTCCCGAACTGGACATTTGGCGACACTGGTTTCGGACAGGCGGTCTTTGTCTAAAGCGAGATACAGATGCCAGACTCTTTGTCTATGGGGAACGTTTCCGCGCAAGAAGTAGGGACACATATGTTCGTAGCATTCTACATCAGGTGTTATCTATGTAATGGAGAAGAGAGCGTTCCGATCCGAATGCATCGTACCTTTCGGTTGCTGTTACATCTTGCCATGTCTCATCTAGATACGCACTTATCCTAGCGACGGACAGTGTCCTATAACTAAGGCGCATTTCTGACCTAGACACCCTTCTCATATCACCAATCGTTTAGAATAGAGCCCCATGGATCTTATTTCACACACGATTGTCAACATACCGATAATTAGATAGATAGTGATATTGGTATCAGGGTCGGTCATTCTCCTGTTTTGAGAGGCTAATAATGTATGCCGTTAAACTGTCCGACTAGTACATCTCAAATCATGATCATCTCTGCCGGCAGGGCAATTTAGATTTATACAGCAGGAAATATAGTATCATTCTTAACTATTCATCTAGAAGTAACAAGCTGTAATGACTGCTGAGGTGTCGGTGAAGATCGAATGACCTTGCTCACACCTTATTCTGTACCTAGTAAGTGGATATGCAGGTAACGCCACTAATCTATCGCTCTAAAAGGTAGACTATGTGCGTTATATGCATATATTTACAGGAATATCTTTGTAACGCGTATCAGTCGCCTGACCGCAGCGTTCTTATCAGTTAAATTGAACAGGCGCGTCTCGTAGATTACGTCGCGCCTGGGATCCCTGGTGACCCGCGTCCTGTACAATATGCAACCTCCTTATAATAGCACCTGGACCCTCTTAATCTGCTAGTCACGTCTTTCAGAGACTACATTCTACTTCTTTTCTCTGTTATTCTCTGTTACCTCAGAGAGACTCGGGGTATTGTTGACTCTGTCTCTTGTATCATACTTTTTATATAATCAGATCTACGTCGCTCCTGCTCTGTCTGTCTGTTCCCAGGAGTCGAGTGTATGAGTTGCGAGTCACCATCCCATTACAAATTACGCCGAACTGTTGCGATTGCGACCCCTCGGTATAAAGTAAAGCTAGAACGATAGAGCACTGATTGAGAAATACAATTCGTTGCTTGGTATTCGCTGTGTCTTGGGGCTGGATAACACTTGTTGGCCGAGATGGGAGAGACAAGAACGCCGGCGAAGACGCCGTTGTCGAAGAAACCCGGCTCTGCCGCGCCTCCGTCTTCGACTGCAACGCGCAAACAGCAGAGCATTCTGGGCTTCTTCGCCAAATCTTCTCCCAACGCTCCCTCCAAGTCCTCCACTACCACCACGCCGACTGCTGCCACCCCGGCACGCAGCTCCTGCCTCCAAGAAACAACAACAAAGTCCAATTCCCTTCAACTCAATAGGAGTACGAAACCTTCCAGCGTCACCCCCGTCCCCAGTAGCGATGCCATTGAACCCTCAAGCTCCCAAGAGAACCACGAAGCTACTACAGTAACCCCCGGGAACAAGGTACCTAGCCTCACCTCCCCACCACTTGCCTTGAGCTATCTCCTTTGCTAATCAACTTGCTGATGAAGAAGCGAGCTGCTCCCACAAAACTGGTCATGGGTAGTAGTCCCTCGCGTAAGGTATGCCATTTCTGATTCTAAAACCCGGCGACACTTATCATTCAGGATCCTATACACTTGTTCCTTCCACTAACCACAATGCGGGCATATTAGGCCAAGAAGACAGTCAGCTACGCTGAATCTTCCGACGATGACGATGACCAAGATATTTTTGCTGCCATGGAAGCTTCTCGCTCTCGTCGTCGCGGTCGCCAACGAGCCAAAGCAGTTGTCGAAGAGGATGAAGATGACTACCAAGAAGCGGACGACGGCGCTGCTAATGAGGAAGATGGTATGCCCTGAAGATACTAAGGAGACCCTTCGGAATAGAGAATGCTAACGTTGATGGTGGTAAGATGAAATGGCAGATTTCATAGTCTCGGACGACTCAGATGCTCCTACCAAGAAGAGAAAGCGTCCAACAAAGGCCCCAACGGCAAGAAAACGATCCCATGCCTCCTCACCACCCAGCCGGAAGCCAGAGAATAGCGACACTGAGCAGGGCGATATCGATCTTATGGATGACATACCTTCGACTTCGACTGCGCAGCAATGGGCGTACGATCCGAACAGTGTCGATCCCGTCAAAGCGAGAGCGACGCCCACGCCTAAACCTGGCAAAAACAAAGTTAAAGCACATACACGTGAACCGGAAGAGCGATACCCTTGGCTTGCTAAGATCACAGACATCAATCGCCATCCACCAGATCACCCCGACTACGATCCGTCTACTGTATATGTACCACCCAAGGCATGGAATGAATTTTCAGCTTTCGAGAAGCAGTATTGGGAGATAAAGCAGAAACTGTGGAACACGGTAGTCTTCTTCAAGAAGGGAAAATTCTATGAGCTATATGAAAACGATGCAACTATAGGTCACCAACTATTCGATCTGAAACTCACCGACCGTGTTAACATGCGCATGGTTGGTGTTCCCGAGAGCTCGTTAGAGATGTGGCAGAATCAGTTTATCGCCAAAGGGTATAAAGTGGCTCGAGTTGACCAGATGGAGACGGCTCTCGGCAAAGAGATGCGAGAAAGGGATGGCGGTAAAGCTAAGAAGCAGGACAAGATCATTCGTCGTGAACTTGCCTGCATCCTCACAGGTGGAACTCTAGTCGATGGCAGCATGCTGCAGGACGATACAGCCACATATTGCGTGGCCATCAAGGAATCCGTCATCGACGATCATCCTGCATTCGGTGTCGCCTTTGTCGATGCTGCTACTGGGCAATTCTTCATTTCCGAGTTTGAGGACGATGTAGATCTGACAAAATTCGAGACGCTGGTTGCTCAGACAAGCCCGAGAGAGCTTCTATTAGAGAAATCGCGGATATCAACTAAGGCACTTCGCATCCTAAAAAATAACACTTCGCCGACTACTATCTGGAACTATTTCAAACCAGGCACGGAGTTCTGGGAGGCTGACTTAACCCGTCGCGAGCTTGGCTGCAACGGATATTTTGCTTCGGATGACAACGAAGACGAGGAGGTGTGGCCCGAAGTCTTGTCCGAGGCTAAAGACAAGGACTTGCTTATGTCTGCACTTGGCGCTCTCGTTCAGTATTTGCGTGTACTCAAGATTGAGCGCAATTTACTATCTCAGCGGCACTTCACCTGGTACAACCCTATTCATAAGAACGGTACCCTCATTCTTGACGGCCAAACCCTAATCAACCTTGAAGTCTTTGCCAACTCTGTTAATGGCGGTAGCGAAGGCACTCTGTTCTCCTTACTTAACCGTTGCATCACACCATTTGGCAAGCGTCTGTTCCGTCAATGGGTATGCCACCCTCTCTGCAATATTCAAAAAATCAATGAGCGGTTGGACGCCGTGGATATGCTCAATGCAGATGTTAGTGTGCGTGAACAATTCTCATCTCAACTGACGAAGATGCCCGATCTTGAACGACTTTTGTCACGAATTCATGCGGGTGCTTGCCGGCCAGAGGACTTCGTCAAGGTTCTCGAGGGGTTTGAGCAGATTGAATATACGATGAGCCTTCTCAGCGCCTTCGGAGGTGGTAATGGACTTATTGACCGCCTCATATCTTCTATGCCAGACCTTAACGAGCCATTGTCATACTGGAAATCGGCTTTTGATCGTAAAAAGGCCCGTGAAGAAAAGATACTAGTACCCGAGCGTGGTATCGAAGAGGATTTTGATAATAGCCATGATACCATTGTTGACATTAAGGATGACCTACAGTCCTTGCTCGCACACAAGAAAGCCGAGCTGAAAGCCAAGTCTCTCAAGTTCACTGACGTGGGCAAGGAAGTTTACCAGATAGAAGTGCCAAAATCTGTCAAAGTTCCCAAGGATTGGCAGCAAATGTCTGCCACAGCTAGCGTCAAGCGCTACTACTTCAAGGAGCTGACTGCTCTCGTGCGAAAGCTACAGGAGGCCGAGGAAACGCACTCGCAGCTACTTCGCGAGGTATCGCTTCGGTTCTTCAAGCGCTTTGATGTCGACTATGAGATCTGGCTGCAAGCTATTCGCATCGTGTCCCAACTTGACTGCCTTGTCAGTCTTGCTAAGGCATCGTCATCCCTTGGTGAGCCTAGCTGTCGCCCTACGTTTATCGATGAGGAGCGAAGCGTAGTTGAATTCACCGAGCTTCGACATCCATGTATGCTTAATACGGTTGATGACTTCATTCCCAATGATATTGTCCTTGGGGGTGATTCTGCCAAGATCAACCTTTTAACAGGTGCCAATGCTGCTGGTAAATCTACGATTCTCCGAATGGTAAGTCTGCTATTTCTTCTCCTACTAGCACTTGAAACTAACATTAATCAGTCATGCACCGCTGTCATTATGGCTCAAATTGGCTGCTACGTGCCGGCCTCCGCAGCACGTCTGACACCCTGTGATCGTATCATGTCGCGTCTCGGCGCTAATGACAACATTTTTGCGGCGCAGTCGACATTCTTTGTTGAGCTGTCAGAAACCAAGAAGATCCTCTCAGAGGCGACACCTCGCTCTCTCGTCATTCTTGACGAACTAGGTCGGGGCACGTCTAGTTATGATGGCGTCGCAGTGGCGCAGGCCGTTCTGCATCATGTAGCTACGCATATCGGATGTATTGGCTTTTTCGCGACTCACTATCACTCCCTCGCCACGGAGTTTGAGAACCACCCGGAGATCCGCGCAAAACGGATGCAGATCCACGTCGACGACAAAAACAGACGCGTCACATTCTTGTATAAACTCGAGGACGGCGTAGCCGAGGGAAGCTTTGGCATGCATTGCGCGGCCATGTGCGGCATCGCTAATCGCGTGATCGAACGGGCCGAAGTCGCTGCTAGGGAGTGGGAGCACACGAGTAGACTTAAAGAGAGTCTTGAACGTGCTAGAGAGGGGTGCTATATACCACTGGGCATTTTGAGCGATGTGGCGACGCTTCTAGACGATGAGAAAAGCGCGGACGTCGCTGCCAGGAGTCTAGATGTCCTTGCGCGAGCTATCGAAGCCTTGTAAAATGTGTGTTTATTGTTTCTATAACCTTCTATGTCGGGATCCTCTTGAAGATTCGATCTTGTCTGACTGGAAGGTATATGTTGGGTCTGCTAAATTTGCTTGAGCGAAAAGTGCAAGGCGTTGGGGCTAGGTAGAGGCTGGAGAAATGCTTCCCGTTTATGTCGCCTGTTATACTGTTAATATGGAATCAAAACTTATCACTTCTCTCGGAAAGTTCATGGCATTCTTTATATGCTCAGTGTACTGCGAGTCGTGGACGATTGCAGATGTGTCTTGAATTGTAAACTTTCTACGCCTCGGCTTTGATTGAATGTGTGATGATAAGTCACTGTGCTCTTATCGAGGATTTGTGTTAATCTTCGCTCATACAATTTCCTACACCTTGCATCAAGGCGAAAGGTGAAAGGTCGTCACTTCATTTCAGATCCAATCCAAATGTAATAAATATGGGTTTTACTTCCACCAAGTGAGATCGAATTTGACAAAAGTTTCAAGATATTCAAGCAAGGCCTTTCTGTATACATTTCAAGCGCATTCATTCCCAGCTCTAACACGGAGCAGACCGACATGCGGACAGTACCGCATCATTTGCTATCTGCATCAATAGCCTTATCCGAGAACCTCGCATCGGATCCCTCGACATCGCTCTCGCGCGGGAACGCCTCAACAGCAATCTGATCCAAATCCCACACGGTCTCGGTCAACAGGGTCTCCTTGGCCGGGAAGAAGTAGCTCAGGGCCCAATACAGCACGATAGACACGACGAAGCCGAACATCCAGTTAAAGCTGTACAAATGCTGCAATCCGGCATTGATATGCACGGCGTCGGGACCGCTGATGCTCAGCCCTAGGCCCGGCAGCAGCGGGGCCACGGGGATGATGAACGCTACTGCGGCGCGCCAGTTACACCCGCCGATGTACCGATAGCGTCCGTCGGGATTGTATAATGCGGGGATGTCGATGTGCTGCTTCTTCACGAGCCAGAAGTCGGCGGTGATGATGCCTGCTAGCGGACCCAGGAAGACGGCGTAACCGCCTAGGAAGGCGAGGAGGGTCTCCGCGGAACTGAGGATCTTCCAGGGCACGAGCGCCCAGCCGGAGATCAGGGCGGCGATGAAGCAGCCGCGGGGAATGTTGATCCAGCGCGGGAAGAGCTGGGGTTGGACGGTCAGAGATAATGTGGGATGGGAAGTGATTTGGGAAGAAAGGAGGGTGGGGATGGGATGGGGGCGGGAGGAGAGGAATACGTACTACTGTTAGGTCGTTGGCGGCTGAGATGCTGTTCGCTGTGATGTTGGTGCCGACTTGTGCGATATACCACTGTAATACGATGAGCCGCGTTAGTATAATGATCGGCATGCCGGGAAGCTGCCCAACAAAAGGAAAATGAAATGAAATGCTTACAGCCAACGCAGCGAAAAACGCAGCAGCGCGTCCGCCGGAGCCACCATCGAGCCAGAGCGTGATGATGTCAAGGGGGTTCCAGAGGGTCTTGCCAGTGAAGACCTGTGCGGAAGACGTCGTCACGATGCCAATGACGCCGCAGATAGTGAAGAGGATGGGCATGGCCGGGAGCTGTATGAACTGGCCGTTCGGGGACCGCGCGTACCGCGTGAAGTCAGGCATGTTGACGCTCAGCGTGGACCACGTGCCTGTTATGCTGGACATGCTAGAGAGCCAGAGGTAGGCGTATTCTACGATCGTTAGCTTTTCCACAGTTTTTTGCAATTCATCTATTAATCCATGTGGATGTGGCAAGTAGGGTACTTACGCGAACCGCTCACAGTGGCATGTTGTGCAAAGATCTCACCTCCACCCCCCGCCTTCCGGACTGTCCAGCCGAGGAGCGCGAGCGCCGACGCCGGGGCCGCGACGAGTTTGACCCAGAAGAGCGGTTTTAGCTTCGTCGGGTGGATGAGCAGGAGGGGCAGCTGGATGATCCAGAACAAGAAGTAGGATATGAAGCCTTGCGTTGTGAGACCGGCTGAGGCGGGGAGGTGGTTTGGGATATCATTATATGAAGGCGCCCAGGCGCGAAGCATGATCGTTATGCATTGTGCGCCGTTTGCACCCTGCGTATCCACGCACACTTAGTGTCAGCAAGCAATCTCCAGTATCAATGATACCCTACATAGTAGAATGCTGAATGAGTATTTCATCAGGGGGTTCAGCCTCACCTGGATACCAAGCCAGAACATAGCGAGAACAGCACGACTGACGATGGAGAAGTACCGCAAATAATAACCGAAGCTGCTCGTAGCTATCACAGAAAACGGGACATGGAGCCTCGACCCGATAGCGCCGTTAAGCACAATGGGAATAGCGACAGCGAGGTTCCCGAGGAACATGATGGGGATGGCCTCACGCCATGACAGTCCGACGGCGAGGATCGCGGACGCAGTTTGCCATGTCGTGAGGTTCAGCACGTCTGTGGCCCAGTATGCGATTATACTCCAGCTGCTCCAATTCTGGTGCTCCAAGGGCGTCGGATCTAAGCACGGACTACGTATAAGTAAAAACATATAGGTTGAAAACTACCAGCGCAGCAAGACACAACGAAGTGAAGCAAAGAGTGGGAAGAAAGCCATTCGTACCCATATCCTTATTCGTCCAAACGTGACTTGGAGCCAGGGCTCCAGTCTGCTTGGGGATCTCCCATGAGTGCAGAGAGGTGCATCTCTGCTTGATCTCGGAGGCTGACGGCCTCTTCACTGTGACAATTGTCGAGTTAGGAATATCAACTTAGAGTATAACTTGGCTCTCATCTTGTAAGAAAGGTCGAGTGCACACAATGAGGATGTCAGGTCTAAGATGTAGCATACATAGATATGAATAAATGGAGATACGCACTGTTGGACACTTAAGAATGCCGGAAATGAACAAAACCAATGAGGGAAGGAATGGGGAATGTAGTATTCACATGCAAAGAAGTATTGTTTATGGAGCACCCTCTTTCATGCAGGTGAAGCGGATTTCGAGTTGTTATGAAAGATCTATACCGTCTTATCTCATGCCCTGGTCTCGACCTCACCTCAACGGTAATCTCGTGCAGTAGTATATCGGAATGCCCATGTCACACGATGTTGGTACGAGAAGCATAGTCAAGTCAGTTCAATATCTATCTCTCACACACTAGCAGCGCCACTGGTCTGTCACCGGTCAGTCACTGGTCAGTCACTGGTCAGTCACTGGTCAGTCACTGGTCAGTCACTGGCTGCGAGCAGGAATGTTGGCATCCCGTTACCTTGGGTTCTCGTCCATCCTGGGCAGTGTCTGGGACTGCCTGGGTACGGTAAATGAGTGTAAATGAGTGTCTAGATGCTGAAGTAACCGGCCAGCAAGCCAATGGCGAGAGGTCTTCTTATCTGGAGTTCTCTGGACCCCCGGCTCCCAAGTGGATAGAGAGTGATGCACGACCTTTATCCTGCCTGATAGAGATGGGAGCTGCTGTATGGTAACCTGGTTTGGGTTAAGTCGTCTCATTCCAGCTAAGTAGCGTGCCTACATAACAAATTCCCATTCTTAATGGGTGATCTTATGATATGGTATCTTGACGCTCAATTTCTCGTTTACTTGGTATGTTTCCAGATGTGCAGCACCCAGGTGATACCTACTGTATACACAAAGTCAGCCTTCTAGTCCCATGGAATGACCAAACAGGCATCATAGAAGAACTGCTTCGTATATAAGTAGGTTAGTGAATTCTAGATCCTGTTCGCACAAGGATACCTACCCTCCATGTTGTGAGGATGATCTCGGAACGGGACGGGATGGGAGCTGGGAATAGGTATGCAGGTACACAATGCCCGGTTGTTGCTTTCAGCTCGATAAGCAAATACCAGTGCTATTATGTAACAATCCAGTATATCTGCGGGTAGCATAGCACGATCCTTGTTGTCAATTGGCGCCAATTAAATTTTCCGCATTACCTACTCAACGACAAGAACCCGCGGCATCTTCGTCGTTCTCGAGTGATTTCGGAGAAGATAGCGCTCTCCAGAGACATGCCGGCATTCTTCCCGGTCTAATTGAGCGCAACAACTTCTCAATTGGCGACATGCGCCTGCCGTCATTATGAGCTTTCGGCCGGCCGGAAATATATTCCGCTCTCATCATGCTCTCGATACCATCTGCTGGCGATGCAGCCGGCAACTAAAGCCATCGTCGTCTGCCACGTCGATAGTACCCCCGCTGTCGATATCCAAGCTTTCGAGCAGGTCCTTCTCTCGTGCCGCTCCCGCCAGCCAGGCTCTCAGAGCTACACCGACCCGTCTGAAAGCGGGCTATTTCATCTCCAATGACCTATCGATACGAACCCCGGGTGGTGACGTGAAATCAGCAGACCCGGATCATATCCCACCACACCGACGACGACAGCAGCTTAAGAAGCAACAGCAAAAAGATGTAGCCTCTTCGTCGTCACAAATAGGAGGAGCCGGCGGAGCAACAGCAACCGAAGACATCCTCCCAGACAACGCATCCTCAATTCTCACAACACAGTCCACGAAACAGACTTCTTTCCGCCGCCAGCTATCCCTCTACCTCTCCCTCTCGAAGCCGCGTCTAACCGTCCTCATCGTCCTCACAGCCATGGCGCCATACGCACTATACCCCGTGCCCGACTTCATATCGCCCTCTCTCGGGCTCGACACACCATCTCTATCCCCCCTGACCCTCACCTTCCTCACCGCCGGCACGGCGCTCTGCTCCGCCAGCGCCAACGCGCTAAACATGCTCTACGAGCTCTCCTGGGACGCAATGATGAGCCGGACGCGCAACCGCCCTCTCGTGCGGGGTCTCCTCTCGCAACGCAAAGCCCTCGCCTTCGCCGTGCTCGCGGCACTAGCGGGCGTAAGCAGTCTCTACTTCGGCGTGAATCCGACCGTGGCGTTCCTCGGCGCGGCCAACATCGCGCTGTACGCAGGCGTATACACGCCCCTGAAGCGCGTGTCCTCGCTAAACACGTGGGCCGGCGCCGTGGTAGGCGGGATCCCGCCGCTGATGGGCTGGGCCGCCGCCGCGGGCGAGTACGCCACGGGCGAGGGCACCTTCCAGGAGCTCCTCCTCACCCCGCAGGCCGTGGGCGGCTGGCTTTTCGCGGCGCTGCTCTTCGCGTGGCAGTTCCCGCACTTCATGGCGCTGTCGTGGTCCATCCGCGACGAGTACCGCGCCGCGGGCCACCAGATGCTCTGCTGGATCAACCCCGCGCGCAACGGGCGCGTCGCCCTGCGGTACAGCATCGCGTTCTTCCCCATCTGCCTCGCGCTGTGCGCCGCGGGGGTCACGGAGTGGAGCTTCGCCGCCACCAGTCTCCCCGTGAATCTATGGCTCGTCCGCGAGGCCGTGCGGTTCCATCGCCACGAGGGCTTCAAGGGCTCCGCGCGCGGCCTCTTCTGGGCGAGCGTCTGGCATTTACCTGCGATAATGGTCCTCGCGCTGGTGCAGAAGAAGGACATGTGGAGCCGCGTGTGGAGGAGTGTCGTCGGGGATCCGGCTTGGGACGAGGACGAGGAATTCGATGACGACGATGAATGAATAAATTAAGTACATAAATAAATGAACAGTGTGAGAGTCAAAATGACTTACTTACTTGCTCACTCGATTGGCGTATCGAATAAGACATCGAAAAGGGAAGATGGAGTATACCCAGCGTGGATCGTGAATTCCAAAACTTGTAACATAGTACCATCTGTCTATGAACTGTACAAAATAACCCGGTGATAGAGAAACCGCAAAAACTAGAAAGCAATTCTGCCTGATACACGTCCACACATCCGATATAGTAGGCTCTTGATTCATCATTGTCAATGCTCTGTTAGTTTATTTCATTTATTCATTCATTCATTAATTCGCAATAAGCTCAAGCTCTAGTCAGTCAGCCTTTTTTTTTTTCCAAGTCTTCTCCTTTCTTTCTTCCTTCCGTATCAATCCCATCCAATTAACCCGCGATGATCTCTTAAATGCTTTGGATCATCTACTATCTTGTCCTCCCCCTCATCGCCTAACCTTGGCAACTAATGTGGTATCTATCTGGTGATGACTGACGAAAAGTGAACAGTGGTATAGGTACAGTTTATCGCCTCGCTTGCTGGATGCTTGTTCCCGAGTGAGTGAAAAAGGTAGAATGGTAGTGAGAGAGAAAATGCTGTCATTAATAAGAATAATACCAGCGATGCTGAGTCATGCGTGCTGCTCCAATTCTTGTGCCGCTTCCGTTGTTTGTTTGCTTTGCCCCTCTAGGTATCCCCATGACTGAAAGTAGGTAGAGAAGAAAAAGGAGAGGAATGCAGCCTAAGGCCCCCTAGATGCCAGAAATCAAACAACTCCTGTGTGAGAGAAGAAATGGTTACATCAAAAATAAATACCCTTTAATCCCGTCTTTCCACACGCAGGTTTTTCGTCATTTCGTCGTGTCCCCAGAAGGATTAGAAAAAAGGTATCAAGAGACTCTGTAGAACGAGCCGAAGAGTCCATAATGAAAAGATGGAGAATGAAAATGGGAAAACTTGACGTTAACTGTCAATGCACCTCCAAAGCAGTAAGAAAATAACAAACATTAAAATCCAAATGCTCAATGGCATTTACGACGCCTAAATTGCCCGTGCCCTAGTCGAACGCCACCGAGAAACTGAAAAATGCATGGTCCACATTGATTGAATGGTATCAAAAGGAGAGGGTAGCAGGAGGGAAAAAGAAAGTCATACATGCGAGGAAAAATTATAGTAAAGTGTCGCCGTATTTCGATGAGTGTCAACATGTTGTCAAATGCTAGGGGCACCGTTGTTGTGGCCGTGGCCAGGTCGGTTAATGATGGCCTCGATGCCCATGTCGACGCTAGGCAGGCGCTGGCCGTTGCCCATATAAGGTGAGCTATCTTGCGAGTGGTGATGTGGATGGCCGTGCATAGCATACCCGTGGGCTGCTGACGAGACGGATGAGCTGTAGCTCGACGAATAGCCAGCAGCAGAGCCGTAGGGAATTGCCATGGGGTGCATGCCGTAGCCGTTGCTACCGCCGGAGTGGTGCGAATGCGCGCTCGAAGCAGTCGTCTCCGGGCTGCTGTACGACGCGTCGAGGTCATCTACTGGAGTCAGACCGATGCCGGAAATACCGCTATCGTCGTCATACCCATTAATCGAGTGACCCTGTTCTAGCCGCTCACGACGGGCCGCTGAACGGGATGCCGACTGAAGATTCTTCAGGCCATTGTGCATGCACTAAGTTCCCAGATCAGTCTCGGATCTCTTTACCGCCTTTGTTGATAATTTACAGGCGAGGCGAAGGATTCAAAGATGGGATAAAAAGGGGCTCATTAGAAACATACCTTTGCCTCAACTACAGTCCACTTATCACCAGTCCGTGCGGCTAGGCCCTGCCAAATCTCCTTGCGCATGCTCATGTACTCCTTAGCGAGACGCTCCAGTTTCCTGGCGTCCCAGTCATCGGCACCCCTGCGCTCCAACAAGCGCTCATGGCGCTTGCGGCAGGCGTTTGGTGACTTAGTAGGGAAGTACGTGCTCTGGATCTGAGCCCAGTTGAGACCCTGTTGCCGGGCCGTGAGCAAGTTATGGTCGTCCTGTTGCGACCATGCGCCGGAAGAAGGCCGGTGAGGCATAGGAGGCGGCTGAGTTGGGACGGGATACTGGTCGTAGGCCTGTGCCATAGGAACCGGGGCCGCGGCCGAAGACGGGACGGCATTGTAATAATTTGTGTTCATAGGCATGGCGGTCTGGCGCGTGCTATAAGTGACGGGCATGGCCGACGGCGCCAAAGTCACGGGTAGAGGGTTTGAGTACCGGTTCTGGTTTGAACTGGATGAACGTGTATGCTTCGGCATTTTTGCGGGGGGAAATGCGAAACAAATAAGAAATGATAGTATGAATGAAAGCTTATAAGCTAGAATGAGAATATAGTAGTAGATACACGTGAGAGCATCCGCTTCAAATCAGAAACGATTAAGATTAGCGACAGGTAGATGGTCTACTTTTGCTATGCGGCTAGAAGCTGAGAAGCTAAGAAGCTGACATAGAATAGGGAGCTAGCAGTAGTGATAGTCTCGTTTTCGCCTGGAGAACTCGATAATTCCGAAATACGAAGTAGTTGGAGGCGTTGAAAAAGGTGGTTTTTGGCGCAATGATTCTCTGACTCGTATCAAACGAACGAAGATGGTGAAACGAATGGGAAAAGACTAGGAAAAGGAAACCGGGCCGAAAAGTTAGGAAAAATGAAGACAATAGGAAACGGGCGGCTTGATGGTGTAGCAGAATGGTCCGGAATGGAAAGTAAACAGGTAGACCAGGTCGCGATCTGGGCGACGCTTCTTATAACATAGCCTTCTGGACGGCCATCGTCAAGAGCGGCCATCGTCCCACGCGAGCAGGAAAACGTGTTGGTTCCGACAATGGGAGAGGGGAGCACCCAAGACTGTGAATCTGAAACATAGCCCTCATGACCCCCGTCTCTACAGTAGCATACAGTAGCGCAGATGAATGAAGACTAGAGCGACTGACAGCGTGGGGAAGGATGCAAGCAGACGAGATGAAACTTGAGCTGTGTATCTGAAAGAGCGAAGAGACGCTTGACGGGCTGCTGATATTGGCTGAAGCAGGTCGGAAGAGGCGTCTGTCTGGGAACTGGGCGGCTAGAAAAAAGGGCCCGGGGTGGTCGAGGGCGGCTAAGTGTGGGTATGACAGTCGTTCTCAAAAGGGCAAAGACACAAGCTGGGGGCGCAAATCACTGCCGTTGCAGCGTTAAAAGAAGCACGAGAAAGCACCCAGACAGGAAAGGAGAGGTAAGCGGGCCAGGCAAACGGGTCAAAAATAGAAGAAGCTTTTGCATGACGGGTGCATTCTAGGGCTGGCGGCTAACGATACCATCCAGATGCTCGCTGTATACCAGACTACCCATGAGTCGATATAGCTAGGTTAGGTGGTTACTACCGGTATGTGCTATGCGCGCGATAATGTGAACAGCCGCGGAAACGGAACCTGGCGGACACCAAAAGAAGAAGAAGCTGCAAAGCAGGGGAATACAGGCTTTCTCTTGTGGCACTATTTAGACGAATGTTGGTTCATCGAACAGCCTGCAGGCTCGTCCGTCAAGCTGCCATGATCTACACTTGGCCGTATACAGGCGCCTTGATCACATTTGTATGGGTGGGTGTACACAACTAAACACAACCGTACACAAGCCAAGACGGGTGAAGATGCTTCAGGCGAAGATTGCAACTCGTCAAATCACAAAACTGGCCATAGTGCGAGGCATACGAGAGACACTCTTCAAGACAAAGGGGGCGAAAATGGGTTTGCATATGGTAGTAGCACTTCAGGAATCGACATCTCGAGAAGTACGTGCGCGAAGACTAGGTAGGTAGAAAAGATTGAAATAGAGGAGACCAGAGACGCAGCGCACGAGCCAAAGCAAGCATGCCAGTGCGGTACCTTGCAGGAAAAGGGAGCCATACACGATGCGCTAGCGGCGGGAGCCAATTAGATGATATACCGTTGCAGCTGTACGGGGTCTTTGCCCCGGCAAGAACCGCGCATCGTTAACTTGTCCAGCAGCAGTTCGAGACTTTTGGGGGGAGAAAAGAGAAAGAGAGAGTGTGTGCGTGTCTACATAGTATGTCGGTCCCGACGGTAAAGAGCCTGATTACCTCTTCCGTGGTTTGGGTAACAGGCAATAGGCAATAGGTAATAAGGAAATGCGTGGGTATGATGGCGCTTGTTTCGAAGAAGCCAAGACAGCAACCCACCCGGTCGCATTCGTTTCGCCCTAACTTTTGCGATAGGTTCGGGTTCGGTAAGGCTCACCATCGTGGCCATCGTGGCCATCGTCTCCGATGCCGTTCGAGTGAAGAAAGCCTAGGTAGACAGGAGCGGATACTGCGTCAGAAAGAGATTAGTTGCGATGACAGAAGATTAGACGAGGCCAAGACAGCTAGCTGCCTACCGAATACGAAGCGGGAGACGAAGCGGGTAGAGAGGCTGCCACGCCAGAAAGACTAGCATCGAGAGTCTGGTCCGAGGGTAGGTAACATTGCGTCACGGTAGGATCTACATTCGACACAGATTTAGGCAAGGTATCGAACTATGTAGATAGGTGAAGTTCAAAACGGCCAAGGTGGGCATCACGATATCACGATGCGATGGCTATGATTGATGCGGGCATGGTCCGCAATATCTGCCCACCGACAGCGAGCATGGGTATCTTGTATATGCTATGGAATCGGGCAAGCACGCAGATACACGTGTAACTCCTTCCAGTTTGTTGCAGCAATGAAGCGATAAAGTAGGCAGGTAGGTACTGACTGCATGAGGTAGGTACTACCTACTTACACACAGATGTAAAGATGGTTCCTGCTCACATACTCTGGACTATGTAAGGTCATAAGGTAAGCATCATGGATCTTCTAAATAAAGTGTGTACATATAGCACGGAAGCGCGCGTCTACAAAGGCAATCTGCAGTGTCGGTACGCTAACGGGACGCTAAAGCGGAGGGGGAAGTTGAGGGGTATATCTAACGCTAGCCATCCTCAGTAAGGCTTAAGGTAGGGCTCTCATATCAGTTCATACATAAAATAATATACCTAGTATCTGCTAGTATCTAAACGCTGATAGTCGTCTCCTTGAGAGCCGAGTGGCCGAAATGGGGACTACTACAGGAACCCATAGTGGAAGAGAGGATCCTTTAGATGATCATGATTTCCAGCGGGGTAATGAGGTGGATTTACCAGTATAATACTTCAATACCCCGGTCTGCCCGGGCCATCTTCTAGCGATCTTCTGGCAGGTGTCGATGTCATGGCAGAATCGCCGGCGACCGCTAGATATCATACCTTATAGAAGGTACCTATAGGGACACTGGCAAGTATTTTCACTGGATTTTCAGAATGCATCGAGTTTAGGCATTTTGGAGTTTTCTCATTGGCCCCTGTTGTCCGCTTGTTCTCCCTCGTTGGCTGCAAGAACATCCTGGCTGCATTTTCTGCACCCAAGCTACACCGATGGGTGTACCTGGCAGACCTGGGTAATCCCTGGCTGATCCTTCGGTTAGTCTAGGCAATCCTGGGAGTGGGACGGTAGAGACCAAAGCCAATGTGGGAGAGGATGGCATGATGCTCGCGCCGTGTAGTCGTGCTGGATTCCAGCTAGATGTAGAGACAGACAGACAGACAGACATAAAGAAAGAAAGAAAGAGACATCACTCGTCACCGCCCGGGTCTGAATATAGAATCACCAAAGGGCATCTATCCATGGATGCGAGAGATGCGGGACGTGTCCTGAAAGCGCTTGCCCGCCTACCCTGAAATAGCTGCCGTCTTTACACCATCGTGCAAGCGAGCGCTTGTGCGCGTATCATGTATCATTGGGCTCGCAAGCATCCACGATCGGAAAATCTATCATCATTGAACATTCGAAGCGGCTTGCGGTACTGTTTCAAAATACCTCTTGTAGGGTGACAATGAACACCAGAAACACACCTATTCGAGCCATGAATTGGTTCAGCACGTGTTCGCCCCCATCAGGGACCTGGCAGTCTCCATTGGGGGCCTTCCAAAGTCCAGCCTCTTTCTCCAAGACTCTCCAGTAACTCGCCCAATCTCAAATTCTCCAACTGGCTGGTTACCGGCCCGTCCCTCGACCGGATCACCCATACATCGTCAACGGGGTATCCATCTGGGGGCCGAAAGTGTGTACATCATCATCCCGTTAGTCTCAGCGCACTTTTTACGGCCATCTGTCAACCCATACGCCGCCCTACGCTACCTATCTACGAGAGCTCCGTGTTTCACAGGTTGCCGCGACCGGTCACCCATTTTCCTTGACCTCTATTCCCACGTTGTTGGGATACTGACATGCCATCATTCGCCTTCATTATCTAGCGGCATGGCGCACCATCGAGAAAAAACGGCCTTGTTGGTACATTCGTTGGCCGGTCGTCGCTCATGTCTGCAACGGCGGCATCCTTCCCGTTAGAATAGGCTTTCGAGAAGCATGGCGTCTGCCATGTACTACGTATCTCGAAACTCCCGGTGCGAAGCCGTTCCATTTTGCACTCTCTAACTGGCTGCGAGCCATGTCAAGAGAAGTAACGCCTCACAATGGCAAGGCTACAAAAGTTCCTCAATAGTAGTGTAGCTGGTACACCTTGCGTTTCTCATCCTACTAAACCCTCGAACGTGCTGACGAGGGTGGAATTGGAGAATTGCTAACATCGTACGCACTTGAATGTCTTGAATCATCCTCCCGATCGGAGAATCACCTAGCCCGCCCCTGCATACTTCAAAGTTCCACTGGTGTAAAACCCCCTGGTGCTCTACAACATGTCTGCCGACTTGGGATGACAAGGCGTATTCGGCGCTTCACAAGGCGGAAACGAACACCACGGTGTCTACTCATTCACCCCATGCAACTAATAATCTGACGTGGGACTATTCCGTCCCGCTTTTCGGCTATCTATCCGTACATTTACTAATGTCTCAACAACAAGTGTAGAACTTCTGTATGGTGGTCAACATCAACGCCAGCGCCATGAACAGGACACCCCAAAAGTGAACAATGTCATTCCGTGCCTGACCTTCGATGGATTTTGTTCCGCGGTTATCAATTGCTGATTAACACTGAAATTAACCTAGAATAACTAATTATTTGTTTCGCGACCCAATGATAGCAGAAACGCATTGAGGCTAAATGCACTTAGTTCTGTCCTCCCAGCTGAAAACTATCTACTGCTACAAGGGTAGGTATCTCTTCGCACGAAGCCACATCGCCAACTACTATCGATTACGAGGGGCGTATGAGAGACACATAGCTGGATGATCGATGTAGAGGCTTTCTATTCCCTCTCTATTCTTACGAAATACAAATGTGCAGTTTAAATAAGTTGTAATTGCTAAAAGTTTAATTGCCCGCCATTATCGTACACTAAGAGTTATCATCAAGCACTCAGTCCCAGGTTCACTTCTGCACATGAAATGTTCATCCAGAAATCCCTCCCCGCATTTCATTTATCCCATCCCCTTGTCTAGTTGCGCATACCTTTGATGTTGCGGATGAACATGATTCGTCTAAAGAGGCAATAGCGTACAGGGTCTTGCGCCATTCAGCATGGCATCAGACTAGCATCTACACCTGCAATTCTATAATTCACTCAGCCGGTGTGGTCAGATCAGATAGGCGAGAACATGATCCCCCGCAGCGGAATAACTCGAGACGCAGGCATGAGGTTGATTCATTTAATATCGCCTTGCTCGATGGTAACGGTGGCCTCTTAGCTATTCAATTCCTTGCTCTGCATTCGATACCCAATATCCAGCATTACTCTACCATAAGCCAAGAGTAGCCAAGAGAAAGTCATTGTTGAAGCTCAAGGTCTTCCGTATCAAAGCAACTACATACTTTCAAGAAACCTCCAGCTTATAATGGGAGCAGGCGTGGACAACGCGGCCGTTTACGATGCCGCCTTGAAGAGACGCCAGGGCATGATGGGTGCCTCAGGTCCCATGGCTCTAGTCAAGAACTTCAAAGTATTCAGGATCGCCCTCTTCGCTTGTATCGGTGGCGTGCTATACGGGTACAACCAGGGGATGTTCTCCGGCCTCCTAGCAATGCCCGCTTTCCAATCTCGTCAGTGCTATACACCAATTCGCTCTATTCGCGGTGAAGCGTAATTACTAATAAGTGGCAAGACATGGGCGAATACGATCCCTTCGATCCTACCGCCGACCAGACGAAGAAAGGCTGGCTGACAGCTATCCTCGAACTGGGAGCTTGGATCGGGACCCTCATGTCGGGCTTCATTGCCGAGACCATATCCCGCAAATACGGCGTGCTCGTCGCCGTCTCGGTTTTCGTGCTGGGCGTTATCGTCCAAGCTACTGCGCAGACCACCGGACACAATGGGATCCTAGCAGGTAGATTTGTGACTGGCATGGGCGTCGGCTCGCTCGCGGCAATTGTCCCGATTTACAATTCCGAAGTAGCACCACCCGAGGTCCGCGGCGCTCTGGTCGCCTTGCAGCAACTCGCCATCACGTTCGGCATCTTGATCAGCTTCTGGATCGACTATGGCACAAATTACATCGGTGGCACGACGCTTGGAAAACAGAAGGATGCCGCGTGGTTGGTGCCGATCTGTCTGCAGCTTTTCCCAGCTGCTGTTCTGTTTTTCGGGATGCTTTTCAGTACGTAGACACCCACTTACTTTGTCTCTTATGGTTATCCATCTTTAATTTAGAGAGACGAGTCAAGCTAGCTAACTCCAGTACCTCAAGTGCCATTCTCCCCACGTTGGCTCGTCCACCACGACCGCGAAGCAGAAGCACGGAATGTCCTAGCTAATCTTCGCGGACTTACTGTCGACAACGAATTGGTCGAACTCGAGTTCCTTGAGATCAAAGCGCAGTCACAGTTCGAGAAGCGAACCGGTAAGTTTCAACGTAGCAGTTTCATTCTTCTTCGGTTGGAATCAACCTACCACATACTTCCTGTACATTCGACTGGAAACGCTAACAGGGAGCCCTAGTTGCCGAACATTTCCCTCATCTCCGCGAGCCAACAGCCTGGAACATATTCAAGCTACAATTCGTCGCCATCAAGTCTCTTTTCCAAACTAAAGCAATGTTCAGGCGCGTTGTCGTCGCAACAGTGACCATGTTCTTCCAGCAGTGGACAGGCATAAACGCAGTGCTATACTATGTAGCTCTCCCCCATCATCATCACCACCTCCTGAAATGCAAAACTAGCTAACCTCAAGAATCGGATATATGTAGGCCCCTAGTATTTTCATGTCGCTCGGCTTAAGCGACAACACAACCAGCCTACTAGCCACAGGCGTCGTAGGCATTCTCCTGTTCGTCTTCACTATCCCGGCAGTCCTGTGGATCGACCGCGTCGGCCGGAAGCCCGTCCTCACGGTCGGCGCCATCGGAATGGCGACTTGCCACATCATCATCTCAGTTATCATCGCCAAGGACGCGGACCGATGGGCGTCGGAGACGGCTGCTGGCTGGGCCGCTGTTGCCTTTGTGTGGATCTTCGTCATCAACTTTGGTTACTCGTGGGGTCCCTGCGCGTGGATTATCATCGCTGAGATTTGGCCGCTCAGCTCACGGCCTTACGGCGTCACGCTTGGCGCGTCGTCGAATTGGGCGAACAATTTCAGTAAGTTGATAAGTTCGATCTTAAATGTGTGATGTTTCTCACGTGAATATAGTTGTCGGACAAGTCACCCCTGAACTGCTGAATAAGGCTGGTTATGGCACTTATATCTTGTTTGGTCTACTGACTTACTTGGGCGCCGGGTTCATTTGGTTCTTTGTAAGTAATTCCTGCTCCACTCTCATTATGCATAATTCAAGATATAAGAGGGCTAATGCATCAATACCTAGATCCCTGAAACCAAGAGACTCACACTAGAAGAAATGGTATGTCAATTTATACAGAACTACGATTCCCATTATTCTCTTATGCTAATGTGAATCTTTATCAGGATGTCATCTTCGGTTCAGAAGGTACAGCTCAAGCCGACTTCGAGCGCATGGAAGAGATCAACCGTGAGATTGGGCTTACGGCAATGCTTATGGGGCTGAACGGCAGCGACAGTAAACACGATGGCGGCTCTGAGAAGAAATCGAAGGAAGAGGAAGCAGGCCATATTAATTAAGGATACCCGGGATATCCTTAATGGTTGTTTGTTAGCTTTGCAGATCGTTACTACGGGTTCTTACAACAATCGTAAACAACAAGGAACTGTGCTTGGCCGCGGTTCCAGTTAGAGACGTGGTGCCTCACGATGCATATTTATGCACTACAGTACCAGATTGGATAGGAGACATATTCGAGAGCACCAGGTCAGTAGTAGCTTTTCTATGAACAAGATAGAGTTTCAACTTTATTTATATGCTACTAAATGATGATTGGGTTTGATGCTCGTAGCAAGGATATTGGTGTGAATAGGGAAAGTGCCTCGCCTAGGGTAGCTTGACTACACAAGCGATGAGATTCAATTATCTCGTCTAAGAGAACATAAACCCTCGTGGTACTGGTACGTTATCCTAAGCCCACTCTAGCACCTTCATCGCTTAACCAAGAATTTCTCTATCATAAAACAGTTGAAAGAAAAAGAATAGAAGTGATAGAAGAGATTCGCTTCGAAAAAATAAAAACAAAAGCTATTATAAGTAGTCGTCGTGGAGCTCGTGAGGTTCTTCATGACGTATCTAAGAATGGTAATTTCTGTCGCGATCGATTGACTGCTTAGATAGTCAACCATAAGAAACTGAATGCAGTGGCTACATTCCTGCCGGCAATTACTCTAGTCTGATGGAACATTAGCTTGTTGCTTTGGCTTTATCTTAGCGATTTTCCGAACCAGTGCGTCTAGCGTCGACTATGCTCAAGAATGTCTCAGATTTGCTTGTCCGAATGCGATGCTGGGCTTTGTTCGCCACCGAAGTAGCTTCGGGGTCGGGGTGCAGAAAACCGGTATGTCTTGGGACGGCTCAGGCGAAGAGATGAAAGGAATAGGAATGCAATCGTTCCAGGACCAACATGCGATAACCAGATACGCTTTCGTAATGTAGGAGTAATCCCCCCTTGTTCGTTTTCTTTGTCGCGGCAACTGTCGTTATCTCTTTTCTCACGTACGTCGCTTCTTCCTTGTTCCTGATACATCTCGGTCTGAGCTTCCCTCAAGGTGCCTGGACGGACCAATTGCCACGCACATAAGTATTGTCGTGAAAGAGCTGTACTTCACATGGAGAGTGTCTTCAGGGTATGATCACGCTACTTGTTACATTGAGGAAGGGAGCAAGACTACGTCGCAATCCCTACGATCTACCCATACCGAAGAAGCAAAACCCATTGAAGGCGCAGCAATCCAATACCAGGAGAGCGAGTTTATTGTCACGGTTAAAGCCAACTACAGAGAACACAGCCGAAGTGCAAGCAAAGATGGGGTTTGTAGAGGAAAATGACATCGAGGAGATATTGGCGGACGATGAGTTCCCCACGGACAGCGATGAAATGAGCGTCGACTCCGACGAGCAGCCAAGCGAAGACGAGGCTATCATAACCCTCCAACCCAAAATCCCCTTCTCACAAAGGGCTAATGCTCTTATCCAGCCGGGAGACAAGCAGTTTCAAAAGATCGAGAATTACTTCTTCTCGCTTCTAAGCAACCCGGAGATGTCAGTCGATGGCATTCTTGAGGGCACATTCGATGACCACGAGATCATGCTCATTACGCCCCAGTCGGAACCCCTGGATGTCGTTCGGTTCCAGCTGAGGAACGCCCAGCGCTATTATGAGAATCTCGAGACGCGATTCAAAGGGCACACTGAGACTCTGGCTTTCAAGATGACTTGCCTTTACTTTGGATTGCCGGTTGCGCCGATGCGTTCAGGAACGTCGTTGTTTTCTATGTCGCCTGATCCGAGCACGCTCGAGACGAGCGCTGCGTCAAAGCCCAATCCACTCCAGTTTCTAGAGAAGCACGACAATGAGGATGAATGTAAGTTTTTGTTGAGCGCGCACTAACTCTGTCCTCGTAAATGATGATCCAAGTTAAACAATTCCTCTATAGCTATCCACGGCGCGAATACTCTCAGTCTACGTGGCGGAACTGGCGATTACGAAGGCGACGATGGAATGAGAGGTCTTTTCACCCCAATAGACACCCCGAAAGAATTTGCTTTTGAATTCGGTAAAGGGATCAAGGTAGAGGAGGATCTCAACTATGTTTTCAGAAACTCCGTAAACACATCAAAGGAAGCGAAAAGGGCGCGCGAGCTACGTAATCGCTCTTTCACACAAGTCAGCACGATATTCACCAACCCCTTGAAGCCGGTGATGCCGCTCGACGGACCGCCCTTGGAGTCAGTTATCAAAACGGGGCCGAGCATGCCTGGCGTGACGATTGCCATGTTGACGCCAACGGAGGTGCTTCGTCTGCAACAGGAGGTCCACTCTCTGCGGTTCCAGCTCCTTGACAGAACCCGAGAGTGTCCCTATGCAGACTGCGAGCGATATTTCACATTCTCTGATGGCGCCGGCCTCGACCAGCACATAAGAGAGGATCACGCTGTTCTACGCTGTTTCCTCTGTGGCAAGAATTCAAACCTCTTACCTTACTACGACACAAACAGGATCAAGGAGCACTTTGTCACAGAGCATCTCAAAGACATCTTGAGGGTTTATACCCCGGAAAGACTTACCAGGATCCCATCAGAAGAGACTGAGTACGAAAGTGTTGAAATCTCCGAGGAAGATGATTCACCCCCAGGACCGTTCTTCCGCTACCATCCAGACGACGAGAGGCTCTGGAACCCCAAGACCAGGCCCGCTTGGGAAAGGGTCGTGAATCTGATCAAAGCTGGCAAGGACCCGTGGGACAAGAGAGAGGGAATCCGATCGGAAAATACCAAGAAAAAAGAAGAAGAGGTGCAGGCAGCCAAGCGGATGACCCCGCCTGTTCAAACTGTTCCTGCGGTTAAGGACAAAAGCAAAGATTCCGGGGTGTCCTTTTCAGTCGTCGAGCCCCTATTGAGCCCTGCCTATTCAGACGTCGGCAAGACACCTTCCAACCTCGTGCCTAAGGCAACCACTCCCACTCGCAGTGTAAAGACACCAAAAACCGCAGCACTAAGGACCCCAGAGACGACACCACCCAAGACCCCCAAAACCCCCAAAGCTGCAGTGCCCAAAACACCACTGAGCGCAGTGCGGAAGGCACCTCCGCCACCGGCCGAGCCAGAGTCAATGTCGTTCGAAGCACCCGTAAGAGCAGGGCACGAGCGCAAGACAGCGAAGCCCACCATAACCAAGAGCAAGACCGAAGACGGGCGGGCCGAGATCTTCACGCTCGTGAACCCGTCGCCCTCGACGTTCGAGAAGAACGGGGCCTGGATCAAGGGGGTGCTAGAGCGGTACGTGGCGGCGGACGGGGCGACGCTGTACGGCGTGGACAACGACTCGGACACGGACTCGCCGCCGGGGAAAAAGGGGTACAAGATCTTCACGGCGATAAACACGGCGCCGGGCACGTTCGAGGAGAACGCCAAGTTCATCCGGGAGCAGCTGCAGCAGTATGTCGCCGAGGGGGGCGAGCTCCCCAGCATCAAGGACGACTGGGCCAGCAAACAAGGCGATCGAAAAAGCACTAACAATGACAGTCCTTCGAAGAAGGGGAAGCGCAAGAGAAGAGCCGCGACGGGATACTCGCAGCTCACGGGCTCGGACATAGATGAATACGAGTACTCCGAGAAGAGCGCCGTATCAGACGGACCCGAGAACCTCTCGGACGTAGCGCCGCCTCCGGCGAAGAGGGTTAACACGGCGGCTGCGAATGCGATGTCGACGTACGTCCCTGTGCCTGCGCCCGAGGGGATCGAGGACTGGAGTTTGAGTTCGCCTTCGTCGAACGAGGAAGAGGAGGAGGGATGGGTAATGGGGTGGTGAAAAGGGGGAGCGTAAAGGAAAAGGAAAGGAAAGTTGTGAAGGGAAATGAGAATTGATGGATAGAGGGATGGAGAAGGGGGATTTGTTATCAGTCAGAGGAATAAGTGAGTGAGATACCTAGCTTTTAGGAAATGTGCATAAGATACGAAAGTGATATAAGGAAGTATGGGAGAAGACGAAAAGCATTCCCTTTTGACCTCGTCGGGTGTATCGCTCGCACGATGGCTTTTCGATACAGGCTGGGTTAGGTACAGCCAATGTTATTCATCCGTAGCCAAATTCCATTTGTTACTTGTAAGATAGATACTAAGCAGATGGGATAAAGCCTCACATATTCCCACCCAAGTTTTCCATGCTCGTGAGTATAACTATAGCCTGTCTGTCATAGATGTGACGCCGCTAGTATGAGGAGGGTATTGCAATGTAGGGTTAACTCAAGTTCTTTATGACCACTAGCCAGCCTTTCCGTCCCGAGAAGCCTGCTTTTCCTTTGAGTATTCCTTTCTTCCCGTTCCAAGCATCATTGCGCTATTCTTTCCTGCCCTCTCTATGCACGGTTGTGGTACGTACATGCGTAGACACAGTGTTGCTTAAGTAATATGTATTCATGCTGATGGGTTGTGCCCTGACGGATTGCATATCTGAACCACCCAAGTGCTTCTCGAGACCAAATCCATACATAGTCCAAGTTCTATGAATAAATATACAGAAAAAGCTCGCAGAATCTAGTCACGAAGTATTGGAACAATATACCAAGGAGGTAGTCAATAGACATTACTATCAGAGGAATTGATACTACATATTGAAATGGCTATTTCTCTGCTATATCCTGACTTACCTACTATACAATTCTGAAAAACGAGAAGATGCCTTATGTGAATGTCTATTGCTGATCCTTGTAATAACAACTCTTGATATCCTCATTTGTGCCCCAATATAAAAATATGTGGACTTACACAGCATTCTTAAAAACAAGGATATGTCACCAAATGAAGAAGGTACTCATATGAAGTAAATCAATGCTAAATATTACAAAATACCTCACCCCTGCCCCAAGCATTTTTCTCATCTCAAGATCTTAGAATCTTAGAATGGACGTAGAGCAACTACTTCATGCACGTTATGCACTGATTCACCATCTGTCTTACTAAACGCGAAACTCAGCTGTGTGGTATCTCAAATACAAAGAAAGCATTAATTTTTTCTCCCTTTTCCAACCCATTAAAAGGCTCCCCCATTCCGTCAAGCTCTCTTGCATGCGTAGTTCTTAGGTTGTTCCCACAGCGCCATCAAATAGCTTAAGTAAGGCCGTATGCTTAGAATGTAGCAAAGGTTAAGCCCGTCACATGACAGGCTGGGGACAGCGCTTCGCCAGCACCCGTATGTTATCTATCAAACCATCGACTAGATCTGTATACCTGTTTGGTTCGCCCTTCATGAGTAGGTGGCCATGATCGTACAACACACGAGAATCGAGCTCGATTTCTAGTTCGTGCTCCTTGGACGGCGCACCAGCCTGCCCTTGTGGGCCTACAGTTTCTCGTGTAACTTGCGTCAGATCGATCTGATAAAACCCGTGAGTGTAGCTCAGCCTGTCCTTATTGCGGTCAGGCTGTCGATCCTTGTTTGGGATCTGGTTCTGTTCGATCTCTTGCGCAGGGCCGTCCCAGTCCCATTCAATATTGACACTGATTCGGCAGTCCAAGGGCATATGGGCCATGTGGATGTGAATGTCGGCAACCCTTGCCTTCACGATCTTAGCAATTACATTCCCTGTCTTTTGATCATACGAGACTCGAGCTTTCAGTGGCCCATTCTGCTGGAGTAGGTTGGCGACGGAAGGTGGTATTCTTTGGCGTAAATGAGCTGGCAGGTCAAAGAATCGGTCCGTCTGGCGGCGGTGAACGTATTGTACAGGGACTCGGGGCTCGGCCGTTGAGCGAGCAAACGAAGCTTTGACCTGATCATTTAGATACTCATTAAATCCCTGATGTTGATTCTGTAATACATATCAATTAGCTCAATAGTTTAAGACAAAAGGCCATTGCATATGCAAGAGCGGATAATTGGAATGGTTAGATATGGCATACCTCGGTCATAGAACTACGGAAGGCTATCCTAGCCTCTTCACCAATGATGCACTCGCCTCCCTGGATCCTCAATTCAACGCGATCATTTGTACTCTTGTCAATGATGGTACCAAGCTTTGCCTCAATCTCAAACGTGGCGCCACGTGCACGCAACTCAGCAGGGTTGGGACCTTGCAAGACGTTGTAGACGAAAAAATCGGCAATGGTGCGGGATATGAAGTCGATAGGTTTTGAGCCTTCGATACTAGGCTCCCATGGGAAAGGCTGCCCTCCAAATGTCAAGGAGCTTTTCGCTGCGACTTGATTGGGCTCTTCCCTGGCCAGTGTGGTCGATCGTGCAGTCTCCGGAGAGGTGTGTCGGGACACATGCTCGGTCCTCGTAGTCGCACTGGGTTCAGGATGCGTACCGTTGACGGAGGCGGCCGAGCTGGGAGCCACTGTCTTATGTTGCTTGATTGAATAGTTGCGGCTTGCAGCGAGTGTTCGTTTACGGCCAGATTGAGCCCAGGTAGGCGCTGCGCTGTGTATAATGCGCTTTTTTCGAGGCATGGTGGGTGACGTAGACGAAGGTTGAGAAGGAGGCGCGTGATTGCCGTTTAGCTTTGGAGGAGGCGGTGGTTGGCGTTGATTCTCCACCTCGTCCGGTCGCAAATCTCGGTCGTCTAATTTTCTCTTGGCAGGGGTGGCCATATCGCGCTGTGATTCCGTGTTTGCCACGGAACCCACAGGAGGATGAGGTTGCAAACGTTGCTGAGAGTGGAATGAGTCCTGCTCGTTAGATGCAGACTGGCCGGTGCTACTAGGTAAACTGGGCACGCGTGTCTTTGGTGAGACACTAATACTTCTTTCACGTTCGCTTCGGGATTGTTGTGACTGAGATCTTCTTTGAGATTCACTGACTGCGTCATACGCACTGTGTCCGACGCTCGGCAATCGGGATATGGAAGCCGGTGGAGGAGGTGGAGGCGATGCTTTCACCATTTGTTGGTACGATTGTGAGGTTGATGTTATGCGTTGCTGGTATGGGCTAGGTGGTTGCTGGTAACTCGCAGCGGGTGACTGCCGAGGAGGAGCGGTCATAGGTGGCCCTAGAGGCGTAGCAGGTTGAGGCGACTGATGCCGATGGTGTTGTTGATCAAGGTGAGAGGGTGGACCATGATGTATTGCGACAGGACTGCTTTGGCCATACGGAGGATAGGATGGCTGTTGGTTGTGTGCAGACGTAGGCGTCGACGCCGAGTGGATGGAGAGAGACCGTTGGTGTAGATATTGGTGACTTCCACCGGGAATACCGATAGGTGGTGTTTGAGGTATTGGTTGCTGTTGGTGTTGTGGGTGTTGCTGTGGCGGTTGATGTTGCTGCCCTTGACTTTGGGGGTAAGAGACCGACCCATGCGAGCCGGTGGGGGTTTGAGAAGAATAGCTGTCGCGCGAATAGCTCGAAGGACCGTATTGATGGCGTTGCCCAGGGCTTGCCGGCGGCTGTTGAGTAGGTGGAAACGGGTAGCCAGCTGTACTACCACCGCTCACGGAGGATGTAGGAGTCTGACGATACGGTGAAGGACCGGACAATGACGCGCTACCAGGAGATCGTATATCGTGGGGAGCCAGTGGCTGGAGTGGGGGAACCGACGGCCTGCCCGAGTATGGGCCGGTGGGCGAAGAATGACGATAGCTTGTGGGTGAGGCGTATGGCGCTGGTCCAGGACCTGCCGAAGGTGGGTTGTGATTTGGGTGACTATGCGGAGGGTATTCACGTGGTTGGGAGACGGGAGACGCGTGGGTCGAGTGACTGTAATCGCGGAATGAATGCGGCGGCGGCGGTGGAGCTGTCTGACCGGGCGTCCCAGGTGTCGTTGGGACTGGACCAACAGATGAAGTCGACATGGACGGATGAGCTGGCGGCGGTGGAGGAGCTGCCCTTGACCGATCACTAGCAGATCCTCCGCCGTCGGTATTTAACATGGCGCGTAAATCCATTTCTCAAGGTCTAGTGGTCCTCGCGCGCGCAAAGAGCCATGCAATAGCGCAGCACTGATTTGCGCGCGCGCAAACGACGTATGCACAATGCAAACAACGAAGGGAAAAGCACGTCGGCGGCCTTTGCTTTCTCGTTTTGCTTTTTTTTCTTAGTCCTTACTCGCTCTATCGAATTCTGTCTATGCTCATATCAATGTTCACGCCCGGTCCCAGTCTAAGGGTATGAAATCTGGCTCGTCTGCACTCGGCTGGACTCGACTGGACTCGACTGGTAGCTAGTGATGCGTGGTGTCATAGACACAATCACGTAGGCTATGGCTCATGGCCCGTGTCTAGATAGTATCGTGGCCGCGTGGCGGAAACAAAGCAACCCGGGAGGACGATAGCGTGTGTTACGCCAGACAAAGTAACTGACACGTATGGAATCGATGAAGCGGCGCGCAAACGACGTTGGTGGGGAGTCGGGGGTTCTGTTATATGTACATAGACAGATAGATCGGTTGGAAGGGTATTACTTGGGACCAACCACAGCGGTCGTCATGGACAGAATTAGTGCAGTCGATCTGGATTCTCGAACACGATGGATTCAATTGATCGGGTACATGATATGATGAGCAAGAAAGTCGGAATGGAGAGAAAAGCCGATGGTTGCACGGCGCGCCTGAGTATCGATAAGCACTGTCGGAGGACAGGTTCTGTTACGGGAGGCAGTTGTTGGAAGTCTAGATGCTGTCGGGCTGGGTTGCTGGACGTGGTCGCAAGAGAAGCGTGGTGATGGCGATGGTGGGAGATGAGAAGACTTCGAGGCAGCGGTCGATGCGATGCGACGGGGAATTAAATGAGGGTCTGTGAGGGCGGACGGGCGGGCGTGCGTACGTGAGTTGCGTGGGTGCGGTGCGGTGGTGCGGTGTTGCGTGCGGCGGCGGCGGCGGTGGTGGTGGTGAAGGTGAGCGAGCTGCAGTCCAGTCCAGTCCGTCGGCGATGGTTGGTTGGCGGACGGCGGATTGACGGTTTGGCAGTTGGCGACACTGAGCAAAATCGCAGAGCTACCTACCTACTATGTAAGTACAGTTCGGTTACTGGTTGGGCCACTGATATATCGTAGTAGGTGCAAAAAGTACAAAGTGGCTACAAGACCCTAAAGTACCCTTGTTACGTCTAGACAAGTACCTGAAGCTACCAATAAGAGTGGATGGAAGAACCTTTCATGTTGAAGTGCCATCAATGGAGCAATATATAAGGAAACTCTAGAGTTCCCTATGAACTAAGTGCTTAGGTATCTACTCTTGACGGTAGGTAGATGATCATACACAGGTCTGTATAAGTATGTATAGGTATGTACAGGTAAGCAAAAGAGCCTCAATATTGGGCTTCCAGTATGTAAGTATGTACTGGACTGGGGACCACTTGTATGATGCCTACTACGTACTACATAGTAGGTACCTCCTGGATGTCCCTTCATCTGCCGAAATGAAATACGACGTTATGTGATCCACCGCTGAGTAGATACCTAGTAGCTAGAACACCTGGTCTGACCAGGGAAGAATTCCATGTGTATACTACGTACACGTATATACAAAGAACTCAGGAGGCTGTTGTTCATTGCCTAAGTAGGTACTGGTCTGGTACTGGGCATGGCCCCCAATTGAACCCAAGGTTGATCTTATCTACCTCCAGCCTTATTTTATGTAGATAGCTTCGCTCCCCTACATGTGCATTCAAGATGCCCAAAACTTACCGGGAGAACAGGATCAATCGTCTTCCTATTATACTACCGTAGTCCAGGCTAACCTTTTCCCGCTCTGAAGCTGCCTTTCAGATAGATACTCTTCAATCACTGGCTGGAGCTCCGTTAGCCGCATAGTTTTATAACTTCAGATGCTATTAGTGGGTGGAGAAGACGACAGAGTCTCGGAATGGACTCATAGCTCCCAAGGAGATGTGGCGGTGCAGCTGGAGAAGACAGATAGTATACATGATCTCTGTATTCCGACAACACCATTGGCCATCTTGAAATGCCTGATCCCTATTGATGAATGGCATCCCATTGACTTCCAGGTTATATATCTGTATGTAGCCAAACCTAGGTAGGGCAGTAGATAAGAGCCCGATAAGAAATAGCTGGCTGGCAGGTAGCAGCTGGAGCTGGAGGTTACTGCAGGCAGAGCTCTGTCTGACGTGGACATTCTAGGTACCTCCTCGTAGGCTACAATTCGCACCACGGAAGAAGTACCAACCACTTCACCACAGGCACCGCTGTCAGACAGAAATCACTCCAACTTGCCGATTCCATCCCCATCCGTCATCACCACCATCGCCGCCATCATCACCATCACCATCGCCATCACCATCACCGTCCGCATCCATATACCTATTTGCTGAATGCAAATACTCACATCTCATGCGATCCGGCACACCAGTTTCCATCTATAGACCGGTGCATTTATTTCTTCAATTGTCAATTCCGTCGTCCTGATTACTATATACCAACCTGCAACCCTCCCACACGACCACAGTCTCACCCACACACTCACCCACACACGGGCGCCCGCATCTCTAAGTCTCCTAGACATGGCTGCGCTCGTGACTGCCACCGGTGTGCTGGCCTTGCTGGCTGACGAGGAAGTTGAGCTCAAGGTCTTTGCCCTGCAAACTCTCAACGAAGATATCGACACTGTTTGGTTCGAGGTGGCTCCCGCCGTAACCGATATGTATGTTGCTAGACATGACCCATTTTGTTGTATTCTGTTCCATCTCAACTCTCTCAACCCCATCCTTGAATCAAAACCCAACTTCAAGTACACATCGTATTTCTTAGCTGACGTTGTTACCTCCTCTCTTTAGTGAGGCGCTCTATGAAGATGAATCCTTCCCCGAACGCAAGCTAGCCGCCCTCGTGCTGTCCAAGGTTTATTTCCACCTCCAGGCCTACGATGAGAGCATGTTCTTTGCATTGGCTGCCGGCGATCTCTTCAAGCTCGATAACCCTGGCGAATTTGAAGAGACCATCATCTCTAAATGCGTCGACCACTATATCGGCACCAAGCCCAAGAGCGAATCCTACACCGTTTCCGATGAGGACGATGGCGTCGCCTCTCCGCCCTCCCTCGCTACTGCTTTTGCCACAGGCACTTCTGATAGCAACGCATCTGCTCTCATCTCACCCACCACTCCCTTCTCCCAGTCTACGCTTCCTTCCAAGTCTCTTCTCTCTCGCGCTTCTACCGACAATACCATTCTGGAACCTTCTTTCGAACCTCAGAAGAAACAACACCGGTCTTCCTCCATCGCATTGTCTTCCAATGAGCTCCAAACCAGCCGAGCTGTTGAAAAAGTCATCGACCGCTTGTTTCAAAGCTGTATGAATGAGGGCAAGTATCAGCAGGTCGTGGGTATCGCCGTCGAAGCGAAGCGCCTGGAGTGGGTCAAGCACGTCATCTGGCGCGCTGATGAGGAGTACAAGAAAAATAAAGGCAAGGCTGCACAAGATGATGCTGTGAGCACCGCAGAGGAGCTCTTGGACTACTGTGTAAGCATTTGCATGGACGTTGTTCAGGAGCGGCACTTCCGGAATGAAATGCTGGTTCTAGTGTTGGGCATTTTAACTAGTGCTAAATTCGCCAATGGGAGAGCCAAAGACCCGGATTACTTCTCTATTGCCAAGTGTATAGTCCATTTGGATCAGGATACCAAAGCATGCGACGTCATTCGGCATCTTGTTGAAACCGAGTCTATCGAGGCTACAGCTATTGCGTATCAATTTGCCTTTGACCTCTACGATAATGCCACCCAAAACTTCTTGGGTAAGGTTATATCGGGTCTCCCCAAGGGTCAAGTCACCACTGAAAACAAGGAGAACGAGGGCAACGATGAATCCGAGAATGCCCCACTAATGAGCGATGTGGACCAAAACGACGCCAAATCTGATGAGGTGGATGAGAAACACGCCGAAATCTACAAAAATATCCGCTCCATCCTTGATGGCACTAAGACCATCAAGCTCAACCTCGAGTTTCTCTACCGCAACAATCATACTGACCTTGGCATCCTGAACAAGGTACGCGACAGCCTCGAGGGGCGCAATTCAATCTTCCATACTGCTGTCACTTTCTGCAATGCGTTCATGAACCAAGGTACTACCAATGACAAGTTCTTCCGAGACAATTTGGAATGGCTTGGAAAAGCGGTCAACTGGTCCAAGTTTACTGCGACTGCGGCCCTTGGAGTTATACATCGCGGAAATCTTTCTCAGTCAAAGAAGTTGCTGGATCCCTATCTTCCCCGGGCCGCCGGCGGTATCGGTGGCGGTTCGCCGTATTCCCAGGGTGGTGCTCTGTACGCATACGGTTTGATCCACGCAAATCACGGTGCTGGCGCTGTTGACTACCTTCAAGCTCGGTTTTCTGAAGCTAATGAAGAAGTAATTCAACATGGTGGTGCGCTGGGTCTTGGTTTGGCTGGCATGGCAAGTGGCAGTAAAGAGATCCTCGAGAGCCTCCAACAGGTGCTCTACGCAGACTCTGCGCTGAATGGTGAGGCTGTTGGTTTATCTATGGGTCTCGTTATGCTGGGTACCGGTAACGTCAAGGTACTGGAAGACATGGTGGCATATGCTCATGAGACGTCACACGAGAAGAGCGTAAGGGGTTTAGCTTTAGGTATGGCTCTAATCATGTACGGGCGACAAGAACTCGCCGATGTCATGATTGAGGGTCTCCTGAATGACCCTGATCCTACGTTGCGTTACGGAGGCATAATGACAGTCGCCATGGCCTATTGTGGCACAGGAAGCAATAAGGCCGTTCGCAAGCTCCTCCACGTCGCCGTTAGCGATGTGAACGACGATGTTCGACGTATCGCTGTTATGAGTCTGGGTTTCATTCTTTTCCGTAAACCTGGAAGTGTTCCCCGCATGGTTGAGCTTCTTTCTGAATCTTATAATCCGCATGTACGATATGGTTCAGCCATGGCCCTGGGTATCTCCTGCGCCGGAACTGGCCTCGACGAAGCAATCGACCTGCTCGAGCCCATGATGAAGGATCCAACCGATTTTGTGCGCCAGGGTGCTTTAATTGCCCTAGCCATGATTATGATTCAACAAAATGAGGCCATGAACCCCAAGGTTGCATCAATCCGGAAGACCTTGAAAAAGGTCGTCGGCGACAGACACGAAGACGCTATGACCAAATTTGGTGCTGCTCTCGCTCTTGGTATCATTGATGCTGGTGGACGAAACTGCACTATCGGTCTTCAAACACAAACGGGTAACCTCAACATGGCGGGCGTTGTCGGTATGGCCGTCTTCACTCAATACTGGTACTGGTTCCCTTTCACCCACTTCCTATCGCTGGCTTTTAGCCCAACCTCCATTATCGCTTTAGATCATGATCTGGACATTTTGGACGTCAAGTTCCACTGTGCTACAAAACCCAGCCTCTTTGACTACCCCCCTGAGCAAGAGGTCAAGGCAGAAGAAGGCCCGGCGATGATTGCCACCGCTATTTTGTCTACTACTGCTCAAGCTAAACGTCGCGCCCAAAAGAAGGAAAAGGCTGATAAGGCTCAACACCAAAAGAGTATGGATATCGACTCTACGGCCACACCCACGACTTCAAATGCTGCTGGGGGTGATAAGATGGATATTGACGATAACGCCAAACCAAGCGACGAGAGCAAGGATAAAAAAGAGGAAAGCGCTGGGGCGCAGAGCGAAAAGGAGACCTCAGCACCTCCAGATGCCAAGAAGAAACTTGAAAAAGAGAAAGCAGGCTATGAAATAGAGAACATGAGCCGTGTCCTACCTGGCCAGCTCAAATTCATCAGTCTCGCTAAAGGGCGATACTGGCCGGTGAAACTAGTAAGACCAGGTCCATTGGTGAGTCTGATTTGAACCAAAATCACTACTCTTTGAACATGATACTGATGAATTCCCTAGCCTACTGGTGGCCCTATACTTCTACACGACACACAGCCCGAGAAGGAAAAATCCTTAATTGAGGAGAAGCTCAAGAAAGTAGCAACTGAAAGAGCGCCTGTTGCTGGAGCCAGTGGCGCTCAGGGCAGAAATCCTCGAAGTGTAGAGGAGGCACTTCTGAGCCGATTGGCAGGAGTAACCCAACCCGTGACACCCAGCCGAAATCAGAGCGGCGCGGCAGCGGCCGCTGGTGTACTCACCGCTATTGACGAAGACGGAGAGGGAGATGAGGAGGCTACAGTTCCTCGCGATTTCGAGTATGATACCGAGAACGACGACGATGATGATGAGGAATAGTCACTTTCACCTGATTCAGACTGGTCGCAGCTCCCGTTCCTATGATAACACCGAAGTTGATGCGGTAGCTTACCATTCCTAAATGCAATACTACTTTATAGCATAGAGTCTAGCTTGAAGTGACGGGATGATTCACTTGTGCATAAGACAGTCCACAAACTACCAGAATAGATGGAATTTTGAACATACTACATGGCACTACCACAGCCTGCATTAGCTGACGTGGGTATTCAAAATACTGCATTTAAAGCGTGAGAACCGATTTATCCGAATGACACGTCTTTTATATATAGCTTAAGATATCACATGTTTTATTCCAAGTTGCATCAATTCGGGTTATCTTACTCCTACATATCATTATCGAGCTTCACTCTGTGATCCCTTTGCTATAACTCTATAACTAAGGACTGAATTAACATTAAGCATCAGGACCACAGATCAGATTTAACACGATTGTACCATATTCACCATCACCCAGGCTAATTCTATTTATGTGTCATACCGTTAAGCTTTTTTTCATTCATTGCTAAAAACAACCGCAGTGCATATGCATACATCATATAAGCTATTACGTAACAATAACCTCCCTTTTTCTTACTGTATTTAATCAAGCCATTTTATCACTATCCATACTATGATGATTCAGCGGCCCGTCGTCCTTGAGGACGACAGGGTTATTATCCGAAGCGAGAGCCTGCTCCTCCGTCTCCTCGATTTCTTCCGGCAGGGTCAGGTTCAGGATGATGGTCACGAGAGCCGTGACGGCGAACCCCGTCTCCACGAAGATCTCGATGGCGTCCAGAAAGCCCCGGAGGCTCCTGTTGTCGCCCTCGTAGGTGAACACCGAGGAGAAGTAGTTCGGCACGAGAGTCGCGCCGTAGCCCAGCGATAGACCCGCGGCGAGAATGAAGCGGTTGCGCCGCGTGAAGGGCGCGCCCCGGCATATGATTGCCATGCCTGAGACCGCGACCGATGTGAATAGGAACGTCGTCATGCCGCCTAGGACCGCGGACGGGATCGCGACGAGGGCGGCGGCGAATTTGGCGAAGATGCCGCCGAGGATGAGAAATATGCTGTTTTTTAACAAAGATTCCGTTAGTGGTCTGGAGTCTCTCGATCGATGTAGTAGAAAGAAAACAAAACAAGTGAAACTCACCAGCAGCAATACCCCGCCGTCCGATTCGCGCATCGCGTGAGCGCGATAACGCCGTTATTCTGCGCGAACGTAGTCATGGGGGTCATCGTGGCCAGCGCGGCGAGCACGCCGTTGATCCCGTCCGCGAGGACGCCGCCCTGGATCCGGGTCTCGTAGACGGGGCCGTCGACCTCGATGCGCGAGACGTCGCACGACGCCGTGATGTCGCCGATGGCCTCGCACGCGCAGATGATGAACACGGTGAGCATGGGGAGCACGAGGGGCGCGTACACGGTCAGTCGGAACGTGTGCACCCATATGAAGGATGCCACGGGCGCTTGGTCGATGCCGCTGCGGGAGAAATAGCCCGTGGCGGCGGCGATGATGATCCCCGTCAGGAGACCGATGATGACGCTGGTGGATTTCATGATCGGCGAGCCGAAGCGCTCGCAGAGGATGATGGTGATGAACACGGAGAAGCCTAGACCGAGATACTCGGCCGAGCCCCAGGGCAGCGCGTGCGGCGCGGTGATGTCGGGGCATTTGTCGAAGAAGGCCGTGTGCGTGGCGTCGGAGCAGGGTCCGCTGCCGCCCAGCCAGTTCTTGAAGCCGGATTCGATGAGGCTGATGCCGATGAGCATGACGGTAGGGCCCGTGACGAGAGGCGGGAAGACTTTCAGGATGATCCTGGGCGGGACGAAGGCGAGGAGGATCTCGAGGAGCGCTGCGACGGCTGCGGTGCCCAGGAGGGCGCCGTAAGCGTCGGGACAGGGCAGTCGCGTGCCGTCTGAGGCTACGGGACAGAACCCGTTGGCATACATCTGGTCGAATGCCTTTTGGGCTACGGGGATCACGGTGAATGATACGCCAACGACGGAGATGAGGCCTGTGCCAATGTAGTACCTGGTGTGCTTGTAAGTATATTTCGTTGCAACATATCGCATTATCAATGGACTTACGGTGTTCCCCGAATATGAAACCTCGTGATCTGAATCATAGACAGAATACCAGACACGATCAAAGCCGTCGAGACGAGGTACTGCTGTAGTCCCGTCCCGAGATTCACACCACCCGCGCCAGACAGGATGAGAGGGGGCGTGATGACGCCCGCAAGCATGGCGAGCGCATGCTGGAAGCCTAGCAATAGGGCCAAGAACACGGGCAATTTATCATTGAGCCCGAAGAACGGCGACACCTTGCGCGACTTGCGCAGGAACGGGAGGTTCGGGCGGAAGAGAAAGGCATAATCGTAGTCGCCGAAGAGTCCGTCGCGCGTTAAGAACGTCTTCTTTACCCCCTGGAGTCTATCCCCGAAACTCCGTCGTGCAGGCGCCTGCGGCACGATCTGCGAGGGGCCGTGGTCCTCGTCCATCTTCGGTAGACGATGGATGATATGGGTATGTATGGAAACGAAGGAGCTTTGTCTCCGTGACTTCGCGATGGGATGGGACGGAGGTCACTAATATATTAGAGTTTATGCTCGATGGATCTGGGTCGGAACTATTTCCTGGGTATGATATAATCAAGCAGGGGTAGCTAATTGGAGGCTCGCTTTACTGCTGACGCGCTTGAAAGGATAGAGACCGGCCCTGGTAAGGGTGTTATATACATAGAATGATGGAAGCGTCCGGCTATAACATCTACGCGATATCTACGGATCCTCGTTTACATGCTAGTGGTGGTAGTCTGGTAGGGCTGGGCCAGCTATCAATCGCTCCCAAGACTCTGGACAACCCAAGCAGACATCAGCTCCTGCAAGAACATGGACCGCGGGGCTAGCCGATGAGGCGAATCGCCCGGTGCCGGGTAGCTGGATTCTATCAATCTGTGGCCGCGTACATTGGAGATCGGCATGTGACGCAGGTGACACTTTGTAGGTGTATATCCAATTGACGCTCGTTACTCAGAGTGCATATTGGTTGTTCACCATGGCTTCCGACAATTGCCTCCCGCGACAAGAATCCTAAGTAAGTAAACGACAAGTGTTATTACGATACGGTATGATTATTATCATCAGACCATTTACCTAGCGGTAGTAATAACCGTGATAAGCCAAAGACTAGGGTAACCTGTTCAAAAGATTTATTTCAGTCCGAGTTCCCCCTTCCATAATGGGGCCTGCCTCTTCGACTACCTACACTAGTAGGTCGATATCACGAGTAGAACAAGCACCATCAAAGGTGCTAGAGGTCGTCGCTGGCAGCTCTGGATGGCTAGAGATAAGGAAAAATAGTTTTCTACCTAGCGTAGGGGAAGATTTTGTGGGGGAGGTCATCCCACTGTATGCCGCACTAGATACATAGTAGATAGATAATGCTGTCTGAAACAGGAACACCAAGAGCTGTCACCATGTCTCCATGGATAATGTGCTGTAATAAGGCCTTGTCAGCTTGCTCCGATAAGAGGAGGCTTGGACATGGGGCCTGGGGAGCTCTGTTCTCCGAATAGGAAGGAAATCAACGCGTCGCGCTCGACCGAACCCTAGCCAGTCTGGTCCCTGGCATATGGAGCCCTGGGCCGGTAAGAGGCACAGGTGATGGCGGGCGGGTGCCGCCGTCGTTGATCGCTGGTATTGTAGTCTTGTTGTAACCTTCTTTGCTTCTCAGGATGGGCAGCCATTTTGTCAGTACACGGCAATGCGAAGAAGAGAAAAGAAAATCTCAAGAGGAGAAATAGTGAGGGGTATGAAGCTAGCATGTGGAACATGATGATCGCAGGGTTTCGTTTGGTTTGGTGCTGCTATTTTCGCTGTCAGCTGACATCATAGGCGAGTGCGCAAAGGTCTTCAATATGGTTCTTGAAAGGATGTGTACGATAAATGAGCTCGTCAGAGAAATCAACCTCATTAAGATAGGATCATGTCATCCAGCACTGAATCAGCAGACAAGAAGGCCACTCCTAAGAAGAAGACTAAGGGGAGCTATGCAGTAGGGCTTCTAAATCTAGCTGGGACTGCTACGAGGAGAGCATGGGAAGATGGTACTCTCGTTCGAACGCCAAAGGAGCTCCTGACGCAATACAATGTAAGCAGTTTAATTCGAAAAGGCCGCTTTTGGTAGAGCTAAATGTTAATTTTCGTAGCCTCTCGAGAGCAGCGCATCGTATTCTTACACAGCGTTGCCTACAGACACAAGTATACGGCTCTTAGAAGTCAGTGCTTCCAATCCGGGAGACCTGATTCAATGCAAGCTACATGTAGTAGATCTGCAGGACAGACCAAAATATATCGCATTGTCGTACTCATGGGAGAGAGATGGTTCGTGGACAAAATTCGCCGCTGGCATTGCCGGATCCATAGCAGGCGATGGGCTACGGCATATGGGAATCAAGCTGCCCAAATCTGAGGACAAGGACGGTGATGCTGACGGCGATAGCAAGAGCAAGCGGGTGATGTTGTGCGACGGCAAGAGATTCCTTATACAGCCGAACTTGCACGATGCACTTCTGCAGTTTAGACGAACAGCGCCGGGCTATTATTGGGTCGACGCAGTTTGCATGAATCAGAATGATAACGCCGAGAAGACAAAGCAGCTTCGGATGAGTATGTCTTTCTACCAAGAAAAATGATGCCACCATCCATACTGACATCTGGCAGTGAGCGATATATACCGTCAAGCCGAATCAGTCGCCATTTGGCTAGGGAAGTGCCCGCAAGTGCTCTCCCGAGGAGTCGCTCGCTTTGAGGCAGCGCAAGGCAACATCGGGCCCATGGAAGGAGAGGACGAGAAGGCAGGGAGGATAAAAATGATAGGCGACGATTCCGAGCCGCACGCTTTCCTTGGTGCTGCGTATCTACTATCTCGTCGCTGGTTTGGAAGGTTGTGGGTGTTGCAAGAATTCTGTCTCGCCAGACGTATGCACATTCAATTTGGAGAGCATCACATCCGGCCGGAAACCATCGTTGGCCTGATCCAGTCCTTCAAAGATCTGCTTGAGGGGAGGAAGAGTGGCGATGAAAAGAATTCGAGCGAACTCGGACTTGCGAACTGTAAGCCTTTCTTTGCTAGCCTTTGCGTGACATCACTGCATCGACTACACCTACTTGCATACTCCTCATTATATTCTCGACGCTGACACTAGACACATAGTATTTCGTCCCATTTGGGGATTGCACATCAAATTTGTTCCGCCTCTATTTGAATCTCGCGAGCTCTTCCAACAAGGCATGAAATGGTCTCTGGAAGAATGGCTCCAGATGACTCGCGGGCGATCAGCCACGGACACCCGAGACTTCACTAACGCGAGCTTTGCTCTCGTACGAGAATCATCACTGACTATAGACCAGAGCATACAGCTCGAAGATGCGATCCCATCGTCACAATCCGGGCCAAGGTTATGGCCCCGCCTACATGCAACGGCTGAAGCAGACAGATTTGAAGTATTCCTTAACTTGGCCGCATGTCTTCTCACGCAGTCCCAATCTGCATTTCTCCTTTCTCTCGGAGCACTAGGCAATGATCCAAATCTGCCGACTTGGATGCCCGAACCAGGGGGGTCTATTGCAGGCTTTATTGAACCGTTCGTGTATCAGAAGGGGACAGATTTTGGGGCTTGCGTAACGTCCCTCGCTTCACCTAAGATTTCTCCTGATGGGCGGACTCTCTACCTACAAGCTGCTCGTCTGGGAACAGTAGAGCACGTGTTCCAACGGAAGATGATCTTCGCTTTCAATCTTATTGATACGGGGGACGATATGATCGCTTTTTTGGAATTCGCGGCGAAGATCCCAACGGAATACGGTCCTTCAAAAGAGAGTGGATTCGATGCATTGGCTCGGACTCTTGTTGTAGATTCCATGTTAAACGGCAATCCTGTCGTTGCACTGACCGAATATTTGGATACGGAGGTCGCGATGTTTCGCCGCAAGTTGGATAGGCTGAGCAAACCAAAACCGCAGCCGAGCGGCGTAGAGGGTTACCTTGCTCAGAAGCTTGACGTCCACAGGGGTGAACCCAGCGAGGGAGAAGCAAAGACACTAGCAACCAGGTTGGACGAAGCGTGGGCTAAGCTGAAGTCTTTATACCCAGATAAGCCCTGGTCCTCATTCGATGCGAAGCCTGGCCAGGAGCGATCCAGCGACTACCGGAACTTTGTGGACGTCGGGCTGAAAGTCAATGGCTGGAGGGCTTTATTTCTTACAAAAGAAGGGCGCCTTGGCCTCGGAGGCTTCTGGATCAAAAAGGGAGAAGTAGTGATGTTAGTGGAGAGCGGCTATGTGCCGTATGTATTTGAGCCCGCACCTGTAAATGCGAAAGAGCAGGTGAAAAAGGCAACAGAAGAAATGGAAAATCTTCGCAAGAAACCCCAGCCACTATCACAGAAGAACGAAAAGGAATATAAGAAACTGGAGGAGACGTTGAATCATCTGCAGAGCAGGATGAGCAAGCAAAGTGGTGCGTGGACGCTCAACGGCGAGGCATATGTGCACGGTGTCATGCATGGAGAAGCTATGGATGGATCTCTGGCTTTTGAGCCGATCGCTATAAACTAAGTAGTTGAATAATATACCAATTCAATTCGAAGAAGTACGCCAAATTCCGGTGCCTTTTCCCCCTATCACCTGAAATTATGAGTTCTCCGAAATACATATCGGTAGTATTATCGACCAACTCGCATTTAAACCCAGTATGCTGTCGATAATCTGTTCAAGCGTATCCAGTCCGAACGGCTTCATGCCATCATATTGGAGGTCCCTTATTTGAAGTCCGCAAGGCTCAGCTCGCGTAACATCTCAAAGTGAAGGAAGTTAGACGGTGTGAATGTAGCCAATGAGTCATTGCGTTCTAGTCTTGGCTTAACTCGGTTTCTATAGAGCTAGTTATTAATTACAAGCTACTTACACTATCTAGATCGACCAAATCCTCCTCGTGAAATGATAATGCTTAACATCGACATGTGATAATCACTCTAAAGCAATTCTCACATATCTTGAAGGTCAGTCGTGTGAGCCTACTCCAGAAGAGCTATTAAATACCATACCAGTACGCTAGATCTCAACCACCGTGGACTACAAATGCAAGAAACCTACCTAGGTACTTAGTAGGAGATGTACGTAGTAGTGGAACCGCAATGGGGGCCCCTTCGGTTTCTCGCGGGCTATACTCGGCGATCGCAGACGGAACCAAGAGCGGAAATAGATCCTCTCTCTACCACCTACTACTTATCTCTAATGCTGCTAAACCCTTAGCCATAGTAGGAAATTCCATTCATATATACACATTTCGAGCCTTCTACCTGTTCTTTGAGCAATAATAAAGACTTTATCAATAGAAAATCATTCCATACACTTCGGTTTCAGCCAAGTCTTGACTTAGACCCTCAATACTCACCTGAGTCCCTTCCAAAGACCTGAAAAGGAAATGAGCGAGATATCGGAGCAGGAGCTAGGCGAAATATATGACTTTGCCGTACAACTTGGTAAAGATGCAGGAAATCTACTTATGAGCTTCGCGAAGGCACGGTGGGGAGATAAGGGCAGCGGGGAGCAGCTGTTTTCTGAGAAGGATAATGCCGTTGATATCGTGACTAAAGCCGATGAGGGTATGACATGCATCTTTGATTTTACAAGTGTTTAGTCCACTAACTATGTGATGAAGATGTCGAGGCTTTCGTCAAGATCTCCATTGAGAAGAAATATCCTACACACAAGTCTGTCATTTTGGGCGTGATCGTGATAAGCCGTGCTGACAAGACTACAGGTTCATAGGAGAGGAGACTTACTCGAAAGGGGCGTCGCGCGACTATCTGATTGGCAATGAGCCTACATGGTGCGTCGACCCTCTTGACGGCACGGTCAACTACACACATCTCTTCCCAATGTTCTGCGTCTCTATTGCTTTCATCGTGAACGGGAAGGCCGTTGTGGGGGTGATATACGCGCCCTTTCTGAACCAGTTGTTCACGGCTTGCAAGGGGAGAGGGGCGTGGCTCAACGAAACGCAGCAACTACCACTAATAAGGAACCCGATTCCACCCATGCCAGCACGCGCGCCCGGTGGCTGCATCTTCTCGTGCGAGTGGGGAAAGGACAGGAGAGATACACCTGACGGGAACATGCATCGAAAAGTCGAGAGTTTCATCAACATGGCTGCCGAAGCCGGCGGGCGAGACGGAAAGGGCGGTATGGTGCATGGAATAAGAAGTCTTGGGAGCGCCACGCTTGATCTTGCATACGTGGCTATGGGCGCGTTTGATATCTGGTGGGAAGGCGGCTGTTGGGAATGGGATGTCTCGGCTGGTATCGCGATCCTGCAGGAGGCTGGCGGCCTTGTCACGACCGCAAACCCACCACAAGATCACCAAACGGCGGAAATTACAGATGTGCGGTTAGGCAGCAGACTTTATCTCGCCATCAGGTACGTCGAAAACTCCAAGACTTATTTGGTTTGGGACGAGGTGCTAACACAGAGCTGTTTAGGCCAGCAGGACCATCAGACACCGAAACTGGACGACAAACGCAAGAGCGAGTCGTTCATGAAGTGTGGAAACGAGTCAGAGAGTTGGATTACAGTAGACCGGGTGCTTAGGTTAGATCATGATACGTTTCTTCTTAGAACGGCTATACACAGATAAATAGACCAGAAAGAATCTAAACACAGATTGGATGGTCTAAACTAGTGGGCTGTATGCACTCGAAGTAAATGATATAACGCCCGCTCAATGCACCATCCCAGATAAATCGACGCGATAAGTAATTATTATAATCTTGAAGATGTCGAAAGCCTGACAGCGATCGCTTCTTTACATTTAGCCACAGGCAAATCTTTCAGCTCTAGGTTCGTCCAGAGTTTAGACTGTTTGTGAGACAGTTAGCTGCGTCAGCTGGGGTTTATGATCAAGCACACAAACTTACCTGCTCGAAGCCTTGCCATATCATGGCCTCAGTGCCTAGTATAACCTGCCAGCCGTTGCGCTCGGCGATGGCACCAAGTTCAGTGTAAGGAGTGGGGTTGTAGCACATCTCGAGGATGGCGCCCTTTCTCTCCTTACTCAGGAAGGTCTCAATCACAGCGCGCGCGATCTTCTCCTCAGGGGTCTTGGGCGGGAAGTCTGGCACGCAGGCGACGATAGCGCCAGGGGTCTCAAGGGCCTCGGCTTGTTCGACAGTGGCCACTTGCACAAGTGAGTCGCCGTATCCTTTGGCTTTGCACTCGCGGATCACGGCGTCAACCTCGCTCTGATCGCGATTCACGAGGTAGATGCGTGTTGCGCGCATCCACTTCCACAAGGCGTAGACGGCACTGCGCGCTGCGCCACCGCCTCCAATCACCATCGCGGGCTTGTCATGAAATACGGCATCGGGGTTGCTAATGTTCTGGTAGAACGACTCGCGCACACCCACGACATCCGTGTTGGTGCCATAGAGCTTCTTGCGGCCGCCAACGTCTTCCGAGGGACGGAAGTAAATTGTGTTGCAGGCGCCCACTTCACGGCACTCTTCTGTCATTTCATCTAGGTAATCCATTATAGCCACCTTGTTAGGCATTGTGACGGACGAGCCTAGGTTTTGCGTCAGTGAACGTTGTGCTACCGAGCGGATGAGGCTGCATACCGAAGCAGTTGGGATCTTGAAGCAATTTCAAGAAACTTGGGATATCAGCGGAATCAAGACGGAACTGCTCCCACGCCCAACCAAGGTCGTTGAATATCGTCTGGTGAAACTGCGGCGACATGGATGCTGCTATCTTCTGACCAAAGAGATAGCCATGACGCTCGACAGTCCGCGTCTCCGGCTGCCGGTCTGTGCTGACGACCGTGTCGACAACGGTTGTAGTACTCATCGTTACAGAGCGTAGTTGAGAATTGCCAAGCAATTTAAGGCTGGTGTCTAACACGTGAACGAATGGCTCAATACAAAAAGATACAACAGCTTCTAGAACGGGTCAAGTCCTCCCTTAAGTGTTGGTTTCCCTTTTCGTTCTCTCACCTTGACCGCAGATAACAGATCTCAGTCTCTGAAAAGATATAGCAAGTGCCGGTACCGACGGAATCCGAAGCCTGTTTACTTGGTTCAGATGGATCTTCCCCCGCATGCGAGGAGGGCCCATTGGAGAAACCAGGACATCACAGCTCCAAAGCTCCGGGTATGATCTCTCCCAGCCGAGGACAGAAGGCTCTTCCCCGGCGAAAAAGAAAGTAAGTGACTGGGGCAGTATCCAGCGAGAAGCGAGGCAATTACCGAGCAACACTGGAAATATTCAGCCTCCATGCACAAGTCTAGGTTAGCAGGACCCGGAATCAGGGTATGGGAAGAGGTATGCCCTATGAGCTAATCCCGGTTGTGGACCCAAGTTTCTGGCCCAGTCTCCCGCTTAAGTGTTTATCCATACTCCTCACCCGCTGCCGACTACAACGGCATTCCTAGCACACCCACCCAGGCCGAGCCATCCAACGTAGGTAGTGAGTCAGTCTAATTGCCTTCCTTGCCCTAGCTGGGATATTCCATCTAAAATACTATGGAGCGCACGTGGGTCGGTACTCTTAAGTAGGTGGAATTATAGTTGTTGGTTCAAGGACGTTGTTTCGCCTCCAGCTAATGCTAGTGGTCTGACTTGGCGACTCGCCGTCTCGGACGGCTAATGAATGGTAATTCTAAAGATGACACTCTTGCTCACGAAGGGCGGACCTAGTCTTCATCCCCACACGTTCAAGCACACTAGGCACTGGTGTAAGTATGTATCCCTAGCAAACTCTGCAGCCCCGTTGGGCCGGCGCCGGGAAGTATGTTCAACCACGTTGGAATCATATCCTGGTCGTACAAGATGTAGACGGATATTGGGCAACGCAACTAATGCTGGTAATCCAATAACAGGAATTCCATTTGGCAAGGGTAGCTGGGAAGCTGGGACAACCAGGCAAGCTACCCCGGATTTCATCCCCCGACATCGTTCATCGTTGGGTCGCATGAAGTTTGGGGTCCCCGGATCCTTTGCTGGATATAAGAGTTGACGATCCCAACGCATTGCTTCAATTGCCTCCATTTCCCCTTGTCAACTTTCTTTAATCATCAAGGCCGCAAATTGTTAACGGAGCTCGGCCTGACCTTGACGGGGTGCCTTGTTCACCAATAGACATCATGGGGCTTCTCACTCTAAAGGAAGATCGGCCGACGCCCAAGGCCGTCTATAACTGGAGAGTCTACTGTAGTGCTGCTGTCGCATCGTTCGCGTCATGCATGATTGGTTACGACTCTGCCTTCATCGGCACAACTCTGGCCTTGCCGGGCTTCATCGAGGAGTTCCGATTCGATGAGCTCGAATCCGAGGAGAAGAATTTGATCTCAGCCAACATCGTCTCTCTTTACCAAGCCGGTGCTTTCTTCGGTTCTTTCTTCGCCTATGTCTCTACGCATTATCTCGGTCGTCGCAAGTCGCTGTTTGTCGCTTCTGCTGTTTTTATCTTGGGGGCTGGTCTGATGCTGGGAGCCAATGGCCAGAGAGGTCTGGGACTCATCTACGGTGGTCGTGTCCTCGCTGGTATCGGTGTTGGTGCTTGCTCCATGATCGTGCCCATTTATATCTCTGAACTCTCACCCCCTGCCATTCGAGGACGTCTCGTCGGTCTTTACGAATTGGGCTGGCAGGCTGGTGGTCTGGTTGGTTTCTGGATCAACTATGGTATCAACTTACACATCCCTCCTAGTCACATGCAGTGGTTGATTCCGTTTGCTGTGCAATTGATACCGGGTGGTCTTCTTTTCCTCGGTGCTATCTGGATCAAAGAGTCGCCTAGATGGCTCATTGCTAATGGCCACCGAGACAAGGGCATTAACAACCTCTGCTGGATCCGCAACCTCCCCACCGATGAGATCTACATCATCGAGGAGATTGGCTCCATTGATGAGGAAGTAGAGAGATACCGACGCGAAGTCGGTGCTGGATTCTGGAAGCCCTTCATCGCCCTCAAGAAGCCCAAGGTTCAGTGGCGCTTCTTCCTTGGCAGTAGTATGTTCATGAAGTTTCCCTGGATTTTGATAGGATATTTTCTAATATGAGATCCGCAGTGTTGTTTCTCTGGCAGAACGGCTCCGGCATTAACGCCATCAACTACTACTCGCCAACGGTCTTCAAGAGCTTGGGCATCACCGGAACCAACACAGGTTTCCTCACAACTGGTCTCTTTGGTGTCGTCAAGACCGTTCTCACAATTATCTGGCTGCTGTGGCTAATAGACCACCTGGGACGACGAAACCTCTTGATCATCGGTGCTGCAGGTGGCTCTATTTGCATGTGGATCATCGGTGCCTATATCAAGATCGCTAAACCAGAGGACAATATGACGAGTACCCCTCCCCCCGCCGGTATCGCTGCCATTTTCTTCTTCTACCTGTGGACAGCCTTCTACACGCCTTCCTGGAATGGAACTCCGTGGGTACTCAACTCAGAGATGTTCGACGTGAATACAAGGTTAGTCATTACATACTAGGTCATCAGAGTCTCGTACTGACATATATGCCAGATCGTTGGGCCAGGCATCCGCAGCTGCCAGTAATTGGCTTTACAACTTTTTGATCTCACGATTCACGCCCCAGCTCTTCACTGCGCTAGGATATGGTGTTTACTTCTTCTTCGCCTCCCTCATGATTCTTTCCATAATCTTCGTGTTTTTCCTTGTGCCTGAGACTAAGGGTGTGCCTCTTGAGGCTATGGATCGGCTCTTCGAGACCAAGCCCGTCTGGCGAGCCCATAGCAAGATTATGGACGCTTTGCGTGAGGAAGAACAGGAGTGGAGACACAACATTGATGGTGCCGATCTTGGTCACGACGCTAAGTTGAATGCTACCATTGAACAGCGTGAGAAGGTCTAAACTGGATTTGTTGATATATCATTTTGTCTAAAGGAAAAATAGGTTAATAATAATATGGTATGATCTGATAAGCTCGACTTGTCTTTATCTACATTGAATAGGGATTGAAAATTCTTTTATCTTCTACATTGTATCATATTCCTTGTGTCGATTCTCTCATGTGGAGAAATGATCGTTGCATCATCATAAATCATCATGTGCGTAACTTGAATCCTGTCGCAGCCCGATCTCTCACATCTCACAATTATCCACCGCCCAGATATGACTAGTTCGTGTGACACAGCATGTCAAGCCATACTGATGCCCAGCTTAATCGCCATCGTACAAACCAGCCTCCCAGTTTTTGCCTGTACCTAGTATTCTTGTATCTCGTTTGTTTGAAAGGACTGTCGTTTTTGTGTAAGGAAACGTAGTTACATTATGGTAGATAGCCAGAGCGAAACGAGGGGCAGGACTTGGCAGACGCATTCTCTACTCCTTTGAGATGACGGATAATGTATTCATAAGTATTGAATTCTAATGAGAAGTACAAGTACAATCATTGGCGCCTAATCCCAATGCGCCTAGAGAACGCCAGGCACTGCTAGCTTGCCAGAGGAAAAAAAGAGATGAAGGAAAAGAACGAAACAAAAATGTACAAGCGCATCATAGTGACGCCGTCATCCTTCCTCTGTCGCTGGCGGTCTCCTCGACCCTCAACTTCATGTCCCTCACAAGCTTCGCCCACGAGGCAGCACCTCGACTAGCCAGCTCTTGTGGCACCACGGGATCTGTATCAGCCATTCTTCGATTGAATAGTTCTAGACTGACCCAGCCCTCAAACCCGAGGCCTTGGAATATCGCCCGAGAGATCTCAGCCACAGGCAGATATGCGCCGCGGTCCTTTTCACCGTAGAACAACCGACAATTCCTAGACCAGCTCATGCGGGGTGTCTGTTCAGGGTCGTAAAACTCGTGGCCTTCCACCAAGGGACTGGCGAGCCGCGCAGCATCAACGACCTGGACATAAAAGACCTTCCTGAGGTCTATGGTGAGAAGGCCAGCAAGACACTTGCGAACCGCTTCGTCACAATTCGGCGTCCGACCAGTAGGCGAAGCTGGGTCCGCGTAGATGCGGCCCGCGATGTTAAATGTGTCTAGGCAGAGGCCGAAATTGGGTCGGTCAACACCTCGTACGATATCCCAGCTTTGCTCCCACGTGTTGTACCTGGTGCCGAAGCAAAGCGACTCGTACACGAACCGGATTGGAGGGTTCTGCTGCAAGCCTAGGTCCGCGACCTTCTGGAGATCGGCCACAGCCAGACTCATATCTTCTGAAATTTCCGCGGCCGGCCCGAAACTGGATGGAATCTGTATCATGTCGGTGCGTAAGGCACGTGCTAGCTGGAACCAGAAGTCCAGCTTCTCTAGCTTCTTGAGATGTTCTTGGCGGTCTACCAGACCTTCGTAGTGTGCGAAGGGCTGCAAACAGAGAATTGCGATCCCCCTCTCTTGACACAAACGACGGATGATGTTTGCTGCTTCGAGCTCCCTTGACTTAGATTCGTTCCCGGGTAGCTGCTCTGCAATGTCGACGAGGTCTTCGTAGAACAACTCTATGCCCTGGTAGCCATACGCGCGAGCCATGTCAAGCTTGTGGACGAATGAGTGGCCCGCATGGCAGCGGCCAAGCGACATCGACGTTATTGCTAAACGGCAAGGCATTGCGAAGACGTATGGTGTGAAGGATGATCAGAGCAAGATGTGTTAGAGACCACCAAGTGATTTCTGGAGGGCACCTAATGCGATAGGAGTGCCGTGACTAGGAGAGCACGAGTCCTTATAACAGATGATTGTCTGAGATTGCCATAAACAATACGGTAATATAGTATGTGATTTGTCTAACGAGTCTACAGGGAAGCAATGCTACATGAAGGCAAACAAAGTCTGGTGCCGTGAACGCCGGTTTGCTGCGTCTATATATCTAGATTGTAGCTTATGTGTCTCTCCTGATGACTTGTACGGGCCGTACCGTGAATCTAGCACGCGCGTAAGTCTTGGGGGAAAACGTTAGGCATATATGGAATACTATCTCTGTGCTTGGGTCGCAGCTATCCATCACCACGATATCATACAGTACCATTCTTTCCCCAATTCTACAGTCCACGCACCTCAACTATCCTGACCCAGCCGCGGTTAACCGCAGCAGAGGTGCTCCTGATACTGTACAGCGGCGACGTTCGCTGGGGTAGACGTCATGAGTAAGGTTCATCCGCTCGCCAAGCTAGATTGTACCAGGGGGAAAGTGTTCAGCCGGGGATCGGTCCCATGCATCCCCGGCCGGGGTTTGCCGTCTTCAACACTGTCAATCTTTCCGCTTCGGCATGCAATTTCGCGACGGGGATCTACTTGGTATTGTGCTGTTTGCAGCTCTTTCTATATATTTAACGCATTGCTGCATCCCTCTTCGGTCTGTTATACGCGTTCGCGCCCGCTCATCAACTGATTACATAGGTACCTATGCTAACTGAGAAAGTGAGGCCGACCGGGCCATTTATGAAATTACATGTAGGCCTGCCAATCGTACTGTGGAACTATTGGATGTGTTTAGCTTAGAGCGGACAAGCTGAAGATTCACCGCCAGCTGAATCTAAACCCTTGTGGCTGGCAAATGAAGCCCAGATAGCGTAGTTCGGGCTTGCGCATGACTGATTGGTGTAGTGTATGTATGCTGTTTGCTGGATCTCGTCCTCGTAGGGCCTATCATTTCATCATGTTTTCGATCAACTCTAAATGGCCATGTAGAGTGCCATTACAGAGCTCTGACAGAGCACCTACACGGCGTGACGTTTGACACTGCGCCGATCGCTTAAAGCCGATGCAATGCATTGTATCGAACCAATTTCGCCCTGATATTTTTCTTGTCTCAAGTGAAGCCCATAAATTCATGAGAGAACACGTCAGCGAAGTTAGTGCCCGGTCTTAGCCCCAAATTTGCCATAAATTGGGTTTCCGACTCTGGCATGCTAGTACGTTCAATCGACGCAATGTCGTCCAGAATAGTATCGTAATCAAGTGCCGGACTATCGAAGCTTGGCCGCCCAGTTTCTTGAGGATGTATTGACGGGGATATCGTGAGTGTGTCTACGTTCTCAAACTCCCCAAGAACATTTGAGTGCCCATTCAGCTGAAGCGCTTTAGTGTCAGATGGTTGGTGGTGGTGGGCGGTAAGCCCTATCATTTTTGCGGCGGGGTCTTGTGGGTATAGCATGCCCAAATTCGTAGATCCGTGATTAATATTGGCGTTTGGATGGTATGAAGTAGTAGTCGACGAAGGCGGCCGATGCGATTCTACGCTACGAACAACTCCAAAGGCCGTGTTTGGTTGTTGCGGGTAATGCGCAGGGTGAACATCCTCAGCCCCAGTGCCTATTTCATAACTCCGGGATGATTTTGTCCACACTGCTTCGATTGCTGTCTTAGTTTGTTTCCACCGACATCTCTCATCCCTCGTAAGAGAGTCATTTTGTGTTTGCTGGTCAACCAGTCTCATGAATACAGGGAGCAGGGGAGACAGTCCGCATATGCCGAAGCTGTTTATGTACTCCTCGGTGCAACTTAGAACTGAGCGGTGCAAGAAGGGGGACCTTTGACACATGCTTGCTGTGTATAGATATGGTATACGCAATATGTGAACAGATGGAAGCTGATTCGTCACGTACTCGCCAGTGAAAATGTAGCTCGAGAAGACTGTTTGTGCGCCACATTGGCTGACTGCATTGTGTAGTGTGTGCAGTAATGCGTCTCCGAATTGCATGGAGTTTCTGTGCTCATCCCAGAGCTGACGTGAAAGAACGAGGTGAATTCTATGAAGGATGGCGAATGAGCTAATTGAATGGGATGGTGTTCGTGATAGCCGCGGATCCCGTTTCGCAGGGCCAAAATCAGGACAAGGCATCCAAGGCTGCCATTCGTCCAGATCGTTATCAAGATGAGGCAGATTTATATGAGCCATACCAGATCTGAGATGCGGTACAAGACCTAGGCGCGCTGAAAGAAGGGTATCTAAGATGAAGCATCCCATGTAGGTGTGGGTATATTGTTTGTGTCGTGTTGAGGCTAAGTTCTCGTGCAGTCTTAAGGAGAGGGCGACTCGACTTGCAACTCCTATCAACAGCCACGCACAATTGATATCATCGCAGGCCATGTTTACGAGAGTAAGTAATAGGAGCGCATTGATATGGCGAATTTCAAAATCCCCATCCTCGAGAGGTATAAGACTGCGAGCTATACGATAAATCTCTTTGGGTTTTAAGTGGCCGGGATTTGCTAATGCCTCTCGGGCGTTTTCTTTACTTCTGCTAGCGGCCTCTTGATAAGATGTGAGCGCCAACGCAGCCCAGAGTTCAGCATGTCCGGCAGAGCCCGCAGTATCGCAGGTAACATGTAGTCCGTCTTCTGGGTAAGAGTACCCTGTCTTCAAAAGCGCGTGCTTTTCGAGTATTGGAAACCAAATGTGGGTATATGAGAAGTATATATCAAGAAGACGCCAGTGGTTGGAAGGAAGGGTAAAGGTGTTCGGTGGAGGTCGCGGCCGGGAAGGGGTTGGAACATTTGATAGACTTTTAAAGTTATTTGTTTCGTTAGATTTCGGTGTGGTAAGATCTTCGCGCCATTGTGGCCTCTGTTGGGGCCTTTCCGTTGACTCGCCATCCATCTTCGAATGGACGAGTGGTTCCAGAATCCCAGGAGTGGATTTTGTGTCTTGTGTTTCCTTTTCTGGCCCTTCTTCATCGGAATCTTCACCGGGAGTTGACCCATTCACAGGTCCAATACACGCTGCATCCCCCGACAGCACGCGCTCGATTTCTGCATGGACGGTGCTCTTGCGCCATCGACGATGAAGTCGAGTCCCGGTCGAGGTATCCTTCCCGGCTAGCAACAGTCGCCCCTGGCCACCTTCGTGTGTGAGGAGGCTGTGAAGCGCCTTTTCTGATTCAGGCATCTTGTCGAATATCCAGCCGAGGGCCATCTCCAAAGTTCTGATATACCCGGTCTGGACCCCACGCTTCTTCTTGGGCTCTTCCCAGCTGCATTGCCGATTCTGTGAAGCACACGGAAAGCAAAGGGGTTGAATGCCGTCGCATTTCTCACGCGCAGCTCTACATTGATCGCATGCTCGAGAAACGCGCTGTCGCTTGGGGACGGGCTCGGCTGCTAGCCGTTCTGCGGTACTTTTACTCCTGGTCTCCTCGGTACCATTTTGACGTTTTCCACCCATGTCTCCCGCGGGTCGGGTTGTGGTGCCTCATGTGTCGTCGTCTTGTCAGGACCCGGCACGAAACATGCGTTCTCATCTTCCAAGCATACAATGTATAGGCCAGGTTCTGACGCTCTATGCAGATGCAATGCGCTCGTCAAAACTCACTCACTGGTTCGACTGGCTCTTCACCCCAGTCCCAGAGTAGATTTCCCCGACGCTACTATGTGGAGGTCGAGTGTCACAACAGTTTGCCAATTGGCTTCAGACGTGCTCGGTGGGGAAATCTGGGGAACCCCGAGGTGCGGAGGAGTTCTTGGCCGCCACATACATTGGATAAACACTTATCCACGGCAGATCTAGGGCGTAACGTCGTATTTTTCTTTTACTCTTGCTCCTCGTCCTTGTTCATCCCCCTTCTGCTAAGGAGATATTCCTCGGCCTCTCGCGTCATTTCTTGCCATTAGGGCCATACTAGCATGCTCCTTCACCATTTTGTCAGCAGCATAACCCCTCTCCCAGTGGCTAGTGGAACAAGCCTCGGTCGGCCAGCAGGATCGAGATAAGAGTCCCTACGGCAGACTGATTAGTCTCCTCACAACTCATTCCCTAAAACCGAATTATTGCTGTCTGAGCTCGGAGTGACAGCCGCGGCGTAGAGTTGACGTGAAGAGCCATTCCGCCACCTGCTGGCAACTAGGCTGCACCCACTAATTGTACTAGCGAGAATAGAAAATATCTACCTCCAGCAACCCTAATCATCCCATCTGACCAATCTGCTGCATTTGACCATTGCGGTCTCAAAGGTAGTGCTTTAGGTATGGTCCTGCTGATCATCAACCGTCGGTTTCCATTTATACTGTCTCAACAGGAGCGTAGGACGCTGGTTGCACACAACAAGCGATAGAATTATGGGGTTACGATAACAAGCGCTTTTAATCTAATTGTTTGAGGGGGAAGAAATGGCATATACCGTTGTAGCTGGGGTGAAGAGGAGATACGTATCTACCCCAACTCATGACGAACGACAGCCGTCTTCAATATACGCCGAGCTCGATTACCTACAACGACCAAGCCAACACGATGTGTCGCCTCAGGAAAGCCGTCGTGGGATGAGCCTGCCAAGCACAACGAGAAACACACCCCCAAGATCCAGTCTAGAGGCTTCCTTCGAGCCAGATGCATCCATCGTGCTTGTTGGCATACGCGGCTCAGGGAAGTCCACTCTAGCGATCATTGCCTCGACAGCAATGAAACGCAGGGTCGTGGATCTAGATGTAACCTTCAAAGAGACGACAGGACTTTCAGCAGTCGCGTACAAGAAGGAACATGGCCTAATTGAGTGTCGGCGGCGGCAGTACAGCGTACTAGAGACGGTTTTAGCAAGCCACCAACGAGACTGTATCATTGTGTTCTCGTGGATGGAGCCTGGTCTCCATGCGCCGCTTGAGAAGTTCTCCGCTTCTCATCCTATCATTCACATCGCCAGGGATCCAGAGGCTATACAACAATATCTCAGACTAGCCGATGAGACCAAAATCCGAGAGTTGATGAAATACACGGCCTCGGCATTCCGTGCTGTGGCCAACTTCGAGTTCTTTAATGTTTCCGAGAGATACCCAAAGTCGAATGGTTCGGGAGAGCCATTGGTGCGCGGAGACGGTTCAGCAACTCCTCCTCCCTATCTCACTTTGAAAAGAGCCGAGAGGCATTTCCTGAAGTTCCTCTCCCTCATCATGCCATCAAGGTCCATCCCGTTCATTGAATCCGCATTTCCACTCGCCGCGGTCCCCACAGAGACTAGGGAATTCACATACGCCGTGTCTGTGCCTTTATCGAGGTTACTAGCAGATGAATGGGAAACGAAAGACATCGAAACTGGTGCCGATGCTATCGAGATCGTTATAGATGATGTTTTCGCGAGGAATGAGGAACCATGCCATAGCAATAGCCAACTAAGTTCGGAGCGGCTTAGTCAAATAAGCAAGGCTGTTGGCTCAGTAAGGAGAAACGTGGTTATCCCTATTATCTATCACGTACCATGGCCGACCGCTCATTCCATTGACGACACCCAACGAGCTGCATACGTAGAGCACGTTCAACACGGTTTGTTGCTCTGCGCGGAATACATCACTGTAGACTTGAGACTGGACGATCGAACGCTCCGCCGTATCACAGAATGGAGAAAGACTTCAAAGATCATCGGCTCTGTCCAGTTTGAGTCTTCATCCCACTCGCCGTCCTGGGCTGATCCGACGTGGATGTCGTATTATCACAGAGCCCAGTCATTTTCTTGTGATCTTGCCAAGTTCACCCGCCCAGCCTTCTCTATAGAGGACAATTTCGAAATCAACATGTTTCGCTCCGCTGTAGCCAGCACTGGACAATTACAAACTCCCCTGATAGCATACAACACAGGCGCGAAGGGTAGGCATTCCGCATGCTTAAACAAAGTCCTGACATCAGTCCTCCCGGAATCCGTAACTGGATGTAACCCCCAGGAAAGCCATGAATACCCGGGTATAATAGTGCCTTCTATATCTTGCCGACAAGCCACTTTGGCCTTGCAAGCATGCTTTGCCACTGACGATGCGTTGAAGCTATACGTGGTTGGTGCCAATTGCCAGCACAGTCTTTCGCCTGCCATGCACAATACCGCCATACAAGCTCTCGGCACAGGCCATGTCTACAGGCCCTACTCTACTAACTCCTTGAGCGACATTCGCGATTTGATACATGATCCTTCCTTCGCCGGGGCTTCTGTCGGTCTCCCCTTCAAAGTCGAAGTCATCAGTCTCACCCACTCTCTCAGTAACCATGCCAAGGCAATCGGCGCTGTCAATACCTTGATCCCAATCCGCCAGCTGAATCCCGACGGGAGCATACCGGAAGATGCGATCCTGTCAAATACACGCAAGAGTGCGGGCCCTGTTCTCGCGCTATACGGGGAGAACACCGACTGGATCGGCATTCGGGCATGTATACGCAGGGGTCTTTCTCCCGCGAACGCCGTCCGCTCGAACACAGCCGGCCTCGTCATCGGCGCCGGCGGCATGGCTCGCGCAGCCGTGTACTCGATGCTGCAACTAGGCGTGCAGAACATCGTCGTCTACAACCGGTCTCCGGAGAACACCCAAAAGCTCGTGTCTCATTTCGAACGGCTGCTCTCCAGGAACGACATACCGCTGCTCAGTAAAGTCGACGACGGCAAGACGAATTTCCATATCCTCCGCAGCCGCGACGAGCCCTGGCCCGCGCACCTACGGCAGCCCACCATCGTAGTGTCCTGCATCCCCGCTCAACAGACCGGGAACGACCCGCCTCCGAACTTCACGCTCCCCGAGGCCTGGATGGGGAGTCCCACGGGCGGCGTGGTAGTGGACTTCTCATACAAGATCCTGAACACGCCCATCATCCTCCAGACGCGGGCGGAGGCGCATCGCGGATGGGTGGTCATGGACAGCTTGGATTTGCTACCTGAGCAGGGCTTCGCGCAGTTTGAGTTGTTTACGGGGAGGAGGGCGCCGAGACGGTTGATGCGGGCCGAAGTACTCAAATCCTCTCCTGCTGAAGAACGGAACTATCCACTTCAGCCTCGACTGGATATTATCACGCACCAGGAGCCGTAGATCAAGCAATTTAAGCTTACAATATAGTGAATGTCACTTCTGTAATTTTGTCTTCTATCTGTGACTGTGTTCGTTTTTTGACTCCCTTGTTTTTATTCTCATCTCAGGAACGGATTAGATCGTAGCAACCCAGCCTCATCTCAGACGGGACACTGGCCAGGTAATCAGGTAACAAGAGTCTCTTCACATCATTACACCCTAGATGTCAAAGCATAATAGTCTGCAAGGGGAAACCGTTCGAATTGTCAAAACGACTAAATCATAAATTGCGGCTTATATGTATACATAGAATAACCTAGTTACGTTCCTTTTTTTCATTGTTTAGCTACTATGGTAAGCTGGGTATCATGAAGAGAGAAGAAATATAACCCCAATCCCCCACCATCCGATGATTCCTTTTGAATACACGTGTCTTAATCCAAGCCCTTGAATTTGAGGATTCCGTGAGCACCGTGCGGGCCGAGATCGACCTTTCCGCCTTTACCCTTCTTCCGCTTCTTCTTTCGTCTTCCCTCATCGTCACTATCTGAATCGTCCGAGTCCAAGCCCTTTTTCGCCTGACGCTTACCATTGCTCTTTCCGGCGTCACTTGATGCGTCCGAGTCGTCGTCGTCATCATCATCATCATCATCATCATCATCATCACTGTCGTCATCAATGTCTTCGTCGCTATCGTCGTCGTTTGATCCAGACGCTGCTGACTCCTCCCAGACTTTGACTGTCTGGCCGCCGCCACTTATCATACGGCCTTGACAATCGAATCCAAGGGCTACTACAGCCTCGAGATCGTCGTGTCGTAACGAGGTTTCTACTTCTCGCTTGGTCAAGTTGACAATGCGCAAGCCTCCGTCGCCCAGACCAACTGCCACCTTTTTGTCTCGAGTGAGATCCTCGGGGATCTGGACAATGCAGTCGAGACTCTCGCCGCCTCCTCTGGCTGAGTCCACGATAACCCGATCGAATTGGTCATCCCAAGCACCCTTATCCCACAAAGTCAAGACGCCGGATCCCGTCCCGACCGCCACGACGCCGTTATCTCTGTTCTTCTTAGGTCCCATACCCGCGATGAAGGTGGAGCAAAGTAATTCGTCCTCTTGATCTTCGCTGCGCACAAGCACGCCGCGACGGAGATCGGTAACTGCCAGGGTGGTCCCACCAGTCGAGATCCATTGCTTACTGAAGCCGCTGGTGCTTTCCGCCGAGGGAGGAAGCGGGGTAAGGCTGGAGACGAAGTCGTCGTGGGGGAAGTGGCTTTGCTGGGGCTTCGAGGCAGCCAGGGCACCGTCGCGCAAGTCTAAAAGGTGCAGAACTCCGGAGTCGCATGCGAGGAGGAGGGTTTGTGGGGATAAGGCGGAGAGAAGAGTGGGAGAGTCGGGGATGGACTTCGTAGTTGGCACGGCTATCTTGGAAATGACTTGGCCGGTGGCGGGAGAGAAGTGCTTGATGAGAGAGTCGGTGCCTGCCGAGTAGAGAGCTGTCATAGGTGCAGTATTAGCCTTCCATTACCCCTCAGCAGACTATACATCTACCGGGCAAGTAGAATTTCAAACTCACAAGAACCATCATGGTTAAAGACTAGTGAACGACAGCTTCCCTTGTGTCTCCGGGTTCGCCAAGCCGTGTCAATCATGCCCTTCCCGTCGGAGAGAATGCTCGTATCTGCATCATCCTCGTCCGATTTTTCTGTGGTGGGAAGACGGAAACACTGTACGTGACCAGTCGCAAGCCCGACTCCGAGAAGAGGCTCGGTAGGATGCAGAGCTTGGGTGAAGAGCTCAGCGCTCAGCGGGAGTGTGCACAGATTCTCAAACATGGCGCCAGTGTCTGTCTGTCTGTCTTTTCAGACAGATAATCTGCAAATCAATAAATCAAATCGAGGTACTCGTCAGCAATTGTAAAGATTTTAAGGATAACGCATCTCCCACTTGACCTGGCCACCCCAATAACCTATATAAAACCCCATTATTTCAATCTTTAATAACTTTACGAATATTAATCGTACGATTTAATATTTAGCACCGTTAAATCCGTTAATTAAAGGGGAATCCAGCGGTATTTTTTACTATTTTTTACAAAATTTATTAAGCGAGATATTAAGCAATACGCTAAAGGGGCGCTAAGCAAGGATTAATTTAGCGCTTACTTTAGCGTATTGCTTAATAACTCCGCGAATATAAGTCGTAAAAGTTAGTAAAGGGTACCGTTAAATAGCTCTTTTTATTACGAATCTAATGGTATATTTTATTATTTTATACGATTAGTATTCATAGAGTTATTAAATTATCACGTGATTAGCGCACCGACGTTATTTGTATGGGCTATGGGGGTGGCCAGGTCAATTGGGTGGCCAGGTCAAGTGGGAGATGCGTTACCGTATTCCCATAGCTCAATTGGTTAGAATGCGTGATCTAACTAAGTACTGAGAAATGGGTTCGCTTTGCTTTTTTTTTTCTGCTTCGGCTTCTACCGACTGCGTGACAAGGATGCAGGTACATGTGGACCACTCTGAGCAGTGATTGGACCCTCTATCAATGCACTAACCCGCAGTGTGACCTCCACTATCGCGTAGCTGCATAGGGGCCTACAAAGTATTGGGCAGGTACCAGGCAGGTACACTTGGGGTAGGTATGTAGGAGGTTGAGCCCTTGAAGTCCAATACTACATAACTAAGTAGCAAATAAAATAGTTACCCTCTAGAATCTTGACAAAATTCTATGTGGCGGGACCTTTTTATTGATCTTCTTATTGCGAAGGAGGAAATGAAGTAAGGAGGAATAATAGGTAACGTCAAGGTAGACACCACACCTTTGAGCGATCTACCAGTACACAGGGCAGGGGCTGGTAAACCCCAAGGCGACGACAGCAATGATGATGCTCACTTGGCGACGGCTGGTCCTGTTCCCATTATTCATCATGGCGGCGACTTCAGCGACTACTCTACGGAACATCATGTATCTCACAGGGTATACTATTCCTCCATCTCTCACATCACACTACTAGCCGACTAACATGACCTCGCAGACAACACCCAGTTATCCCAGAAGATGTCTCTCTCAGAAGCCCCATCACACACGTTGCTCTGGCATTCATGAATTCAAACACCTTCAACCGAGAAGAGGAAAATTCCTCATGGCCGATCTTCATGTCCGTGGAAGAGGCCCGTGCCAAGTTTGAACCCGGGACGAAGATCATGGTCGCTATCGGCGGCTGGGGCGATACAGCTGGTTTCGATACAGCAGCTCGCACAGAGGAAAGCCGGGCTAGATTTGCGCGCAACGTAGCCTCCATGGTCCGCGATACAGGTGCTGACGGTGAGTCTGGCTCCAAGTCCGCCACACGGTGATGAGAAGAGTCCTGGCTGACCAACTACTAGGCGTCGACATCGACTGGGAGTATCCAGGGTAAGTCCTCAGCCCCTCGCCATGTGAACTCCTCGTAAAAACAAAAAAAAAAATAACATTACCCAGCGGCAACGGCGAAGATTACAAACAAATCCCCAACTCGGAGAAAGCATGGGAAATCACCGCCTACCCCCTCTTACTCGCCGCGATCAGGGCAGCCCTCGGCCCGGACAAGCTCATATCAGCCGCAGTACCGGGTATACCGCGGGACATGCTCGCCTTCACATCAGACACGCTCCCACAAATCATGCAATCTCTAGACTTTCTCAACGTGATGACCTACGACCTGATGAACCGCCGGGACACCGTGACGAAGCACCACACCGGCGTCCGCGCCAGTCTGGCCTCGCTAAACGTATACATGTCCTCCGGCGCGCCTCCCGAGAACCTCAATCTCGGTTTCGCCTTCTACGTGAAATACTTCCGCACAGAAGGTTCCAACTCCTGCATGGCGAACCCCATCGGGTGCCCCACAGGATTAATGGAAGATCCCGCGACGGGCGCGGATCTCGGGAAGACAGGGGGTTTCTCGTACCACGACGATATCCCGCACGACGAGATCTGGCGCTCGTACGAGAACGCGGTATCCGAGGGCCGGTATGACGAGGAGGGCGGCGGGTACTGGTATTACGACGCGGACCAGGCTCTTTGGTGGACCTTCGATACCCCCGATGCCATCGCGCGGAAATTCCCGCTCGTTGTACAGGAGAAGAATCTCGGGGGCGTGTTTGCGTGGGGTCTGGGCGAGGACGCGCCTGCGTTCAAGCATCTGAGTGCTCTCAATGACGGCGTTAAACGGCTCGCTAAAGTGAAAGATGAGCTGTGAATCCTCCGCTCACATAATCTCTATAGCGCAATGGGAAATTCTCGATTGATTTATTCTTATAAGCTCAATGCTACATTACACATGCTGGCTAATTCTATTCGTCTAATTCATGATGTAAGTGCTATATACTATACGATTTTTTCTTTGAATTTAGAAAAGCCCCATGCAATTGGCGTAAAACGTCACCGTAGCCGACCAATCCGAGAAGATGCCCTTCACGCCAACCTCTCGCGCAAGGACATCCACGAGCTTGTACATATCGCCGTCTTTCCGCGTGCCGTTCGTAATCGAGAAGTAGTAGTAATCGTCCCTCGCGACGGCCTGGGCAAGCGGGCCGGACCGCTCCAGCGACCACGTGATGATGTCGAGCCCGAGCTCCTTGGCCTTGGTCGCATACCCCGAGGGCACGTACTCGCCGTCAGCATCCACGGAAACAAGGTACGGCAAGGGGGGCGCGACGATGTTCACCCCGGCGTCCTTGTAAAACGTCAGGTTCGCAGCGGCTTGCTCGACGGTCGAGGCCGGCGGGTCGCCGCTCTCGTCGAGCAGGATGGCCTGCTTCCCGAACTCGGGCGCGTGTTCCAGCCAGTACGCCACGTCCTCGAAGACGAAGCTCTGCAGCCAGACGCGCGAGGGGTCGATGCCCGCCTCGACGAACTCGTCGACGACCTGCTGCTCGTACATCTGCGTCGTGTAGTTGCCCTGGAACGGCATCGGCACGCGCGGCTGCTTCAGCTCCGTCGTGAACTGGAGCCCCTGCGCGTCGACGTAGCGGATGAACTCCTTGTGCGAGAGCACCGTGGCGCAAGTCGAGTATAGATCCGTGCGCCAGTTGGGCGTTCCGTGGAGGAAGTCCTCGGGCGTCGTGGCCGACGCGTTGAAGCCGTCCATCTTGCCGCACAGAGACTTGAATTCGGCGAGGGTGATGTCGCTGGTGCAGCACTTGGCTGTGGCTGCCTTGCCGTCGGTCGCGGGTTCGAAGGGCGTCGTACACTTGGCGCCGAGAGGAGTTGCGACGATATTGGTGGTGGTGTGCAGATCGCATTGGTCGTGGCGGCAGACGAGCTCGCGGTCGCTGGTAAATGCTACATCGCACTCTTGAATGCCCGCGCCCATTCGGGTACCAGCTACTAGAGACTGCATCGTCTCCTCGGGGAATTGCAGACAGCCACCACCGCGGTGTCCGATGCTGAAGGGGGTGGTGTGTACCTTCTTCTCCAGGCACGAAGCGAGCTTGTCTTTCAACGGGCCCTCGTCCATGTCATTGACGAGATACTCTGGCCGAGGGCCGAGTTCGACACGACGGCTAGAGTGCCCCTTGTCTGGGCAGCGCTTCGTAGGGACCGCAGACACGCCCGAGGCGGCAGCGGCAAGGAGGCCGGCAACGACAGTGGAGGTGGTGAAATGCATCGTGGCTCAGACGTGTTTCTACGATGAACGAACGGGCACTCGTCACCTCGACTCAGGGAATGGCATGTCTGCCCAGCTCACCAGGGCCGGGAGAGTACGATCTTTTATGACGAGCAGCGGGTTCACGGCACGACCGCGGGATCGCGCGTCCTGACCGTGTAGTAAATCATTCTAACAAGAGCCACAAGCTGATCTCTCGAGCCACGGACCAATGGCAGGCGGTATCCAGCAACATGTTCGCGCCAACATTCAGCGGGGAATGCATTTGAGTCCCCAAATCAAAGTCGCAACTGCTACATTGGGAGCTTTAGGGCCGGCTCGGCAGGGCTAGAGATGAGCTTCGGATCATGCCCAGAGCGGCCAGCATCATGGACAGTGGAGAGGAGCGAGATTAGACGCAGCCGTTCCTATCCACATGGTCTCCGAGCACCTGGCTTCGCGAACGCATATGGCCAGGCGAGAAAGATGCGAGAACGTGGCTCTCCAACGATTGACGATTGAGATGCTCCCGCGGAAGCACGTGGCAGCCACCCTCGTTGTGTAAGCCTTGGCCCCAGCCTTTTCGTTCTCCGATCCCCATCATACCGTCGCATCGGATCACCATTATCGCACGTCCCATCCTTCAGCTTCTGTTTAGCTGGGTGCATTGCTACTGTCTCCCTTCTCATCGAAGAAAAAATATGGTTCGTTCTATCTATTTATCAACCACCCTCTTGGAGATACCTAGAGGTCAGTGGTTTACATTTGGGATTCTGGCTCAATGAAGATTCCATGCTTAGGAGAACTAGAACCAAAAGGGCCGAACCCCGGATCATACCTAGTAGTACGCGTTAAAGTTCTCACAAACATAAAATGAAGATAACCTGAACTACCACTCAATCATCTACTCAACCCATCCTTATTCGATGAATTTCAGACACCTCTCTCGTTTCTTACCTTTTAGCCAGATGACCTGTCGTACAGGCTGTAGAATGGCGTCTACTATTGTGGGTGATTCCGGTCGCGTTTACGTCAAAAGCGACGTGCTCCAGCGCAATCGCGAGAATGACAATCTCAGCATCTTCAAAGCTGAGTATGTCTTAAACTCCGTGTGCTATTCTCCTATTTCGTCGAATTATCTAAATTATATTATTCAGGTCAGAGAACCAGTCTTTTGCCGTCAAGCGCGTGTCTAGGCCATTCTATAATATGTCGGTTCGCCTTGCGACCGAATTTGCGGGCTCCCGTCGACTTCGAATGCACGTCGATTGCAATCAAAAGGAAGGCGTTCTTATCTATCCTTATTATACAACTACCCTATTGTCCTTAATTCAGGACAAACCGGACTTTTCCCCAACTCAACGATATAAAATTCTACGATATACAGCAGAAGCTATAGCAGAGCTTCATAATAAAAACTGGATCCATATTGGTAAGTTCTTTAAATTTTGTAACATGCTATAAACCTAAATAGCTAATAAATATATCTATAGATATTAAGCCAGACAATATCTTGGTTAATTTGACTTGCGATAACGTTACCAACGTAGCGCTAGGTGATTTTGACATTGCTTGCAAGCTAGAGGATGGACATGTCTTCCAGACGCCTCACGCAATAGGGAATGCGATGTGGCGAAGCCCAGAGGGGCAGACTGGAACGGGTGTGAGTAAGGCATCGGACATGTTCTCATTTGGGCTCGTGGTAGGCTTTTTTATAGCTAACGTGACAAAGCCCCGCTAACTCGGTCTATAGTGCATATTCACTCTGGGTGGTGGACCCTTCTTGCTTATAGAAAATTACGAAGAGCTTGTAAAGCATAACATTAGGCCAGAACAAGAAATCCTAACTCGACATTTCTCGATGTTTGGGCCTGTACCCGAAGGACTCCTCAAGCAAGTTACCAACGAAAACTGGCGTCGCGCTCTAGAGATAGGAGCAAGAGCGGGCGAGGAAGTGGTAAAGCAAAACCCTTTGATAAGGTTCTCCGCGTGGGGCGTGGATCTTGGGCCTGAGGCATATGATATGATATCTGGAGTAACAAATCTAGACCCAGCTGCTAGAACGAAGATAGACCGAGTATTGAGCCATCGCGTGTGGCAGGAGGAGGTTGATGAGTCTATCTAAATGTTTATTCTTGTTTGCTATAAGTTTAGAAGCTAAGGGAAATCATATAGCCACGCCTCCAAGTCAGGTCCATATTACAACCATATCCTTGAGCCGTCCACCCTTCGCGATCCGCTATTGACGAGTCGCAGTCGCGTGCAACATATGAAGAACCTGCCTAACTGTACGCACGCTAGTAAAGCTGAGCTCTAGCGCCAGGCCATCTAGCTAGGATAATAAATTGCAAGGATAAGAGCTGTAGCAGGATTACTTGACAAGTTGTGATAAGATATGGGCTTGAAATACCGGTACTACCAACCTAGTTCTTCAATTATATCCCACTGCTGAAATCTGCAACGTCTCCTCGGTCGTACAGCCGATCCATTTCTGTTAAGATGGATTCTTCTCGCTTGCACCAACGTGTGATAAAAGTGACACTCACTCCTGTTCTTCGATAGACGCTGCTTGTAAGTTTCTCGAGCAAGCGAACTGTTTATTCATATCATACCCCTGGAGGGGGTTCTCTTCCGTAAGTAGACCGAAAGAGCAACAGAGACAGATCGCATGAGATAACAGACACACCTGGAGAAGTAGTACGCATCTGCTTACATGCTTCTGTACGATGATAAGGTGAAAATATCAAAAAGAAGTAGGCCGGCACATGACTGTTGACTATCGAGTAACTAGCATCACTTCAAAAGAGTTGCATAATACATGTCTTGCACGAAGAGGATCATTCTTTTTCTCTCAACTGCTCCTAGTTATTTTAAGATAGTTAGGTAAAGTACGTACTATAAGTAAGGTGAATAACCAAGCTGCAGAATGGGCCAATCTTATGGCCTCTTGTGGTTGCTGCTGTGGGCCATATCAAAGCCATAAGTAGACTATTTACTATGCCGCTCGCTATGTCGTCATAAGTATGCCACGATCCAGAACACTGCGCTAATCATCGGCACATCCATCCCGTCCAGACCCGTCTCCAGCGCCTACTTACAGCATCTCCCCACCTCCTTCCCTTCACCGAGTTGCGTATTCGCAATCGCTTCAAAATTATATGAAATTCCGACCTGTTCGAAAAACTTGCAGAGAAGCAAAAGACTGACTGTATCTATTCTTTGTTCAGTATGCTCGCTGCTTCCGAACAACATAGCCACAAGAGCTAGTCAAAACAATTAGGCACCAGTTGTAAGAATTTGTAGTGATTAGCATGAATCCGAATGCGTATTATGCTTGGTAAGGGCCTCTCCACGTCATCGTATATTATGTATTATGACGGGGTATCATTATTCGCTGTCCTTCAACACCACAGCCAGCAACACACCCACACAGCCCTTCTCTGCCCTTCCAAGTTTTTTTAGACATGCATGGCTGAGCAGGGTCTACACACCGTAGGAAGCATGTAGAACAAATCAGGTGAGCCCCCTTTCCATCTAGCCCAGACAGACCCAGACAACGTCCACCACGAGCCGAATCCCGATGCGAAATCCCAGATCGTTTCTACAGGGTTCTGCCAGCCGGAAGAGAGAGTCTGAGAGAGCGTGGGCAGCGCCGACCGTACTCGGCTCTAGCTTAGCGTCTGTCTGGCGTGTCATTGTCACAAAGGTCCCTATGACGAACCCTTGTCATGACATAACCCCGCCGCCTGTCCAGTCCGTTCCTTCAAGGTCCGGTGGGAAGTATATCATGCCAGTCTTTGTCCGCCTCTGATCTTGTCAGTCCATCTCTCCCGGCTCCTTTGTCCAACTGCCACGGAAACGAATGAACACCATCGCAGCATCGTGAAAAGAATATACACGAGCCCGACTACATCTAATATCTCACCGTTGTCGACAAGCGCCTAGACGTAGAGTTCACGACTCAAAGTGAATATAATCATACGAGGATTGTGAAAAGGCAGATTCAACTGTGAAAGGGAGAAAAAATAAAACTCGATATCAAAATGGCTTTCGGATTCGCGCCCATAGTCCACATCGTGGCCGCCGTCTTCTCCATCATCGAGCTCGGTTTGACCGCATACTGTACGTCATCCGCCTCCAACACACCCCAAGCATTCATAAGCACTCACTAACCATCCACAAACAGGGGCCAGTCTCTACCACTGGGGTTACACCAATTACTCACCGTCATCCGTGAACTTCATGGTCTTCAACTCCGTATGGTCGCTCCTGGTGCTCGCCTACATCGGGCTCGTGCCCCTCTACATGACCTCGGTATTCCACCGTCTCGCCGCTCTCGCGCTCAACGTCATTACCGCCATCTTCTGGTTCGCGGGCGCCATCGCTGTCGCCGTCGGTTTCGGCGGGCCTTATGATTGCCGCGGGAACACGGGCTGCCAGGTCGCCGAGGCCGCTATCGCGTTTGGATTCTTCCTGTGGGCCATTTTCACATTCCTCGCTGTCGTCGATGCCATTGAGAGTCTTCGCCGCCGCGGACACCACGTCGAAACGAAGCAGCAGACGAATGCGTACCCCGGCGCTTGAACCAATACACCACTCGGCTTGTTGGAAGAGAGAGAAAACACCACAATTTGTAATAAAAATAATTAATTCAACATATTGCACTACGATGGGGTGAGATGAGATTCGTATACTCATCACACACTGACATACCCACCCGATCACTTTCCTCTGGCGTTCAGGCGATAATAGGATAGGTCCCGCAGTCGGATTTGGAAACAATACCCCCTGACTTTCCTCATCTTTAGCTTTCCTTACGAGTTATGGGTTTACGTTCAATATAGGTGGTTATGAAGAAGGAGAGAAGGCGAGCAAGGCGATGTGACTGTATTTGTAATAGGAAGTAATCAAAATACATCAATTAATTAATATCATATTCTATTTATCGTATTTATTAATGACATATTGTGAGAGTATGATTTCATTAACATCTACTTACGCACACGCCTATTCTATGTCATTGCCTAGGTTCAGCTGGATATGGACAAGGTTGATGATGTCGGGTGATGGATGCTAATCGAGTTGGGGCCTCTTACTAGATCGTTCAGACGATAATGAAACTGGAACTTCCTGAGTTGTTAGGTTAGGTAGGTATCGAGTGAACATGAGAAACCCTGAAATAAGTACTCATGCCAGTAAGAAAGCGCAGAGGCAGATAACCCAATGCTCAATTATCGCCAGAGTAGGATTTCATAACGATCATATATATATATATATATCCCCATGACCACACCTATCCTATACCTAATATATTATAAACCCCCTATCCGCCCTGAAAGGCACGACCGTCCAAACTCCCAGCTTGAGCTTCCTTTACACCAACAACGTAAACGAATTGGTATCAATCTAATTATAATCTAAATTAGCATTTCTTAACGAACCGTTCCAGCGTAAGCCCAAAAAAGAAACAAAAAAAGAGAAAAGAGAAAACAAATCGTAATTCTCGCTTTATAAACCCCTCATAACACAACTCACTCCCACTAAAACCCAACCCTTCAAGCATTCCTTCCCGCCGTCTACTTATTCCCCTTCTCACCCCAGCAATCCCCCGTCTTGCAATCGAAATCAACCCGATGCCACGCCGTGGCGAGGTTGCCGCGGAGGTTATATATGCTCTTGTGCGTCTCGGGCTGGGTATTATACGCGTCGTCCGTGGCCTTGACGACGAAGGTCGTCTTCGCCTCGCCGTTAGCATCATCTTGGACAGCGGGCAGCACGCCCTCGTATCGCCAGCGCTTCCAGCACCACGACTGCGACCCCCGTTCTTGCACCGTGTCGTCGATGAGCGTCGCCTGGTCCCAGTTCGCGCCGCCGTCGAGACTCACGTCCACGCGCTGGATCTCGCGCCCGCCGCCTGAGTACGCGTATCCTTCGATCTGGACCACGCGGCCGCTCGCCGTTGTCCGCGGCGCGGGTTTCGGGGCCTTGGTCTCTGGTGGGGAGGAGGGCTCTTGGGGCTTTAACCTCGTTCGCGTGATGGCGCTCGTGATGGGCATGACTTGGATCGATTTGTACTTGTCCCAGTCTTGCTTCGTCTCGTTCGGGCCGAAGCATTTGTAGTCGCGCCGCTGCCATGTCGTGCTGCTCTCTTCGTCGCTGACGACGATCTTGTTCACCCATTTCACGGCTCGCGCCGCCACGTGGCCTGGGACGATCACTCGGACGGGAAAGCCGTGGTCGCGGGGGAGGGGTTGGTCGTTCATCTTGAAGGCGAGGAGTACGTCGCCGCGGGGATCGATCGCTGATTCGATGGGGATGCTTGCGCCGTACTATTTGCATAGTAGAGTTAGTGATTGCCAGAAGTAGGACGTTATAGCACATGTCTGGGGGGTATAAAGCGGTTACGAGGTCTGAAGTCTGTCTAAGGAGTTTAAAGAAGTGATGCTGGGGGACTCACTGCTTCCAGACCAGAAAACTGAACATGCCGAGCGTCCTCGCCAGGGTCAGCCAGCGAGAGGCCGGCATCAGCTAGGACATCTCGAAGTCGCACACCCTCCCACTTCGCACAGCTGATAGCTCCAACCGTCCATTGAAGCCCATTCGTCTTCTTGGCATATTTCGTCATATCATTGCGCCGATTGCCAGAACACTGCAGAACAGAGGTGATGGCGTGCTGTTTAAACCTTGCCTTCAGCTCTCCGACACTGTAGACTCGTACCTCACCATCAGGCAGCTCAACCGCGATACCGTGGTTATCAGCTTCCGTCTCGTCGATAACGGGAACCCACATGTGATTCCGGACATAGAAGGTCTCATTAGGCGTCAAAAAGGACTCAGCGAGCTCATCCCCAGGCGTCTCGGCATTGCACGGTTTCTTCGTTATGCAGCGTAACCTCGTGTCCCGTTCCGGATCAGATACAAAGGGGTCTTCGATGGCGTCTTGCAGCGGCCTCCCGTTTTCCAGATCGTCTGAATGCACCTTGCCGACCACGTACTGCTCTAAAATGTCCCGGACGTATTGTGACTTGTGAATGGCGAATATATCCCAGTAAGGCTCGATGCAACCGCCAGCAGCGCGTAGAATCACCTCGCCACCTGGGTGGGCGGCAACCCAGTCCGTGATATCGTACACTTTATCCCCATAGATGACCCACGGCCGCTCGGATTTGGGACCATGTTCTTTTACCTCGGACAGTCGATATCTCGGTAATCCGTCGTCACTGTCGCCGTCGATCGGAGCTTGTGCAGAGGGAGAAGCTGGGACGTCTGTCGGAAGCTCAATTGACGCAGGGGATACGGGCTGGAATACAGAGAGCAGAGTGAGCAAGCCTAGGCCAGTGCTGGCGGCAAGGAGAGAGAGCTGTTGGATACGAGGTTTGGGAGTAGGCTTCGGTTTTGGAGTGGCTCGAGGGGTAGATTGTCGGAAAGCAGTTTGGAAAGAAAAGGATCTCAAAATGCTTTTCTGTAGGTTAGGCGTCTCGAAGGTCTGCCAGACTCGATTGCGTTGACATCTTGGCACGGCTCTACAGAGCTCTTGACCGAGTCGTCGGCAGACAGGGGCTGCTGACATTGTCGAAAACACGGGGGTTCCAGATTATATCTCAAATAAGGCGAGTTGATACATGCTCGCTGACGTCGTATGTCACACCTCGTTAGGTAGCCAATTGACAACTGAAGCTCGAGGTGGACGAGGAAGGATACGAGCAATCAATTAGCACAAGGAAGGGAAGATAAAATGTCAACGGCGGCTAGAAGCGGATGGAAGTCAATGACCTAAAGGATTGTCGATACTGGTCACCTGTTGATCCTAACCTAACTGTACCGATGAATTAAAAGCAATGTGATACGTAATGAAGTACATGTCAATAATACCTACCTACCACAGGTCCTGTTATGTATGTAGGTTTACAGGGCCAGCCAGGAAGAAGAAGTTATAAGTAAGGGGAATGGAGAGCTTGCGAGCCAGTAAGCCAACCCAGCCCAGTAAGCGGAGCTCGAACAACATTATCACCTTGCATAAAATCGCCGATATTCAATAAATGTGGTTCACTTTCATAGAAATCATTTCCGTCCGTGAAAAAAAATAGATAATGCAATCAGCTGACGAGGATTGAATGACCATGCAATGATAAGAATAGAAAGGATCCGACCTCGGAATCCTTTTCAGCTTATCAAGGCAAATACCGACACTCAGGTGACACTATCATGCATGCCCCGGATTCCCAGCCGGAGCCGCCTAGACCGCTATTCCCAAGCCAGCCTAGGCTGGCGCCCAGTGGACGGATATGCCACTGAAGGCCCCTAAATGTGCTGTAGATGTACCTAACCTACGGTACCTAACCTAAGGCAGAGACGACAGGCACTTACCTGGATCCACCCACTTACACCGCTCCGTCTTCTGAAGACTATAACTCATGTAAGGCAAGCTCGGCAAGTAAGGTAAAAGACCTTTACTTTCGTTGACTCGTTTCTGACAGGTCAATTGGCCTGTACAAGATCATAGACATTCAACCAAGTATGTAGGTGGTGGCAGGTACGGGCTGGGCTGTGAGTCGCTTGTGTCCGTCCCGGATACCGGAACATGCCGGCAAAAGAACCCCGAGTTGGCGTCATATTCTCACCTCCGAACAGCGATGAACAACCATGTCCACCGCTGGAACGACACATATGTGCTATAGCCGTCAAGACCGGGATCGCGAAGTCCGAAATAGCGGTATATGTTGCCGAACTACTGCCATAGGTATCCTGATATCATCGTGTAGTGTAGTGTACAGTAGGCTGGTCGAGGGCTTGGGATTCGGGACACCTTTGACTTACAGTAGTTTGACATGTAGGTACCTACGTATGCCCAGTCCGAAGCCCTCCCGACTGCAGGGCTGGCCTAGGTCTAGTAAATCCGCATATCTCAAAGACCGATGGGCTGTAAGCCTACGATAGAAGACCATACAAGTATCAAATACCAAAATATAAAACGAAAATAGTGAATACAACACAGCTTCCAGGTATGAACAGGTTTCTTTCATTAAAATGACTTATTCAACGCTCATAGATATATATTAGTGCCATGAGACCATGGACGTAGACTTAACATGCACTGCATTTTTGGCTCCGAAGCAGACATCACTATTGTATTACCTGCATGCCCTACTACTACCTGACCTTATTAGGACGAAGAAATCCTCCTAAGAGCTAAAATTGCAGTGCAGGTGGCAACTACCATGTTTATTGCACGAGTTGACTATAGATAACTTCAACTACAGGCGCTGCTTGTAGTCTTTTCGAGATGAAGTTTTGCCCCTGAGTGTATCCAGCGTAGAACCTCATAACAAATCTATACAATATTCCCGTAGATGCGTCTCTAGCTGAATAGTATGCTGTATTATCAATCACACTTGTACACGCCTGCAACAATACTGTCGCTTATACATGTTGAACCATTAGCAACTTACATGAGTTCTTGTTAACTGAGGAATGCTAGCCGGTTCATCAGATCTCATCATTGTTTATAACTAAACCACTAACACATAAACTTCTCGCTAAGCTTCCACAGTTTCTCAGCTAGTGCAGGATTCTTAGCATAGTTCACCTGCTTAACTATATGGTTCTCTATCAGATACACGGGCGCTTGAGTATGAATGCTTAGATCGATGGCAGCGGTAAGAAGTGTAGCCCCAATATATTCATAAGTTTTGAACCTAGCTCTCATCGAACACAAACTCGCGCCCGGTGCTACATTTCGCAATTGCAGCTAATTATGTTATTGCAGTCTTCAAGACATAGATAAACGCCGAGTCTTGTCTTGAGATTGGAATCGGGGTGGACTGCGAATGAGATAACACCTCACCCCTGGAGCCTCTTGGTCCAGCCAGAGGTGAATAGGCTTCGTTATTTTGGACTGGCTGTCCGCTGTCCACAAGTCATACCGTTTGCCCTGAGAGTTCTAGTCCCCGAAGCCTAGGGGGCTCATGTATTATCCATGATGGGAGAGAGATGTTCGCATCACGCACTCTATACGGGTTAGCTTTTGCCGCTACTATCAGTGCAGGCGCGAGTCAATTATTGAATAGGAATGTTCCAACGGGATTTCTATATAGTTGCATCTCGATTCCATGCTTGATGCTCATGTTGCCAATGCCGTCGATCAAGATATCTGCCTGTGACTCTGATAGGTTCAGAACCTCCCGAGCGGCGCACCGTATCGAGTCATGGTCTGAGGGATGAACTTGGACAAATGAAACCTTAATGGTAGTATCGCGGATCAAGCACAGCATGAGCTCTCTTTCGCTGTAGTCGCGATAGAATGAGAACATAGCTGGGTGAGGCTCAAGCCAGGATTGTGACTATTATCGAGCTGCCAATACTTGCCAAAGACGCCGAATGTACTCTTGCTGACACCCTAGAATCAACCGAATCACCTCGTTAATGATGGTATGATAAGCTATTAGTTGGCTCCCCACTGCGAAATGGGCACTAGCAAACACAAGCGAAAAGCCGTGTCCTGAACTCCATGTTATCCGTGAACCCGAAAGTCAAATCAACCGACAGTTCTTAGTGTTTGCCCAATTGTAGACGTGACAACAGTAAGAGAGGCAGACATTGTCGCAAGCTCTATTCTCAGTATCGTTGCCTCGAACTATCACTCTATTACCAAAGTCAACTTTTTCATAGGCTGGTTGCGTGCCTTCCACTTTCCAGTTGTAATACGATAGCTATGAGCCAACATAGACCACTAAGGGCATAACTCCTCAAAAGATATGAAAGACGTCTTTCTATATTATTGCCTGATGTATTTTACATCAACAATTAGACTAATTCCCAAGCTTCGACCATGCATGCACCTGTTGACAAACGCATGTAAAGCTTGTGTTGCGCAGAGTGTGTAAACTACCCATTAAGTCCTATCAGTCTAATCTTCTACAGAACACTTCTCCATCATCGCAATCTGTAACAAGTTTGATCATAAGTGATGGAAATAATATGACCTCATAGCGAAATGTGCTCCAACACTACACCCTTCATAGTTACCTTCATATGAAGAATTGTGTATCCAATGATGATGATGAGGTGTTTAAAATATCACCACTATCAAACTTGATACAAAAGGGAACCTCTAACACCTAACAGTAGATTTGGAGAAGTGGGACAGGATGAGAAGGTTGCAAGTGTTACACGCATACACGCTGTACTAGCTGAATATGCAGTTCGCCTTGCGCTCCCGCCGTAAGGAAGGCCATTGCAGGCTGCTCATGGTCGTCAAATATATGCAGGCAAGATTGGAAAGTGAGGTTATACAGACTTCGCTTCATGAAACAAGCCAATGAGACCTAGGTGGTCAGGGCTGGAAGACCTGTTGTATATAGAGTCAAGTCAAGCCACCAAGGCCAAGAATAAATTGGTTGGTCAAGGACTCATGCAGCTCTCATTGATCATCATATTGTGAATAGTCTCGAGTTCCAAGCGCGGATCTCTGCTCTCCTTATACTTAGCTACCGCGTGAGGCGTTTGGTACTTTCTTTCGCCTCCTAAGAAAGTCACCACAAATCTTTGAGATGCGGAATAAAAATAATATATGTTTGAAGCGACAGGTCCACCGAGTTAGATAACGAGCATAGGCTATAGGTGTAACAAGAGCTTTCTACACTTTTTTACCTGTCCTAATGATTGTCTTGGCAGAACTCAGGGAGTAAGAATGAGTTTAGGATTGCATAGGGGCAGTCTTTGCCTGTCGTAAGGTGCTTGAACATGGTTCTGATTGGTAACGATTATCTGTTTTGGTATGTGAGGTTCATATGGCTCATTCAGGCGCCGTCTAGTTGCAGGCCTACTAGATCTATGTATAGATTCGTATTCGTGTTCTTAACCTATGAGATCTGCCAATGTGCGTTATGAGAACGAGGGCTGAGCAGCCTCACTCTGAACATTGTAAAACCACATTGATATTCTACAAGATTAGGGCGCTGTGCTAGTCCGCAGATTGAATCAATCGTTTTCACTCTTAATACCTAGATAACGCCAAAATAGTGGTATTGAGGGGTTTCACAAATAGAGGGATAAGTAATCATGGTATCTAGGTCTAAGTGCGTTGTTGAATCTGACTTATTGCATTGCATTATCTAGCTCCAGTGTTCGAAGCTGACTCTGTTTCGCATAGGTCATGCTGGGATGATGTGCGATATCACGTGTTTATAGAGACTATTGTCTTGAGTGTGTCCCACTATGCCGAGGCGCCCAATTACACGAAGCCTCAATGTTATCAAGCCGAGTTTAGTTCATCTAATCTTTTCTATCAACAGCATCGAGCCATTTGTACGTTATTGCCCCAGCTTTTATCTTCAACCCCGTGGGCTTGTTCCACATCAATGCGACCTACTCTATGGATTCTCCACTTCCCCAACACCAACTTGTACATGTATAGGGATGTGCCATGTTGAAATCAGTCTTGGTTAATGCCAATTTGGTCTAGATTCTTTATCGTATCACTCTGGCTCTACGCTCGGGTCCGATTCTTTATCGTAGGCTGGAATTTGCCCGCTCATACAGATGCCTACATGTACGTGTAAGCCTAATTTTCAAGCTACCAGTCCAAAGCTAGCCCGATCACGCTGCCCACCCAGAACGCATGATGGCGGACGGCCTGATTCTAAAACTAGTTTCATATTTCACGATTACTTGCGTCTTCGGCTACACGGCATGTCAAGCGCGCTCGAGTTATGTCTGTCCAAGCTAAAATTAGTAGCTAGTTCCCTCGGAGATTGGGATACTGCAGGTTAGTTCCAGAACTAAACTGCCTAATTCACCCGCACTCCTAGCGACAAAGCATCTTCCTAGCGTTTCAACCGTCAGATGTTCATCGTTCTCCATGGGTAACGAGCCGCCACCACTACATACATGTACTTATAACACAAACCAACATGATTACATACATTACGGCTGTGAGTATCAATATCATTGCTTATGGTCGGCTACAATCCCATGTTGAGAGCCCAGGAGGTTATTACAATCATGGTGGCTTAGATTGTGGCATTATATGTATTCATGGGAGCATCAGGGTCATATCGTGCTGTCATTCAGACAGGGACTATTCCACAACTATGCTACACAAAAACCCCTATGCTTGTGCTACCTTTCCGCGTAAACAAATAACCGGAATACCCCGACTTGGCTTGAGTTGCGAGGGTTATGAGCCGACGGTTTCGCACTAGATGGATTAGTTACTAACAACAAACTGCATGGTCAAGTCTAAGAATGTTATCAGGAAGTCATAGTACAAGCTAAATCGAAGACATCCACACAGGTAATGCTAATATGATTGAAATGTATTCAAGGAAGGGGTCACTGAGGTAGTAACTCTTACCAAGTGATAGATGAATTTCAAACTACGTATCTGCGTATATGAGTTACGAACGCTGTACCTACGAGAACTGCTTCATTCGGGGATAAGGAGAACATCTATGTGATAGCCGAAGTAGGGTAGATCTTCGGTGGCCGGAGAAAGAAAACAACGCGGGGTAGTCAAAGGATTTCTCCAAAAAAAAAGTTCTTCTTAGTGTTGGCCCTAACCCACAGCCCACACTGCGGAGGAATGTATTAGTTGGAACATGCCAAGCTACCTCAGGGACCTCAGTCTCAACCGCTTAACTGGTTACAGAGACGAACTGGGGTAATTATAACTGATTATTGGCTGAAGCCTACAGACTAATACCTACTAAGTAGTTGATTGTGACTGTGACATCGTATGACACCTACAGGAGTGTACGACAGACATGCGCTATCACGTACATAGATAGATACCTAGCTGCTGCACTGATAGAGTGGGTGCCAGGTTGTCGGTGAGTCGCTCTGGGTCGCTCTGGGTCCATCTAGTGTACAGTATGTACATGTAAGTAAGTAGGCAGGTTGATATTAACAACGGGTACTCTCGCGTGTGTGTGTATAGCTACCTGCTGTGCTTAGCAAGTGTATCGGATCTTGCAGCATGCTGTGTCTATGCTCTCGAATAGAGGCGTACAACCCCAATATCTCCAACCTCCCGTACGAAATGCCAATCGGAATTGACGTAATAGAAGCCTATCCTAGGCAAGCAGTCTGACGCGCCAAACGGTCAGAATGTTGAGCCTATCGTGAGCAGGGCTTACATGGCACAAGTTGCCGGATACGGTATTTATTGCAGGGGCCCCTGGACGCATGAACAGGGGTGCACACACAGTCGTGATGCAACCATGTGAGCTTGTCGGAATTTGGCGTCGTCTGTCGTCGTCCGTCTGCTTAGCCTGCCAACTCCTTCCACAGTAGCCTTCCCGCCAACCTCCTCGCTAGTTACAGAAAGAGCTGAACCTGCACGGCATTCTTCCTATGCCACGTCGTAGAAGCAATGTGGCGTGAGCAGTGCCGTCTTGGACTGCCGTCTTGGTATCGGTACCTCTTGGTAGATGGCGACCTAACGGTAGAAGAAAGTTGCGGCTGTACGGAAGATGCTGTACGCAATTAGAAAGCTGAACACCACTCTCTGATAATATCGTACCAATCCGCGATGGTGTGTTTCACCGTCAAGCCTGGCATGGGAGCATAAAACCCAGTCACCTGGGATGGGTTGTTGTCTTAGTTCAGCTAGCGAGCATCAGAGAAAAGCGCCATCGTGCTCTACTTACATACTTACATATGTACATATGTACATAGATATGTAGGTATACTTTTATACACCGGAATAAACTGGACAAAAACTAGGTAAGATTACCAACATGACGGCGTGACCGTGCGGGGAAATCCTGACCCTTCCCAAATCCCTTGACACATTTTTACTAGGGGCGGAAGAACCATTCTCGCTAATGTGTGGCGGCCGACAGTCGCTCACCCGGGGAGAAGATGGCAGTCCATCGCTCTCCGAATACCCTCACTTACGCAGCAAAAAGATCGTTATTATCGTATGGCCCAGTGTAGTTACAGTCATTTGAGGCCATTCCAACGAATACAGTTTTTCGCATATGTGAACGAACTTTGGAAAGTGACTTGGCGCCAATTCCTTCCCCAGGTCCCCGCCAGCTTCCCCACGCTCTTCCCGTCTGCCCAGAGCTCGGGTTTCTCAAATACTCCTGCTACTGAGAATGGAAGAGGCGTTCTTAGCTACTCTTGGCTGTTCTTGGCCTCTGCTTGGCCAGCCCATGAAATACGGCGGTGGTTCTTGGCTTATCTTGGCGACTTGGCTCATGACTTGAGTCTGACTTGGGGCCCTGGAGATATTGACCTAGTCATCATTGCCACTTTAGAAGCGATAGGCAAATAGCTACCATTGGAGATGGTCAAATGGTGATAAAAATTTACCCTGTTGTCGACTCTCCGACGTGCGGGGTCCTCAGCGCTAGAGATTCGTCGTGGGTATAAGAGCTCGTCGGTTGCCATTGCAGCCTGCCTACCGAGAGACGCAGCATTCCACCCTCGGTTCCTTCACTGTTCTTGTCTGGCTTATCTTTGGAGAGATAGAGGAACGGTGCTCTTCATTCATACACCATGGCTACCAATTATGAGCCGGCGGACCCAATCGCCAAGGGTATCATCCCGACAGCGAAACAGTCATTGTCAGACCTCTTCAAGTGGAAACAGAGAGTTGTCGTTACAAATGAGATGGGTGAGCAGCATACAGAATGGCAGCAGCCAGAGCCTTTAAGGAACCCAATCTCCCTCTTAGCCCTGCTAAGTGCGAAAGACTGGATCTACTTTTTCGTTGGCTGGTTTGCATGGACTGCTGATGCCTTCGATTTCCACGCCCTCTCCATCCAGACAGTCAAGCTCTCCAAGTACTACGACACATCCAAGACAGCGATCAGCACCGCCATTACGTTGACACTACTCCTTCGGTCGGTTGGTGCCGTCGTCTTTGGTCTTCTTGGTGATCGCTATGGTCGAAAGTGGCCCATGGTCGCCAACTTGATCATCCTTGGTACGTGGCTTATACCCAATACTCTCTCTACCCCTACCTATCAATGCTAACACAGAAACAACAGGTGCACTTCAGGTCGGAACCATCTACGCCGCTACCTTTCAAGAGTTCCTGGCTGTCCGGTCTCTATTCGGCCTATTCATGGGTGGTGTGTATGGTAATGCAGTGGCGATGGCCCTCGAGAACTGCCCGTAAGTAGCTGATATTCCATTCTATATCCGTACTTCAAAGCTGACATGACCGTCTTCTTAGAACGGAAGCTCGTGGTTTCATGAGTGGTGTGCTACAGCAAGGTTACTCTTTCGGTTACGTGTTGGCCGCCATTGTCAACCTAGCTGTTGGCGGCGAGACTGATACTTGGAAGACCGTCTTCTGGGCCGGCGCGGGATTGTCTTTCAGTGCAGGCCTCCTCCGGTGCTGCTTCCCCGAATCCGAACAGTTCAGAGAAGCCAAGGCTGCAGGCAAGCGAATCACTGCGTCTGACTTCTGGGCGGAGACCAAGGACATGTTGGCTCATGAATGGCGCCTCTCTATATACTGCATCATCCTCATGAGCTGGTTCAACTATTATTCGCACACAAGCCAAGACAGCTACACAACGTTCTGTCTTACAGAGAAGGAGTTGCCCAACGCTGGAGCTACCCGAGCGAGTATTCTAATGAAGACTGGTGCGGTTGTTGGCGGTACTATTATGGGATATATCTCTCAATGGTTAGGCCGTCGAAGGACTATCATCATGGCTGCTCTTCTGAGCGGTGCTATCATTCCAGCCTGGATTATCCCTGAAGGAGAGCGTGCTCTTTCAGTCACTGGCTTCTTCATGCAGTTCTTCGTTCAGGGCGCGTGGGGTGTTATTCCAAGTAAGCATTTCCATCGGCCCGTAACAATAAGATTACCACTAACCAGCGTTTAGTTCATCTCAGCGAGCTGGCGCCGCCGGCTTACCGATCTACCTTCCCTGGCCTCACTTACCAGCTTGGGAATGCTATCAGCTCTCCCAGCGCACAGATTGTCAACGCTCTCTCCGAATCGCATTTTATTCGCAACAAGTCGGGCCATCTAGTCGAAGCCTACGGTCCAGTTATGGCCATTGCCACAGCCATCATCGTTCTTGGTATCGTTGTGACTACTGCCGTGGGTCCTGAAAGGAAGGGACGTAGCTTCGAGGGTGGCCCTATAGGTGCCAACCTCCACCACGACTCAGAAAAGGCTATCGACGTTGCTTCCATAGACGAGAAGAGCCTCCCCGTGGAGCAGAATGAGCACAAGTCTTGAAAATTTAACAGTGAGGTACGAGGTTTACGGTAAACAAGGATACCCAAAGGGCAAAGGTTAGGCGGATCAAGGCTCTGATCTGGATGCTTATGTTGATGAATTATATACCATTCCGTTAACGAGACGTGTCAATAACGATTCAAAAATTTATGAAATCAATGAGGACTCTTGACTTCCGAAAGATGAGATGATGACATCTAACCGAAATGTTAACACTCCCCAAATCACCGCCGCCATCTAGTCTGCCTGCTGTAGTGCCACTGAGTAATCGCGTATGAGAATGCTAATATGAAACTAGAACACAATGTCCAAGCCGAAACTGTATCAGCTAAGTATCCTACTTCCTACCCATGGTAGGCCTCTGGGTGACCGAGTTCCGCGGTAAACGGATTTGAATACCTTGACGTACATGTACATAGGAGCTGTGAAGTTTCTCATAAATCGAATGTACTTACCTGTTTGATCTTGCACCATCTATATATTATTGTCGCATGTCCTCTTTTCCCCAGTCTGTCAGGTGTATATGTCCCACAGCGAGCAGAAGGTTAGTTAGAGTCAAGTAGGTAGGCAGAGTGTATAGGACTCAATAGAGTACTTAGTCAATTGACCCTAACTTTCCAACTCTCGAGGGGGCCCAACGCCCCTTTATATATCCAGAAGGGTTGACCCATCCACCCGTAAGGTCTTATATTTCTAACACAGTCAATCACTTCGTTACCCAGCCCCAACTTTACTCTATTGCGGTCCAAGGCGAGACCTCTGTCTGAGCGCTCTTTCATCCATTGTCCCGTCATGAACCCTCTCTAAATAGTTCTTGAACTGGGATGTCATGTCCAAGACTTGCTCGAAGTCTCTCTGATCCAGAACTGGTCCCTCATCTTCTTCTTTATCCTCTTTCTGCTGAAAGCGATATTCCGCGAGTGCCACCGCGGTTTGGAATGCTGCACCCGGGTCCCGATAGTTAGTTTATTTCCCAAGAATTCAATTTCAAAGGTACGATTGCTCACCGTTCCGTATTTCTCGTCCATTCCAGTCTAGTTCGATCAAATTCTCTTCCAAAACGTATCGTTTTGCTCGTGCAGTCACTGCCATATCTTGTCGATCTTCGCTTAGCTTGCTGAAGAACTGTTTCCAAATTCTTTCCTTTTCTCTGGGCCCAAGGTTCTCGTAGGCAATGACTACGTGTATTCGCGAGATGAAAGCATCGTCAAACGTTCCAACCCGATTAGTCGTCAAAAAAAGGATTCCTCTGTAGTATTCAACACATCGAAGGAAAACTGCAGGTACACTCGTGGTTACCACAGTATCATTGCATTCGTAGGGCATGTACTTACCGGACACTAAGCTATTCCGCTTGAGATCCGCTAACTCTCGTCTTTCGAGATACACATCAGCTTCATCTATAAGCATAACGGCACCCCAGGTCTCAGATAATCTGAACCACTTAACGAGGTTCTCTTCCACCTTGGTTTCATCGGTCCCAATGTCTCCCCCCGTCAGAGACAGGAGAGCTCTACCCGTGTACTCTGCGATGCATTCTGTCATAGGTTAGCGTAGCAAGAGCCCTGACAATTTTAGATATGGGACTTGCCAGCAGTCTACCAAACAATGTTAGTATATAACAAGAATATTGTAATGCGAGTATTTCGTTCTTACGAATGTTTTTCCCACGCCGGGGCCGCCGTGAAGCAGAAATATCTGACCTTCACCCTTGTTCTCCATATGGTCAGCCGACCAAGGCCGAGACCCTTTGGATTTCGAGCTTTCGCTAGTGAATCTCTGAACTAGAGCTTTTATCATGGTTTTCCTCTCCTCAGGCATCACTAAGTTCTCGATCGCTCGAGCATTGGCCTTTGGGTAGCTGCAGTTTGCCACATTGAGCCTCGCTGTCAAGAATTAACGCGACTGAGTCAATGAAAGCTGTCATGTGAGCACTAACCCCAGGTTCTAGTTTTCAGCATGATCCCCCAAAGGTGACGATTGCATAGCAGGTACCTATGGTTAGGAGGCTCTTCAGACTCATCTGTCTTAAGATTTTGATTCTTGAACGGATCCAGAACGTCGTAGGCTTCCCATCTAAACCTTTTCGCCGGATGGGGTCGCTGGCCCTGGCACTTATCACAGTAGCATTTAGGCAAACCTCTTCCCATGTCTCCAACGTCCCCAATCTCTGGTGCATCGGACGAGTTTTCGGAGTAGTAAGAGACGCTATCGACGTATGCGCGGCCATGATACTGCGATTATTACATTAGTTTAGAAAGAAGTGGAAGGTTATGTATTGACTCACATTCTTGTTTCTGGAATCAGCCAGCCTCCCAGAATAGTAGACCTGTCTCCCAATCAACGTTTCATACCACAGCTTCCCATTTTGTTCCAGTCGCCGCTGCGTCTGCCCATTGTCTTTCCTATCGAGATAACCACAAGGAAAAACTTTCAGACTGGTTATAGCTCGTTCTCCCTCGAACTGTGGAATCAATGCCGTTTCGGAGCGTCTTCCAACAAATCGACCATCGAAATCTAAGCTCCACATACTAATCTCGTAGGGATTCTTTCTTGTTGATGCGGAAAGAATTCCACCATCAATTTTGACGCCACTTACAACATAAGCAGCCAAGCCATCTCCGGTTTCACAGTACACAGTGTCGCCGGGCTTGAAAAGAAGCCATAGCATACGGAAAGTGCATGTCGTGCTAGTACCGTATCGTGCAAGTTCGTTTTTGATATCATTCTTATATACGGAGTTCTTGACATAGTCTAGAAGCAGGTTGAGATGCACTGTTGTATCTTTCGGATTTGCGCTGGGAATATCTGACTCGAGGTTAGGCTGACTATTGGTGGTCAGGATGGCTGGCTTTTCGGTGGCAGTGCCTTGTGTTCTTCCCCCCCATGCTTCGAGCTGCTCCAGGTGGTGGGCAATCAATGGGTAAGGTTCATCGATGATGATTGTATCCCCTTCAACGTCCACGGATGGATAGTAGGACACTACCTCAGCGATGACTTTTATTATGTCCGGTGAATTTATCACCATCCTACCCCCCCATACCGTCACACCAATTTTGGGATTCTCAAGGATGCCTTCTTCCATTATCTCTTTAACGTCATATCGAAACCTGCGAATATCTTCCTCAATTGTTGTTCTTAGCAACGTAATTACCTGAAAGATCGGCGTCTTGGCCTTCGCACTTGTGCCCCTCGCGGTTTGTAGGTCGAATGGCTTCCCCCATGGCTCGTTGGTAATTACACTACCTCCCCTATCCTGGTATTCAATAACGAATGAGATTGTGGGCGAGTCGTCAGTCTCTGAAACTTGTGTACCAATCTGTTCGGAGGTCTTCCATGCGCTGGGATGATCAGGGTGTGTCAGATTATCGTCGCATAACGGGCATGTGAAGTAGCCGAAGTCAATGAGCACCCAATGTGGACGTCCGTTCTTAGAACAGTAAAGACGAGATTCACTTTGCCAATTTGGGTTCTGTTCGGGATTATTCCAGACTTCTTCGCCCTTCGAGCTTTGAGCAGCTGAACTTGGATTTTTGTCCACTTCCACCTCATTGTTCTCCTTGACCATGACTGTACTTGGATCCAATTGCGTTTCTACATCCGAAACACCATCTAGCTTGGCTGTGACGACGTGTACTACATCACTCTGTGTAGAAATTTCATCTACTAATCCCAGAGAAGACATCGTAGCGGATCTAGTATTTGTTTGGTATAATAGTAGGGACTGCTGTATGGATGGCTCTGCAAAAATATTGGAAAAGAAACAACTGATCAGAAGATTTTAGTTCCGGGAAATGTGACTTCTCCAATATGAAAGAAGCTAGCTGATATGGAAGGTGTTTCCGAAGATGCTTCGGAATAGGAATGCTTGCTCTTATATGTTTGGTGCGTGTCGCTTCTCAGCTTCCGGGATTTCCGATCCACTGAATACCCCTTTAGAAAGGAACTGATATGCAGGCTGTGACTCATTCTCTATGTCTCTTTCTCAACCCCTAGGCTCTTGCAAGAGAAATGAGTGGCTTAAAGACCTATGCTCGGTTATGCCAGTCGTTGGCCATGGTGGGCTGAAACACACTCTAACTGCTACAAGAGCTGCATGTAGCCTGCCTCTCCGCCCCCAATCTTCTTACGTACATACACGAGCAAGGGGCATCGTAAGGGAACATTGGAGGTTATTGGTTCGTTCGCAAGCTACTATGACATTTGTGTGTGTATGTGCATAGGCTTACTAGTAATACACCAGACGCGGCCGCCCTCGCCGATACAGCTACTCATGCAAGTTATCTCGGGTGGGCGCATTTGTGGAAATACGGGGTCTGTTTTACAATTGAGGGTCTAGTATGCTATCTTCTCAAAAGTCCTTTTAGTCTCTTCATAACGCTGTGTAAGAATACAACTTAAAAATCCCCTCAAGTTACTTTGGTACTGTTAGATTTACATGATAGCTCAACCTCATCCTGATAAAGGAGCTATGACAGAATTTCAAATGACGCCGTTGGTTCGAAAGTATAGCCTCCAGCTCGAAGACGAAGATGTTCTACCTAGAAGCTTAAGAATTGTTGCCAATGAAGAGCAAGAAGATGAAAGAAGAAAGGCTTTGCAGTTGCAGGAATGGCGAGAATGGATTCGCTTCGACGGAGCTTTAGAGTATTTTTATGACCACCCAGAGAAACACCCACGGCTAATGTTTCGGCAGTGACCACAGCTCCGAGAGACTCACCCACTCTAGCAGAGTACTTGCTGAAACCTGGAAATCGTTCGGCCCCTTGTTCGACGTCGATTCTACCAAGTGTATAGCAGGGTACTCCCTTCCTAGCATCGACGCGCTGCAACGCGCTGTCCATGATGCTAGCACACTACGAGAATCTAACAAGTAGTCTGCAAGGGGTCAGTTTAGGGAGAGATTTCTAAACTTTACAAACACATTAAGTGACTACTCGTTTATATTCTCAATCATCCCTCAAAATGACAAATATACCATTCTGATTACTGGGGTCTTGTCATCTATTGCTAAAGTAGGGGCTGGCTCCCAGCCATTCCAGAAAATGGTCGTTGATGTCAGGATAGGCAGCCGCAAAATACCAAGATACCGCCGAAAGAATCTCACAGGCCCTTGATCAAATCACTTCTGATATCAGTCAAGTTAAGAAGCGTGCCAACGTTGCCGATACCCCCGAAATTCGTGGCTTTGTGGCCGATTTCTTTGTCGGAATATTTGAGCTTTTATGTTTAATCATGTCATGGTATAAATCGAGGTCGAAACGAGTCCTCGGATCGTTCAACAAAAGTTTCACTAAGGACCTTGATGGGAAGATCGACGCAATCCAAAAGGCCCTCAAAGATATGTCGGAAGAAACAAGCCTTATCACTCAGCTTCGAGTCCACGACGTGCATGAAGATGTTGCAGGGATCGCCCTAACATCAGTGAGCACGGATAGAAAAGTCCAACAGATGATGACTTTATTAGAGCAATGTGTGGTTGGGATAAGATCGTTGCGTGATATTGGGCATGTTGCAGCGCAACAACTCAACTCCATGCACCAAGATTTCGTCCGGCAGAAGACCGCTACTGGTTCAGGCCTAACAGGTCATCCCATGATTGGACAGGATTGTCCTGTCACTGACGAGGCACATAGTGGACGGTCCACTGGCCTCTCTGGCGGTCATTCATCAGATCGTAAGTGAATAATTAGTATTCCCAGCCATGAGTTAACAGCACGAATAGCTAATAATGATGAAGGCATTGTTTCGCAGTCCTCCAAGTCTGATCTACTTCACTATTCTCAGCTGCTCAAACCATTCATCGATGACGGTCGCAGACTGATATCGATAGATGGTAGGCTAACCGCAAGATCAGTTCTGCCTCGTGAAGTTGTTGGTGAGATGGAGAGGTGGATGGCTAGTGTCAAATCGAAGTTACTTTGGGTTGAGGGAATTAGCTCGCATGCCTCCGAACCTGTTCTTTCAACGGCAGCACTGAACATTTGTTCTATTGCGGAAAATGCCGGCATTCCGTGTATGTCCTATTTCTGTACGACTATACATGACCGCAATAAGACTGTACAAAGAGACCCAAGCGCGACTCATACTGAGGCAACGTGTGTCTCACTCTTCTATTCAATTATTGTCCAGCTCTGCGAGACTCTACCGGAAGACTTCACTGGCACAGAGAAGTTTAACAATCAATTTCAACTTCTCGACGGAACCCTCAAAAGCTTAGAGATAGCCATTAGCTTGATCAAGCATCTCTTCACCTGCTTGCCTCCCCTCACAGTCTGGGTCTTGGATAAGTTCCCATTTGCGGGAACCAAATCGACAGTTCCTTATATCAAGAAATTGATAGATGTTCTACGTGATGAAAAGGGCGGTCGAGTTACCAAAGTTCTCTTCACAACTGAAGGAAATACGCCTTGGTTGTCAGGTAGCTTACAAGCGCGTGAACATTTTCTGGCATCAAGGATGACTTTGAACAGACCCGGGCGTGTAATTCCCGGTGCAGTTTCACCACTATTTCGCGGTAAATTCCAGGGAGGTGATCAGCAGAAATAAACATGGCGACGGGATCAGGAGATCTTGTTTTTGCGCTAAGAGCTTGCAATTGCTTCAAGGCCCTGAGCACGGATTACAACTGCAATTGCATGTTGCCCATATCAAAGAGGAAGAGCTGGACCCCGTTCCCTCGGATTACTAGCTCGTCAAGGGGCCTCTTAAAATATGAGATGACGATTACACTGTCAGAAAGGGAAGGCGGTAATACTTGCGTTCCACATACTAGAATGCTAGGAATCTGTATATAAGACCTTTATCCAGCTAAATAACTATATTATAACTTAGATTTCTAAATAATCTAATAGAATTATATATATTACTTTTAATAGGTTATAAGCCCGGACGTTTACCTAAGCGTATCTTTAACTATTAAGGGTTAAAATTATACTTTATCTTTAACCTTCCACTATTTACGAATATAAAATAACGATATATGTTAAAATTCCACTTTATTAATCCTACGGATAAAGATTATATTAAAATATTATTACTTTAAATAATAGTTAATAAAGCTAAGTTTTAAAGGTTAATTTAAAGAATTTTTAACCTATTAATTCCTTAAAATAGATAAAGGCTAAATAAATTATATATAATTAACTATTTAAAAATCCTTAACCTAACCTTTTCCTTTTAATAATTATAGGAATAATTATAATTATATTATTAATATTTAATAATAAAATGTTATTAAATATTTATTATAACCTTTATAATTAAATATAACTTTAAATATTTAATATTATTTATTTTTTAAGCATTTAAATTTTTTCCTATTTTATATATAAAGTTTTAATATAATTTAAATACCTTTTTAATTAAAAAAATATAAATAATTAAAATATTAATTTAAATTTAAATTATATTAATTAATTACCTTTATTTTTATTATTATTATTAAAAGTATTTAAAGTCTTTTTTTACCTTTTAATGCTTAATAATTAAGATTTTTTTAATTATAAAGTTAATATTCTATTTAATTATTAAACTTTAAAACTAACTATTTTAAAGGACCTTTTTATTAACTTTAATACTTTCCTTTTTAATATTAATTTTTAAGCTAAAGAATTTAATTTAGATTTACCCTTTATTTCGATTAAAGACTTTTAAAGTAATTATTTTATAAATCCTTTCCTATTAAACGCCTTTTTAAAAGATTTATATTAATAATATATTATAATATTAAATTTTAAAAAAAAAACTAATTAAAAATTATTAATTGCTATTTAATTTTATATTATAAAACTTTTTATAGCTATTAACTTATTTATTAAATTAATTAAGTTAACTTTATTAATTGCTACTATATTATTTATAATATTAATAATTAATTAAAATATTATTAAATAATATTAAGGAGTTTAAAAAGGTAGCTTTTTTTAATAGTTTAAAATAATAATTAAAGTAGAGTTAAAATATATAAAAAAAACTTAATATAAATAGGTTTATTTAAATATTATTAAAAGGGCTTTATAAAGTAATCTTTTAATAAAGAAAAGGAAAAAGTAAAAAAATCTTTTTTATTAAAAAAAATAAATAGTTTAAAAAATATAATATAATTAATACTATAATCTAAAGTAAACTATTATAAAATACTTATTAATAAGTTTAACCTATATTAATAAAGCTCTTTAATATATTTACTTTATTATAAAATAAATTATATTAAAATTATAAGTTTAAAGAAAAGGTTTAATTTATATAGTATTATTAATAATAGGAAAAAATAACGTTTAAATTTATTAATAATATTATTTAATTTATTATTATATTATAATAAATTTAAATAAATATAATTAAACTTAATTTAACTTTAGTTTAATTATATTTATATATTATTAAAAAATTTATTAATGGTTTTAAATTTAAATTTAATTCTTTTTTAATAATTTAGAAAATTAATACCTTTAAAATTCTAATTATTAATATAACGCATCTCCCACTTGACCTGGCCACCCAATTGACCTGGCCACCCCCCTAACCCATACAAATAACGTCGGTGCGCTAATCACGTGATAATTTAATAACTCTATAAATACTAATCGTATAAAATAATAAAATATACCATTAGATTCGTAATAAAAAGAGCTATTTAACGGTACCCTTTACTAACTTTTACGACTTATATTCGCGGAGTTATTAAGCAATACGCTAAAGTAAGCGCTAAATTAATCCTTGCTTAGCGACCCTTTAGCGTATTGCTTAATATCTCGCTTAATAAATTTTGTAAAAAAATGGTAAAAAATACCTCTGGATTCCCCTTTAACTAACGGATTTAACGGTGCTAACTACTAAATCGTACGATTAATATTCGTAAAGTTATTAAAGATTGAAATAATGGGGTTTTATATAGGTTATTGGGGTGGCCAGGTTAAGTGGGAGATGCGTTAATTAGAATTATAATATAAATAATAGTTATTTTAAAAAAGGTAATTAATATAGTATTACGCTTTAAATAAGGTTAAAAGGAATAAATAATATAAATTGCCCTTTTAACTATTAAAGCTAATCTTTTTTTATTTAAATAATAATTTAATAATAAAAGGAAGGTATATTTTAATTATAGTAAAATATATCCTTTTTTTTATTTTATAGCTTATTTTAAACTTAAACTTTTAAATTAAAATAAAAATATATATTTATAATAAATAAAATAATATAAAGATAAAATAAAAAAATTTAAAAGGGATAAGGATATAAAAAGGGAAAAAAAAGTAAACTTTATTATATTTTTTATATCCTTTTAAGGATTATTATAAACCTTATTTATTATTAAATTTTTTAAATATATTATCTTTATAGTTTATTTATTATTAATAAATTAATTTATTTTTATTAATTTTATTAATATTATATTTAGTTTAATATTTTTAATATTTAAAGGATTTATATAAAAGTTACTTTAAAGTAATACTTTTTAAAATAAATCTAATATTAAAGATATTAATATTAGGGCTATAAAAAAACTTTTAAATAATATATTAAAGAATAGCTATTTAAAAGAAGTTATAAAAGCTTTACTTACTATTATTAATAAAAATTAAGCTAATAGCTTTATAAAAGTATTAAAAATAATATTAATATTTTTATATTTTTAAACTTAATTAGCTTTATTAACCTATATATTATATTATACCTTATAATTATTAAAATTAATAGATTAATAGTATAATTAATTTAATATAAAAATTATACCTTTATTAATATAATTAATAAAATAAAAAAACCTATTATATTAAAAAATATAATCTATTATTTAATAATTAATATAAATTTAATCTTTATATTATATTTTATAAAACTTAATATTAAATTCCTTTTTTAAAACAATGGAACTTATACTTTAAAGGGGAATAATATATTTTTAAAAGATATAGAATATAATAGCCTATATATAGTTAATTAATTTAGGTTAAATATTAAAGCTACTATTATTACTTTTATTACTTATTCCCTTTTTAATTTTGAATTTATATTATAATATAAATATTTTAAATATATTAATAAATTTTTAATTAAAAAATTAATAAATGCTAAATATATTAAGCTTTAAAAACTAACCTATATATATAAATATTATATTTAAATTAAAATAAAGGAAATACTTTATTTAGGAAAGCTTTAATAAAATACCTACCTATTAAAATTATTATATATTAATATTATAAATATTCTTAAAATAATACTTAAAGGTTATAAAAGCTTTATATATATTATTATTATATATTATAATTTTATAAAAATAATGTAGGTATTATTGTTTAAAAGTAAAGGAAAATTTATTTAAGCTTTTAGATTTTTCTTTAAATATTATAAATACCCTAAATAAAGGTATTATATATTTATATTTAATAAAGCTAAAAAAAAATACTAATAGGGAATTTAAATATATATATTAAAGTTAAAGAATTTAAATATTATTTATTATTATAAAGTAATACCAATAAGGTAATATTTATAAAAAAGTAATAGGAATATATAAATTTATTATAATTCCTATAATAATATAAATTATAAAAATATTAACCTATTATTATTTAAATAGCTTATTATATAATAATATATTAATTTAATAATTAATTTAAAATATTATTATATAAAAAATAATATAGGTAAAGGCCTACTTATAATTATATAATAATAATAGGAACTAATAGAAAATATTTTTAATTAAATAAAAAGGGATTAATATTTATTAAATAAACCTTACTTTATAAAATGTTAAACTATTAAAACTAAAGTTTTTATAATTATATAATTCTTTTAAAAAGTAGGAAGGTTATAAATATTAATAATATAAGCTTTTTTTAAAAGATCTTTTACTTTTTACTTAATTTAATTAAAATAGTTAATAAAAAAAATAGGTTTAATAAAGCTTTAAAAATAAAATTATAAAAAACTTTAAAAAACTAAATATAATAAAAAAATAAAAGTTTAAAAATTTTCCTTATATTAAATTAAAAAATTATATATTAATTTAAAAAAGAAAAAGATTAAACCTTATTATAATAAATATTATATTAAGTATTATATTAATTATTATATTAATTATTATTTTATATATTATATTTAAAGCTTTAATAAATGGATCCTTTAATAAAATTATTAAAAATTCTAATAATATCTTAAAGCTAAATAATAATAATAACCTTAATTATTAAAAAATGTTATTTAATAATATTAAAAATTAAAATGCTTTAAATATTATATTTAATATAAAGTTAAAAATTAATAATAATAATAATAAAAATATTAAGTTTAAAATATAAATCTTAAAAGGATATATAAGGCTTATATTATAACTTTATTATAATAATATATACTTTATAAATTATAATTATTAATTATTTACTTTTTATTTTATTATTATTACTTTAAAAATTATTAATATAATTAAAATTATTAAGTTAATTAATTATAAAGCTATTAAAAGGAATTTATATTAAAATAAATAGCTAAAAGTAATAAATAATAAATATAATTCCTTAATTAATAATATTATTTAAAATTTTATATTAATATTATTTAATATAAAAGTATTATTTAAAAAGTAGGTTTATAAATTTAAATAAAATAAATTAGGAAAAATAATTAAATATAAAATTAAATAAATAATTAAAAAATTTAAATAAAGAAATAGTATAAATTATAATAAAACGTTTACTTTTATAATTAAACCTATAAGTTATAAAATATTATTTATAATTATTATTACTTTAAATCTTAAAATCTATTAAATAAATATAAAAATAGTATTTTTATATAAAAAAATATTAAAGGATATTTTTATTAAATAATTATTAAAGTTTATAAAAAACCTAAATATAATTTATAAATTTAAAAAGGCCCTTTATAAATTTAAATAAATATTTTATATATAGTATAAAATATTAACTATATTTTTAAAAAAACTTTAAATTTAATAATTTAAATTTAAATATTAAAATCTTTATTTAAGGAAATTATTATATTACTATTTATATTAATAATCTTTTAATTATTAAATTTAAAATATTAAAAATTATAAAAATTAAATAAATATTAAATAATAAATTTTAAATAAATAACTTAAGCTTTATTAAATATTATTTAAAAATAGTTATTAAATAAAACTATAAAATATATACTTTAAAACTATTATAAAAAGCTTACTTAAAAAAATATTTAAAAAATTTAAATTTTAAAATTTAAATAAATTAAAATATTAAAGATTAAAGCTAATCTATATCCCTTTATTTATTAAAATAAAAGTATTTAAAAATAACTTTATTTTAAATCTAAATAATTAAAAATAATATTAAAAAGCTATAAGTTTATTAATATATATAATATTAAGTATTTAACCTAATATAATATTTATTATTTTTAAATATAATAGGTATATAATTAAACTTAATACTTTTTATATTAAAATAATAAAATAAATATTTAAATACTTTAACTTTATAATTAATTTAAAATTAATATATAAAAAAGGTAAAATTAAGCTATAAAGCTTTATTAATTTAAATTGGAAAATATATAAGGAAATTTATTAATTAACTTTAAAGTATATATTTAATTTAAAAAATAATATTATTAGTTAAAGTTTAAAAAAGCAATTAATAGTTTTATTATTTTTATTTAAAGCTAAATTAAAAAGGTAAACCTAAATTATTAAAAAAACTATTTAAATATAAAAACTATTAATTAAATTAAATATTAATTTAAATAATATACTTATAATTATTTATAATAATAATTAAAAAGTAATTTTAACTTTATATAATTTATTATTATATAATAAAAGGAAATATATATTAATTTAAAATTAATAGTATTAAAAATAAATTACTATTAAAAAGTTAATTTTAAATATATTTTAACTATTAATTAAATAATAAATAGGCTAATAAAAATATTATTAAAGCTAGCCTTTAAAAAGTTTAATAAATTATTAAGCTTAAAATAAATAATAAAGTTAAAATAATTTATATATAAAGTTAAATAAAAAAATCTTATATTAAAAATTAACTTAAGTTAAAATACTTTTATTACTATATCCTTTAATAATAATAAATAATGTAAGAATTATTTTTATAGTTTAAAAATATAAAATTTATATTATTAAAAATTAAACTATAAAATAAATATAAGCTTAAAGAAAATTACTAATAATAACCTAAAAAAAGTTTAAAATAAAACTATAAAGTATTTTAAAATAATATTTTAAAAAATAAAATAATAAATATTATTAATTAATTTAAATTAAATTTTTTAAATATTTATATATTTAAATATAATAAAACTAACCTTTAAAAAATACCTTTAATAATATAATAATAATAAGTTATTAACTTTTTAAAGTTACTTTAAATTAACCTTATTTATAAATAATAAAGTATATATTTATTTATATTTTATATCCTTTATTAAAGCTTTTTAATATTAATAATATTTAAAACATTATAAAAATAATTAATATAATAATATAATAATAAAAGTTACCTTAAAGGAATTTTAATTAATTATAAAATTAAATAATTTAGCTATAATAGCTTTATTTATTATATTTATAATAGGTTTATTAATTAAGTAAAAAGTAAAAAATAAAGTTTAATATATTTTTAATATTATTATAATAAAGAAGAAAAGTTAAAAAGGAAAGTATATAATAATTTAAAACTATAACCTTTATAATTAATTAAAAAAAGATATAAAAGTTAAAAAAGCTTTATAAGGTTTTTAAAGGTTAATTTATAACTATTTTAAAATAAAGTTAATAAGTTTAATAATTTAATATAATATAAATTAATGATAAAATAGGTAAAAAATATATATATATTATTTTATAAAAAAAATTAAAATATAATATAAAATAGGTAATATACCTTTTTAAAAACTTAAAACTTATAAATTATAAATTATTTATAACTTATACCCTAATAAAAATATTAATTATTAAAAGAAATAATTATAGGAATATATATAAATAATATAAAAATAAAGGGGGAAAAAAGGATATTTATATTTATATAAAAATAATAAATATATAATATATTATAGCTATTATATATTATAATGCCTTAATTTTAAAAGCTTTATATTATAAATAATAATTTAAAAAAGCAACATTAACGGGACTTTTACCCTTTATAGTATTTTATTTTAAAGAATTTAATATTACTTTTATTTACCATTTTAATAGCTATAAATAACTTAACTTTTAAAAAGTTTTACCTTATCTATCTTATTTTAATGGGTATTCTTTAAGGCATTACCTTTATATTATACAACTATATAACTTACCTTAAAGGGAGCTACCCTTAAAAGGGAGTTAATTAAAATTTATAGCATTAATTAATATAAGGATCGAAAAGGAATATTAAAAAGGGAAGGCGGTAATATTTACGTTCCATATATTAAAATACTAGGAATTTATATATAAGACCTTTATCTAGCCAGATAACTATATTATAACTTAAACTTCTAGATAATCTAATAGGATCATATATACTACTCTTAACATACACTTGGTATCGTTAAGAACAAAATACTTACGATTCATATACCTCTTTGTAGGAAGGGAGGAGGCATGCCTTGTTTATTGTATGTCTTGTGGCATGGACTATACAAGCCTTGGAGCATTCACCGCTTGTGACTCTCTTTTTAGCTACACTTATGGTTCAATGTGCCTATATCCATATTAGATAAATCCAAATTCTGAAGGGTCAGTATTATAAAAACCTCTGGGATCTCAAATTCTTGGCTCGCTCCATTTGCATTATAGCCAATGCGCCTATAATTATTTATGAAACTGGACATGCGTTATTGTTACACGCACAACCTCTGTGCCAGCTGAATATGCAGTTCTCTTTGCACTTCGGCCGTACGGAGGACCATTGCAGGCTGTTCATGATCTTTCAAGACATGCAGGCAATGTTGGGCAATATTGGAAAGTGAGGTTATTCAGACTTCGCTTCTTGAAACAGACCCCAGAGACCTAGGCGGTCTAGGCTGGCAAAGCAGTTGTATATAGAGTCGAGTCGAGCCACCTACAGCCAAGAAGGAGTTGGTTGGTCAAGGACTCATGCAGCCCTGGTTGTTCATTATAATCTGAATTCTAAGTTCCAAGCCCAGTATCTCTGCCCTTGTTATAGTCATGAAGTGTAATCAAGTTCATATTGCTCAAGAATATTCTATAATCTACTATAGCCTAACTGAAGTATAGGAGGTTCGATCAATCTCTAAGAGCGAAGCTATCTCTGCAGTAATCTCTAAGGCGACCCCATTTATTGAACTATTGTGGTTTCGGTGGTGGAGCCATCACATATGATATAGGAGATGTAACTTGGAAAATAAAGCTGTATTCAATCTCCGAGCTTTTAATTAATGCAAAGCCTGTCCCGCTGCCCAAGAAGAGTAGATACCTGTTCCTACACTAACTACAGCGAAAACCGTCGCTAGAAAAATTCCTAGGCAAGTGGACCAGAACGTAAACCAAGTCGTTGTCTTCCGTCGGTCATGGAACCAGTTGGTAAGATACCTCGGCTCTGCTGTGGCAAAGTCTTCCTCAAGCTGCAGCAAGCGACACCTCCACATCTTAAAGTCGTGAACTTTGTACCGGGGGTGATTATAGTGCGGGTGTCGGTCCACTCGGTTAAGAAGCGACAAGGTTTGGAGAGCTTCCTTAGCCAACTCGGCTGCGAAGTGATTCCTACAATAAGTTCAGCAGCTAGGATCTAATGGCGTGAATGTAGTAGATTACCTTTGTCGCGCTAAGGTTTGTAACATTCCTTCGTCGCCATAGATATATACAGTGATCCAGTTCCCTTTGCCAAGATCTTTCTCTACCAAGAGGTGTCGATTAAGCTGGTTTGTTGGTTCCCAGCTGATCCCGCTAAGCCGATTCATCTGTTCTAGGGTAAAAAGAGAGGAAAATGACCTGTATTTGTCTGGCATGTCGAGGCGTCCTTCAGGTTCTGGGAAATGCTCTTCTAAAAGTTTTTGGATACTGGTGTCCTTGTCCCACATAAAGGGCTCATCGTCACCGAAGCGGTGTATACTACCTCCAAACGGGTTTCCAAAGCAAAGTCCCGTTGATACAAACAGTGCTAGTTCGAGGGACCTTCGCAGAGGGTTGTACTGCGTACAATTTAGAAGAACAGGGATATAACGCTTTTATTTCTTTGAACCTTACTCTTAGATCTTCCAGTGGTAGTTGCAGCAGTCCCAGATACAGTATTTGTTGGCGCTCGTCGCTCAACTTGTCGCGTAAGTCTTGTTGCAATGGTGGTTGCAATAACAGCATTCCCCTTATCACATTGACCAGTCTCTGTTCAAGCAATGTTATCAAGAACGACTTTGTTTCAACTGGGTGTGTACGGAGAATCGGCAAGCTTGCCCCAACTCGAAGAATTTGGACCCATCGTTCATCTCCCTCACTGTCTAGAGTATTATCTAGCCACTCGAGATGCAAAGACAACTCGTCTCCTTCAGGTAGGCCTCTGATAGCTGCTGCAAATTCATACCGTGTGACCATGTCGATGTAGTAGGTTGGCGGTAGCAAGTCAAAGGTAATATGAATAGCTGTAGGAACTTATAATGCTTAAATAGCTGGAACCTAGAGTATTATGATGATGTTCTGTTTTCGAGTAGTAAACTAACGCTAACCTGTTGTCGTTGATGGGGGAGGTTGATACTCACTATCTCATGCGCTCATCACGTGCACGGTAGATGTCTATTTTGAGACGTCGCTTCGTGTATTGTTATTCGATGCATGAATCATCAGCGCGAGTGGCTTCTGTGGCAGCTCTCCATTGGAGCGTGGTCCTCAGCCTCAGCGCGTTGCGTAGTGCCTACTGAAAATTCACTTGGATAAAAAGAAAAGTCTTCTGGGCATAGCATGCGCCGTGTGGGGGCACATGTAGCCACATGAGCATAATAATTGGACTTTATAGCATAAGCAGTCACAGATGGGCTGGATACGATTTGGTCTTTGTAGCACAAGGGACAGCTGGCAATCCTTGAGTATATTTAGTTGGATGAGGTACCGGTAGCGGTATAAGAGCTTACAAGGATCGGTAGAGAAAGAAGCTGGCCTACGTTAATCCCTTCTTCAAATACCTCGAATACGTTTATTAGACACACAATGGAAGACCATCCTACTGCTATTGCTGCATCAACATATTAGAGGTATCACCGGCTTTTCTATCAGCCATGGCAGATCCTTCGTCGATTCTTCAATCTCCTCTAGTGCCCATCTACCTCGTGGACGATGGAACCAATCAAGGCGTCCCATGTCGGGTTAGTACAAGGCCCCGGGAGCAAAGCGTTAGTTCTTATCGAAAACAGCCCATGGCTACAATTGGTGGCATACTCCGGGTGGGAAGTCTGACGGTAGGCTTAACAACAGCCAAAATCGAGAGAGAGGACTCCATTCAGCTGGATCGCCCCGGTCGATCAGGGCACGGCGCCGTTGGGTACTTACAAGTCCAGCGAAAGGGATATGATTGGGCGCTCGTGATCCTCCAGCATGGTTTGGGGACGCCGGTGCGAGTGCCTGATGAGACTGGCAGAATCGAGGAAACCGGACCCATCATAAATAATATCGCAGAGCCGCATCGAATATCTAAAATTGCACAGGGGAAAGAGACCGTCGAGATCATAACTTCATTCGGCGGCCTAAAGCCCTTAATTAGGGGTAAAGGCTCGGAATATAACTCCGTAGCGACCCCTAGCGAGCTCGCGAGCCAGTCAAGCTCGACTGAGCTTGAGTCAAGTCTGACGGTTATCGCTGATATTAGTGAGTACCATGAGTTCCCTTCTTCTACCCTGCTAATTATAGAAAGGGCCGAGTGATATCGGATCATGGGTCATAAGCTGTACTCAACCTCAAGAACTAATAGGTATGGTTATCGGTTCATACCGGAGAGAAGGAAGGAATCTACATTCTGAAGTAGTTGTCCGTCCAATGCATCAAATTATGAGCGAAATGAATTCCGAATATATGGGTGGTGTGTCACTTCCTTCGCCCGCACCCACTCCCGAACAGTGGAAAGAACCAAAAGTCAATTACGTGATCAATATCAAAAAACACTCAGGTTCCAGTTCCAAATGGTGGTTTGCGGAAAAGTATGGCCGGGATCGTGGGTTCAATCGCACTGACTGCCAACCTGAACAGAAGCCTGGATTTCAATTAGAAGGGGAAGAAGCCAAAGTATGGGAGCATGAGATCCGACCGCTTATAATAGCCATTATTCGAAAAACCTCACCAATGCTGAGATCAGAACCTTTACCGATTGTAAAGTTATATGGGCTGTCTGTGGACGCGAGCGGAGAGAGAAGACCGAGAACAGTAATTGTTTGTGCCTCAACGGACTATAGTCAACAAATTCAGCGAGCAATTCGTCAGGAACACATACTCGATAGATCAGGATTTGAGCTGATCATGGCGGACAAGGTTGTCCGGTGCAAACCTGAGGATGATCGTGGCAGTAGAGAGGGTAGTAGTGCACTCGGGTCAAGGAGGTCTGCAGCTGATATGGTATGAAAGTACATGTAACCTACAATGTAAGCCATACCAATAATTACCAACACGAGTGTTACGAAAGAACGCTCGAAGGGGTGGAGGAGCATAGGCGATTTTTGTCACTATGGTCTGACAAACCCACATTCTCCGAGTTATATCATTCTTGCAAAGACCGCATTGAGCGAAGCCAGTTGCGCTTCTACAATTGTCGTCTGCCCCGTCTACACCCCCGAGGCGATGAGCAAAAAAACTGGTATTTCCCTCCCCCCAAAACACCACCTATTCAATCATCTAGAGGGGAGGTAGTGCCAGCTTTTTTGCTCACCGCCTCGACCCCTCTAATGAGAAGATCTTGCTTGAGTGTGCTGTGAACCCCAAGAGCACTATGTGCGGATACGTAGCCCGGCTCCAACTGCTGTGTACAATTCAAGGTGCAATAGTATCCTAGTGTCCTTGTTCGCTGACAACACTCGTGGCATCGGAGCCCGAGGAATCCTGAACATCATCCCCAAATGAGTAATCTGAACAACTGAAGAGGTAAGCGCCGCCTCCGTGTTTCCCATAGCTTCAGCGACAACCCGACAGATGGGAACTATCAAATGTATGTCTTCGGAGTGAAGCTAAGCCGAATGTAGGGGAAAAGCTCAAGATCGTTGATTCTTGAACTCTTCAAAGCACTAACTGCCACTTTATCCCCCGGCAGGAACCCAGCCCCGGCCATAAGGGCGGGCAGGCATCGAGGGCGATGCTAGTAGACACGCGTCACCCGCGGACAATTTATCCCTTGATTGGCTAAGTATTTATAGTGTTGTTTGCAAGCTTAACCTAGGTTAACCACATCGCGCTATTCAGTGCACCTGGCACTCCGCTAGGGGATAGTCAACCACGTGGGTCTCAGTCCGCGGATCCCGTCGGTAGCACCGGTGTAAAAACACGTGGTTGAGATGCAATTTATGGGGTCTTTTAATTAGGGAAGCTTAGAAAATCAGCGAAGGAACGGCTACTTATAAAACGTGATTAGGTTAAGATACTTAAAAATTGGTTGACAGATGTTCGATCGAATACGCCTTTCGCCATAGCTTCCAACCAAGTCTAACAGTCAACCCCATTTTATACCTCGCTAATTGAAAGTGTTCATCGCATATTGGACCTTCTAAAAACATCCTTGAAACACGTTTGTATTGGATTTATCGAAACGATTCTGTCGATTTCATAATCCGATAGCATCGTTACATTAGTACCATAGGCAAAGCCATGGCCACTACAACAACAACAGCAACAACAACAATCACAGCACCTGAAATTGGCCAGATAACCCAAGGCGGCAAAGGTAAGTGGGACAATTGATGCGTCTTCTTCGATGCTGGCAATTGATGTTAAGAAAGCATGACATTCAGAATACTCTTCACCCGCTATCCCTGTTCTAGCCAGCGCATTCCAAAATGATCCGATATTCAATTACTTCATGGGAGCTCTATCCAAGGAAGAGAGAAAAGAGTATACTCCTGAATTCCTCGCCGTCCTTGTGAAAGGCGGCATGTTGAACAAAGGGATCATATTCGAAATCTCTTCATGGGGTTGCTGCGCTGTCATCCTGCCCCCAGGCAAGAAAGTGGACAACCCCCTGACGATTTTTCAAGCCGGCCTCCCAGGTGCCGTACTACGCCTGAAGTTGGTGGGTATCAAGGTAAGCGAGCGCAGCTCACACACCATATTTCAATTCCTTTCGTTTTGCTACAGTCGCAGCCGCTGATGCACTCGATCTAGCGCATTCTCGTTGAACACAGTTCGGCAGTAAAGCGGGCGAAGCAGAAGGCGTTTACGCCTAAGGAAATGTCGCAGTACTGGTACCTGTTCATTATCGGGACGCACGAGACCCGGCAACGTCAGGGTCTTGGAGGTATGATGCTCGAACACGTCAAGGCAATTGCTTTGAAAGACGGCCGCAGACCTGTGTGGCTGGAGGCTTCAAATGAGAATGCTAGGAAACTATACGTTAAGCACGGGTTTGAGGAGGTAGAGGAGATCACCCTTGGCATCGGCGTGGTTGGACCCGACGGACTGGCGAAGAAAGGTGGCGAGGGTGTCAAAACGTGGGCCATGGTGTGGCGACCAGATCCCAAGAAATAAGCTCTTATCGGGAATGTTCATTGTTGGCGTATCGGCGTTGAACTTGAATTCCGTGATAGAACTTGGGCAACTTCTTATCTAGGTACCTATACATTTCCCAGCAGAATACATGCGATATAACTACATGTGCATCGCAGTCATTGTGATCCGGTAGTGACAACTGGTTATAACTCGTAACCGGACAATATCAGATGAATCTCAGCAATGGTGTTAAGAGTACAAGGGAAACGATCCTAGCAAAAGTGCTGATTCTTAAGGATGATTTTGATATGCACTACGTGTACATAACACTCATGACCCAAAGCCCGGACGGGAAGCGTAACCCGGAGGCTGCATTCCTTCCAGTCCTGCCGCACCGGCCCGCTTCAATGTATATAAATCGCCTAGTCCTGAGCTCCGTGCATCCAAAAGGCCTGGCTTCCCGGGCCACGAATATGTGGAGCGAAGATCCTTTAATATCAGCGCGTATACTTCTCGCACAACGGTGGCACCTGGTTCATCGGCTCTGTCGGGCCTAAAGCTTGCTTATATAGGAATGCTAGGGACGTTATACCAAATAAAAGGTTAGGGGTAGCGCTCACGTATACTGGCAATATGATGACGGTCTTGATCCTATTTTCACCATCGTGAATTCGAATTCGTGATGCTTTCCCGCATAGCTGCAGCTGTATGCCTATTTGGTGGCGCGGCGATCGCCCAGCAACAGGCTTGGGGCCAATGTGAGATAGCCGGATTCAATCGAGCGCGCACGAACTTGACTCACGTATACTCGTAGGCGGCGGCATTAACTGGACTGGAGGAACTACTTGCGTGTCAGGCTATGTTTGCACATTCCTCAAGTATGGCGCCTATGTCTGGGAATGGAATCGGTTTCTAACTCGTGCCGACAGTGTAGTACTACTATAGCCAGTGCGTTCCCGGTACCACAACTAGTAAGTAATTCAAACCGATACCAAATCCTTGATGCCTATTGAAGGCACCCGGTCGCATCGAACTGTATTGGCCCTACGACTACCCAGTCAACTACCAAATGTGAAAATGAATACTAGATGTAGTTAACTCAATCCAATAGCTAGTACTGCATCCGCTGCGACGAGAGCAACAAGTACGAGAACGGGCACCTCCACAACTCTATCAACAGTAACCACGACGGGCGCAACGACGACGACAACAGGAGCCGCTCAGGAGCATATCCGACAACGCTCCAATCAGGGTACTACCTACTGGATCCGCGCCGTCGCTTCACCCAACTACCACTCGTACCTCCAAGCCGCGCCAACAGCAACTCCCTCCCCCGGCCCAGGCGACGCATACCTGTTGTCCGCACCCAAGGCAGGGCAATTCAACATCATCGACGGACAACTAGTCTACAACCCAGGTTCTCCCAGCAGCGAGAAGCTGTACATGTGGGTAGAGGACCCGGCGAACAAGATGCAACGCACGCTGGAGACGTGGTTCGACGCGGGAGAGAATCCATACGGTAAATTTGCGTTCCAGGGCGACACGCTCACATGGGCTGTCGATGACATCAAGCGCCCGAATGCCGCGGCGTGGCTGGTGTGCGGGGATGCGGGACAGCTGTATATCAACACCGGGGCTTATGCATATGATACCCCCGAGGGATGCGCGGATCAGACGGTGAGTTTTTCCCTTTCGATGCTCGATTGGTGCAGGGTAGTTCTGTGAGTTGAGCAGCGCTGATTTGATGCGATTCGCTGAACAGATACATTCCTACGGGGGTTCGACTGCGGATGTGTGATGGGCTTTGGAGGTCAGGCGCTCGAGTAGCAGAGTGGTTTACGAATATTGCACGGATCGGATATAACGGTACATTTGTGTAAAGCATATAGGTCGAGGAGTGCAGGTTCCAGGAGATTGAGAAGGTTAGCTTGATCTTCTAATGATAACGTATCTGGCCCTGTCTCCCCCAAGATGCTTCGAAATCCTAAGTCGCTGTACTAAGTAGAATATCGTTAGTTCATGCCTATCAGATCAGGCTCGACAGCAGTAGTCTGGAATATGAGCAGCATGGCATGATCGTCGAGGTCATGTAAGTGTTAGACTGTTTCACTCGTTTTCACTTGCTCATTCAGACATGCCCTTTGTAATCGATTTGCATTAGACGAAAGCACGACAACAGAATGGATTTCGCTTCATAACTTCATTAGTATTGAGTACAGACTCACGTTAGGGGCGGAGTACGGTAACCCTTGGGTATAAGCCAAAACTTGACTTGGCCTTCCACTTCCCGTGGTTGTCTCCGGTGTTTGCAATGGGCATACAGCAACTGCGTATCCAGAAAGCAATACATAGTCCATGGTGCCGTCTCTCCATCAACAAGAGCTGCGAGAAAGTCCGCCTAATATGGCTTACGTCCAACAACTACACGTTGAGGGTAGTATGCGTGGTATTGCGGAGAGCGAAGCTCGCGTCTCAAATGCGCAGCGTAAACAGCTATCTCTTCTCGCGTCCAACCCAGCACCGTTGTCCACATATACATTATGAAGCCTTCCAATGTCGTTAACTCGGCAATGACGCGAGATGCACGGATTAACTTACCTTCTATATCTTGCTCCAGTGCCAGTCGAGCATACTGACCAATTTCCTTGTGTTTCGGGTCTGCTGGCCACGGCCCAAGAGTTGTCTGTGAGAGCAGAAGCCGTCAGAATCCTCCCATATGCCACTCGCGGCGAGCTATATACGTACTTTCATGTTGTATACTTTTATGTCGATGAATCCTGCCGCTTGCATAGCTTTGAGTTGCAACTCCTCCTCTAAGGGTCGAAATGTACGGCCAAACTTTCTTCCAGCTTCTGAGAACACTCGACCCCATTGATCCAGGGCAGACCCGTATGGGACGGTACCGTCATCGCTTTGAATGACGCAAGAAGACTCCTTTGACTCGAAGATGCCGCCAGGCCTTAAGGTCTGGAATATCTCCCTGAATACCATATACCAATCGGGAATGGCGCCTATCAGCCACCTCATGTGGATGTAGTCAAAACTGCTGCGTGGGTATGTCCAAGGTTGTGTAATATCATCAATCTCGAACTTCAGATTTGGTGGAATCCATTGAGGTTGTGATGGTGAGATGTCGACACCCACAACTTCGGTATGCGGGTACTGGTCAGCAAAATCACTGGAGTATAGGTTAGCCCCCCTTTTAAATCAAACAGAGTATTATATGGGTAATCACATCGCCCATATGCCTGTCAAGTCCGTGTCAGTTCAAGTGCCCATTATCTGAACAGCCCATGTTGAGACTTACCAGTACCGCATCCTACATCCAACACTTTCTATACACTAGAGTTAGTATCTTGCGTTAATTGACTAACGTGTCGGTCGTCCCTTACCTGTACGCTATCGTCAATATACGCCATGGTGAGTCTACCATCTTGCATGAGAGTTGAGACATGATGGCTAGGAACAAGTCAGCAACGCAGGCTATGCAGGCGAACTAATCGCCATCGTCAGACATCAGAAGCGACTCGGACGTACAGAATATCCATCGACTCATCATGCTGAGCATCGTTCGGGTTCCTAGTTAGAACGAGTATTAACTCGATGCACGCACTAAACCCTATACTCCTGGCGTTAGGATTGAGTCGCACCATGACTGGGCATTGCCCCTTTCACTATGATATGTGCGGCCATGCACGGTTCGATATTCCAGTATACTGGCTGACAACGACGCTGTCGAGCTCGCATTATCGTCACCATAAGCTGAATCGACGTCATCAAATTCCTCTTCTTCTTGTGCCTGCTGCTAATCAAGCTCGATCAGCTGAATTGCTCCGAGTGCCCCTAAAAAGGGGTCAAGTGTCCTAGTAATCTCACCGGAATCGGCTGCCAATGTGAGGGGGGTAGAACATCAGACTGGTCGGCTGTTTCTGCCCCTTCAGCAGCGGCCGGACTCGTGGCTGCCGCTGGAGTTGTCGGCGCGCTTGTTGTCGCCGTCTCTGTGGGCACTGCAGCTGGTGTCGCTGGTGTAGCTGGTATAGCTGGTATAGCCGTCGTCACTGTCGTCGACTCACCTGTCGTTGGCTGTGCGGCGGTGGTGCTACCAACTTGCGGACTATCATCCTCTGCGGTTGTGGCGGGCGGCTTAGTTTGCTGTGGATCGTCAGTGGACAACTGACCAGAACTGCTCGCCATGGCGAGCGCTGCGTCTCCTATCAGCGGCGATCAGGCTGATTCAAAAGGATCTTGGGTATAAAATGCAGTGATTAAGCCTCCCTCTCTGTAGATCGGAGCACGAGCTATGGTTGTTCGCTGCGAATTCTTGCGTAACAGAGCAAAAAGACAATTGACAGATGTCGAAGACGAGAGCCGGACTCGAGAGCTCAAGAGCACCACATGTGGACCTATAATGGCATTTATCTAACTCAGTTCACATTAGACAAGTCTTTGCTACGGCACTACACACGCTAGGTATCGTACTACCAGTACGCCACCAACCCGCCTTTGTCTGTGTGTGTTGGTGTGTTGTTGGTGGAGTAGATGCAGGGGTCTGCCATACTTTGTCACGGTCGGTGTGCAGACCTGGGTACATCATCATCTGCTCATCCCTACTTTGTTTGTGCTTTGTGCTCTCTTCATAAGTAGGTATATGGATGCGCACTTGGACTGCTGATGGGCTGTCGGGAGTCGGGTTGACTGTGTCTCAGGAATAGAACCTCTTTGAATATCCCAAATAGTAAGCCTTGGGCACACTAGAAAGAATGAAAGCAAGACAGGAGCTGTTCCGCGGATTCAGCAATCAACACTTTTCATCGCTTCCTCCTCATCGACCCAGAGTAGCACTCGTGTTGCCGTTACAGATATCGTACCTTGTTCTCGTAGTACTACATGTACTCAGTAATGCCGGCATACCTATCGCAGGAGCAGGTGGTCGTCCCTTTTTTACCCCTCGATTTTTTCTCACATGGCTTGATCTAGACCCTAGATCGGCTAGACTGGCAAATCGCGTAGCTTGTTTTCTGGAAGACGCCGCCTGCGCAAGCTAATTACCTAACCTTTGCACTGGTAGTTTAGCTAGGACTGATTCATTGATTCAGTGTACCAAAAAAGAAGATCTAACTCCGCATAGGTATGGTTTTCTAAGGTATAGATGAATATGGTAGTGATGGAGTGTAGAGCTCCTGGTGATTACGTTCCTCAAGACTCGATAGGTCAAATGCGTGCCTGAGAAGATACAGGAGATATACTGTACATAAGTAGGAGTAGGACGGGATGACAATGCAGCGTGCTGTAGCGCACTGACATGCATACTTAAGTACATAGTAGAAGATTGCCGATGACCAAAACGCGCCGTCGACGGTTTCACCACGATACGCAGTAGGGTGGACCGAGGCAAATACCGGCGGCTTTCCACGTTGTCGTCAGAGCAGTATCCTTGTCGGCGGGGCAGGCCAAGCTTTTAGAAGCTGTTAACCATCGCTTAAGCCAGCGAGTGGCCAATCCTACACCACACAATGCAGTTGTCTCGTCCCGCGATACATAAGGTCCAGACTACCGTAGCTTAGATGAGGTGGATGGTCGTTGTGCTACCATACTATATATATTGTTTTCGCATGTATGCGTACATGGAGCATTTTAACATAGGAATTTCCGTCTTATCCCTCTCTTCTCTTCCCGGACGATAGCCAAACTTGGCCTCAAGCAGATCTTGGCACAATCTTGATGACAGATCACAAAACACAAGCTAGGCAACTAAGAGAAGCTGCCATGGGTATTGCTGGGAAGATAGGCGGCGTATGGTCTCGGGCCAGGTCGTCTCCCTTGCATATTTGCAACGACCCCGGCATTGGAGCCTGAAGTACGGCAGGAAATTAACCATGTACAAACTTTATTGTATCATGTCTGTCACGATGGTTAATGGATAGGGACGGAAACACGATCGATTACTATTCAGCGTAAGGGCAGCATATGGGCGTCGTTTGCGCAACACATGGCGTGCGCCAGAAGGTGACTGTTATTTCAAGACAGCCAACCACAGACAGCCAACGCGCTGACTACGAAGTACAAGCATCCCCTCACTACAGTAGCAGTAGGACAACGACGAAAGTGATACCCTATTATCGTAGAGCTGTTGCATTTCCCATTTCTTGAGTTCATTTGTATCAGCGCTGTGAAGATCACTTCCCGTTGTCTCGTCGACTGCTTCGCAACACCACGCCTCCAGACGCCGATTTCGCCAGTCTAGCATTCTGTGAATGAGTAAGGCAGCGTAACTTAGAATTCCATCGTTGTGCCAATGTCTGAAATGAAACGGCGCCGAGTTTCTAGCTACTGCAAACAACAGGTATTTTCATTATTGTGTGCCGACACTATTAGGGTGATAGTGGCTTGCCAAGTCATTTGCAATGCAGTGTACTCTTCGATGTGCGAGTTTGACATCGCCGCCCAAAGGAACCTTAGTTCACTTACCGCTTACAGAATAGTCAACAGAATGCGTTCCCATTGCTTGGTTGCGCGCAGCGCTTCAATGGCTACTATATGCAAGCGAGAAATGACCAGTACTACGTAAAGCTCTGTTTCTTTTCGTTCTGCCACTTAGGACTAGCTCAGCTGCGTTTCAATCTCCCAAACCTTTACATTAACTTACCGGTGCCAACAGTAATGAGATGTTTGCTATCCTCTCGGTCGGCTTCATTATCAGAGTCCAAGCGGTCGATATGTTATATTACGAATAAGACAAGGGGTTACTATATACATTAGGCCTGTGCCGTACTCTTGCACCAGCCCGAGCGTCTGTAGCCAAAACTTCGTTCCTTTCACACCGATATTCTTAAACTTCGAGAGGCTTCAACTTGCTAGGTTGGATGACAGCGTTACGTTCCTCCTTGCGCGGACAGACCATCTAAACTTTGCTACCGTATTCGTCGCCCAACCTACTTTCTGCGGCCTGCAATTGTGTGCACCGGTTTAGAGAGCGGCCAAGTTGTGCTATTACGAGGCTATCCTTCGTTTATAGTGGCTACGACGAAGATGCCGACCGATGATATTGTTATGCAAGGAGCTAGCCGCAACGTAGGCGCCCTAGTGCTGCTCAGTATATTTGACTCTCTCTCTTTTTCTTGACAGCTTTCTTTCCTCTATGCTAGTCTGTTATTATGTTCCCTTGTGATTCTTCGTTCTGTTTTGTTTTCTGCCCCCCCCCCCCCCCCCTCCCCCCCTCGGTGGGCGTACACCACCACCATTCAACCACTGGCAGTCTCACGAACAGTTTCGCGTGGTGCAATTAGCCCCGGATCGCTCGAGTCAATGATCGCGTAATCGATAGCGCGCAATCCGTAAACATCATGAATATTGATATCCGCATGCCGCCTTAGCAACCATTTGACGTTCCGCTGTTGTAAGTTATGGTTTCTTGCGCAGGCGATCTGCAGTGGCGACCGTCCAAAGACGTCAACAGTAGGTATTTATCAGGAGCATTTGGTGCTCGTGGAACACATCAAATCCGTTGCTCCCCTCTAGCTCGCAAGCGTTATCAAGTTGGAAGTGTAGTGAAGTCCGCCTGGGATAGTCTCCCTTTAATATGGACTTGGTAATCGTCTGACAATGACTGCTGCGCAAGAGCCTTTTAGGCCTCCAGTTAGCGGTAGCCAAAGCCCGCGTACGAATGGGACATGCATATCCGTATTCATCAGCCAAATATCTAACCTCAATAACAGGCGAATGGGAGACAGTACATTTCTGCAAATAGCGGGTCTTCACTTATCGTAGACGAAGTTAGCATTTAACGAGTACACGATGTGTGTGACGTCGCGACCCGTGGGGACGAACGGCCTAAAGAATACTTTAACAATCCGGTCACAGCAGGAGACGGGCCCAGCTGACAGTCATGAGCCGCTTACAATGCCGCTTGCAAGCATGGGAAACGCCAACTGAGGAATCATATATGTATATGTGGCGTCGATCATTTAACAGGTTTCTAACTCGCGACCTTCTTTATTAGTAGTTCCTGGCTTCTTTATACCTAGGAAAGAATTCGATAACCTTAGCGCTGACAAGTATTTGGCTATGTCTCAATTCTCACCTCAAACGTTGATTGCAATCTTGCAGTTAATCCTCACCACCTTTCAATTCATCTATACGTTATTCAGCTCCTATTGTCGTAGAAGAGACCAAAACCGGGCTAGAGGTGAGTAAGTGCTGTGCTATCAGGATGATCGATGTCTAACAGCCTCAGATCCAGATGAAGAAGACTCATGGGTGCCATTCCAGCATGCTTATCCCACTCACACGACTATCGACATCAATACACATTTCAATCCGATGCCATTGCCACGGCTTCCGGTTTCCGGTGATGGGTTGCTCTCCTCCACCTATCTCAGCTTAGATATGCACCAGGGAGGTAGCAGACTTCAACAGGTCCGCCAAGCGCCTACTCAACATTCTGATGACCAACAATTGCCAACCTTACTCAATCGACCCCATGAACAGTCCCAGATTACGGGGAATGTGTCATCATAGAACCAGTGATGATCTTTCCGTAAGGTCATGTACCACCCACTTTCGGAAAGGTGTTTCTACCGGCGGTAGGGTAGCCTTCCCGTAACCCGTGACCCCAGGTTTAAACTTCAAAGCACCTAAGTAACTGTTTAAGGGATGTCAATATGGGCGGCCTTTGAAGATCATTGGAAATGAAGCGTTCTATAGGCCTTAAATACTTAAAAGAATAGTTGATTTCTCTACCCATTATCTACATTTCTGCATGTGCCCGAATGAAAACTGTGTAAATTGAGGGATCACAAACTCTTTTTCCCCATTTCAGCCCCTAGTTGCGATTGTAGGGGGGAGAACTAGAGATTCCTGGTGTGGTATGGACCACACTAGTTGACACGCACGCGGTACGAGATAGTTCAGAAAGATGATAAATTTTACCTTCAGAGCACTGTATAGTTCTGTTGAGGAACACATCAGAAGTAAATAGGTAGCCCAAAGATCAATGAGCCCTAGAATGGACAACCGCCCCTATTACTAGCCTTCAATCTCTGAAGATCAGTCTCCATCTCTTCTACGCCGAGTCCCATCCTGTTTCGCGGTCCTAAGTCCGTCCACATATACCCCTGGGACAGATACTCCTCTGGGTTATCACCAGGAACCTTGCCACCGTAAAGCCATATCGCCAAAGCCCTTGGTCCCCAACGATTCCAGAATGTAGGCTTGACATAGAACGGGTAGTTTCCGTATGAAAAGTGAAGGTGGTAGCGTCCAGTCTTGGGATCCACATCTCCATGACGCTTCACGTCGGAAAAGCGTGGCAGACTGAGATAACGGAGAAACAGACGACGAAGCAGGAGAGCAGAGTATACTGTAGTGGCTGCCACAATACCTGGTTCAGGAAGCCTAGGTGAGGTCAGACAATGTAAAACGTGTGTTGATCGGCAGTAGCCAATTGCTGAAAGATCGAGGTGTATTAATGCTCACATGAATGCTTCTCGCACGCGATCGCCCATCAGCACACAGACCGCCTCCTGAACGAATGGTTTCGCGAACCACGGCACCCAATAAGTAAGCATGGGAATCAGCGCCTTAGCAGGTTTATTGGCGACTTCGCTAGGCTTCATTTTGTCTACCTCGTAGCGTTTGGCCCACGCAGAGATGTCATCGAACCACTCAATGCCATCGTGCCAAGTGTCTTTCGAAAGTACCCCCTTATAGGAGATACCCATGTCCTCGCCAACCTTTTTCCAGAACACACCATACGCACAGCGCTCCATTTCATTCATGGCACGCCACTCGTATAGACGCGCGAACCGCGGCGGCTCTGTCACGAACACTGAAAGCGTATAGACGAGGTCCTCGTTTGAGATTGTGCCTTCTTTGATGTACTTGCTGTGTAGGAAGTTTATGCGGGCTAGTGCCTTGATTGTCCGTTCTGAGTTGGGTGGGTTGACCATAAATTCACCTATCAGAGCTGCCGTGTCTTCGTACCTGCTCAAGTCAATCTGGTGTCTCATAGGGAAACGTGCTGATTCTTGAATTGCGCTCATGTCGGAACAGGACGGCGGGCTCTTTGGAGTAAAGATGAGAGGATGCCAGGCTTACCTCTTCAGACTTTTCACGGGATCTGTCAAGTTCCTAGTAGCTAGCAGTAACCGACTGATGGACTCAACTCCATATGTCTGCAAGCGGTTATGAGCATCGACAAAAAGGCGATCCGGGAAACGAACAGCTGACTCACTTTGAAAAGACCAAATTCCAACGACAAATGATGAAATTCGGGAAACTCATTGGCAGCGAGATACTTGATGATCTCCTGTGCCTGCTCATTCGTCATACGCGAAAGCGCCTCGCGACTACAGCCCTTAGGGAATCCCATGCGACGGCGCAACCGTTTCTCTCCGCGATAGCGCAGCGCGCGACAAAGGACCACGTACCCAAGCGCAACCGGGACGACATACTGCCTCCATGACGACAATGAAGGCAGCGTTGAGGTCCGAATCGATGTGATTGTGGCCAATAGCTCAGCCAATGAGCCCGCGTCGGAGATGTTCATGTTGCGCTGCGATATCGATGCGGGTTGGATGGAGATCTCCCACGGTTGTCGATGGTAGTTGGGGTCCGTACGTATATTTGAATCCGCTGGCAACCTATTACGTGAGACCTAGAGACAACAAAGAAGGATTCTATGCTAGTCGAGAGTAGGAATGGTACAACCTTGTAGTCAGCATTAGCTGCCTCTCAGTTGTGTCTCACTCACCGCAAATCAGCTCGCCAAGAACACCTTTCCTACCTACGTGATGTCTTTCATTGGAGCAAGCCTCCGTCGTCAGCATGCCATCTCCCCAAATCACCATCAATCATTTTCAACTATTCAGCCTCTGATTCTTTCGGTCGCATTTCAAGGTGAGGTCTGCTTACTCATCTAAACATACAAATTAGGTCCTTGTCTAGGGCGAGGGCTAAGACAGACCGTCACCTCGGCTTTTGGCGTTAGTTTGAGCCAACCCCTCACAACTCATAGCCTGTTCGATACAACCTGCATTAGACTGTCACCGAGGTGTGTTCCAATCAGACTCACCTTAGGTCGGATGATTATCCCACGCCATTTTCCAGTCGCGCCATACTTGCAGACTCTTTAAAGATGATCGTTATACCTCACTCGCTCTTCTGCTCGGCTCCACGCTGACGGGAAGCTGTTACGAACGGTCGCACAACTTTGTAATCCGCTGCTTTACGCGTCTGTTATTACGAAACGCTCCTACGTCTGTCTCCCAGCCGCTGGGATGCGATCATGAGGTCGCCACGCCATGAGGTGTGAAACAGAGCACACTCGTCATTCGCCAATATTCTGGTCATTCGCCTCAACTGTTGTGGAGCCATGGCTGGCTGTCTCACATCAAGAAGAGCCATTTTCAGTCAACTCAACACATGAGGATATTGATGCGCTGGACCGTCACGGCTGGAATAAGCCTTTGCCTCATCTAGGTGCATATCATTGATAAGATTCGATAGTATATGCGAAGATAGAAGAGACGCGACGGCTTCCGGTATCATCATCGCCAATGGGCCGTTTCCTATTGGATCCGAGACTGCATTTGACTAGCGACCTGGACCAGCTGGGGACTCACAGACGCGCTGCGCGATGCAGTATGGCGAACTGCTACATGTCTCATGCCCCAATAATGGCGGCAATGGCGCGTGGAACAAGGTCTCGGAGTGTTGGGCGACTACATCCAAGCCTGTGTCATCTAAACAAGCCTTGCAGAGGCCAGGCTGGTGTGTTCCATCTTATAAGCAACTTTATACCGGTAGACATCATGATGGAAGCCCGATACAGTGGTATCAAAGCTGACGTGTTGCTCTTGGATTGGTGAATCCATTTCTGCAAGAGACACTACTGTGAATAATTGAAGTATGTGCTGAGCAGACTAACTCCGATAGCAGAGAACTCTGACTACGATGTGGAATTGGTAGATGGAGAAGCTGGATTTTAGAATGACGACAGCTACATTGGTCTCAACATCCACTAGCCGAAGTGAGACACCAATGTGAGAGGCATATTATTGACGCCTCTGCTTTTTGTTTTGCCCTTGCTCGGTCATTTAATCGACACCCTTGCAGTCATATCGAGACAGATCCGTGGGATACGTCAGTTGCCTTGCGTCACACTGCTCGTAATCGATAATATTGAGCTCTTACCCATATATTTAACCTATCTACTATCCCGGTGCTACCTACTTACAACCCAGCTTCACTCTGGGGCCACCCACGCCTAACACTTTATATCAGAAACGCCGTCGTCACAGCAGTCTACAGTATACATAGCTTCCGTCAGTGAAGGAAGAGTCAGGTGTTGTAACAAATGCTTGGGTAGGCTGTCGCACTGCTATCGTCAATAATCCGCGGAAGCGGCACGTCTCCTCTCCCTGACGTGGTGCTTCCGCTGCGAGTCCTCTCGGTATTGCCGTACCGCATTCCTAGAACGTACGCCAGCAACGATAAACAGAATGGTCACACTGAGCTCTGGGAGTAAGCTGAGAATGACTCGAATGGCCAGAAAGCTTGTAACGGGGTTTAAGTATGGCTTTTGGCTGACCAGGGCGACCACCGTGTATACCACACGTATCCCAGTCGGCACGAGTGAGAAGGCGATAGCATAGAGGAGCTGGAGAGCAATTTCATTAGCTGAGATCAATAAGAAAGGAGAAAGAGACGACATGTCATTGGTGAGCACTTACAAGAGTTCCTTCAACATGTGCTGCAGCCGTTTGTATGTGTTGGCTAGGCAGGAAGCTTGTGGCCGTCCAGAAACAGAGTATAAGCCAAGCTGCTGCTAACAGAGCTATGCCTATATTCAATAGTACTAAGTCGCTCTGTGTGGCATTTGAGCCCTGCTCCAAAGCTGAGGCGCTAGTACCAACCAGAGCAATGCCCGTGGCCACGATTAGATGGAATAAGCCTATCACCCACCATTCGAGCTTCGGTCTTCTCAATCCGCGATACACTCTCCTAGGCGTGGGTTAGCTCGATGCAGGGCTGAACTAGCTCTTTCGATACTTACGCTTCATGGAGGATGCCCGAAGTAGCGAGGAGAAGAGGAGATAATCCAATAGAAGATATGATAGATGCGCCTCCGGATGTTGAGGAACTACCCATAGATATAGCCCCGCCAACAATTCTGAGAGTTGTAAAGGTAAACAAATAGAACCATCCTAATAAGCCAGTCGGCCAGTGACGGACGAGCAAGTAGAGGACAGGGATAGTGAGAACGACATAGATAGCGAGCTGGGCAGTGGGCACTGAGTCCGTCATTGCTTCAAATGAAGCTCGTACGCGGGAGGCGGCTGTTCGTGATCCTTTGCCCTGCGGGAGGGGGACTGGGAAGACGAAGACGAAGATACCCGTTGACGAAGTTCGGAGTTGCCCCGCTCAGCCCTAGTCTCTGTCTTCTTGTGATGTCTTCGCGTGGTAGCAACAATAATGGCTGTTATGGAGGCTATAAGCAATGCTAACGCCCTCATACCTACAAATCGGAATCTGAGTCAGACGAGGGGGATAGGCAACGAGCAGAAAATAACTTTTTGTATTCTAGATCTGGAGGGATAAATAATAAGTTGGAGATGACAACAAGGAAGCTATTTAAACAGATCGGGCTGCCTCCCTGGCAGCATCTTGGATTATTTCTCTCAGAAAAAAGCTGCCTTAGGGGTTGATCATCTAGACTTGTAAGTGCCATACCGTATTGTCACGCACACAAGAGGCGCAATCAAGCATGATGACCAGTTTCTCAACATTCTTTGGCTAGCCGTTATTTCATCCATGTGAACTAGAATCTGGGGGAGCGAGATCGAGCATCCCTGCACCGGCAGTCGTGTTGTCATCTCAAGCCTTTGCCAAGCTACCCAATCATCTGGCGGAGGCTGAAAGAGAAAGGGCGCTACTGAGCGAGAGCGAGTATCCCTGGACAAGCGTGCCAATAAACGGACAGCCAGTTGAGACGCCGACCTTCGGTAACAAAATAGACCCACCAACTCACCAACAGCTCACGAAGAATATAATACATTCTAAAGAAGCGATAGTCGAGTTGATATCAAAAGTACGGAATACACCGGAACGTAACGGAATAGCCTTTCATACAGCATAGGTACACTCGACCATGCCACATCCACGTCAGAAAGGTTTGAAGATGATTCATTTGACTGTCCCGCCCCAGCCGCTCATTGATTATTATGGTTGAGTTGGGTAAAACAGATCCCCCTCGACCCCCAATAGCCCATAGCCCGTAGGTATTCTTGGCACGCTAATGCCTAACGAATCGCGCTGAACTTGGCGAGACCTCGAGAAAAGATGCTCTGTACATGACTCTGTTCGTCTTATACCCTACACACCAGTAAGGAGACAAGGGAGGTTATTGATTCTCCCGGTTTACTGTGCCAAGTTACCAAAGCCGGACCAAGACTTGATCCTGCAGCCTTTACATGTAATAATACCGGGCCTAGTTGAACATTTGATATGGCGAATGAGGTACGACGCGGCGTCGCTAGACCGCGACTGTATCATACCAAGTCGAGGACCGGGTGTGCGCGTTGTCGTTCCCGCAGAGTGAAGGTCAGTCAGTCATCATTAGCTGCCTTGAAATATATATATATATATATATATCGATGCTAACTGAATGCCGCCACAGTGCGACGAAACCCGACCCGTCTGTGTACGTGTTCTGCATCACGCACATGCATCGTGGAGCGTGGAGCGTGGATATACTGATCTCGTATAGCATAATTGCCATCGGCACAACGTCAGCTGTGAGTATGATCGAGTACCCAATGCGAACATGTGTGTCTTGGGTGTATCGTTGCCCTCGTCTCCACCCAGCAGCACCAGCAGCCGTAGCACAAGACCATCAACACCAGCGCTGGCGCCAAACACGGCATTCCCGGGCCAGGAGGTTGCAACAGCGCAACATGAGTATTGGAAGCTACGCGTGTTCCATCACTTCGCCGTCGCCACTAGCGGTACGCTTGCCGGCAGTCATATCCCCGCCGTGAAAGACTGCTGGTCGTCGCAGGTCCCAATCCTAGCGCTCGACCACAGATCACTTCTCAATGCGATCTTGGCCATCTCTGCTCTTCATCTCATATCATCGGGACACAGCGACCATGAGCTCAGGTCTTTTCGGGCCATGTCCCTTAACGTAGCCCTCGAGGCACATCGGGAAGCGCTGAGCCTGGTACGTAAGCAGGAAACAGCCGATGCCGCCTGTTTCACCTCCATATTGCTACTCGTCGACGCTTTTGCCTCCCTGCGTCATCGTCCACTTGACAATACATACCAGCCGCCCATGCAGTGGCTGCGACTCACCCACGGCGTGCGCTGTGTTATCGAGGCCTTATCCTCGCTAGTCCAAACTACCGGGGTGAAGTCCCCGGCAAGTATTATGCCTATTATAACATCTTTTTCACAGGACCGATACCTGTCAGGCCGGGATAGCACTGGCCGTTTCTCTCACTTGCTTCAGCCCTTGCCTGATGAGACACCATTCTCTCGTGAGACCCTCGATGCATATCGCGAGGCCGTCAATCTCCTTGACTCGATCGAGGCGGCCGCCGAGTCGAGGGAACCAGCACGTGCTATTAGTCGAGGGCTGATGTCTTTTGCCTGCCTCGTCCCAGCGCAATTTCTGCAACTGGTGGAAACGAATGAGCCGCGTGCTTTGGTCATTCTCGCCCATCTGTTCGCGCTGTGCGCGCATGCTAGGGACCTGTGGTGGGTGGGCGACACACCATACCGTGAGGTCATCGCTATAGGAGATTATCTACCGCTTACAATGAAATCCCTCGTCGAGTGGCCGCAAAAATTGGTCACTCAAATATACATCTTAGATAAATCTTAGGTGCTATACTATTATCATGCATCCTCATGCAGCTTCCCCGCGCTTCCAACACTAGCCCTACCAACAGCACTTGCGTCAAGGTCAGCAACGGCACCTGCTTCACTTGTCTTGCTGTTCCAGGGTTTCGGTGCTATATCTCAAGTAGGCAGTGAAAATGCCGGGTGTATGATCAGCCGAGTGATTCTCGGACTTTTCCCAGATACCCACGACCGGGTGTTGGAAGCCCTCGCTCAAGCAGTCATGATAGCGAAGCCCGCCACCTCGAAGGGGCTACTGGGGCCCGCAAGGGCGTTCCAGCACAGGGTATCAACCCGGCGGAAGAGCAGGAAGCCAAATGTTCAGCCAGACGCCGCTGTACAAACATACTAGCAGCAGTCGGACGAGGTCCGAGCTGTGCGGCCCCGAGTCTATACCCGCTATGAGCATCGTGATAACGCAGTCTCGGCTGTCGCTGACGTTGCCGGACGCCTCGAGAACATCAAGAAGGGAGATCCTTTCATCTTCTATCCCACGGGACCTTTCGTCCAACTGTTTGCTGATCACCACTTCGACGACCTCATGCACTCGTCGGCACACGACGCGGAACTCTCGGTGGTCGAGAAAGCCATCACCCGCCATGATCTTCTTGATACACGTCTAGGCTCTCGACGAAACGGGAATCTCGGCCGGAAGGTGTTGAAAGCAGTGCTCGAGTAGCTCCATGTCGACGATACAACGCGTGTGCGAGAAGTGGTCGCGGTAGAGGGCTCGTGCAGACTTCCACTCCTGGCCGTCTAGGGCGAAGATGTCGTGCGCCGTGGTGGACCGGAATAAGTGATCGCGGACGCCGCGCGAGTTATCAAAGTCAGCGAAGCCCGTAATAAGCACGTGCCGGATGTTGCGCGGGTGGCAGGTGAATACAACACGTTGCAACAATATCTTGGAAGCATACGTGCTTCCCAGAGTCATGAACAGCCGTGTTGTGTTGGCTAGCGAAGTGCCCCTAATCAGGTGGCGGACTGCCGACAATACCTTATACACACCTAGGACATCTCAGGGGCTCTCGCGGGGCGTTGTTTTACAGTTACGCTTACCTGCCAGACGTCGTATATATTGGAGTCTCTTCACCTTCTTGATGGCGATGGCAATATTGAAGTGCAACGGAGCTGTTGTGAGAGCTGGGTACATAGTAGTGTACATGGTGATGATCGATGATGCTGATTTTTGCTCAGTAGCTTGTCTTCCACCGGCTAACAGATGCTGTTGGTTAAAGGGGCGGCTCGCCCCCCGGAGGTACCGGTCGTCAAGGTGTCAAAAGCTAATAGTCGTTCCAAATCGAGCTGGCGTCAAGCTGGCGATGTAGCCAGGACGCTCACGGTCTTTTTGTATAATGCATAACCCCTGTTAAACTGAAACAGTGCGCTAAGGTGGTACCTCGAAGTGAATGAGGTTGTTAGCATCGCACGTAAGTATGAGCCTTTCGGTGACCTCGTCTCATGGATACGGTCGACAACCGTCCCGCCGGTGGTAGCGGCGCACCACCGGCCTGCGTACGCCTTGCCAAATGGCATGTCCGAAAATAACAGCTTCATCGACGAAGTATCGATCGACCCCAGCAACGAGATAGTCCACATTGGCCCCTCGCTAACGGACATCATGAGAACTGACTGGGTGACATATTTCTTCTCCGCTGTCGACCAAGCACCTTGGGGTCTCAACGGGCTTCCGAATAACCCGCTGCGCGGCTTTGCACGGAAGACATGCATTCAATCGATGCTAGAACACCAGGAGGACACAGGAGACCGGGCCGGTATTATCCCTCCAAGGATTTCAAAAGTGCTAGTCCCCGTGTCTGAGTAAATGTAAATGACAGAGAAGTGTATTTGGGTATCTAAGCACTACTTCTAGAGGGCTATAGCATGCAGAAGGAGAACGCTTCACGTGGCAGGAGGCTTCAATCTTGCATATCGCCAGCCTAGGATACCGTGCTCATGATACACGGTCTCTGTAATGCTGGGGTAGACCGGAATGACTAGAGGCTGTGCAAAGCAGTCGAGTGGGCGAAGGATCAACAGATTCAGACGAAAGGTGACTGGCAGATCCGCAGACTAAAGCTCAAACCAGGCGGGTTCGGCTTCGAGTACTAATACCCGGTACCTAGACATAGACGATACAGCGGCTGCCATACTCTCTATCATACAGCAAGATCCGCGCGCAGTGTGCAGTCCGACCGTGACAGCAGCGGCGACGTGGATATGCGGCATGCAATACGCCCACAGAGGCTTCGCCGGCTTGGACATGGACAACGACAAGCTGTGGCTAAATAAGATCCCCTTCGGCGACATGGGTAGCCTAAGCGACCAATCGACGCCGGACTGTGCTGGGCACGTCATCGAGGCTTTCGGACGGCGCAGGCCGTGAATGTGACACTCGAGCCCGCCGTCTGAGTCGCATCGATTACACAGCCGACACACAGGAGGCGACAGGAGCGTGGTACGGATGTTGGGCTTGCAACTACGTCTTCGGGACGTGCAACGTGCTGTGCGGACTCACATTCTTTGTCGACTCGGGAGATGATCGGGTGCGCGCGATGATGCAGTCGGTGCGAGCTGGCTGAAGAGTGTGTAGAATAGCGATGGTGGATGGGGCGAGAGCCTGAAAACGTATCGCAACCTATCTCCAGCAGGTCGTGACCAGCCTTCGACGCCTTCTCGGACGGCCTGGGCGCTCATGGGGCTGTCGAGTACCTGAGGGCCAGATGACAAAGCCATATTAGGCGGCATTTTCCATCTCCTACGCACGCAGACGGACTGCCGAGGAGAAGCTGCCGCGTCATGGCCCGAGACGCTTTACACGGGGACTGAGTTTCCAAACTTCTTCTACATCGGTTATACATTCTACCGGCACTATTTCCCTCTTATGGCTTTAGGCAGATTCATTGCCTTAGTATCAGCAAAAGATGCAGCACCTGTCACTTCGCAAGTTGATATTATGGTGAAAGAACTCCTGCCGGCGATTGTATGGTAGGAAACACAGCGCGTCGGTGACACTAAGTCTACTATACCACGCGTCGATGAGGTTTAATATGAAGACATACACACTCTCATGTTGATTTCTGAGGACTACTCCGAAGAGACTATTTCGAGTTACCTAGTAAACTTCGTTCAGACTCGTACAGCCAGCGCCATTCCTCATTCTTCACACCCTCTAGCTAATCACTTAGTTGTTGCTAATTGTTGCAGCTTTGTTGCGGAGAGGCGTATTTGTCTCTTCGTTGCACATGCTTCCATGAGGAATTAGCGGCGTCGCTTTTCACGTGGCTTATGGTTAAGCCTCTTTTCGCCATCGTCTTGCGCCAGGCGATGTACAAGAGTTGGCTTGCCCCCTCCCTGATTCAATCCTCTTTCTTTACATTTCTCTTGCAGGTGCTCCTTGGGAAAGCCTGAATATAATTGTATGTTCTCGTCATGCCGCGAGGATGAACCCACATAGAAGCATGGGGCATCAGATTCGAGGCATCTGGAGCAAGTGGGACGGTCATGGTTGCAAGCAACGGAACGAGACCGGCACTATATACAATTAGTAATTTAATATACATGTGATGAGGGAAGGATGACATACACGACTACAAGAAGGTCGTATCTTCGGCACGGCATCAGCAACCGGAGGAGGTCGGCCTGAGTTCTGTTGTTCCTGTGTCCCAGTCATCGTGTTCTTGTTCTGGCTGAATCCTTGAAATGTGAAAACCTCGTCGCCGTGTCCGGTAGGGAACGCCACAACAAATTTCCCAGGTTCTGAGACAATGGGATCTCTGAACAGATATCGAGCTGCGCTCTCCGCATCATCATGGCGTCCTTCGTTCTTTAGCTTCTGGATGAAGCTGTCACATTCACCCTGCCATTCCGTATATTGTTGGAAGAATCTCTCCCATGAATCGACCATTTGTTGACGAAAGTCTCGAGCTTGAAAGAAGCGATCAATTCGGAATTGATACACCTTGCTTAGAAGGTTACGAATAGTATCTGAATTCGCGATGGTGGATATCTCTGACTTGGCGGGAGTTAGGAGAGGAGCAACTGTGGCATCTCCGGCAGAGGGCTGACTCTGAGTCGCTTGAATCGCTGGCTGGTCTGAATCTTGGCGTACAACCTGTTATTCCCTGCATTAGTGCAACTCTTGAACCTGTGCATAGGAGTATAAGAAGAATTGATTACTGATCGGCTATATACGCTTGCGATCTGCTGTGAATCTAGCACCTCGAGTTGGGAACCTAGACCACTTCCGTTTGCAGATGCTTTGGAAGTTAAAGTACCGGCAGTGGTCGGTTTCCATTTATGCGATTTAAGATGTTGTCGGAGCCGTTGACGATTGTATGTGCGGGCTCGTTTGCAAGTATTGCAAACCGCCTGGATTTTTGCCACGCCATCATCCTGCTCCTCAGCATAGAACGCGTATGCTGTTTTGATCGAGTCACGACTATCTGCCATCATGCCGGTGGTGTAGGTATATTATTCCCAGGCCACGGTGGTATTCGAAGAGCCCATTTTGTTTTCATTCATTAATAAGCTAAGCCTGTCTCGGAACTGCAGAGATTTCTGTGTAACATCCTGTAGGGAACACGTCTTTTTATCATATCATGTTGGTATGATACACTTCTTTCTTAGAATGAACCAGAAGATATGTACACCGCATACGCTCACAACCTCGAATAACGCGTCGTTGAAAAAGCCGACGTGGCGCTGCCTTGTTAGGAAATACTTCCAATATTACCAGCCCTAGAGCCAAGTAAAACACGAGCTTTCTAGTGAGTTTTAGAGAAGGGTTTCCTATTTAGGGAAGGGTTACGTTACACATTTAACGGTACGTTGCTCGAGTTTTGTGAATGCAAACCACGCCACACTTTAGGGCAACTCATGGCATGTATCCGTGCAAACGTCCGCCCGTATCTCTCATAATTACCATACGATCTTGAGCAGCTCTGAGGCAGTCTACGAAGTCTCATATTTCTATATACAGAGCTTCAACGCTATAGGCAATTCAACCACACAGATACGACAGCATCACCATTAAAACGAGCCGCAACAGGCTGGCGTTCTCCAGATAGAACTAACTGAGTGTGCATCGTGGCGTGCTCTGCAGCATCGACTATAGACAATCAATCCGCTAGACATGCCAAACGCATGCCCTTTGACCCTCAAAGCAGGCGAGAGGTTCGCTTCCATTCACAGTCCACCTTATTCCGGAGTATGTCATGTTCGGCGAGTGTGCTAATCATTATCCACCCAGTGCTGTTGGCTGGGACCTAGGAAATGGAGCCTCAAAGGTATCATTAGCGTACATAAACTGCCAGAATGAGGTGATTTTGGTCCGAGTGCCTTTCGCCGGCAGCCCGGATGGCCCGCACTATTCATATACGCCACATGACTTCGTTGCCTACGTGGCGTTAGAAGGTAGAGAGATCATAGTGGGAAAGCAGTCGTTAGACAGAGATCTGAATATACCCCTTAAGACGATGCTAATCTATATCGCGGGGATTACACGGAAGAGGATACTAGAGGCCATGCCGGGCGGTCGGCAGCTTTTAGGTGCCGTGGAAAGGGGGTCGATCACGGTTGCTGCTATGGAGAAAGCTGTCTCTCAACATTTCTGTCTGTTACAAAGATATGTTTTGGAACAGGCTAGAGCTTCTAAGGTCAGCATCAAGTCGATCATTGTGACGTACCCTAATTATTTGGCGTCGCCTAGCCAATCAGGGGATCTTGATAGATACTTGGAAAAGTACTTTGAGCTGCTGTGCCCTTTATGGGAAAAAGGCATTCAGTTCGAAACAGTGAGCGAAGGGCAAGCTGCCGCCACTTACATATGTGAGAGGTACGAAGATCCGTTCAGCTCTTCTTGCCGGAAGAAGCGACATGAGACGCTCTTTAAGGACCTCGATCTGGACCTTGGCCTGAATTTGCTTGTAGTGGATGTGGGTGCTAGCACTCTGGTACGTGTATCATGTACACCGTTCCGAATGATCATGACATTATGCTAACAAGGCAGAACCTGCAAGCGATGAATGTCTACTTCACGGTAGAGGGAGAGATCATAGATAGCACGTCAAACGTGCCGCATGGCGCCATCACTGGTATATCTGTCCGATATAGAGCAAGACTGTTGTTCTCTGACAACTCACAGGTGTGCAAGGCGGCAGTGATATGACGAACGACAGAATCCGGCGCTGGATTCAAGATCATTATCTGCGACCGTTAATTCGAGCAGGGCAGGTTAAAGAAGGGGAGCTTGCCGCTCTTCTGCAGGACTTCGAGGAGAAGAAAAGGCGGCTGAATTACTTACAGTGCACAGAAAGCCTCAACCTTCGAGGCAACGATCCGTATATGACTATACCTATACCCCCGGAGCAGATCCAAAAGGCATTCGCTGTTACCTTCGAAGATGGTTTGAAGCTCCTCAAAAGGGAGTTGTCAAGAATGGTACGACTTAAGAGAGACTTTTCTGTCTTATTTGCTGGCGGAAGCTACTGCAATCCGGGACTCTATCGCACTGTAAAGGGAATCATGGAGGAAACCAAGCAGGATGCGGTACCGGAGAACGTTCAAATCAATTACGCGTTTTTAAGGGATGAGGTCTATTGGTATGTACGGCTATGTCTCATGATAGACTCGCATCTTCCATACTAACGCGAAATAGGTCGTCAGCAGTATCTGCAGGCGCCGCATTAGCCATGATGCGTTTACCTCAGGAAAGTGACCTTTTAAAGGAAGCAGCCATTGGAATCCACATGCTCTGGAAAAAGAAGGGCTCTAAGAAGATATGGGAAGGCGAAGATGAAGCACACGTCTTGTTCAGTCAAGGATGTCAGCAGCATTTCCATGCTGACATAGACATCCCCGGGAAGGCAGACCAACGAATCCAGTTCTACCTTGTCTGTCATCCACAATACACATGTCCTCGATCGACGTCCATATCAGACGACCCCAACGCATCCCAGACTGACACGATCCGTATTGGTGCTCCCAAGACGGTGTTGGGTGGGCCTTTAACCACCTATGACCTGGGATGGTCGATGAAGCCAACAGGACTCCGAAGTGGGCGCGTTCGCTTCAACATGAAGGCAGTGGTCTCTCCAAGCCGCAGTCCCGTTTTCGTGCTTACGCGCTCTACTCTCGATAGGTGCAATCAAATAGTGCCTTCACCTGTAGACAAGAGATGGTTTATTCGGTTAAAGAGCGACCCCCCTACCAAACTGTTGCAAGTGGGCGACGTTGACGAGATGCCCCTATTGTGCAGCCATTGCGAGAACGAAATCTCGTTTACTGTTCGCCTGTGTAAGACCTGCAAGGACTTCGCCTACTGTCACCAGTGCTTTTATGCAGGAATACCCATCCCACCGGAACACGAAAACCACGACTGGTCGCTTGTGTCATTGAACAGGTGAACATGGAGAGTTGGGCTATAACTATGTTGGGACGCACTGCAACCAGCAGTGAGCGAGGTAGCACACACCTGCGAGTTGTAGATCAATGTACAGTATTAACGTGGGTTAAGGACACTTCAATTGGGCTGTCCGATACTTTATACATATGTGGTATGAAGCAAATATCAGGAGAATCTGAACAATTCCTAAGTTCTAATTGATGCCATCTGCTCAGAATGACTGCAACATTCTTAATGATATCTTGCTATCGAGATGTCTCACTAACGAGTACTCGACAGAACAGAACTTTCAAGGTAAAGATCTCAACCCGCTTTGACCTTATTCACCATCAGCCAAGACCAAGAGAAAATACTTTCTGCCCGCAGTCTCTTGTTCAGGTTGACTAGGTGATATCTGGAACCCATATGTGAGAGACTAAGACTGATTCTATGGGCATCACGACTAATCTTAACTGCCACAAAATGTCATATACATTGAAATATAAATTGGAAAGTGCTTTTCACCCTGTCTAGTCATCATAGTGGTTATAGATCCTTTGCGAAACCCCCTATAACAAGGGCAGCAATACTGGGCTAGGAACCTAGCCAATTCAATTTACAATGAACAACTAGGGCTGCATACGTCCTTGGCCAACAAACTCCTTGTCGGCTGTTGGTGGCTTGACTTGACTCTATATGCAACTGGTCTGCCAGCCCAGACCGCCTAGGTCTCTGGGGTCTGTTTCAAGAAGCGAAGTCTGTATAACCTCACTTTCCATTATTGCCCAATATTGCCTGCATGTCTTGAAAGATCATGAACAGCCTGCAATGGTCCTTCGTACGGCCGAAGTGCAAGGCGAACTGCATATTCAGCCGGCACAGAGGTTGCACGTGTAACACCCCCCCTCTTCTCCATCACGGTTATGAAGACACTCGCTACAACTATGCTGCTGCCGCTAAAGGAAGATTTTGAGGGCCTCGACGTGGGCAAGGCGTAAGTCGATGGTTAGAAAAGGAGATCCCTGGTAAACCAGTTACGATCGCTTTCCAGAACGGAAGGCTTTGTTCTCTTTTCAACTCCCTTTAAGTAGTTGAGAGCAACCAACAACTGATGCTATGAAAAAATTGTTAGTTACAAAGAAACCCAATAATGATAAAACTGGCAAAAGATAAGACCCTGTTGTCAGATATTCTTCTAGATGCAAGCTACTCATGATCGCAAGCTCTCATACCGAGGTACACCTAGGTATTATCGTCGCGATTCGGCCAGATAGATAGCCGAGGGAATCGAACCCCTTAACTCCCATTCCAGTTACATGACGGGAGTGTTGGTGCAGCTGAGCCAACAGCCCAACTTGGCAACAGTCCGGCCACATAATTGGTAATATATACCTTCACGTGGTCGCGGTGGGATGGGCGCGTGGCGCGTGTTGCTGGGTGACGAGGCGCGGTCGATGCATGCTATTACAAGACAGTTACATGCATATAAGTATGCCCTTCATCCTACTCTGTACATATAACAGCATACCAGCCATGCGAACGGGCTTGTCGCCTGTTTCGAAACTGCAACAACGAAGTATTTGTTCTCATCCTTTGAGATATACTCAATCTGCAGCGTCATAGCTTTTCAGCCGCATTCTTGAGTCGAACCATCACTTCCTGGCTGCAGTTCATGACCAAATGACCACTCTTGAGGCCCCATATGCGTTGGTGAATAATAACTCTTCCATCCTCACCCCAAGATGTCTCACGCTCAGCGACGACCCAGTCGTTCATCTTGACACTTGGATCGTGGAAAGCCATTGAGTGATTCGGAGTCGCAGATATCGTCACATTTCGCATGACGAAACCATTCTTCATGGGGCTGGAGTAGAGAGCTACTCCGAGAAGCACCTGATCCGACATGAAGGCAAGTGCTGCTAGATGCACCGGTTCTAAGTCGTGACGCACTTGGCTTATTGCGTAGCCCAGGTCTTTGTACGTTTTCTGTCAGGGGTAGGTTGGAACTCAAAGGTTATGTACAATATCATAAGCCTCTTCAGTCTTATAGTAGGTATTGAATAAGACTAAAGTTTGAAGAAGGGGATAATATTCTTCGAAGCATATACGGGACAGAGACATGATATATGAGGCAGTGCATGTACTTCAGGGATCTTAAAACACCATACCATAACATTTTAAAAAAAAAAACCCCCAAAAAACCAACATGTTAATCAACTTAGATAAGGAAAATAACATAAAAGATTTTAGTTTCTTTAATATCCTTTACTATCAAAGAGGTTTTTTTAGACCAAACTATATGGATGTAGGTTTGTTGCGCCTCTTAATTCTGATGGTATGTTCATCATGTTCATGTATACCTATGGAGCTGAGGGTAGCGTTCTCTTAAGTGTCACGACCTAACGTGTATCAAAAGCAGACACACATAACTTTTATCTTAATCCCAGTATTTATTTATTCTGGATGTCCTACTTGTATAACACTTCTTAACAGTTTTCTAACACTATAAAAGCTTAAAAAGAAAGGAGACATAATGTTTATATCTAATAACAGCTTATTATAAATTAATGCCTAATTTGCTTTTAACCAAGTTCAGATGCTGGACAACATGATTAAGTATTAGGCGGCCCGCCGGCTCGCGTCGTCAAGTTCGGAGACGACAGTATTGTTAGCATCCTCCCTAGGCAAGCGAGGTGAGAAATCCAATTCTACACGCGGATGATTGGGCGCCTCGAGTTCTGCCCTTTGGCATACCGGTCCATAGTTGCCAGGTAATTCGGCCTTGTTTAGGTGAGGATCATAGTCGTCGGGGGTCGCGGCTATTACGCGACTGTCGGAACCTGTAGCTCCCTTTCGCTTTCTCAGGACAACTATGTATATCGCCATGGCAAGTAGCGCGGCCGTGACGACGACAGCAGCAATACTGATGCCGGCTATAGCGCCGGGCTTTAAGCCACTAGTGCTGGTAGCACTAGTAAGGCCTGCTGTTGAAGTGGACGTGCTAGTTGCCAAGGAGGTGGAAGACCGAAGTGTTGTAGAGGTTGATAATGAGTCTGCGGTACTAATCCCACTACTAGTAGTACCCGTAGGGGTTTGAGAGGGAGAGTTCGAGCTGGTGGTTGACTCGGAGGAGTTGGCAAGACACGTGCCCGGGAATGCACAGTACTGCGAGCTGGCGCAGCAGACTGAACCGCATGCGATATAGCCTGGGTCTTGCGGGACGCAAGGACCAGACATTTTCAACTTAGTATTATAGCTTTAAATGGCCTCTTAGTGTCAGGTGGAAGCGATGACATGCAGTAGGGTTGAACTGAATGTATTATGTGGTGTTTTTGTAATGATGGTGTCAAAGTTGCGCCTTTAAGCAGGAATATATTAGGGGGGTAACCTTGACACGGGGATGTTATCAGACACCTATTTAACCAATATTCAAACAAGATTCCGGCTAAGAGCTTATCTCAGGTTTTCACGAGCCCACCATCCTGCGCCGAAGATCTTGTTGCATGTGCCGCATTCGAAATCGTAGCTCATAATTTAGATCTAGCGCCCCGGCTCTAGTAGATGTTTAAGTTAAGGCAGCTGACTTGGTGGAGAGGGCTAAGATAACGCTAAGCAAGCACGGGATTACTAGACCAGGCAAAGAGGTTAAGTGAGGTAGGGAAGTGGAGGCTCGGGATGGGCCGAGAGCACTTATTTGAATAGTTGATCGATTGCCCCACGTCAAGCTGAAGATGAATGTTTAACACCTTGGCAATGTGTTATGTCTCGCTCAAGGCCGGGTGGCGCAGCGACATATTTCGCTAGAAAGACGGTTTGGGCCTTTCCGTAGGCTAGCTTGAAGAGTCAGCAGGAATATAAGGCTTATAATTCGCCAGAGATCCCGGATCCAGGACGCTTCGTAGCTTGGTACAGCGGCAGTCTAGCCCCGGATCACTGAGGGCTAGGTAGAGACAAAATACTTATAAAGAATGTTGAGTGTCTATAACACATCTTATCACTTCTCCCAGGCGAGCCCATCAGATCGTCGTTCTTCAACACACCTTCAAAATCTGGTATTTTGGCTCGCTCTTCTGTAAAGGGGGCCTCCAACTGGCTACGGGCTACACCCTTCTCCTCCATTACGTATTTTGATGATGACAGCAATTGACGACCTCTCGGATAGATCACAGCTATTTTTCAAGCTCTGTTAATATTCCTCCGAGCCACACGGTAACTCGTTAACACTTCCTCTTTCGAAGGCTTAATCTCCAGCACCGCACTGGAGTACTAACTTTAGCTTTCTTTTAATCAAGCTGAAGATGCCTATATCCAACACCTGCACTACGTGACTGCAGTAAGGCTCGTAAAACACCAGTCATATCTTGTTTGACATACAGAGCCAAAGAAAGTCGTCGTTTGTACGTTGGGATCGGCCAAAGCGTGGGTGGCAACCACTGGATGGCCTCCTCATCGGAAAAATCCTAAACTTTACGCACCACCCTCAATCCCCCACCTCCAGCCATTGCGAGGTGCTGGAAGTTGCACTGCTTTTCTGTCTAAACCTATAATCATCCCTGGATAAAGCAATGAATACAGATAATAAATTTCCTTTTCTGCGTGACTAAGGACGTTTAATCTAAGTCTAATAAAGTATAGTCATAGCCATGTAGAGCTCCATCCCTCCTCCCTGGGGCTGAACCTCTCAGTATGTTCTAATGGTGGCAAAATCTTGGGGTGGGAGGCTATTTCACAGCCATATTGTATTATATACGTAACAGATCCTCGTTAGGGCGGACGGATGGTTAAAAAACGGGACCCTGGAGCCAAGATCCTAGGTTTTCGGAAAGCTTTAATACACAGGCTTTACTTGCATTTCCTTCTCCTTTTCCTCTCCGAATACTCCCTTTTAAACCAAAGCATCCTCCCCTTTTAATAAGATCATTCGTTTTGGCAAATATATTTTCGTACCTAATACATAAAGTAAAGTTCATTATGTTGTTTAAGCATGTGGCTATAGCGTGGCTATCCTTGTTTCCTTCCCTTCCGTGGGTATCGGCAACATGTAAGTATCAAATAGAAAATAGCACGTTTGAATTAAAGACTGCTGTTTACTTTGTTAACTGGTAAGTTAGTGTTGGATAGATTGATGGGATGAGAAAATCCATTTATATTGCTCCTCGGGGGTGTTTATGAGCGAAACTATAAGCTAGCTTAACTGCTAGCATCGTAGCTTACCTATGCTCTATATGCGTTCGCAAATCTGTAGTCTATAGGTGAAGTGTAAGCTACGCCCATCTTCGACGAGGACGAGGTAGATAAAGCTAACGCCTTTGGGATAGATACTCTTTAGACGAATATGCCGATATATAGCAGCATTATGACGGAGACTGTAAGGCTTGACGGTTTTGTGTGCTTTAATGACCATTCTTTCTGACTGTCCTAGCTTGGAATGACGTTGGTAACAACGTCTACGGGGCTGTTAAATAACTGTACCTCTAGAAAAAGAAGAATCGCAATTTTAAGGTCCTGCTTAGTATTGGCGGCTGGATTTACTCCCAGAATGGAAACTTCGCTTCGGCACCTAGTTCCGATGCTAATCGGGCGACGCTTGCTAAGACTTTAATCGCCCTTATGAAGGATTGGGGCTTTGAGTGAGTACTGACCGAAACATTTTCTGCTCAAATATCTAACGTTTGCGGCAGCGGTATCGACGTCGATTGAGAATACCCTAAAGATGACGCTGAAGCTACTAACTTCGTCCTTCTATTGAAGGCTATCCGATCCGAACTTAACAGCTACTCTGGCCTGTATGGCAATGGATACCACTTCCTCCTAACCGTTGCATCGCCTGCCGGCCCCCAAAACTATAACCATCAGAAGCTCAAGGATATAGCCGACGTCCTCGATTTCATTAACTTAATGGCCTACGACTACGCCGGCTCCTGGGATGTAACGGCCGGACATTAGACGAATCTCTACCCAAACCTAGCCAACAATGCTAGCACCCCGTTCTTCATGGATCGTGCTGTGATAGATTATTTGAATGCTGGTGTGCCTGGAGCTAAGCTGATGTTTGGCATGCCTGTGTATAGCCGCGCGTTCCGGAATACGGACGGGCCAGGCAAGCCGTACAATGGCGTCGGCAGTGGCAGCTGGGAATAGGGTATCTGGGACTATAAGGCATTGCTACGGCCGGATTCAATAGAGCAATATGATAGTGTTACTGATACCACATATAGCTATGATTCAAACGGTCGAATCATGGTTACGTATGATACCGTGGATATGGTCCGCAAGAAGGTCAATTATCTCAAGTCAAAGGGACTAGCCGGCAGTATGTTTTGGGAGGCGAGCGGCGATAAGAATGGCTCTGGAAGTTTAATTGGTGCGAGTCATAGTGCGTTGGGGTTGTTGGACAGCAGCCAAAATCAGCTGAGCTATCCGGACAGCCAGTGTGTTACCTAATTTAGCGGCGGGAATGCCGAACAGCTAGGTTAGTTGCAACTGTTGACGGTGAGTGGGTGATGCTAAGTTTGATAGCATGGCCGTATAATTGATGGTTTGCTTCAGTCGTTACTCTAAGTCTTGGATTCGTTACTATAGGATACTTTGGATAAGATTCGATCTCTTAACGTTGGGGCCTACTAATGTCACTTTATATGGATTAGCTAATTACTGTATTAGTCTGTTTGTTATCCTGTCACTTGCAGATTCGCTTTGTCGACTGCGCTATTTGAACAAGACCGAAGAACTATTAAAACTTAGGCAGCTGTACAATAGATGATATTTGCATTCTGAATCGATGTTTTACCCCAAACATCAGACCTACTAAAGCGGATTGCACCGGTTTAGCGCCATGGTTATGAGATGAGAGGCGGTGGATGGACTGAGGAGAGAAGGACAAGTGAGCTAATGATTAGCGTGGATGGCACAGGTGGCCAGTTAAGTTAGGTTGGTGGGCTACAGTCCGCTTCCAATGCTTCGAATTATCCTTCCCCATTACCATCCCCAAACATACAGAGGGATAAGAAAAAAGAAGAAGAGCATGCGTACAGGATGCTTGACATTCTATGCGTGGGTGCCTATTGGCTTACGGCTGAGCATCGTGGTCGATACCCCGCATTCACAGCCTCACGAGTCCTGACCGATCAGAGTGCATCTTTTCACACTTCACACCGGCAGAGATGATGCCAGTTTCATCCGACGCAACACAGCTTCGTGGCCGTCTGCACGCTCTCTCTGCTGTAGCAAGCAATAACAGTCCGAACTGCTCGACCTCGGGGTTGCACGATGCGGCTGTTACAACGCGACAATGCAGGCCATTACAGCCTTACCCCGGACTTGACTCCCGACGACGACATTCCTCCCTACGCGATCCTTTCCCACACATGGGGACCCGACGAGGTTCTCTTTACAGATCTAACGAATGCACAGAATCGGTGGCACCAGAAAGCCGGCTACGCTAAGATTCAATTCTGTGCTAAGCAAGCGACACGGCACGGGCTGCAATACTTTTGGGTCGATAGCTGTTGCATCGATAAGTTGGACAGTATCGAGCTCCAGACGGCCATCAACAGCATGTTTCGGTGGTATCGCAATGCGAAGATATGCTACGTCTATTTATCCGATGTCTCCAGCCCTACGGCGATTAGTACGCAAGACGGCGTAGCAGCCTGGGAAGCGGCGTTCCAGGACAGCAGATGGTTTACTCACGGATGGACACTCCAAGAACTCATTGCTCCTAATGCAGTCGAGTTCTACTCCAAAGAAGGAACCTGGCTTGGCGATAAGCAATCTTTAGAGCCTCAATTACGCGATATCACACGCATTCCCGCAAGAGCTCTCCGCGGGGCTCCTTTATCCGACTTTACGGTCGCAGAACGAGAAGCGTGGGCTCGTGGCCGCCAAACGAAGTATGAGGAGGACATGGCGTACTCACTCCTCGGCATATTCGACGTTCATATGCCGTTGATCTACGGTGAAGGACGGCAAAACGCGCAAAAGCGACTACGAGAGGAGGTCGAGAAGGCTATCAGAGGTAAATATTATGTCAAAATATCATATTCCTGCAGTAAGCCTGAAGCTAATAAGAATAGGAGCTCGATATATAGACTTCTCTATCACATTCAGCCTATCCGATGTTCCCGAGACCCAACACTTCGTTGCCAGAACCAGGGAAATAAATGAGATGCGGAAGGCACTGGCGTCGGATGGGAGCCGCCGTGTCGTGGTCCTCCACGGCCTCGGCGGTATTGGCAAGACACAGATTGCTATTGTATACGCGAAACGATATAGAGACGAATACTCCGCTATATTCTGGTTGAATATCAAAGACGAAACATCTATCCGGCAGAGCTTTACCAAAGTGGCGGGGCAGATATTGCTGCAGCATCCTAACGCTAGCCACCTAAGGGCGCTAGATCTGCAACAGGACCAGGAGAAGGTAGTCGAAGCCGTCAAGGCCTGGCTCAGCCTGCCGGGCAATACCAGGTGGCTTCTTGTATACGATAATTACGACAATCCGAAGCTAAGCAACGATATAAACGATAGAGGAATCAACATCAGCCGGTTTATTCCTGAAGCGTACCAAGGGTCGATCATCGTTACGACGCGATTGTTACAAGTTGATCTAGGGCATCAAGTTCAGGTCAAAAAGCTGGAGTCACTACACGACAGTCTTAAAATCCTCGCGACAACTTCAGGCCGTGACGGTCTTGATACAGATATCGGTGCCAAAAGACTTATAGAAGAGCTTGATGGACTTCCTCTTGCCCTTGCTACAGCTGGCGCGTATTTACGGCGCGTTCCAATTGGTCTTGCTAACTACCTTCGTCTTTATAAAGAATCATGGTTAAGAGTTCACACAGACACGCCGAACCTGGGCTCATACCAAGACCGCACACTTTGCTCAACATGGCAGCTCTCATATGTGCAAGTTCAGAAACAACATCCACTTGCTGCTCACTTGCTCCGATGGTGGGCATATTTCAGTAATGAAGACATTTGGTTCGAACTGCTCCAAACTGACAATACGGATGGTCCAGTATGGATACACGAGCTGGCCGATGAACTGAACTTCAACCAGGCGATTGGTGCGTTGCATAATTATGGGTTTGTCGAACCGTACATCTCGGCTTCGGACTCGGTCGGATCAAGGGGATATAGCATGCATGCCTGTGTACACTCTTGGACCGTTTCCGTGCTGAACAAGGACCCAGAAGATAGTCTAGCTCGAGCAACGGTAACTTGTGTAGCTGCAAAAGTGCCATCACAGGATGAGCATCAGTTTTGGTCGTTTCAAAATCGCCTTTTATCTCATGCTGAATGCTGTGTCATGAGATTAGACAGCGATGACGGCATAGAATGGGCCTTTCATAGTTTAGGTAATCTCTTTCGATCCCAAGGCAAGCTGGCCGAGGCCGAGGCGATGTATATACGGGCATTGCAAGGCTATGAGAAGGCGTGGGGCCCGGAGCATCCATCAACACTTGACACAGTCAACAACCTTGGGAACCTCTATAGCGACCAAGGCAAGCTAGCCGAGGCCGAGGCGATGTATATACGGGCATTACAAGGCTATGAGAAGGCGTGGGGCCCGGAGCATCCATCAACGCTTGACACAGTCAACAACCTTGGGCTCCTTTATAAAGACCAAAGTAAGTTAGCTAAAGCTGAGGCGATGTATATACGGGCATTACAAGGCTATGAGAAGGCGTGGGGCCCGGAGCATCCATCAACGCTTGACACAGTCAACAACCTTGGGGTCCTTTATAGCGACCAAGGCAAGTTAGCTAAGGCCGAAGCGATGTATATACGGGCATTGCAAGGTAAAGAGAAGGCGTGGGGCCCGGAGCATCCATCAACGCTTGACATAGTCAACAACCTTGGGGTCCTTTATAAAAACCAAGGCAAGCTGGCCGAAGCCGAGGCGATGTATATACGGGCATTACAAGGCTATCAAAAGGCAATCGGCCCCCAGAATATCGTACGCTATCGACCTGCAATTGGTACATCATACAACTTAGGATCCTTATTGTATACTCAGGGCAAGCAAAACGAAGCTAAAAGTTTATTAAGACAAGTTCATGTCAACCTTGAAGCATTACTTGGGCCTTTACATAAAGACGTTCAGTCATTACAAAATGCTCTTCAATACATGAATCAGCTACAATAAAGTAAGTCGATGCTTCTTGGTTATACCACCCTTAAAATAATCACCAATAACTGATATTTTAACACCACATAGGACCTTAAAAGATTCGACAGCAAGATATAGTGAAGCACTATCTGGCAAATAAGCTTGCTTGGAAAAACAGAGAGTGAAGAAAGCTGGAGCTATGTAGATCTTTATATATAGATGCAGGAGACATTTAACCTTCATACTCCTTTATTCCTACTACCTTTGCCAAAGAGGGTTGTAGGGGAATAGGTGAATTTATATTTGGTACTGCCTTTGTATTATATATACCGCCATGTTCAAGAACAAGCCCGCTGTTTTGGAATCTATTGTACAGTAGAGCTGAGGTTCACCGACCGCAATTTGGGAATAGGAAATTTCTAGAATAGGTATAGGTGGAGCGCGCAAATGGTGCGCACCTAGCCGATCCATGTACTCGGTAACCTAGACGTTGTCCCAAACCTAGGAGGCTCGGGATGGGCCGAGAGCACTTATTTGAATAGTTGATCGTTGCCCCACGTCGGGCTGAAGATAACGGCATGTTTAGTCTAGGCTTAGAAAGATTTATTTGTGCAAGCTAGTCAATCATGGGATTGTAGACAACAACAGAGTTGTTTCCTGGCCCCTATATACGTTATCACTTGTACATCTCTCTTGTGGCCTCCTTATGACCTGGGGTCACCCCTTAACAGTTCTGCCCTCGCGGTTTTTTGGTCGGCTACGGTGACCGGATTTCCAGCTCACACTCATTAATCGCACTATCATGCTATGTAAACAATCTTTGTTCTAATCTAGGCAGACACTAGGACATGCGTAATTGTGCCCACTCGGAAGAAGCGCACTCGACAAGCTATGAAATTACCAGCGTCCCTCAGCATCAAAGCACACTTGACTGCATTATAACCCAACAACACCATTATTCCTCGAAGTCAGACTTCTGAAGTAACTTTCCATCTAGCATACTTCCCACATGTGTTTTGGATATATCCTGACCATTCCGTCGAATCTTTGACGTGAGAATCTTGAAGAATTGGACCGGACTCTTATCGAACCTAGACTTCCCATTGGCATCACGCAAGATGTATCCATCCGCGTCGACAACCTCACCTTGCTTGGTCGCGCCGGTTGCAAGCCCCAGGAATTTGCAAGTATTTAGATAATCCACGTATGTGTCGAAATAGAGCTGTCCAGCAAACAGATTCAGCGGAGTCTTCAATGCACTGGGGATCACCAGTGGCAGTTGTCGATACGGAATGGTGAAGAAGTCGAGTTGGTCCAAAGATCGGTGACCGACAACACAGCGTGGCTTGTAGAGATGTAATGTTACTCTCTTCGATTGGGTCGACTGGAGCAGCGGCATGAGTTCCTCTGCTTCATGTGGGCTAATGATGATCAAAACATCGACCAGGGTACTGCCTTTGGCACAGCTTGATAGAATCCACTGCACGGGACGCAGGTATGAATCTGAAACGTGGGTGATGTTTGAGGCGACTACAGTTTGAGCGAAGTCATTTGTCACCGACAGTTTGTTGCTATCGAGTTGCGATGTCTTGAAACTTTTAGCTGCGCTGGTGCCTCGCAGCGCGTTAAATGCCGGAAAATAGGCTTTTGACGTGTTGTTTAGGTTGCCTGTGTTCACAAACACGATGAGATCGGGATGGAGATCGTGGCTGGCTGGTCTTGCAGGAGCTGGCCGTTGCACCTGACGCTCCTGCTCAATCTCAGGGCATAGTTCTCGCTCCTGTTCCTCTTCTAACGTACTCGAGTTAAAGTCCAGGTAAGCAAATTCGCTCCAGCGCTCCTTGATCTCGTGTAATCTAGGGGTTTCAGTGCCTAACAGGCCGGCTAAGGGCGTTGATTTTCCGTGGCGGGGCCGATATCTAACCTCTATGGGTTGAGCCTCGTCATCCAGGAACTGTTTAGCTGTGGCGCTCGAGAAGCAGATGGATCCGTTAGCTTGGGTTGATTTCCAAAGCTCTTCCTGTCGTATAAAACGAGCACCTTGCGCAGCCCAAAGTGGCATGCTTCTATGGGTCTCTGCAAATGTTTCGGAAATAGCCCAATGCAACACGTCTTTCACCTCGACGGGAGTGTCTGGTGGCATGCCGGTAGCTCGCTGAATCTTATCTTGGATTTCTGCGCTTACGCAGAAGACAACTGATTGTCCCCTTCCTAATTTTCTCAATCGCATACACGCTGAAGTAATTAGCACTTGTCACGGGAAGATAGAGCTCATGTCAAGCTTACCTTGCACCAATCTATCCTTGGTCAAGTTCGCACCAAGGGTTACAGCGGCTCTGTAATCGTCCGGCAACTTGAGATCAATGCCCCGTGTATGGGCCTCATCCAAAAATACTAGACATGCGTTGAGCCGAGTCGCGTACGAAGACGTCTGAAGGAGCTCTACATTCCCTTGACGATCAATAACACTTAGCTCGTCATCGTCATTCACGAAAACTGTGGCTTGAACTTCCGTATTCCTAACCATATGTAACCAACTTTCTGCGACCTGTCGGTTATTCAGCTCCAGTATCTGAGCACCAACATCGAGAATCACTCGCACTGGCTGCTTAAAGGCAATGACTTTATCGAGAATGCGTTGGGCGTCCGTGACAGCGAGAGCTGGTCGGTCGGGTAGGAGAGCAACTGAGTTTTCGGGTTGTAGAAGGTACTCTAGAACAAGTGCATTGGTATGCATTTGTGATGGTAGATCAAGCTGTTTAATATCTAGTGGTAAGACTTTGCGGGAGTCGTTTGTGCCGCTGAAACCAGTTGTACAGTGGGATTTCCTCTTCCCGAGGTCCCACCCAGACGCCGAAAGTTTGTATGGAAACTCCTTCACTTCCTTTGGAAATACGACATGCCCTAAGAAATAATCTACAACACTTTTTCCGTACCTGAGGTGTGGAAATATGTCATTAATGCATTGTGCACGGTCTTTGAGGTTGATACCTTCCAGCTGGCGGAACGGGACTGGCATGGAGCCGCTGTCTTTCATCCATGTGTCATACTCGATGCTTGCCTGGTCGGATTCCATGAGATTTCCTAGTGCAATGAACAGGTCTTCGTCTTCAAGACCGCCGTAGTAGTACGTCAAGCTCGTGAGGGCGATGACTACGTCAGGATGACTGAACTCTGAACGAGGTGTTGGGTTATCCTTTGCTCGGTATGGTACTGCTAACTTCGTCGGTGGTATACGATCAGTAGCAAGTCCATAGTCGACTCGCCATCGTTTCCGGCTGAGCGCGAATGTGAGAATTCCTCCGGCTAGAATTCCGCGGAGGAGGAGGAGAAAAGGCTTTGTGCTCTCTGTCCAAAATCTTCCGTCGCCAGATTCTTCTACAGCACGGATCTCTTGAGGACTCAAATTGTACTGTGAAATATACTTAAACACAGCGTCTCTGATATGTTCTTGTTGTCTTGCAATTGGGAACCCATCGAGGCCTGTGTTACAGATACATCTTGCAACCCGTTTTACGAGAAGTTCAGCTGCGTCCAGCTTCAGGATGCGCAGTCTAGGGAACCCACCCTCATCTCGAAGATCAATCTCTAAAGATTTTGGTAGCTCGTCTGGTATTTCAACAGCTAAAATACGGACCAAGCTGAGCACCTGTTGCATGCATATCCAGCGGGCGGGGCTCAGCTCAATCGACTGCTGAGATCCCATGGTATAGACAAGCTCGAACTTAGGACTGAAATTCTCGTCGCTCTCATCAACAATATCCCGCGAATTCTTATCAAAGAACTCTTGGAGGCGTATGAATGACTCGCCGATAAGGTGCCTGTTCACTTGCTTGTCACAATAGCACTCGACCCCCATCAGCTGGAAGGAAAGAATATGCTCTGGTTGGACTAGCAGAACACCACCATTTCTCTGGCAATTTCTGACCATCTTATCGATACTGTTGACTAGTGTCGTTGAGTTTACTTTGAGAGCACGGGAAAACGGCATATAGTACACCCTTCTGTCCAGAAGGCCGCCCAGCTTTGAGATGAGCATCTGTGCCATTTGCTTCGATTGCGGCTTTGCAACTATTACTCTGGCAAGCTGTGACCCGTTGGCTAGCTCTGTAGCTACCATGGGCACGATGACCGAGCTTTTTCCCTCGCCCATGTTCAGCTGCAAAATCGCGTTAGAATGTGATCGCGGATTTATCATTTCTACCGCTATCCGCTCTTGCACGTCACGGATCATGATGCCACTTTCCACCTCAAGGAGTAGCCATTCTGGGTGGTCAAGGGGGCTCCAGGTTCTGTGTCCGATATTTTCCAGTTCCTTGATTAACTCCTCGTCGCTCAGTGAGCCAGCAGCTCCAATGAGTCTTTGCGCCCGTTGAAGGGCAGCCAAAGCAAGGCCATAGCGGGTAACACATACTCTCCAGTCTGGACTGAGATAATCCCACGCCCCTCTACCTAGCTGTTGTAGAAATAATAGCGGGGAAAGACGTGGTCCATGCCCAAATTCAGAGATACCATTTGAAGAAGCAGTACAGGCAGTCACAAGATGGAGATAAAGCTCGTGTGCTGTCTGTTCACAATCGCTCATGTACTGACGCAATAAGGCAGTGAAGTACCTATCACGCACATATGAATAAAGCGAGGTTTGCTGTGTTTGCAGGGATCGCATGCTTGTATCAAGTTCTTTAATATAGGACATTTCGTATAGAGACTGTGCATTCCTCTCCTTCAGTGTATCCAAGATTCCAGGAAGGCGCAAAGCTCTCTTCTCATTGTCGATGGTGGATTTTTCAATTTCAAGCTCAGGAAGCTGTGTCGGAAGTGAGGGTTCTGGACTGGTGAAAAGGTCCTTAACAGATACAAATGAGCGAGTCGTCGAATTCGCTGCAGGAGACGTCAATATAACCAATTCGGGCTGATATGGTATAATGGGACTTTGGCCGAAACGAGACAGTGCTCTTTCAACATTCTGCAAATACTCGAAAAGGCGGAGGTTGGAGAACCATTCTTCAAACTGTTGTCTTACAGCCGATTCGATTTCATTTAGCTTCAAGTAGCCGGATATCCTTGAGTCCACATGGCCTAACGCAGGCAGAGTTTCTCTTGGCCACAGGCTCATAAACTTTTGGGTGAGAGCACAAATGGCGAAATTTTTATTGGTGGCATAGCTTTTTTTACGACGTTTCCGAAGGTTACGCCAGTCTTCTCCCGGGTTGGCTCGCAGCTGTGCTTCTGGTGAGGCATTTAGCCCTACATCGTAAGAGCGCAATGTTGCTTGTAGATGTTTCGACGTAGGCTCGTACCCTTTGGGTGGGTAGCATGATTGAATCAAGGGCAACTCTACGTTCCTAAGCTCGTGGGCCGTGAAGAACAGCGCCATTATCTGTAAGAGCCCTAGGTCTGCTTGTTTATGGGCGGCTATGGCCGATAGCCAAATCATTACACTGAATTTGTTCGCTGCAACAGACTGTGTCGACAGGATTCTGTGTAGCGATAGCCAGCGAGACAAGTCCAACCCAGAGTTAGCCGCGTCGGCACTATATTGTAGTTCCGATATATCTATGTTTACATAAGGGCTCAGGACCTTTGGCACGTTCAACATGATTTCCCAGAGCTTGCCAACCTGTGGAACGTCTGTGTGAAGTCTTGTATGATTGCGATACACGATGCTTGATAGCACGTACGCATTAGTTCCACGAGCTGAGCTTTGATCACGATCACGACTGCGATAGATATCGTCGTAAACGGTGTTATGCTCCTCAGCACCGAAGCCTGAGACCCAGAACGTTGACATACGGATGCGGTTGCGATCCATCAAAAATGCATTAGTGTCAATCTGACTCGAAAGATCGAGCTGTTTGCTTTCTAATCCCGGATAGAAAAGGCACATTTGACTGGCGTGTTCAAATATTTCATTCACAGCTTTATAGAATCCTTCGTGGTGAGAGAGGAAGCTCAGATTCGGCTTCCACAAAACAGTCTGCATCACTCTCTTCTGCCGAGGATAGTACTGTCGCGTAGGGCATAACTGTGCAACTAACAACATGGTGTCGAGAGCTTTCTGTGACAAACGGTCGAATGATCGGACGGCGGCAGAGTTCAATATCGCTAGTGCTTGCTCTACCCCAGTTCTATTGGTGAACGGGTCTGGAAGACAATAAGACGTCAAAGCATGTAAATACGAAATGAAGAGTTTGCCTTCCAGATTGCCGTTATCTGTCAACCGCCCAAGCACACTATCGACATATAGCGGGTGCACTTGGGTGATGGACGGTTTTGAGACTGTAACCTGAATGTGACCATTTGCTGATACCCAGGACACTTGACCTTCTGGTACAAGTATGAGGCGGCGATTATGATCTTTCAAAATCAGCTTGTTGAGAAGACCAGTCAGAGTCCCAATGGATTGGTCGCCGTCAATCGCCATACCTGGAAACTCCCTGGATCGTAAGCTCGACTTGCCTGCGGTAAGAGAAAAGCCCAATCGAAGCGCAGGGAGCTCCACTTCTAGCAAAGTCTCATCCGAAGGATGCAAAATTGAATGTATCTGAAGTTTGTCAGCTAACGGTAGCAGCACGTTGGTAACTGCAGTCGCTGTTCTACTCTTCGCGCCAACGACAAGGCTGCCTCCCCGCCCCAACGTCCAACCTTTGGGGGACCTGTGTAGGACCCATTGGGAATTGTTCGACTCCCAGGGCGCTTCTCGGGGCCGAAACTCTAATATGTCATTAGTATAATTATACCAATGAACGAAATCATTGACGAAATGGTCTGGGAATAGCCCTTGAAGCAGCCGACTTGGGATCGTCTCATAGTCGGCGTCAACACGGGAAGCTTGAACAAGTAGATCCATGCCCCCAGATGTGGTTCCTTTCCTGCCAAAGCGAACTTCATAGCCTTTGTATTGCCTCTTGGCCGAAAACTCCATTGCGGCGGCAGACGTGGGCATGACCTCAAGAGCATTTTGGTTGAAGAGGACGTGCCACATCGGATGATCTTGATACTCTCGCGGGGGACAACCCAGTGGAGTTCCATTCACCAGTAGTTCGCCGCTTAACATATTGTAGTGAACTTGGACTTGAGCCCGCTCTTTGCTTGGTGCTGTCTCACAAACCAGCCAGTGCGTACATACTACTCGCCATCCACCTCCTTTGCGGTAAGCTGACCATGATTTCTGTACGGCGTCTGAAACGCCCGAGTGTGTCTTGGACAAGATTGGTAAGCTGCGGTATAAGAGCCGACGGAACCGAAGACTAAGACAAGCGAGCGTGAGTTCAGAAGCTGGGCTGTACTCGGGTTTTCCTTCTTGGATGATGATAGAACATTGAACAAAGATCGAAGTGTCGCTCTTCGACTCTAGAATTCCGACAAGAAAACACTCTTCGACATCAAAGCAGGAAACACAAATGAGAGCTACGTCAACACTCTTTGATTTGAAGTATGTTCTTTCACTTTGCGCGGTAGCCTCATGAGACCTATCTCTCAAGAGCTCAACCCAGGCAAAGGCTCCGGTACGAAGATCAGTGAGAAACTTGATACAGCGCTTTTGTACATTCTTATACGAGCTGAGCGAAAGCAAACGCGTAGTGATGGCCGCAAAAGTACTAAGAGCTTGAGCAGACTCCCAATTTTCCTTGATTTTCTGCCAGGCCGTCGCCAAATTGTCGAGCAGGGCCTCAGCAAACTGTTTACACTCTACGATAGCGTAGCCAGCCCGTAGATACGTATTTCCAGACGGCCCCGACTGGTATAGACACTGTAGTATGAAGATTGCAGTCTCGTGTTTTCTGAAGTCGAGAGACGGGGTTGCTAGTTGGATGAGGATATTGTGTAGTTGGATGCGATGGCCGAGTGGTAACATAGCTAGATCTCTGGCTTCTTCGATGCTCATGTGTGCCGGAATTTCGGATTGATTCGCAAGGGCAACATTTGAACCAGGCCCATCAGGCGAAGTGGCAGGGCGGTCCAAGTAAGTTTGTAAACTCTTAGACTCTGTAGGAAGATGATATGTGCACATCTCAAGCACATTTTCGCTAGGCTCAAAGTCCGCGACGAATCGGCTCGCCACAAAGTCGAAATATCTATAATTCAACCCATTATTAACACAAACGCTGCTCTTTGTAGCAGTGGAGACCTTTTGTGCGGTCCGATGTGTGACTACCTGAGGTTTTTCCTCAGATAGAAGTCCAATCTGCGATGAACGAGACGGGCCACTGGGAAGATGTGGGTCTTTGGGCAACGCATAGAAGGAACAAGGTGCGCTCTTCACCGAGTACTGCATTCCAATGACATCCTTAAGAACATAGAATCTTGCTTGGCGCCATGACTGAAGGTAAGGCGGGATTTTCTTCTCAAAAACAATGGATTTTGCTTTCGTGATACTTCTGGGAAGTGGCCATTCATCGAGATGAATCTCGAGATTTGCTGCCTTATTTTTGTTTGCACACTTTTTGCAGTTCGGGTTATGTCTCGACTCGTAAATGTTATTGTGATAATCGACTAGAACCTCCTCGTACTCGCATTGCATCTGGTTAGAGCGTGCCATAAGACCATCATATACTGTTTTCAGATTACGCAGCTCTAACAGCTTTTCTTCTCTCTTCTTTTGAGCGGCCTTCATAATATCCGTGTACGTTTGCTGCATCGCCTCGGAGGAGGAAAAGTACTGTACCGGAAAGCATTTCGGGCTTTCTAAATCGTAGAAGAGCTCGGTGGAAGGGAATGAAGCAAGGGAATAACGTTTAGTCAAATACCGCTCAACGCAGTGCAGTCTCCGCATCTGGGAAGCAAATGGGAGAAGAAGGTTCTGAAGGACAGTCGATGGGATGTCCGGGTCGTATTTGCTGAGCAAGGGACACAAGAGCGTCGCAACCTCGTCGCAAGCAACCCACAACTCGAAGATTGTGAGTAGCATGGTCGAAAGTGCCTCTGGATTTTTCGAATAGTAGGGTACAGCCAGATTGTGATATACCATAATCAGCGAGCTGAGCTCATAGCATGCGGTTGATTGGTTATCGCGGCCCCATTTTCTGCTGTGAAGTGCAACCCAGGTTTCGAAGGCTTCGAGATTTGTGATGGCGTTGCTCTGTTTTGGAAAGGCTGATGGGAGTAGGGGTAAATTGTCAGGTGAAAACACTATTAGCGTTTCCTGAGGCTGAAAAATGCTGGAACACTGCTCTCGTTTCCGGGCGCTCATCCATGTGATATATTTGTCTAATTCCGGGATAGGAACATGGCAATCTTCGGTGAAGTTGAGGCTAGAAAGCTCTGTGACATTGATTTTCGAAGAATTCAGCTTTTGAATAGCTGACCACCGCTCAGAAATCTTAGCATGGGCGCTCTCCAATGTACTTTGAACGAAGAGCTTCACAGGCTTGTTGACTTCTGGGCCGATTTTAAGCAGACGCCTGGCCAGCTTGGCACTCATCGAGAAGAGTTCATTGCTCGAGAGTGAGTGGTTGGTAGCGAGAGTTAGGGTATTGCACAAGACAAAGAGCATAGCCTCCTTGTAGACGATGCCTGACCTCGCTGACGACTTCCTATTGAAGCTAAGCTGTAGTGCTACACGGATAACTAGCCATGACGGTGAGCGACGCCATGGAGAGCGGGCATCAGCCCAGAGCACGTCATCACGCATGTTCTTTGAAATGGAAGGACACCTCACGGGCTCGCCAACCGACTTGAGAAATCCTATAAACAGCTCGGACACCATTCCTGGGTGATTGGTATCGCGATCTTCGTGGAGTGTACTGCCGGCTTTTTTGACCTTTGGTTGCACTGCCTCGATGGGGTACTTACTCATTTCTGCAAGAGTATGGGCGATTATCTCTATTGGAATTAGGAAGGCAGGGATGGATAATCCTGGTGGCTGGTACTTCGACCCACATACACTCTACTATATAAATAGATATACCACCCTAACCTATAGTACCTAAACTTAGTTCCTTAATGCAATATATAGTATTTCCCCACCTATAGTACTATTTACACTGTACTATTTTAATTAGTTATAAGCCTGGAAGTCTGCAATTTTAAAAAGAAATAACTTTTAGTATTTTACCTTATTTAATTTATTTAATTATAAGTATATTATATTAAAACTAAATACTTTATTTATAGTAAAGACTGCTGCCCTTTTATTAAGCTATAAGGGTAGAAAATGCTGGAAATACCGTAATAGTAGGAGTATTATACCTTAATAGCGTACCCCTGACTATATACCTTAATGTATAATATACTTATTAAAAATGTAATACCTATTAAAATAATAAAATTTAAAATAACTATACCTTTTTTTAATATATCGATAAAAACTTTAGAATTTTACCTTTATTATTAAAAATTATCATTATCTTTATCTTAAAAAATATCTTAAAGTAATAAAATAATAAAATAATACATTATAAAGTATAAACTATTAAAGGAAATTAAAATAATATTATTTATTACCTTAATAACCGGAAATTAAATAGATTAAAGATAATTAAAATAATAAAAAGATAGCATTAACCTTAGGATTTAAAATAAACTAATATTTAAAGGCTAAGTTAAATTTGTTTATAAAAATCTAAAAATTTATAGTTAAATATAACTTTAAAACTTGATTACTTATCCTATTTATTTATTACTATTTTTTAAATAAAGAGAATTTTCCCTTCTTTATATAAAAATTTAAAAATAAATAATAGTTAAAACTCTTTTATAAAGACTTTATTAATTATAATTATTAGTTATAAATATTACTATTACCTACTTTACTATTATAATTTTTATTATCCCCTTTACTTAAAAAAGTATTATTAATCTTTATATTTAACAATATTAATAAAATTAATTTGTTCGAATTAAAAGTTATTACCAGATCCCCATTATTAAAAATATCTTTATTATTTTTAAAATAAGCAACATTTAAATACATTAACATTTTAAATAATAACAATTTTAACAAATTTATATTAAATCTATCTACTTTAAAAGATAACATTTTAAATAATAATACCCTATATTAATTAATCTTTAAAATAAGTTAAAATAAGTAAAGAAATTAAAATTAGCTTTTTATCCTTTAATTAAATTATAATATTTAAATCCCTATTTAAATACTTTAAATTTAAAAAAGAGATAATTAATTATATTTATATAATAGGATATATTAATTACCTATTTAAAAAAGTTAAAGAAAAATAACCTATTAAGATTAAAAATATATTAATTGGAGCTACTTTATATAAAGCTTAAATAGATTAAAGGATTATATAGTAAAAAGTATTAAGCTATATTTAAAGCCACTATAGAAAAAACGTATTTAAAGTTATTTTAAATTATAAAATATAAAAGAAGGATATAAGCTTAAAGATTATTATAATAAATATTTAAAATTTAATTAAAGAAAAATTTAAGCTAACTAGTAATTTAACCTTTTAAAATCTATTAAATAAATAGTAAACTATTTCATTAGCTATAAAAGGATTAGTTTTAACCCTTATAGCTAAGCTAAGGTTAATACGATCAGATTTTAAAGAGTTAAATATAAAAACCTATATTTTAAATAAGTTATTCCTCCTTATAAGGTTTTTATCTAGCTTTAATAATAAATATTTAACATTTATTTTAACCTTTTTTTAAATAAATTATATTATTATTGTTCGAAAAGCATTAAAGGAAAAGATAGTAAAAGGAGCTACTTTTTAACTAGCCTTAATAAAGGCATTATAAAAAAAGTAAACGAAAAAGATAGCTATTTAAAACTCCACTAATACTTCCCTCCTTTTTTAATAATATAATTAAAATAAAAATAATAATAAAGGAAATAATTAAAATAATTGTTAAAAGAAATAAAAAGCGTTTAAGGTAGGATATTATTATTGTATTACTGCTAGTAAAAAGAATATTAACTATAATAATAACAAATATTTTTTCGAACATTTAAAAAAGGCTCCGGAATAATAGAATAATAATAAAGGAAATAAAAGATTTAAACTAAATAGTAATAATAATAATAATAACCTAATAATTAATAATAATGTTAACGTTGTTACGTTTGCTATAACTAATTTATTATTGTTAATTTAACCTTTAAATCTAATATTCTTTGCTATTAGAGATAATATCGAATTAATGGAAGAGTTATTAAGTTAAAAGCTAGGTATCCTAAGTTAAATGTTTAATGGCTTTAAATAAATAAAGGAATTATACCTTAAACAAGCTTAACTTAAAGGTAATTAACCTAAAGAAGTACTAATATTAACTAGTATTATACTTTAAACGTTAATAGTAATAATCCTTTTAAAATTAAATTTTAAGAAAGCTTTATTAGAAGTTAACTTTTTAAATCTATTAAAGTTAAAAGTAGAAGAACTTATAAAGCAAATATTTAGCTGTATTATTTTTAATAGTGGTTATAGTTAAACAAACTTTAATAATAGAATATTGTTTATTAAAACTTATCCTTATAATGGATTATTTATTTATAAAATAGGGGGTATAATAGTAACCCTTAAGTGGATAGGAATTGTAAAATTTCCTATAATTATTAATAGATGAATTAAAATAGTTATTATTTACGATATTATTTATTGCCCTAAAATGGGTGCTAATTTAGTCTTTATTGCTTAATTAATAAAAAAGGGAGTTAAATTTCTATTCTATTAAAATAAGGTATAGGTAGCAATAGGAAAATATACCTTTATAATTATAAAGGAGTTTAAAAGATTATATATAATCGATTAATTAAATAAAAACCTTTAAATAGCTACTTTTAATATTACTTTTTATATATACTTTATTAATTTTATCTTAAAAGTATAGTATAAATAATTTAAATATATAAGTAATAAAGAAATTAGGGAATTAATAGAAATAATAAAAGGATTTACTTTTTAAACTAAATATTACTTTTATAAAGTATATATAAATAGTAAAATGCAAGCTTTACTTTATTAAAGGAAGTTATTTAAAGGAACCTACTTTATTAAATTACTTTATTTTAATAAGGTTAATATGCTTATAAATATATTATAAGGTTATAATAGCTTAATAAAATGGTTAGCTATTATTTATAACTTTATAGGAATGGTTTAAGCCTTAATATTATTTAAGCTAAATAATTAGTTTATAAAATTTAAGAATTTTTTATAAAAGTAGGAAAGGCTTAAAAGAAGATGTAAAATAATTACCTTAAATAAATTAGGTTTTTATATAAATAGAAATTTCGTTAATTATTATATATTAAAAGGCATTATTATTCATTATACAATAATAGATTAATATTAATAAAATGGAAAATTTAAACAAACTATATATACCTTAAAGGACCTAATAAGATTATTATTAGCTATTATTGAAAAAAAGGAAATACCTTTAAAATATTAGCCTATCTTTATTAAAATTACAGCCTTTATCCGGAATAGAAAATAATTTAAGAAATTAAATATAATACTTTATAAAAATTAATACGAAGAAGAACCCAATATATATAAAATAGTAACCTTCGGAGTAAGGGGAAAATATAAGCTATAAATAAAATAAAGTATATTTAAAAATATAATAATGGATTGTTTTATATTAGGATACAAAGAAGAAAGTACTACGATTAAAAAAGTCTTTTATTTAAATAATTATTTAGTTATAAATGCTTATAATATAATCTTTATAGAAAAATACCTATATGTTTTAATAAAGGATACTAAAAAGATTATTATAATTATAGCTAAAGAAGTAAAGAAAAAGCAAAAAATATTATTACTACTAAATTATTAAAAAAGATGTAAAATAATTAAGGAAGAAAGGGACTTCCCCTTAATTTATTTCTAGCTTAACCTTTAGATATATATATATTATTAATATATATTAAAGTACTATTAGGCTTTAAATTAAAAGATGAATTTATAAAAAATAAAGAATAGTATCCTTTTATACTATGCCTTAAATTATTAAACTTTAAATTAGGAAGTTTAATTAAAGAAATTCTAGGTAACTATTATAACCTATAGCTTTAAATATAAGCTCCTAATTAACTTTACTATGGTTTATAAGCTTTATTACCCTCCTTTAAGTTTATTATTATAGCTTTATTGTTTATCTTTTTAATAATAAAAATAAAATTAAAGAGTTATAAATAAATAAAAAAAGATATTAAATAGTTTAAATGGTATAAAGCTATAGGAGTAGAATATTAATTCCTAATTAATAATTAAACTTAAAAACTTTATAAACTATTTATTAAAAAATCCTTAATAAGTAGAAAATGGGTATATAAAATTAAACGAAGCTTAAGCGGTAAGATTATTAAATATAAAGTATAATAGGTTATATAAAGCTTTAAATAAATATCTAAAGAAGATTATAATAAAACATTTATATTTATAGTAAAATTAATAAGCTATAAAGCTATTTTTATTATTACTATAGCCTTTAACCTGGAAATCGAATAAATAGATGTGAAAATAGCTTTTTTTTACAGCAAAGTAAAAGAAGACATTTACGTTTAATAGCTATCTAAATTTAAAGATAAAATTAATAAGGTTTATAAATTAAATAAAACATTATATAGTTTAAAGTAAGCACTTTAAATTTAATATTAAACTTTAGCTATATTCTTAAAAACCTTTAGCTTTAAACTATTAGATTTTAATATTAGCGTTTTTATAAAAGGATATATTTATATTACTATTTATATAAATAATCTATTAATAGCTAGCCCTTTAAAGGAAGAAATTACTAAAATTAAAAAAGCTTTATTTAATAAATTTAAAATATAAGATTTAAAACTATATTCTTTTTACTTAAGTATAGCTATTATATGAAATAGGAAAAATAAAAGTATTAAATTAAGCTAAAAGGCTTACCTAGAAAAGATTATTAAGGAATTGGGTTAATAAAAAGTATATATTATTATTATACCTATAAATATTAATAAAATTCTTAAGTTAATAAATAATTATAAAGCGTTAAAGGAAGATATATAATAATACGTAAAAGCTATTAACTATTTAATATATATTATATTTAATACTTAATTTAATATTATATATACTATTTTATATTTAAATAAATATATAAAAAATCCTACTTTAATATATAATAAAGCTACTTAATAAGTCCTATAATACCTTTATAGAATAATTAACTATAAGTTATATTATTAAGGCAAACTATAAAATTTAATAAATTGGATTAATGTTAATTAGGCTAATTATATATAAACTAGGTGGTTAATTATAAGGTATATTTTTAATATTAATAATAGTATAATTAGTTGGAGTTTAAAAAGGTAATAAAGTATAGCGTTATTTTTATATAAATTAGAATTAATAGGCTAAATATAAGCTATAAAAGAAATAATATAGTTAAAATATTTATTTTTAAAGCTAAATGCTTATAAAAAATAAATAATAATTATTATTATTTATAAAAATAATTAAGAGGCTATAGTTATAATAAAAAACCTTTAATTCTATAGTAAAATGAAGTATATTCCTATTTAATAAGCTTTTTATAGGGAAGCTTCCTAAAAAAAAGATGTTAAATTTTAATAGATTTATATATTTAAATAGATAATTAATGGTTTAATTAAACTATTCCTAAGGGATAAATTTATTACCTTTTAAAACGCATTAGGTTTTTAATTATAAAGTAAGTAGGAGAATTATTAAATTTTACCTTTTATTAATTAAAAACCCTATAATAAGCTAAGACTTTAACTATATATATTGAAAAAAGCTAAAATAAAATAAATACCTTTAACCTTAGCTTTATAAATATATACCTTTTTTAGGACTTATATAATTTATTTTAACGGAACTTTTACCCTTTAAAGTACCTTATTTTAAAGGACTTAAAATATTTTAATACCCTATTAACTAGCATTTAATTAATTTATACTTTAAATGTTAATGTTATTAAGCTTTCCATTTATTTATAAATTAATTAATATTAGAAATGATAAAAACGATTAATATTATTACCTATAAAGTAGTTAAATGGGTTACCTTATAGGAAGATACCCTAAGGGGGTAAAATAATTAATATTAGGGCCTTTACCTTAAAAAGAATATATAAAGATAAAGATTATAAAAAAAATATATTTAACAATTTTATCTATATATTTAAATATATTAAAATCCTTAAAAATATTAATAATATGGTTACGGGAACTATTAAGGCTACTTTAATTATAATTATAATTATTAAGCTTGCCTAAATTGCTAGACTTACCTTTATTTAAGTTATCTAAATTTCCGATAAACCTTAAAGATCCGCTATTAAATTTAAAAACATTTAGAATAAACATTAAAATATTTTTATAATAATTCTAATTATAAGAAGAATTACCTTTAATATTAAACTACCCTAAACTTTGTTAAAGGTAAAGAAAACTGCTATATATTTACTTATAAATTATCTCCTTTTATAATAAATAAAATTAAATAAATTAATCCAATTATATATTAAATATAAATAATAAAAATACCTTTAAATACTTTATAGAAGTATTGAATATTAATAAAAGCAACTTTAAAATTATAATATTTAATATTCCAAATAAGCTTATTATAGGAAACTAATAGGTAAATAAATAATAGTACATCTTTTTTATCATTATTATTAAATTAAAAGAAGCAAAAGGAAAATATATTTTAATTTAAAACTATAATTTATTATTTACTTTATTTAAGTTAAAACGATAAAAAAGGATACTTTTTAAGAAATAATAAGCATTTGTTAAATACTTTAAAATTAAATGAAAGATAATTACAGTAAAGGTTTAATATAATATAGACTTAAATAAAGAAAGCAAGGATAAATATCTTCCAAAAATACTGTTAAAACTATTTAAATAAGTTAAACTTAAAGACCTACCCTATTAAGGAAAAAAAGATATATGCTTTAAAAACTATATATAACTTTATATATAATAAGGAACAGTTATAAAATAAGGTTTACGATAGCTTTAAAAATGTATATAGTTCGAATAAGAGTATTAGAATTAGGAAGGCAGGGATGGATAATCCTAATAGCTGGTACTTCGACCCACACATACTTTACTATATAAACAAATGTACCACCCTAACCTATAGTACCTAGACTTAGTTCCTTAATGCAATATACAGTATTTCCCCACCTACAGTACTATTTACACTGTACTATTTCAACTGTCTCTTGGAACTGACGATTCTGAAATTTAGATTTGTCAAGAACTACAGCGGCTCCCGGAAACGAGCGCCTGAGTCTGCCTTTTGTGGCCATTATTGCCTCATCAGTAGGGGAGACTTCGAAAACTTCGAAAAACACCTGGTTCTTCGCTCTGCTGATGAGAACTCCTGCATTTTGCTGCCGAACATAAAGAGGTATAGCAGCATCTATTTTCCGTTAACTAGCGAACATCGCAATTGACACAAGATACTTACCCTCGGTGAGCTCTGTGAGCAACCGTAGGACTTCATTCTCGTTCAGAGAGCCATCCACTGCCGAGTAAGCCTGCAGCATATTACGTATTGTGGATATGGCTGCGTCGGCTTGACCATGACAAGCAGATTCGGTACAGTTCCTCCACGCGATTAGCCCGTCTATCGTAACAGATAGCAGGGACGTTTCGCATCGTGAGCTGTAGTCCTCGCGCTGCGGCAGCTTGGGTGGTAGGAAGATATGGTTGAAAATGTATATCAACGTGCTAGTATCCGGAGCCATGTTGAAAATCAGGGAGTCTTGTAGCTGTGATCAAAATGCGGCGGAAGCGAAAAGGCGAAGGAGGAGTAACGGCTTGGGTAAGGAAATGCAAGCTGTTCTTCCTTAAAGATCGTGTATTCGCCATAAACTTGACTCTTCATTTCATGGGAAGGATGAAGTAAAAAAAAAAGAAAAGAAAAAAAAGACGAGCGAAAAAGGCAAACATGGGGATAAACATAAGAAAGCCAGCTTTGCCAGCTGGTGTGGGAAATTTAGTCTGGCGTGCTGCACAAACGTATATGCTATGTTGATTTGAGGTTCCCACCGTGTGTGACTTTGAATAATCCCCTTCCCCTCCCCAGGCAGCACAGTCATACGCTCTCACAGCCTTCCTATGTAGGTAGTTAGCTATGTCTCAGGCCGCGTGTAGTACTCACCTCCCAATACTAGAGGGCCGCATAGAAACGGTATTCAATCCATGGCTGGGTAGCGTGACCAAATTGAGGCCAAACGGACGAGTGATGCATCGTAACTTGCAGCTCTTGCATAGAAACCTCCAGGACTGGCTGGAAGCTCTGGCATTTGACAACGCTATCCCATATACGCCAAATAAAAGACATGATTACGAATATTCCCATGTTATCTTATGTGGAAGTGTGCCTCCAACCTAGGTAGGTAGTACCTTAAGTACCTATGTAGGGATTTATGGTATTGAATAGCTGGTGGAAGAGTCGCGTACAGGTAGGTGGGTAGCTAGTACGGTAGGTACTTTAGCGACCTACTGCATACCTAAGCTACCTAGGTACTGATAGGGGGCTAGTACTCAGTAAGCAGGTGCCAGCCTCAGTACCTATTCAGGTACCTAACAGTGCTGTCAGGTGGCCTGTATGCTTATCAGCAGCTATAAGCGTCTCCCAGCTGCTAGCCACCTGTACCTTAAGTAGGTAGTGACAATTCTGCCTCAAGCACCTCACAGAACATCACAATATCTTCTCGTTTTACTCAATTCTCCCTGTCCATGGATTACAGAGCACTTCAAATATTTCTCAATGGCACAGGCCTCAGTTTGGGAATCGTTTGTATGCCACACTCGAGTCACTAGCAGAGTTCGATCCCATCCCGCACAATGCTACTCTACAACGTGTTGCTAATGTACCGGTATAGTTAAACGGGTACAATTCAACAGACCACGCTTCACGCCGTAAATATATGTCGCATTACGAACTTGAAATCCCTCTAGAATTGTTTTAACCGCGAACTGCGATAAGGCAACGCCAAGCAGTCGACACCGGGATCTTGGAGAGCAGAAGTTCCATGGAACTGCCTTGAGTTCAGCAACCAGAAGAGTGAAGCAAGCGCCGCGTTGCTGACAGGCCTTCGCATACCTAGCAATGAGCTACTTTATAGCTTACTAAACGTCATCTTCCATTGAGGGTGTCAAGGCTAATCCCAGGCGATCAATGTGATGAAGAGGTCTGCATAATCGCAGAGGTGTGCGAGCGACAGTGCACACTCATCTGATAACACTACCAACTATCTCTATTCAGACACGCTGAGCGCGCTAGCATACAACCCCTGCTAGCCCAGTAGAAACGATCTTTCGAAATGAGGCTACTGAGGCCCCGCCAAATTCTAGGCATACTGGGGGAGGGATGGAGGAAGTGATCCGATTAGATCATGTGGAATTCGGCAGCCGTATTAATAGATACTAGTTCAAAATATACTTAACGTGTTTGATCTGATTCACAGATGTGAACAAGGCAGAACGGCATAGAACACCTATTGAATGATAGTGAGTGGCCTATTGAGTAGTTGCAGCAAGCTCCGAGTGGCGAACCTTGCACATGTGCCAAACCTAGAATCGCATATGTGTTTCTTACAAGTAAATACGTCATCAACATCCACCTCAAGGTAAAGCTCTAAAACTCTATCATTTTACTAGATTAGGCAGGTTGCGGGCTCCCTGATTGTGGGCGCTCTTCGGCCCGAGCCGAACGACAACCTTAGCTGCATGCAGTTTGACCATAAACACAATCCAGGACCCTCTGATTTTTTGGATTTTTTTTCCTCTGAAAAAAAAAATTCAAGTTATTAAAGATGCAAAATGGATGAATCTACGTGAACCTTAATTGACCGCAAGCTTGAAGCTTTTCCTGCGCACCTTGTAAAAGACTTTTCATCATCCGGATTCGTAAGTCGCCAAAACTCTACCTTAACCATTCAAAAAGCTTGGTAATAGCGTATCATCAATGGTTCATTAGTCCTAACATGTTGATATACACTCGTTGTATGCATGTTTACCCACGGAGAAGATATCTCACGGGACGTATTGAATTGGATCTTCAACTGCTGAAGACAGGGTCATGTACATTGCTTCAGGAGTGGCCTACATGCGTCTGACAGCTTGCCGGTTCAGGGAGGCCCCTAATACCTAGGAGGCGATGATACGTAAAGTGGTTGCAAGCATCTATATCGGGATGAGAATGCCGACACTGCCCCAACGTCTAATGTTCGGGGGGGGAAGGGGGGGTTTTCTTTTTTTTTCTGGCCCTTTTTTCGCTTGGTTCGAGTAGAGACTCAGTAGGATCATCTGGCAGGGGAGTAGATTCCACACCACCTACAACTACTGACAACAACCTTTCGTGGGATCAAGGTGGCTAGCCAAGAGCTATGTATTGGTATACAGAGTTGAAGGTTGCATGGAGTATATATATTCTTTACCATGGTAATAATATATACTCACATCATTTACGACGGTTGCACATACTTTGAACATACGTTCCTCAGTGGGCGTAGACTTGCTTTGCTGCACCTAATTTAGAGCTAACCAAGCTACGAGACAAACTTTCTGGTGACCCTGTTAATCTAATGTATATTCGTACCTCGAGGATCAGTATATATTAGGTCACCGTTCATTCTCCATCTGAAGTTTCCATAGTTCTTCCTCGTATGATCTATAAACACACATGCGACTTCTTTTACTCACTATTAAACACGGAACCTATCATTCACATTTGCTCAGCACTAGCTGTAGGTAGCTCTAGCACAATTAAAAAGAGAAAAAGCTCTGTCCTCATACCGTCTAACTTTGGCTACGATTCGGTCACCAAACTTTCTACAGATCAGTTCTCGCACTCCGCCGCCTTCTAACTGCCAGATACCTTCGCCCACTAGTTCAAATATGCCAACCATTATGCCCTTCAGCCCCTTCCCTCACCATGTGGCAGCTCTAGCAAATCTGCTAGAGCTAAATGAGCAACACCCAACTCCCGACCCTACCATCAAGGAAGCCACTGACGAAATGCTGAATGCTGCGCCTGATGTAGTATTCCATTTTTGTCCCCATCCATCCAAGGACTATGGGTTGCACCACCAAGACTGGGTTGCCTGCCTAAAGGTCGTATGCCCTGACGTCCCTCTCTTAATGCGCAAAGGCTTTCATTGGGACCGAGTTACTGTTATAAACAAAGACAGCTATACCAAGCGCAACTCAACAGGTTGGTACCCGGAAGGCGAGCAAGCGCATTTTCCAGACAAGATGAATATGAGGGTGTACTATCTTTCGGATAGATGCCCACAACGTTGGGTTGGGCACCTTATGGTGGGCGCGGTGGATAATAAGCACCTAGCCAACTTTAACCCAAGCCATCTCTCTCCAGAAAATAACATACTCGCATGCGCATGGGATGCAAATAGGCACATGATCTATGGAAACATGGTCCAAGGCAACTCCATTCTTGCGTTTAACACCGTTTATGACAAAATGTTGCCTTTGGGCGACTTCTGGCCTCGGCCGTCAAAACAAATTAGTAACGGTACATCTCGCGTGGGTCATATCCATGAAAGTATCAGCGAGGTCGTTTCGGAAACATCGCAAGCGAACAATTTCCAGGATACAAGTCGATCGGGGGAAAGCCCTGCAAGCACTGAAGCGGTCTCGACCATGCCTCCAGAGATGTCACTCAACGGCGAGAAATGAATAGAAGAGAAGGAAGAGTGGGTTGAGGTTGACAGTCCGAGGCCACTTTCTGATGAAAGGGGTAATGAGAGCCCAACTTGAGTTGAGTCTCACTAACGTGGCGAAATGAGATACAGAGGAGGCTAAAAGGACACCACGTTGAAATGATTATGCAGGTTTGCAGTGGCCCTCGTTGTAAGCATCATTTCTACAGCTGGCGGGAGACGATATACTAGGTATCACTAGGCAGGGGTAGAATTACCCCGAAGGAGCGGAGACAGCTTAGGAGCTAAGTACATGAGGTTTAAAAGTCCCCCTACACCACTTGGGATAGTCAGAGATCACTACCATCGAACCCTTACCCTTATATTCGATTATCTGCCATCTAGGTGCTATCTAGCTGTGGCGTAACCTCACTCCGGCGATACATAGTTAGGATAACAATACAATGATGCGCTCATATTATCCTCATCTGTGATGATTATTAGTAAGATCCTAGAGCAGGAAGTCTTTACAGTTGTGACTGAAGTCATGCAACTGCACCTCAATTCGGCAGCAGCAGTTCGCAGTCTGCATCAATTCAGATTCTACGGATAGGTACTTCTTAAGCAACGCAACGTCTAACGCCACAATTATCTTGCGAGACGGTCATTCTATTAATACTACCTATGAAAAGTTGTAGATACTATGGCATTATAAAAAGAGAAAAGGAAGCTTAGAGATGCGACTTAGATGCATGATGACTAGTAGATCGAAGATCTAAGAAGATGAAATTGGGGAGTCGGCATTATGTCTAATTAGTCTGGTTTTCAGCTCCCAATCTTAATACAATCTTGAGTTATTATAATTCAACTGGAAACTTCGCTCTCAACCTTTCCCCATACTTATAAAAGAGGAATGGAACGGGCACGAAAGCTAAAGCAAAGAAAGCCAGCACACTGTTTCCCCAACCGAGACCTAAAGAAGCGTACAATGGTGGCCCCGTAAGAGGTAAGAATGCCCCGAAGAGACTACGCAGAACGGTATTTACCGCTAGAACCGAAGCGGCTGACTCAGGCCCGAAAGCATCCACGAGATACAGCTGCCCCGGCAGCAAGATAAGGAGAGACCCGAGGCCAATTACCAATGTCCCCAGTATGGGAACAATCCAGTGGTTATAGCACCGTGCACTCCAGCCGTACCAGAAGAAGCCAATAGGAACGACGGGGGAAGACCATATCATCAGGATAAGGCGGAGCTCAGGCCGTGCAACAGCTCCTCCACGTGGCTGGTGAAGGAGCTTGTCGCTTAGCATGCCAAAGAGACCGATGCTAATGATCATGCCAACTCCAAGTCCGAGGTATAAAAGTCCTGAGATGCCTGGACCAAAGTCGTATTGCTTTTCAAATACAGCAGGGAAGGTAGTGAAGAGGATATAGGCCAGCCCAAACATGAAAGCGCCGTAGATGGATAGAAGGAAGACTATGAGTGAGAGGAATAGCAGTTTAATCGGCCGTACTATAGCGCGTGCGAGGCTCTGCCTCGGGGTTAGATTTTTGTTGTCAAACCGAGCATGGAAATTCGGGTTATTGGTCGACTTGCGTAACCTTGCGGCTCTACGCTTCAGGAGGACCGGCTCAAAGGTCTCCCACATTAGGGGTACTGCAAGCAAAGAGACTACTCCAGCCTAAATAATATTCGTATCAGAAAACTGTTCAGCCACCGTTGATACAGAACTAGGAGCTTACTATTATGAGAATTAACCAAAAAGTCCAGCGCCAGCCAAGATACTCGGCGACGAAGCCACCAATGACCGGGCCAATGACCGGACCTAGAAGTGGACCAAGCCCAAACATCGCAATCGCTTTTCCGCGCTCTTCGACATCATAGGGGTCGGCGACGGTACCTCCTCCAACCACCATTGGACCTGAAGCAGTGAATCCGCAAATGAAGCGGAACACCAGAAACATGGTGCTGTTGGTGCTAAGTGCACAGCCGATGGTGAAGCCTATGTACACGGTGTTGCAGATGTGGTAGATCGGTAAGCGACCATAAATCTCGGACATGGAAGCAAGAAGGAAGGGGCCGAACACATATCCTAGAATGTAAATGGAGACGGTTAATGTGGCCACGAACGAGCTGGTGATGCCAAACTCAGCGACCAGGTGCTGAGCTCCTGGAGCGAACATCAATGCCGCAAGGTTCCTGCCCCGTTTTGTCAGATATTGCGTGAACGCAAAACGATGCATTCCTCATGAATTATACTTGCGCGTATAGAGTGAAAACACTGATAAGAGCAACATGTGTCAATTTCGTCGCCTTGTTCCAGTTTCTGGGGTTCGCTGGGTCGCTGGGGCTCTCCCAACCAACAACTTCATGAGATTTCGCCTTTGAAGCCGTAGTTGACATTTTGAAAGTCGTGCTCAGAGCTATGCTTGAACTGACTAGTTGAGATAGGGGAAACCAACTTGCTACGAGGGTGAATAAGTACTTGTTAAGATGTTAACAAGTTACGGTCTTCGATATTGACTTCGTGGTCTTGAAAGTATGCCGAATTAAGAGAGTCTAAATACGAGGATCTGGGTGTTATTATGAGTAAAATTGAAAAAGGGGATCCAATCCGTAGAAAACGAAAATAAGGCCGAAGTGAACAGAGTGTGGCTACATCCGCGGACCATCAGTTACCGTCAAGTATCACTCCGTTCGGGCCATTCCCCCGAGATCTACCGACCGTCCGAATCATCGGAAATAGGCCTAGTAAAGGGGTATCTACTATTTTCAAGTTACGAGGAAACATATCGTTATTCGTATTATGAGATTCCTATTTAATGATGGTTTGAAGTTTCCGCCAAATCTTTAACGGCAGTTTTGGGTTGACTTACAAGACGTTGGTGAGCATACTACGTCTCATACTTGCCTGATATTTCCATAGCATAACCCAACCCCGAATGGATGCCCTAAAGAGTGCCGTAGATCTATCGTTGTTATGTCTCCTTATTTTACCGATTTATGATACTCTTGTTGGTTTCTTCTAAATCATGTGCATGCATGTGGCGCAGCGCCGCGATGCTCCGACGCAGATTCCGCCTCGGCCATATCGGTAGTTCCCCCGAACGTATGATCATCCTACCCATCCCTTTGGCCTTCGAAATACCACCATATTGTTATAGGCAAACTTTTCCTGTAATCACATGAAATTATTTATTCTAATTGGTTTCGATTCCCTGTCTAGTTTGGCGCTTCGAAAGTCAATTGGTCCCCAGCGGGATAGTACACCATTGTGCCTAAGTATCTTGTCGCATATAACGCCTCCGAATGTTTGCGATCTAACAACGTCGACCACATGAGCATTAAATCCAGTGCGTTGACCGTAATAATTAATGTCAACTAACAACACTCCACGGAGCAGCAGAACGGGACCAGCCCCAGGTCTTACGATGGCTAACACTAACACTTCAAGCGAACGACTTCGCCCGACTTCCCCGAAGCGCCGGGACAAACCTCAGCTGAGCTGCAATGCTTGTCGGAGAAGAAAGTGAGTGTTTACCGCATTACCATGTGCTGTTTTGTCGCTAGATCATTATCTAATGTCAACATGCTACATTCTGAGCTAGATTCTGATCTATGTTCCCCAGGGTACGCTGTGATCGCTTGCATCCATGTACCAGCTGCTCTAGCAGGGGGCTTGGTTTGTCTTGCACTTATGCACTTCGTCCTACTGTGTACGACAAGCCGTCGCTAGGCCAAAATCATGGAGCGGCTGCCAATATGCAGGAACGTATTAACCAGCTGGAGAACCTCGTGCTGGGCCTCATGCACCAGACTACGTCGAGTTTCGATGGCCAGCACTCTCGCTCAGGTCTATTATCAGCGGAACTAGTATCTGATAAAACTGCTGTCGCCGCATCCGGAACTCAGCATGATACCTCGCCAACACTGTCTGAACATGGCAGCATCAGGATTCAACATACAGTTATCAGTTATGTCAGCAGTTCGCACTGGGCTGCTGTACTCGATGGGATCACCGATCTCCGAAATTACTTCGCACAAGAAGAAGACCCTCATACTCAAGCCTCCGATCCCGTCCAGCCCCTGGTCGGCTTTCCCAAGCCCCAGCTATTCTACTCTGGCCTTAAGTGCGAGACTTCTGCCTCAATTTTGAAGTCACTGCCGTCTCGGCCTGTTGTAGATAGATTAGTCTCTCGATACTTCAATATCCTCGACATAGCTCCCGGTTCGCTACCTAAATTTCCCATTTCCCCTGAAGAGCGCTAACCAATTTTCAGGTGTCGTACATAGCGGTCAGTTCCTCCGAGAGGTACGTACTACCAGTCGCCTACTAGCAAAATCTGATGATTCCACCCCATAAAACTGAGTTATCTTCTTGGGCAAAAACAAAAGGCTGAAGGGAAACTATAGTACGAAGAATTTTGGAAAGCACCACACGACACACCCATCATGTGGATTGGTCTTCTGTTTATTATGATGTGCTTATCATCACAGCTAAACCAGTCTTTCCTTAGTCCCGCCAATACCTCTACTTCACTCGGGCCGCCACTAGTAGCACCACAGGTCACCGAAGCCCAAATAACAGCAGAGAGATACAAAGAACAAGCGACACAATGTCTGTTACTAGGCCACTACACAAAAGGTGGACCTTACGTCTTGGAAACGCTGATACTCTACTTCTTAATTGAATGTTTCCACATTAAATCGATGGAGATTGGCATCTGGGTCCTAGTGGGCAACATGGTACAGATTGCTATACACATGGGCTACCACCGAGATGCGAAACATTTCTCAAATATCTCGCCTTTTGCTGGGGAAATGCGAAGACGTGTGTGGGCTATGATAGTTCAGCTAGACATGAGTATCTCGACGCAATTGGGACTCCCCAGACTGGTCAAAGAAAGCCAAACCACTACTGCCGAGCCGCGGAACCTTTACGATTCAGACTTTGACGAGCATACGGTCGAACTACCCGCTTCACGACCAGAAACAGAAGTGACACCTACACTCTACGTTCTGGCCAAACTCAGGCTACTCTCAGTAGGGGTTAAAGTTGCTGATGTTGCCACTGAGCCTCGTTTACACTCTTATGATGTGATCATGGGTCTTGATAAGCAGATCAACCAGGCTCGAGACGCGCTCCCGTCCAGTTTGAAATGGGGGAGCCTTGCATCGTCCCTCAATATCCCATCGCAGATGATCATTCAAAGAATCTGGCTAGAAGTAATTGTTCAGCAGCTGAAAATCGTCCTGCACAGGAAATTCATAGAACCATCCCGTCTTCACCAACAATATGGTCGCTCGAGATTTACATGCATTAGCGCTGCAATGAAGATTCTTGAGCTTCAGCGTCTCGTTGACGAGGAGACTCAGACAGATGGTTTACTGTACCAAAATCGCTGGAGAGTGTCTTCTGCGTTTACCAACGACTTCCTTCTAGCTACAAGTATACTATGCTTCTGTTTCAAAGCCCACGTTGATAAACAAAAGGAACAGTTGAAAAACTCCGAAGACGTAGAGATTGAGACAGTGGACATGGAGAAGATTAGACAGTTGTTAAAAGCTTCACACGACATCTGGAGCCGGCAATGCGATAGTTCTAGAGAGGCTCGAAAAGCTACTGCGGCCCTTCGTTATGTCTTAGGCAATTCGAGGATGAGATTTGAACCTCGGATCTCTGAGGACGCACTACCAAGCCCACTTTCGCCCGAAACCGCCTCTCCCTTTCCAGGTATCCTTTAACATCCCTTTGCAATCCGTTGATTAAGAAGATGCCGAGAACTAATAGGCTTTTCAGGCTTTATGCAGGAATATGATTTCCTTAACTTCGAGTTTGAGAATACAAATGAGGGGGCCATATGGCCAGTGTTCACATCAGCCGGCAACGATAATGTTGAAGAGGGGGCAGGGGTTGGTGGTTCCCATGATATGGACACGTTATCGTAGATGGGCTCTCTTTAAGGAGGAAATAATTTTCTTTCCCTTTTGTAGGCGGTTCACAAGTGTGCCCTTTATCAGTTAAGGAGAAGCAGCAAGCGAGGATTACCTTGAGGCTGTACGAAGTGTAATAGAAGTGAATCGGTGCCGCCTTCACCAGCGATCAGTTGATGGTTATTCAGATGAGCCTAAGTCTAAAGTTACACCTTGTGATTACGCCTAGGATGTATACACGATTTCCGCAACTGTTACACGGCTAAGACTTCAGAACCGAAGATAACCAATACTACCCCTAGAGGAAAGTGAGGCTATAAGCGATTGGATAAGGACAATCTATTAGCTACAAGAAGACCAACAGTTAAAGCATAAATGCCTAACAGACAAAAGGGAGTCACAGATTATATAAGGCTTAAATAAGCATAAATAGCTAAGGAATCTCCCTTTCTAAGAGAAAGAGAAAGAGAGATTAAGGCCCTAAAGATCCCTAATAGATTATTAATAAATATGACTAAGTTCTAAGCCCTCTATAAGAGCCCTTATTACAGATAATCTACTATCCTTCTTTAGGATACTCCGACATAAGCCCAAACCTCCGCCTAACGGATAAGCTCTAATAAATTCCCCCCCACACATACAGTATTATCTTAAACCCAAATCCCTATAAACATAGGATTACTCTAATAAAATACTTCCCCTACCTTTATTAAATAAAAGGTATTTTAGGAAAGTTTATACTTTATATCCAATAACCTAAATATTATACGTTATAATCCTAATACTCCTATCTAAAAAGTAGGAAGTAGCTAACGAATTCGTTAACCTAAGGCCTTAAACTTCTTTAAAATCGCAAACATACCCCAACCATAGGACTCCAACTCCAATTTTTACTATCCTAATAAAGACAGCTTAAACTTTAACTTCCTAAAATCCCCCTTATTATATAAAAATCGTCCTAAAAATAAACATTAATTAAGCTACCCACCTTTATTACCTTATTGGACCTAAGAGCCCAAGACTAAGGATATCCTACCCCTTAATAATTTATAAATAGAATTAAAACATATAAAGGTATTAAATAAATATTCCATTAACCCTAATTAAAATTTAACCTTTACCTTTAAATAAGCTATATCCCTTCTATTATTACTTATTATACTTAAACCCATTTATTTTAGTTAAATTATATCCCTTTTTCCAAAAGGACTACTTCCTTTAAAAGACTTATTTAAATTTATTAATTAATTAACTTCGTAATAAAATCCTCCCATTATAACCCTTAAATTAATATTTAAAGCTATAAAATTTACCCTTTATAACCTAATTATTTATAAAAATATTAAAAATATAAAAATAAAATATATAAATATAATAATTTAAAACCTTTTATAATAAGTTATAAATATTTATAATTATATAAGTAAAACCTTTTAAATAGCTTAATTCCTATAAAAATATAAGTAAAAAATGCTCTTCAAATAAAAGGAAGTACTTTAAAATATATATATTACTATTTATAATATATATAATACCTTAATTAACTTATATAAAATAAATATATAAATAATTTAAAAGTAAATAGAACATTTTTAATAAAAAATTATATAAAAAAGCATTACCTTTTTTTAAAATATATAGGGAACTATTATATGCATTATATAAAATACCTAATCCTAAATTAACACTATTAACTAGCTTAAAAAGGTAATAGATTACTATTATTAAACCTTTTAAACTTTTTAAAGTAAACTTATTAAATAAAAAGCTAACTATTAAAAAACTTAAAGGGTTATAAATAATTAAGCTAATATAATTAAAGGATAAATTAATTAACTTATAAACTATTCTATTATAAACCCTAATTAGGTTAATAAGCTATAAATCTATACTTAAGTAACAATTTAAAAAATTTAAAAATAATTAAATAAATAAATTATACCTAATATAAACTAAATCATTAAGAAGTTAAAAAAGTATAGCATTATAATTAGCTTTATTAATTATCCTATTATAAAGTACTTATTATTAAAAGCTATTTTATAATAATAAATTAATAATAAAATATTATAGGTAATAAGGGCCTAATTAGTTACCCGGGCCTTTTAAGCTTAATATATAATAATAAAAATTTCCTTAAAAGTCCTTATTAAAGTTACCCCGCTATTAAGGGATAACTTAAAGGGAAACTTTAATAGCTTTAATAATAATAATAACCCCTTTAAGGGATAACCTTCCTATAGTCCACTTAAAGGACTACCTTAAAAACTACTTTAAAACCTTAATAAAGAACCTAAAGGAAATTTAAATAATAATAATCCCTTTAACCCTTTTATTAATAAATTAATATATACCTTCTTAGCTATATTTAAAAGTATTAACCCTATAATTATAATATTTAATCCTATTTAATTTAATAAGCCTTATACTTATAATAAAAAAAATACCTTTAAATTTTCTTTATAATAAGTTAAAGTTAAAAATTATATATTTATATATATAAAAAGTTTTCCCTTTAATAAGTATTATATTAATTAAATTAACTTCCTTATAATAAATAAAGCTTTATAATAATATTAATTTTATTAAAAATAAATCCATTATATTAATATTATTAATATTTAGGCAGCTTATTAAATAACTTTAAAAGCTTAATTTAAGGATCCTTTAATAATATATTAAAATGCTAATGCTTTTATAAAGGTAAAGTATTCTAGTAATATTACTTAATTCTTTATTAAAATCCTTAATTAAAATAATTTAATAAAATAATCTAGTTTAATATTTTAAACCTTTATTATTAAATGCTTACTATTTAAACTTATAAAAATAGTTTATTATAATTAAAGCTATATCTTTAAGAATAATAGTAAATTTTTTAATATAATTTAAAAAGTTAGCATTACTTATAAAAATATATTAATATACTTTAAGCTATTTTTAAAAGGTATGCTTAATTTAATAAAGGAATAATTAAAATTAAGCTATTAAAATTAAAGTAAAAAGAATTACTTTAATTTAAACTTAAATTAATCTTTAAAAAAGAATAAAGAAAGAAAACTTATTAATAAAAAGTTAAATAAACTTAAAATTAATCTTAAGGATAATTATTAGCTTAATATTATAGCTATATTAAAAGGGATTAATTAAATTACTATTAATAAATAAAAGTAAAACAAAATTAACTATTAATAATATAATAAAAGCAACCATTATACCCTTACTTATTATATTAAAAAGGATATTAATAGAAAAAAGCTTTTTTTAACCCTTAAAAAAACTTCTTTTATTAAAAGAAGGCTTAATAATAATATAAAACTATTATTTATAGTTAAATAAGTTAAAATTAATACTATTATTATAAAAGTAATTAATTTTATATAATATATAGAAATAAAGGAATTAGATTTAAATTTTTAATTAAGCTTTATAAAGTATTATATAGGAAACCCAGCCCTTAAAAAGATAACTTCTCTTATATTAATATAATTAAATAAATAAAAAATAAACTTTTTAAATTAACTTAAAAGAAGGCTAATTTAAAACTTAAAATAAGGTATAGGCTTATTATTCCTATAACCCTATTATATAATAATTAAAAACACCTAATTAAAGTATTTTTAAATATAAGTAGTACTATTTTTATAATATCCTTTTTAAAGGTTAAATAATAAAAACTATCTTTTATTAAAAAAATATATTTTAAACTTATATTAACTTTTAATATAATATATATATAAAAAGTAGGATAGTATTATATAAAATAAATTATTCTTTAATATTAGGAAAATTATTTTATAAGGTTTAACTTTAAATTAAATATCCTTAATAAAAATTATAACATTATTCTACCTTAATAATAAATAAAAGAACATTAACTTATATATTTTTTTAAAAATGTTGGAAAAATTATATTTATATTTAAATATTATTATAAAAATTATATTAGTTAAGCTATTTTTAACTTAAAGATTATTAAGGTTATAATAATTATACTTTAAATAGTTATTAAAGTAATAATAAAATAAATTCTTAAAGAATTTAAAAAGTTCCTCCTAATTATAACTAAAGTAGTAATATAATAATTGCCTAATTATTAGCTTTAAAATTATATAATTAACCTTATAAATAGGAAGATTTTACCTTAAGGACCCCTTTATACTATAAACAATTATAAATTAAATATATTTAAATTATAATTAAATAAAATATTTAAAATTAATTATATTTAAAAATTTATTATATTATATAAAGTACCTTTTATATTTATAAAAAAAAAAAACCTAAATAATTTATTATACCTTATTATAAATTATTAAAGCTTTAATACTATTATAATATTAATAAAGTATTTTATTTCCTTTATTATAAAACTTTAAGCTAGATTCCGAAAAGTTAAATAGTTTATTAAGATTAACTTAAAGTTTGAATTTTATTTAATTAAAATTAAAAAGGGCTATAAATAAAAAATAATATTCTATTATAAATATAAATTCTTTAAATATATAATAATACTTATAAAATTTATTAATATTTTTATAACGTTTTAATTTATAATAAATTATATCTTTTAAAACCTTATTAATATAGGATTATTTATATACTTTAATAATTTTTTAATCTATATAGAAATAAAAAAGGAATATAATAAAATAGTTAAAAAAGTATTATAATACTTTAATAAGTATAATCTAGCAGTAATACTTTAAAAATGTAAATAGTATATATATAAAGTTAAATTTTTTAAATATATTATTAATATTAATAACATTTTAATAGTTTAAAATAAAATTAATTATATTATTAAATAGAAAGTACTAATTACCTTATATAAGTTATAATAATTTATTAAATTTATAAACTTTTATTGAAAATTTATTAAAAAGTTTTTATTAATTATAAAACTATTAATAAATATAAATAAAATGGATTAATAATTATAAAAGTAAATAAAAGCTATAAATAAAGCCTTCTTTAAATTTAAATATTAGTTTATTATAATATTTATATTTATTTATTTTAACCCTTTTAAAGTAGTTTATATTAAAACTAATGCTTTTAACTTTACCTTTAAAGCTATATTATTATAAAAAGATAATAATAGTAAACTTTACCCCATTACCTTTTACTTCCGGAAGTTAATATTAACGGAAATAAATTATAAAATATATAATAAAAAGTTATTTATAATAATAGATAGATTTAACTAGTAATATTAATACTTAAAAGGTATTTAATATTGGATTAAAATTTACTTTAACTATTAGAACTTGTTATATTTTATAATAGTTAAAGTTTTAAATAAATAATAGGCCTATTAAGCGTAGTAACTATTAATGTATTAATTTATAATAAATTATCAACCTAGTAAATTAAACGAAAAAGCTAATATTATATTAAAATTAGCTTAATATTACTTTAAAAAAGGGGGGAATAAAGATTAATCAATTAAATTAGTTTTATAGGATAAACATTTTTTATATTTTAAAGGATTAATATTTAACTTAATAATATTTATATTATTAATATTTAAATAATTTTATAGCCTTTTTATATTTAAATAGCTATTAAAATTTATTAAGTTTATTAAAGAAGTAGTAAAGGATAACTTAAAGTATTATTTATAAAAGGATAAGCTTTTTAAGGATATAGAACTTATAAATAATTTATTATATAGGAAGAAATATTTATAAGTACTTATAGCTATATAATAAAAAGTAATAAGAATAAAATATAATATATAAATAGTTAGGTATATAAAAATGGATAAAACGTTGGAGCTTATTATAAAAAACTTTTAATAGTTTAATATTAAAGCAATTATAAAGAACTTTATATAAGGCTATTATACTTATTAATAAAATAAGGCTTTATAACATACCTTTTATAAATTACTTTAATTTATAAAGTTATATTACACTTTATAATAATTAATTATAATGGACTTTATTATTAATTTACTTTTATTTAATAGTTATAACTTTATTTAAATAATAATAAATCCCTTTATAAAAATAGGATACTTTATACCTTTAAAAGTTAAAGAAAAAAAAACTAAAAATCTTATTAAAATTTTTATTAAGTATTATTAAAAATTATATAATATACCTTTTAATATAATTTTTAATAAAAATTTTAAGTTTATAAGCTATTTATAAAAGGACTTTTTAAAGCTTATTAATATTAAACCTTATATAAGTATAGCTTTTTATCCTTAAATTAATAAATAAATAAAATAATTTAATTAAATCTTTAAAATTTATTTATAAATATTTATTAATTATAAAATGTCTAATTAGGAAAACCTTTTATTAATTATTAAATTTATATATAATAATACTATATTAGCTTTAATATATATATCCCCCTTTTATATAAATTATAATTATTATTTAATTATATATAACCTTTTAATAATATAACCTTATAACCTATTTAATAAACTATATACCTATTAAATAATATAAGTATATAAAGAAGTTAAAGAATAGTTAAAAAAGGCTTAACAATATATAAAGGAATAGGCGGACAAAAGATGAAGGGCTCTATTATAATATATTAAAGATTAATTAATAATATTAAATATAAAGAATATTAAAATAAAAAGACCTATTAAAAAGTTTAATAAAAAGATATTTAATCCCTTTAAAATTTATAAAATAATCTTACCTACCGCTATTAAATTTATATTACTTAAAAAATAGAAAATCTATAATTTATTTTACATTTTATTTATTAAACCCTATTATGCTAATAATTAAATATTATTTAACCTTAACCAGGTCCTATGGGAAGTACCCTTAATAAAATCCAAAGATTATTAAATAAAAGAAATTAAGGATTCCTTAAAAACCTAAAGGAATATAAAGTACTTAATTAAATAGGAAGGTTAACTAATTAAAAGGTATTAAACTTAGAAACCTTATAAATATATAAATAATGTTAGTATAAAGGCTTTTATTAAATAATTCTATTAATAAAATCCTAGTAAACTAATAAATCCCTAAATTATTATAACTTTAAACTTATAATTTACCTAAAGAGTTAAATTATATTTAAAATCAAGCATTAAAAAGGAGGAAGATAATATTATACAGCTAAAACTTTAAAACCGAAGATAATTAATACTACCTTTAAAGGAAAGTAAGGCTATAAATGATTAAATAAGAATAATCTATTAACTGCAAAAAGACTAACAATCAAAGTATAAATGCTTAATAAACAAAAGGGAATTATAGATTATATAAGGCTTAAATGAATATAAATAGTTAAGGAATCTCCCTTTCCAAAAAAGAGAGAGAGAAAGATCAAGGCTCTAAAGATCCCTAGTAGATTATTAATGAATATGACTAAGTTCCAAGCCCTTTACAAGAGCCCTTGTCACAGCAACAAGGTTGTGCCGCTCCGTATCCACTATCCCGTGTCATCTACATATAACAAACCGACATTTACTTAAGTCTCATAGGTCCATTAAGGGCAATGTGCATTATATCACCAACATTTGTACGGCACTGCAACATAACGGCAGGCCCGGATACTAGGCATTTATGTACGTGAAGTCCTAACAGCTTACAAGCCAGCCACATCGGTTTTTTGGAGTCCTATAAATATCATGGTATGGACATGAAAGAGTCTGCTTGATTTATATTTAGGTAGATAGATTTTATTGTCTCAGTGGCGCTGGTGACTTGCACAGAGCCTTACCACAACATCTCATCCCACCCCTTTGTATGCTGTCTTTCTCTACCCCTCGTCTGCTCCCTGCGCTTGGTAACGTCAATCCTCGCTCTTCGCACTATTTCCTCTCCAGTATTAAGTTCAACTTTATATTATTACCAGCTTTTTTAGTTAACCGATATGATGGAGGGCATAGCTAGTGCATTCTCATGGCCGTACTTCGCTCTTTCGGTCACAGTTTATTTCTTGACCTTGGCCTTTTATCGGCTCTTTCTTCATCCTCTGTCTCGAGTCCCCGGTCCTAAACTAGCTGCCATTTCACGCTGGTATGAGGCATACTGGGACGTAATACATAACGGTCAATATACCTTCAAGATTGCTGAATTACACAAGCGATATGGTGCGTACGCCCCTCGTCTACCTTCTATTACCATCACATAGCTGACTTTCATGCTGCTGGTTTCTAGGTCCCATCATACGCATCTCCCCGTATGAATTACACATCAATGATCCTGATTTTTTTGACCAGCTCTATCGGCAAGATGGTGTTTGGGATAAATACGATTGGGCGGTCAACGCTTTCGCCACATATGGTGCATTGCTCTTCACTACCCAGCATGAATTGCATAAAGCCCGTCGGCAGCCGTTGAACGCGTACTTCTCCAAATCCAGGGTAAGTAGCCGTCAGAGTGTTATCAATCGGCATATGGACAAGCTCTGCGATCGAATTTCCGCGTTCGCCGAATCTCACAGAACTTTCAACCTTGGTGCCGCTATTACTGCCGCTGTGCGGGATGTTGCTTTCGATTTCATTCTCGATAAGAACTATAGAAGTCTTGACAAAGATGATTTTGACGAACCAATGGTGATGGCCAGCAGCGGATCAGGTCAGGTTTGGCGGGTGTCGAAACATATGCGGTTTATTGCGCCAATTCTCAGAGCTGTGCCAATTGACTGGATCATAAAGTATGGTAACCATGGAACAAAATTGTTTTTCCGGTTTCTGAAGGTGAGTTTCTGTCCTGCCTCCTTTCGCTAGCATGTCGCAACATTTTTGTTGAGAGTACCCCTTGCCAGGAATGCCTAGAGGATACGCGAAAACTAGTAGATTCGGTGAAGTCGTCTTCGCCCGACCAGAGTAACGAGGCCAGCATAGTACACGAAATTTTGAAATCAAAACTACCAGCGTTAGAAAAAACCACAGATCGAATTTTTGACGATGTGTCTACAATTACTGGGGCCGGATTCGAAACAACTGCCGGTGCTCTACGCGTGGCACTCTTCCACGTGTTTGACAACCCAGAGATCCTGCAACGCCTGCGTACTGAGCTTGCCACAGTGGACTCCCGCGACTTGAAGGTCCTCGAGCAACTCCCATACCTGAAAGCTGTTTTAATGGAGGGCTTGCGCATAAGTCCGGCACTTGGTACACGCATGGCTCGCATCGCTCCTGATAGGGACCTCTTCTACAAGCATTGGCGAATCCCCGCCGGCACGCCTGTTGGAATGACACTTGTGCTATTGCATGCTGACGAAACTGTGTATCCCGAGCCCCGAATTTTCAACCCCGATAGATGGTTAAGCCATGACGGCGAACATAAGCTCGACAGAGCCTTTGCCCCTTTTCTCAGGGGAACAAGGGCTTGTCTTGGCATGCAGTAAGTCTTCTATGTTCGCTCTGTATCCAACGCACCCCCATTTGATAAACAAAATTTCGGAGAAGAGGACAGAGAGTAACGGCAGAGAAAATAACGCTGACATACTTTCCTATCATTTGTTTAGCCTCGCGTGGGCCGAGTTATATCTGCTGCTTTCTGGCCTAGTAGATCGCTTTGATTTCCATTATCTGAATAGCCGAGCTGAGGATTTCGAATGCAATAGCGATCAGTTTGCGATCGGTACCAAGGGCAAGGGTGTTTTAGAAGCTACTGTCTCTGTTAGGAATAGTTAACAAGGTAGCAGTTTTCGTAGTACGTGTATGATAGACTGAATGCTCCAGTGAGTAAAAGGCTAGTTGCAATTAACCTCCTGGTAGTCTAGGGCTTAATAAACTGTTGAATAGTAAACCCTCTAATTCTTAAATGGGGTCCTACATCCCGACTCGGACGGCGATACGCCTCACGGCCCCTGCAGTGCGCACGAGGGATCAGTTCAAGGTAGTATTAAGTGCTCTAGCTAGCCAAGCTCTATCTCATAAGCGATTGAGCGGTAAGCTGAATATATGTGACCCTCGGAACTTAGTTTACCCGCTCCTTGACTCCGCCCACGTCTGACACCCCTTTAGATAGCTAAATTAGCCTCCATAGACACCCCGAAGGTCTCGTGATTAAACCTCCTAACATACTTTAACGTCACCCAATTATCTTAACAATTTGAAGGCTGTGACCATAGGGGTACTGTATGTCATTTTTGTCACATAAAGGTTTTGAAGCCTTCATGTCTAGGCTAGAGCTATATACAGCGAGTCTCTTTGTCTGTAGCCCTAGGACCATGATGCACAACACTATAAAAGACTCCTTCCGCCAACACTAACTCCATTATACATCCACTATCATATCACAAGTTTTGATAAGGCGTTTACTGCTCGCCGAGGCCAGGAGGAGTCTGGCAGAGAACGGCCTGGCCAAGCTGTAATCGTGAAAGCACATGTCAGCGTACGGATTTCAAGGCGGACAAGGTAATGAAACTAAAGAGCAGTAGAATTGACTTACAACTGGGACAACGCAGCAGCGTGCGCGTTGGCCACCTCGGGCACAGACAGATTTGAAGCTGCTGGCGCTGTTAAAAGCGGCGGAGGCTGTATTGTTTCCAATGTTAGCGCAAGCTATTCTTCTTCTAGTACGAAAAAAGAAAGTTAGGACTCACGAGAGCCGCAGTTGAGGTCAGCAACTCCCAGGACGTCGGTGGCACAGCATTGCGGGACGGAGTAGAGGCCGACAGGGCAGGCGTTGTAAGAGCCACCGCCGTTGGTAGGGTTGGCAGAAACGGCAACAGCAAAGATGCTGGCGAGGGTGATCAGAGAGAACTGCATTTTGAATAGAATTGGGCTGTTCTAAAAGAGCAGGAGATTGTTGTAAATGAACTGTTGAGAGTGAGGCTTCTGGAGTTGGTTGCTGGATGGTGAAGAAAAGATTGAGCACGTCAAGCGGGATCATTGACCCCTTTATATAGACGATGAGAGTTGGCTTCGAGCTAGTTAACTTGCCTGCACCCCTGCTGCTTTAATCCCGTCGTTTGTGTCGAGATGACGATCCCTCACAAGCGTCCCAGCTATATCTTGACGATGGCGATCGAAGGTGAGTTGCTTCTTCCATGGTGTGCCTTGTTTTTTGATTTCTTGGGTGACGCTACTCCAGTTCTGTAACCCAACAACATATATGATTGAAATAAGGACCACTAGACTCCTCAGTCATCTTTCAATAGATACTAGCTTCAACCGGATGCCTAGATACCTCCGTTTACGAAGCACTTAGGTCCTCAGAAACTTTTGTCAAGTCCAACATCTATCATTCTATTATAACACATAGTAACCTTACTTTGGGAAATCATGAATGCCTGAGACTACACTGAGCTCTTTGATGAAACCTTACGCCGTGGTCTTGCATACAAAAGAGTTACCTTTTGATCTCGGTAGGCCAGAAGATCACCTTCTGCAACCCCTGCCAACCTCTGCAGATCGACGTCAGCTTCGCAGTATTTGGCAGAAGTGTAAGGTTGGACATTGGAAGTTGCAATTGTGTTGTCATCTTTGCCGCCGTATGGGGTTCGTACAAGTGTCCACAGCGGGTCACATCAGAAATCAACCATCTTTCCTGCAACGAAGTTTAAGAGCAGACTACTTCCCACAGCAGCGTCAGCTAATTGTCAACCCCTTTTGTGATTAGCCGCTTCCCCAGAAGCAAAACCAATGCATGCACCGCAACGGCTGTTAGTCGATAAATACTTGGTATATAGTGCGCCAAGTCCATGGGCCATGCCTCTTTGGGGACTGGAGGTGCGAGCAGGGATATAGAGGTTACCGAATTGGGGGTTAGCGGTATGCAGTAGATCGATCAACATACTTCTGCTGACAGATAGAGCCTGGCGAAGAGAGAGGGAGGGCGAAGTTATTGGCCTACATGAGAACTCCCGGAGGTAACTATCCTATTCCACATTTCCCATCCTTGGGGTTATACTGGTAACAAAAATATAGCTGGTTGACGAATTTATAGTACGTGATAAAGCTCTACATTGTTAACTGATATTTTTAATCGAACTTATTAAGTGCTGATAGAATCTCAGAAGAATCAAGGTATATAATATTACTAGGGCTTTATCTAAGTCTAGAAATTCTTAACTGCGGCGATACTTTTTAACCATCCTTCGCAACCGTGTCTTGGTTGTTGCCCCTTGGCGACTGGGGAGTCAAGAAATATGTAATCACCTTGCAGCACCCAGGACGGGGCTAATTTGATGGCTTAATTTCCATCTAGCTGTGCTTACAAGGGGAAGTATCCGGTCAAGATTGATCTGGCATCCTCCCTTGTCTGGAGATCCCGGAATGCTGACCGTGCTGGCCGGGACTCGGGAAGAGACCTATTCTGGAAAAGTGCGACTCGGGGAAATATTTCAAGATGTCACTAGTCGCCAAGAAATGTTTCCATGCAGCTCAACTATTGGAAAACTCTACACCATCGACAAGCAAAATAGGTATTTGCATTTCTCGCTAACATTCAATGGCCGTAAATCCTATCTTAGTTAGGTTGTTGCCAAACGCTTATGATTTACGTCAGTTATGCAATTTTCCCTTTGTCGTTCAACTTTGTTCGCTGGAAACAAGATATCTGACATTCATGTCTAGACAGATTTCAAGATTTTAAAGCAATGCGGTGAAATACACCGCACGGTCATCTGATATCATGACGAAATAATACCGTAGCGAGTCTCCTAGTTGGGTGCGGCTGAATTCCCCTGCATCAACATGGAACATCTTGGAGGTTGCACGTGATCGACAAGATTGAGTGGCAAGAAATTTCCTGTTCAGACTGCTAGATTACTTACCTAGGTATGCAGTCTGCAGAGATGAACTTCCTTATTGGTCCAGAACCACTAGTCGTATCCCAAGAGGAAGATCTGCGAAATTCGGCATTTGGATTAACCACACAACTTGGCCAATCCCAGAGCCCGGCGCGTGTGTATGAAGGATAGGCTCTAGCCGACTAGCCAGACTACGTGAGGAGTCTGCCAACGTAAGTAGCTGCGTTAAAATGACCCATAAAGGTTGTGGTGGCTTGTCAGTGCTACAAATTCTGATAATAATGATGAGTAGACCTGAAGAGACCGGGAGGGAACGAAAATTTGAAACTTAAAGAACGCGTGAATATCCTGGAGACTAGATACCGCGAATCATGTTTCCACTGTCCTGATAATGTTCACCCAAGTAGCAATGGGCTTCGTAACTGGTTGTGGGAGAGTGTCGTTGCACAACTTCGTAAGAATCGTTATAATTCACACTTTAACGCGCGATTCACGGGAGCTTCGCGGGAGCTTCCGCAAACAGGCCTGTGTGGACATGGTAGCGTCGCGCTGGCTAAACCGGGATCCGTTATTGAATAGCTAAGACCATATTAGCATAGCGGCGCCCGCCGAATCCAGTCGCTAGCCACGTTACATCCAGACCGCACCGCACTTGCCACGCAGCCCAGGTCACGGACGCCGAAAGACCGTTGTCCCTGCTTGCAGCTCGCGGCAGTAGCTCACGGCAACGACTTTCCTGTCGTTGCTTAGTGCGGCGGCTAGTAGGTAGGTAGCTATGCGATGTTGATGGCATGCCCTTACAAAAGAGAAGGAATCCTCAAAGGCTCTGCGCCCGTTAGAAATAGATGGAATACTGCGCTTTAAGAGATGTAAGCGCTCGTGTCGTAGTAGTGTAGTAGGTAGTGCGCATACAAATGTTGAAGTGCTAGTATGGAAGCCTCCAGGACTGAACTCCTGGAAATTCTGGCATCCGAAGTTGAAGTCTCCAGGATCGCGGCGTCGTGGCGTGGCGTGGCGTGGCGGGCCGGGTAGGTGGGGCTGGGAGTTGTGGCTAGAACCGTACGGCTAGAACCGTGTGGCTTGTGGAATGTGGCGAAGGCCCCCTTGAAAAGCGAAGGTTTTCTTGCTCTTGGGCTGAAGCAGCCTTTAGTATGACTCCTCAAATGCACAGCAGCGAAGCTCGCCCGATAACGAGACGAAAGATACTGTGATACTGGAATCTGTCAGACTAGGAATTGGCTTTGTTGTTGCCGCTCAGAGTGATTTATACGATGGCGAGGCAGTACATCTATTGATTGCCTGGAGTGTAAGAGCGGCTCAGTTTAAATCTAGTTTGTGATGTCTCAAATTGTACCGAGTTTCAACCCAAATAGCAAAAATGAGGAAATGCCATCACACGCGGTTTATTCCACCTGAAAACCCTAGTTAAATAGGAGAGTTAGAGCTTCATGTTCAGCTACTCTCGTGTTAGATAGATTGCGTAATGTGCCAAGCATTTAGCGAATGCATTGCTTATTTGCTAGAGTTATCAAGTGATGATGTCGTTTAACATACACATTACGCTGATAAGTTAGTGTGAGAAGGGTTATTCAGGCGTGAAAGTTTCCACCATTCTTATTTTCACATGCTGTCACGGAACGACATAAGGAGTGCAGTACCTATGCCATTACGCTACCAAAAGGTAACGACGAGTTATCAAGTCGAGGGCTTGACGTCTCTGCACTCAATATATAGTACTGTACTGTAACACATGCATGCCTTTGTCTGGTAACATTTTCCGTATCATAATAACCCCGTACGCGCCACCCACAGCCTTGGTGGGTAAACACCGTCCGATTTCAACATATTTTTTTGTATACTTGCATACGATACTCTGAGCTGAATTTGCTTAGGTCATTACGTGATTTTATGCTAATACAATTGCGTTCTAAGGCCTCGGGCTCTGCTAGGAGAAGTCCATTAGCTTTTAGATACTTTACAATCTAAAAGATAAATTGAGTATCGTTCGTCGAAATTGAAGTTTGAGTCAGCTATCAAACACACATAATTAGAGGTTCCATTAGGGGATTGAATATGTGTTTTCTACTCGAGACCAGTGTCCTGCTGTGAGGGAAATCTTGCCGCAAATATGGCGGGATACCATTGATGTCGGGCTGCTCGTATGAATATGGAGTTATATCGTGGTAATGATGGTTAGAGGTGGGAAGAGCAGCCTAAGAATGAAATAAGACTATGGTCCTTTTATTTATAACAAGGGTAGAGATACTAGGCTTGGAACTTGAGCAATTCAGATTATAATGAACAACTAGGGCTGCATGAGTCCTTGACCAACCAACACCTTCTTGGCCGTTGGTGGCTTAACTCGACTCTATATACAAGTGGTCTGCCAGCCCAGACCGCCTAGGTCTCTGGGGTCTGTTTCAAGAAGCGAAGTCTGTATAACCTCACTTTCCAATATTGCGCAATATTGCCTGCATGTCTCTGAGAGATCACGAACAGCCTGCAATGGCCTTTCGTACGGCCGAAGTGCAAGGCGAACTGCATATTTAGCTGGCACAGCAGTTGTGCGTGTAACATTATTGTAGATCTGCGTCGTTGCAGAGGAAGTTTCCTATCCATCAGAGGCTATTAAGCGTATCATTATTCTTGAATATCATTAATATGAACCAGGATAATAACAATCCAGACTCCCGGTTTCTAGTAGGTTGTTATCAGACGAGGCCCATAGAACCTTTTCCGCTGTATAGCTGTTGGTGTCCGATGGTACTAAAAAATCATTCTTCTCAATTCAGGGCCAAAGCAGTGGCGGCATACTTTATCTCTGCATTACAGTTCCAGCCCCACCTTGTCCGGCCATACGAAAGGTATTACCATGACCCATATTTTGTAGCATTGGCCAGACATTCTAGACCTTCTGAGAAATTGTTACATGATAGATGTGAAGAGACATGCTAGGATAAGGCGGAGGCTATTCTGGGATGGCTTGGCGGGTTAGAAGATTAGCAAGATTCCAAACCCAGATGCAATAGCTACACAACGTTACCGACACGAGTAGATTTGAGAGATGTATCGAACTGAGGGTATATTCACAACCTTACTGGGGAACACGTACTTCAATTCTATGATATCCATCCTGGCACTAACTACACGAGAGCGAGACCCTATCATTTGAAGTCTGCAAGGGGGTCAAATAGGTCGTGTCTCGTAGTCCGAAACACGTAAATTGAATCATTCGCTTTACAATGTAGAGGCTGCTGCTAGTGGAAGAGAAAGGAATCCATGTCGCCCCGACCAAGGAAATACGGGGTCAATTTGCGTGGGATACTGTCCCTCCCAATGAACAGGGACTGTGATTGATGATGGCACCACTTTCCGCGCCATCAGTGACACAACCTCCATCCATATATATGCTGACAAGGGTTCAAGTTTGATAGTTTGCCTCGGAGATGCTTTACCGCCGATGTAATCCGATTTTCAATCTCGGCGCGTTTTGATAATTCCTCTGCCATGGCTAACTGGCCATGCCATCCGCACATGAGGAAATCTCTAAAGAGCTTGCGTACGAAGATATACCTCTCCCGTCGCCGGAGAACCTATCAGAAAGAGCAGTTCATAGATCATCCTAAGTATATCTGTAAGACGCGCTAAAGCAGACAGTAGGCAAGCCCGATGATCCACCTGTCAAACCTCGGCGGCGTTTACCGCAGATTCGTTCTAACTTGGCACTGAGCCTGTATTGAAATGCCCACTAAAGTATGATAAGAGCGTCAAGTCTTACCGAGTAGTGGACCTCGGCTCTCTCTAAATGCACAAGAGCAACTGAGGTAGCCAATATGAGGTAATGCGCTTTGGACCATGCTCATTGAATTTAGTTATTCGGCTGTCTTGCTATAGCTGAAACCAGCTGGATCCAAACGGGCTTATTCCGGTCTTTACTCAGTCTATGAAAAACAGAGAAGTTCAACACTACCCTGTCTACTAGTTTCCACCTCACATTACTGAAAGGAAACATTTGACGATGTCTGGTGACAACGGGTGGAGCTCAGACAAGGTGGATGCTGGCCCAAAACACTGGAACGTCTAGGGTCTCCTGGTCGGGGTGTTCGATCATCTTCTTGAGTGTTGCTATGCATTTTAATACATCACGGGATTGACAAAAAGTTTTATACTATGAGCGATCATCGTCCACCCCTATTATCTCTTGTTTCTTCAACCTCTGATTCGGACGAAAATGTCTAGAACTGAGTATATTGCTATTTCACAGGGTGACTATGATAGAGCATTTTAGGTTGAAACCCCCGCTTCCAAACTGTTAATTGATGTGTGTAGTTATGTCATTGGTTGAAAAGGAGTTGAGCATCTTCGAGCGCACAACTTGAAGTTAATTTTCATTTTTTCAATATCTTTTTATTCGAGAATTGTATCCTATAGTAGATCCATGTCTATAGCATGGACTATCAGGGAGCTCTACGGGGGATCACCGGTCATATGCGACAAGAATCTGCGAAAAGTGCATATGCGTATTACCAGAGCTCTGGGTTATTGGGCAAGCTTTCAAGGCTACCTATACTGGTAGAATAAGGTGTCGTGAAGCTAGGTGCGGCACGCGTGAGGCTCGAAGATTTAGACCTCGGACGGCCAGACCGACTGACGTGAATGCGAGGCCTTCTTGGCTTCATGTATGGGGTGCCAATTGCAAGCTGAATCTGCTGGGGCTTTCCGAACCATAGTGCTCGCTTGGTGGTTGGTGTGGTGTTTTTCACATCTGATTGGCGGGATTGGTTACATTCACAACGTACTCGGTCCTGATTAGTGCTGAACTACAGGGACTTAAGCTTAGATCATCAAACACCGACATATTCTTGCATCAACGGATCCTCGCCTGGTATTCTCAATGCGACTATTGAGGGTTGCGGGGTGTAATTATGGTTTCCTATTGTCAGGGATGCTTGCGACATTGACTACCAATAATTAGCATCTGAGCCGCGTGCTGGGGAATGTCAACTAGCGGTAGGCTAAAGTCCTTCAGCGGGGCTCTGATCTTGCGTGAACTGAAGTTGAGATGTGACCTCTAGCGTTCTGTTGTGATGGGCTTCAGGCGCACAGGTCTGGAGAGCTATCGCGGTTCCTTTCCCTACCTTGAACAGGCGGTAAGGATTTGTCAGGGTACATTCGACCGAGCACAGCATGATCGCAATCTGCGTTTTCTTTTTTTTTCTTTTATCTTTTTGCCACTTATTCTTATTCGACATGAATTATAGGACAGAGAAGATATTCCTAGATTTTCTACACCGCGTATCAGCAATTACATGACGACATGGCTCAAATTCAAGCTCAGGGTCATTCTATATAATAGCTCGTACTGCTCTTCTGCACGTACAAATACGCTGATAAAGACGATTTGGTTAGCTAAAAAAACAACAACTGGCTACTGGCTACTACTGGCTAACAGGCATGTGGTAATTCTCGTTCTGTCCTTCCGCCTGTTACCTCGTTCTTATTCATCCACCTAGTCAATCTCGTGACAACACGCATAGACGAAACTTTGCATTGCTAGTTATGGACCATCCTTCGCTCCCGACTAGCGATATTTCTCTTCCGATGGATCGAAACGCATTGCACACAAATGAGCACATTCTGTCTAATTTGGAAGGTTCCACGGATCGCAGGACTAAGAAACGCATTCAGAACAGGGTTGCACAAAGAACATATCGTAAGTCTTTGACGAATTCAGCATCAGCTCTGTTGAGCTCACTATGCACAGGCACCCGGATAAAACAACGCCTTCATGACTTGCAGCAACAGGTCCAGCAACTACAGCAGAAAGAAGGAGAGCAACAGCACATCACTCGGCCGCGTGACGTAGAAACAGATGACAGTGGGAATGAAGGAGTTGCATATTTCACTTCCTTTAACCAGACGCCCGATACTGCTCCAGTCCGTGGGCATAGAAGAGAACCGTCCAGTCTGGGGGTAACGTCTCAGGATGTCTCTGGCATAAAATCGATGAGTTCGGATGGATGGACAGGTATTCCTGGCCAATCCCATATGTGGAACTCTGGGACAGGATTTGTTTACAGCCCGATGCCTGTGCGCACAAGACCACCTCTCGACCTATCATCGGAAACCACTGTTGGACCTATATCCCCGCCAAAGCTTCCACTGGATTTCTCTAATAACGTTATCTACCATTCTACATGTCATAGGGAGGCTCCGCCAGATGCGTTAGCTTTCTCTCGTGGAGATGATAATTCGCAACATCAGATCCACAACCGAATTGAAAATATCTATGGTAAGACGATCATTTCTCCATAGCTTCCGCCGCATCAGAGGCATTCTAGAAGCCGAATAATGACTTAGCAAAATCGCAACTACTAACACTTGCAAGAAATGGGTGAACATGGAAAGTTATGTCACTCTCAGGATTTTAACTCGCCGCATTTATCCCCTTGGAATCATATCCTGGAGCCGAAAGGCACATCCGACGCATCAATCGCGACGACAAGACACATTCCAAATACAACCGACGCAGGCTCTTATCCAGATGGAACCCCAAATGCACCTCCCCAATGGGCGGGGACTTGGTTGCAAAGCCACCAGAAAACTATGGAAGAGCAGTTCGAATATATTCTGAGCTGTGCACAGCGTGTTGGATTTGACAGTTTCGACACAATGGCATTACACTACTATACGCAAAGCTTTCACCCAGCCTCAGCCGTATCCCTAGAACAGAGACTTAGCCGCAATCACCGTCTGCCTGAGCTCCTCGAGGAGCTCAAGAAACAATCAACAAAATGGAGTCCGTTGCAACGCCGCGGATACCAAGATGCAACGCTGAAAGCAGCCGAAGAGATGTGCGCACTAGAATGCAGTGAGTTCCAAAGGGCCGAGATAAACGACAACGTCAAAGAGGCTGCAATGTGTGCCATGGTACGTAAGAAATCGTCCAGATAGCCTGTTGGGCTGCTACTACATTTCATACTGTACGTTGTAACTTACTCGTTCCGCTAGTTACCCAACCTATGGGCGCTTCTGACCGGGTTGGTGTCGAGCAACCCCCAGCTATCACAGCAGCAAGTTTCCGAAGCAGTATCTATGAGTATGAGAATCCTGTGCGGGATAGATGGCCCACAGAATCAGTCAGCCAGATCTTCTAGACAATCACCTACATAAGAGGGGCACCTCGAATGGGGTCTTGATCACGCCTTGCCGAACTCCTGGCTTGGCTTGTAGACCACATAATTAGACGATGCACAGCATGAGTCACTATAATGTAACCACGCATCTTAGCTACCAGAACTACCTACTGGTAATACACGTCCTATAATATCAAACATCTTGCTATCTCTCTCATCACAAACATATTTGCTTATTGAGCTAAGGGCTATAATCCCTATCGAGGTACCTAGATGGAAAAAGAGTAACGGTGTTTAATTTTTCGGACCTACCTGACCGCTATTCTCCTAGTTAGACCTACATGAAGATTCCTCCCCACACAAAATATCCAGCCAATAGTCATGCCAACGTTCAAGCCCCGGGTGACCTTACCCAACGCACTCCAACTCACATACAGACATACAGTAACACTAAAGGGGTCCGAGATCGATGCGGCAAGACAAAACTAGCTATCAATGACGGCCTGTACCGGAGACCATAGATAAGATATATAAACATATGCAAGAAACTCATATATCTCGAACTTGCTCGCCCAGAGTTGCCCTTTCTTGCATGCACTAAGAACCAGGTAGGGACTCCTGCAGCAAACGCAACATCTCTCATTGTCCAACATCTTCAACTGAGCAGCAAAATGTATAACAAGTCTACTGTAACACAGTTCCACACCAATATCTGCATCCATGAAATACTTTTGGCAGAACTCTGCGCGCGCCAATGCAACTCTCAAAGGGTGTCAGTGTCACAGTACCATAGAGTTGAGCGTAGAGACGCAGGGTCTCGACCTGATAACGTACGTCGTTTACCTTTTGGTAGCGTAGCCGTTTATAGTACTAGGTACACCCCTATACTCTGTCCCGTGACCAAGGGCTTTCAAAGGCGTTGGATCCATATGAGTCAGCAAGACACACATTAAAACGAATTCTTTCCATCATCAACCTCTGCCATGGAAATTGCTTCTCACGTGGGAGATTCCGGGAAATTCTGGCCGAATATCCGCTGATAGGCGTTTTGTAACACTCGAGTTCCCTGATATTCAGCTACTAATGATAGGCCTGCGCCGCGCGGCCGCAGTAAATTCAATTGTTGTGATTTTTCAGCTTTTCAGACCTTTGCTGCAGCTTGCCATGATCTCCGCATCGAGAACTGGGCAGTGATTGGTTTACTGTCGGCCGGTTCGCACCTTAACACCCCATGCATGAACAGGCGAAGCCCGACACAGTGCTCGGAGTCGCCTTGTGGGACGTGGGATGCGCACTCACTCCTCCCCAGAGCTTGACATTTACCGACAACTAAACGAGGCCTACAGAAATCTTACGTAAGTATCTCTCACAGGGCGAGGAACTCGAAAATGACGGAAGTCGGACGTCACTATACTGAAGAGAGGGTTCGGGTTTTAGACTCTACAATGGTTTGGCAAACAGCATACTACCTAGGTATAGCCCCTCATTCCTCTTGAAGAACCGATACGAAAACCAATCGGCATCCCTTCCTTCATCTACCAAGTGTAGTATTCGTGCAATGGTAGAAATAAGTTTTACTTGGCATGACCTGGGATTATTATTCCACCCCTCGCTCTCTTGATAGTATTGTACCGTGGACCTGCCATCCACAGAAGTGGAATCTTCTGCAGAGTCGTCACGATTTCCCATGCGGTCGTACAGGAATATATGACCGCATAACCTCATTGACATATGAAGCGTGCAACCCCCACTTCGATGCTTCTTTGATGCCCAAGTTCATCCGGTCGATATACTCTTCCTTGGGCGCTGACGGTGTGACACGATATGGGTCGACATAAGCGAGCAGCTCGACCTCCTCCTCATGACCGAATAATGCTGCCTCTTCGGCCGGTTGTGTGGGTTTCTTGGCCCCATTCTCAGGTGAAGCTTCAACGGCGGTCCATGATGAACCCTGGTCCGGGTCTCGCTCTAAAAAACTCGCCCCGTCGATTTTCACCATTAATTTTTCATATGCATATCCTACCCCCTCGTATCCGTCCAGCGTTGCTTCATCGTCGGGATGCAATCGGTAGACTAGCCCATAAACCCCCGGTCGGGCGGAAGTGCTGTTTGGGTCGGATTTATCCGCGTCCTCGACAATGTTGGCGTATCCGCGCTCGTTGATGATCCACTGCCGCCTTTGAAGTCAGCAATCATCATTATTATCGCTATCTTGTGCACAGATTGTACGAAGTAGAACTGTAAAGCCAAGCCCCAAGCCACTTCGGGGCCCGGGGGGTAAAGCATAGCTTGAGCGGATAGGACTTAGCTTACAGTCCAACCGGTGAGGTGCGCTAGGCCGACCGGAGGAGAACGCGGACATCGGTGCTGCATCTGTGTGGTCGACAGGTTCGAACCATATGCGAAATAGAGCTTTTCTAGTCTCTCCGCCTTCTCGAAATTGCTCAGTGCCATCTTCCACAATCCTTTATAGATTTTGATATCGTAAAGACAAAATCGCCCGTCTCTGATCACTACCCACCTACCTACCTTACGTAGGTATGTAAGAGGCAACGTGAGCTTGGAGGCCTGGATTTTCAGGGACCTTCCAGGCCTCCAGGCATCTTGATTCTGACTGCAGGGGACGAGTACGGGGTCCCTTGCCGGTCCTTGGCGCCGTGGAGCGGGATATGCAGCCCTACAAGCCCACTGTTCCAGGGGTTGGTGATCCTGAATCAACCCAACAGTGGGTGAACCCAGTATCACAGGCACGGGATAATCCACTGGGATTTATCGCAAGGCATCCTCGTTCACGCCTCCACACAAGCTGTTGTCAGACTTCTATGCATCTGGGTTTATTTGCACGTCTTCGCAGGTCTTTGGGGGGGACCTTGACGGCTGCTTACCTAGCCAGCTGAGTCTACTGCTTTTCTTCGCGATTCAGAGAAGAGGAGCTCCAGAAGCGAGTGTAGCAGATTCTATGTCGCTAGGAGAAGACGCAAGTTTATAATGTCATCCCCATGTTATATTAATATCGCTTTAGCTAAAGCTTACGCACCATGCGCTACAGAGAACTTCGTTACGCTTCGTGTATACCTGTCTGCCATTTTCACCTGCTTGTAACTGAATACATTGACATCCGCACCTCTAATACAGAATGCCACTCCAATCTTGAGCACCAGTTGTCGAAGATGCAGCTTTCATCGCACTGGCAATATCAACCCCCGAGCCCTGGAAGATACTGAACGAGTCGCCTTTATCATTCTTCGGGTCATAGTCGCAGTTCTTGCCCGGGACAATTTGCCAATACAACCATGGTAGCCCAGCCTTGTTCATATCGTTGGCTTGGGCCGGGTACTCCACGCGCGGATCTGCAGCGCCCTGATATTGCTTGACGCCCCATTCCTCGACATAGACCAGCTTGCCTTTAGCATCACGGAGATAGCCAGGTGCGGAAGCGGACCATTCATTCGGGTTGGAGGCAAGATTTCCTGCGTAGCGATGAACAGCGATCATATCGAGCTGTCCACAGTTCACGGCCGCATCCATGAAGTTGCAGTTCTTGGAGATGTCGCCACCAATACCACCAGAGGAGATCTTGATTGGGTTGTTAGCGCCCAGAACGCTGCGCATGTGCTGTGCGCGTCCGCAGACCCATTTCGCGCCTGCGCCGTTTAGGCATTCCTCAGTCTTCGTAGACATGGGCTCGTTCTGTAGATCGAAAGCCATGATGGCCTCGCTCCAATTCTTCCACACCTTGCCCGATGATTTCCCGCGGTAGTTGAGCACGTGAGTGAGTCGGGCATCATAGTCGTCGAACGCAGCTTGCTGTTCGTAGAAGTAGCCCGAGCCGTATTTGTTCCAGTACGGGTCAGAGCTACCAGACACGAACTGGTTGGCGGCGTCGTGCGGCGAGATAATAGCCTTGATTTTCTTGGCAGCTAGCTTCACCAAGACGCTGTCGACAGCATCCAACACTGCGTCATTGTAGCTACCGATAGACTTTTCGAGCTCGGGGATTGTCTTCGTGATCGTGCTACCCTTTTGGCAAGAGCCTTGAGATTGAGCATTCACCCAAAGTCGTACTACTTTAGCTCCGTCGGCAGCCAAGTTGTTGATCCAGTCATTCTGTTGTGAATCGGACAGTCCTATGAGGAAGTAGATGTTGGATCCAGCCCAGGACGGTGAGTTTGCTCGGGGGCTGATAGACACAGCAGCAGCCGTAGCTAGACAGCTAGCGAGAGCTAGGAGAACTTGCTTCATTGTAGGATTATCAAGATAGACGAGGGCTTGTGAGTTTCGTAGCTGGTGATGGGAAGCAGGAGAATGGCCCCAAGGAAGGAAAGAGATGTTGACTTTATATGTCCGCGTCTAGTGGCGGAGTAGGCCAAAGCTGGCCGAGATGAGTGGACTTGAGCCAGTTCATAGAGTTACAACAACATCCAAGTGCTCTCGAGTGATCTACAGCAAGTAGTAATTACATTACCATGTGATGGTAGATTGATCTAACCGTGAAGGTTAGGTCAATTGTCGATGGGGCAGGGCTAAACCTGCAGAAGATCCTCCCTCAAGGTACAGGGTTTAGCTCGCTGCGACGACTGCCAGAGACGGCAATCCACCGACTCAAGAACAAAAAGATTCAGCTATCTTTCGACAAGACAGGCAGGTAGAATGAATTAGCTTATAAGCTGCCGCTTAAACATCTTTCATTCCGCGCTTCCGCGCCTATTTAGTCATGCTTCTATGTTTACCTAACTCAAGAACGTTGTCTATCTAGGCAGCGTTTATCAAATTATCCTAACAGCTGTGAACAGCTGATAGCCTAAATCTACTTGAACCAAAAACCGTATTAGATCTACACATTCATCTTGGTGAACGCATGACAATGCGCAATTCAGTTTCCCTTTGCTTTCCAATACTACTTTGTAGGCAGGATATTTGAATGCATGGCTACTGCAGCTGCTACGTGGAAGACAACTTGAATAGATGTCGTTATAGATCCCAATTCGGCAGTGTCCGTATGCAGGCCTTGATATGCACATATTCAGTTTCGGCCAATTGCCAGGATGACGCGTAGCCAATAAACAGCGAATCGTCACTCTGCCAATGCAGGGTGCTGCAATTCACCAGAAGGCTGCCTCTCATAAGGAGGGGATGCGATCCTATTCTACTATATTTGATATTATTACTTCGTACCGTCAACTTCTGCTCCAACGCAATGGTCTGGCCTAATCTCACACACAGAAATATTTATAGTTGCAAGACCATGAGCTCATTCTTCTAGATTTGACTGTCCGTAGCCCTACTTGGTTATTGAGGCCCTGATATCAGCGCGTCTAGCGTGTTCAGTGCATGTAACATACGTGTTGGAGGCAGTTACCTTCCCTGGTCGAATTGTCATAAGCAATGCCACACGAGCAGTCCGTACTCAGTGTTGCCGCATATCAGAATTAGAGTCGTCGTGCGATGCTACATATTCATTATCATCATCTATATTGCACTCCAAGACATATATTCTGGATCATACAAATCATTTTCGGTGAACATGGTGTATCAGGCCACTCGACGGTTCAAATACGAAGAGTTACTGACCTAAATAGCGAACCGAGCGAATAAAAAGAAAAAGTAGGAAGAACTCCACATGTAGGTCAACGACGTAACAGCGTAGGTTTCAGTCAAAATATGCTAGAAATAGACCTCAAAAGGTGACTTGCGGAGGGGAGGCCTGCATATCTGGCACACTGCAGAGCAGCTTACTGAATACGAGCTGTGCAAGGATCTTCAAGGATGTCAGCGTAATACGTAGTTACAAGGCTAAATCTCACCTCACTTTATTATTTGAATATGAGGAAGTAGTTAAATGTAGCTTAATATGATTAGTTCGCTCAACAGACTGTGTTTTCTTCTGCATCACTCTCATTCAATCCAAATAAATTTAATTCTATATTTTTGAAGTTGCGAATATATTTACACTCTCTAGCGCTTCTATATATTCTCGTGAACCGCCATTTTGTATAATCGATAGACACATGTTCTTAACGGGGGACCGCTTCATTTCTAATACTCACTTCTCTCTGTTTCGCCTTCCGCAGGTATCCGGATTAACGACGGCGCTGCTTTTACAACGTCACTGACAACGGTTCATAGCACGGCTCAAATACAACTTGACCGAAGCCATGTGATGACCAAACCATCAAGTATGAATACCTAGATGTCTTGTGATTGCTACGCTTCTGCATTAGAGCGTGGCATATTTAACTCCTTCGCAGCTCATTCGGCTTAATGTCGGACAGTAAAGCAAAGTCCTGCATTCACTGCAACTACTCTGTTGTAATGTAGGGCCATCCCGCTGTAAACTTGTGAAAGAGAAGGGGGTTTGCTACGTTCCGCTTTCCTTCTACACTCTACACTTTCGAAAAATCGTGAGTTACTTTTGAGCACAAATGATCAGGTCAGCGTTGGGCGCTCTATCCGATACGATATACTTTGCTATCCTAAGCTCTTTATCCTAGTGCCAGATGACAACGAAGACCATGCCAGAAGATGTTTTAGACAGTGGTGTCATTTCCAAGGGTCGTAATATCGGACCTGGAGAGCCATAGGGACTTTCTGTTGCGTATTGGAGTTCGAAATGTCGGCCTCGGCTGTTAATGGAGATCTTTCTGGGGATAGAAGGTGGTACCATGCTATTTATCGCATTTCCCTTTCTTGCAATATTATTGGTTTAATGTAAAGGCTACGAGCGTCGTAATAGACTCACTCAATCCAATCACTCTCGAAGAACATAGCGGTGGTATTCGTCATACCGAGAAAGGAGACGAGGCCTACAGCTGTAAACAGGCTAGTTATCACATTTTTCAGCTTGAACGTGAGGTCAACAATATAGATGAATCGCATAGTTCCCTACACAGGATATGAAGGTCGGGTTTCGGTGAGCCAATCATGTGTTGGGCATCATTCTAAGATTTCAGAGAGTTTCTAGGGTGGCCAAGGGGTAGATCGCCATGAGAGAAGCTCTGCTGTTCCGATAATCACTGCATCAGGATCACCGCATGAAACACTCAGCTTTATCAAAAAGATTCAAAATGGAACATGGTAGTACAGATAGATTTACTAGCATATATATTGAGGGCGTGCTTGCGCGATTATTAAGCGATCCTTTCCTTAACCTTAGGGCCTCTCTAGTCTCTTTGAAATATGCTTCTTGTTCGTTTTGCGTGTCTTAATGGCTAACTATCGTATACCGGTCCCACTATTCTTGCTCTTGTTCGTTTCTATTTACATCAGGCCTATCATCGCAGTCACTTGCTACCGTTTGGACGGACGTGAGGCAACCTCTGATATTCAAGCATGCAATCTCAACGCTACAGGACAAGGCGGTGCGCATTCGGCGTGTTGCAAGGTTGAGAATCAAGATGCCTGCCTCTCTACGGGGCTGTGTCTCAACACGCTTGCTACGCAGGCGAGCCATATACTCTGGGCAACCGGCTGCACAGACCCAACATTTCTTGATCCAAGTTGCCCTAAATATTGCCGTATCAGTAGGTTATCTATACTAGATCCCTTCATCAAGCAATTACTGGGCCTTTTGATGGAGAAGGCTCACAGCTGATATGATGAACAGCTGGATGGAGCAATGCACGCCTCCAAAACTGCAACGACACACATTACTGCTGTGCGGAATGGGATATAGATCGCGACCCAGAAGATTGCTGCAAGTCTCCGTTTCCTTTGGACGAGCCAATTGGCACAGTTACTCGGCAGATCCTTCGATCTGATAGAACCGTGCCCGGTACGCCAAACAATACCACATCGTCGAACAATAATACTGTAGAGACGTGCCATGGCTCAACCATCCCGACTGGAGCCATTATAGGCCTATCTGTTGAAGGTGGTGCACTATTGGTCGCCCTAGCAATGCTAGGCTACTTGCTCTGGAGCCGGAGAAGGATGAAGCAAGAAATGGATGAATTGAATAGAGCTTTGGCAGCGACAGCTATCGGCCCTGCTCGCTCGACACAGGCACAGGCGAAGCCACCCTACATGCATGGAATAGCAGAGCTCCCTATCAATCCGCAAGAGATGTCTTCACTGCGGGAGCCGTCCGAAATATCTGGACGTAGTATTCATCGCCGAGTGTAAGATGGCATGGCCCAGGAGGTTTTCAGAAATTGCAATAGTGTCAACTTTCTCTAAAGCGGCAATATGTATTTGATCTCAATATAATTAGTCAATGTCAAGTCGAGTAGCTAGTTAGTAATACAGCGTCTCAATTACACGTGAAGTAGTTGTGTTCATCTAGCGAATGCGGAGTAGATACATTGCCACGAGGCTCTTCCTCGCTGAAATTAACCTCGTACTATAGGAGCTCTTGTACGTAGTAGTTGAGTGGCTGTTGAGAAGCACAAACCCCTGTAATTCAATTGAGCCTACTGTACCCCTCAGTAAGTTAACGACGCTGTCTACGCCAAGACTATCAGAACGCCAAAGGGCTCCTAATAGCTTCGTTCTATTTTGATAGAGATCATATGCCAATCATAGATGAAACAAAGAATTGAAGCGAGCATTCAATCTACTTCTATACTTGGAGTCTCTCAACTATAGAAGTCATACGCCAGTTATTCGAGCTTTGTACCTCTCCGCACTAGCTAGCAGTTGTTCGATCAGGTAGGGGATGCATTGGACTGGTCTAGACTTTAGTCTATTTACATGTCGCTATACTTCGTCGGCTACTCCGGCTTAAAAGATTAAGTACATTCAGCGAAACGCTCTATGAACCATGAAGTACGATGAGTTGCAAATAGAATTAGGTGTGTTGCCGAGTTTATGTAACAGACCTCCAAGTCAAGGAGGCGGTTGCTGCTATGGTTCGAGACATCATTTCAGCCCAAGCTAACGTTAACCCTCTGGATTACTTATATGTACAATACATGTAGTTGATACTAACATTTAATGGGCGCCACGTTTTCAGCCAATTAGCCATGCATCTTGATTCAAGGATTAGTACGAACCGCTAGTCTGCCAAGGTCTAGTTTGAGATCGTTTGCCGCGAGCATATTTAGCGCAGAGGCTAGATCTTTAAGCCAAGAATGTAGTATGGGTTACATCAGCTACCTTCGCCTTCGACCACATTGGACACAATTGAGTATAAGCCTTATTTAGGCGGGCAGGTTATCCAAACATCGAAGATCGATAATTAAACATCGCCTTAAACTTAACATAGTAAATATTGGGGCAATGTCTGGGACCCCCCTGTTTTCCCATATAAATTAGGATAGTTGTAGACATTGTATAAATGCTAACAATGTTGACGGTCGGACTTGGATTACTATTGCGATACCGGGCAGGTTATCCAAATATCGAAGATCAATAATTAAACATCGCTTTAAACTTAATATAGCTAGATATAGGCCGGTATATATAGATACCCCTATAATAATCCTTAATATATTTAATTTAACCCTTTTAAAAGTATTACCCTTATATCTCCTATTAAAATTTATAAAACCTATAAATAAAAAAACATTTATTTAAAAATAAATATATATATTATTATTATTAATATATATATTATTATAATTATAAAATATATATTATTATAATTATAAAATATATAACTATTATTATAATTATAAAATATATATTATTATAATTATAAAGCTTTTATTATTATTATTTTATAAAGCTTATTTTAAATAATTATTTATTAATTATTTAACTTTTATACCTTTTTTTTAATTAATAACCTTTAACTTTATTTTTATAATTTTACTTTTAACTTTATTTTTAACTTTTATTATACCTTTAATTATTAATAATATTATATATTTTATAATATTTATTAAAAGTAAACTATTTTTAATTTTATTTATTAATTTTATATTAATTATATATTTTTTAAAGTTAAACTATTAAATTATTAATTTTTAATATTATATTTTTAAAATTACCTTTTAAT